GGGGGGTGGGCAGTGAGTTAAGTTTTGTATGTTGGGTTGGGTTGGGTTGGTGGTGGTGGTGTGGTGTGTTGGATGGGGATGGGTGATTGTGTGGGTATATGCTACACACTACTGACTTGATGTATGGTGTGTTTGATATTGGTACTGGTACTTGTTGTGGTTGTGGCTATGCTACGCTTCTTGTTCAAGGCTTCCAAGGAAGGATATTGGATCAATTTCATGATTAATCACATGCATAAGTTGGTATGACAGTGCTATTGGTGGCATCAGAATTCCAGCTTCAGAGCGGGCAAAATGGTGGCACTGCAGTCGCCGAATCCCACATAGTTCCCCTCGGTGCCCGCCTTGCCGCGAAGCACCACAGTGTCGCCATCCTCGAGGAATACTCGCTCAGAACCGTCCGCCAGCTTGAGAGGCTCCTTTCCCCTGGTCTGCTCGAACATGCTGCCCTGGGTCTGGGGTTCCGTGCCCGAGATGGTTCCACTGCCGAGCAGGTCGCCCGGCCTCAGGTTGCAACCTGTGATGGTGTGGTGGGCCAGCATCTGGGGGAAGGAGAACAAGAGGTTCTTGGCATTGCTGCGAGAGACCGTGGTAGGCTGGCCGCCTGCATTGGTGATCTCGAATTCAAGGGGAATGTCAAAGACACCGTCGGTGCGCTTCTCGCGCAAGTAAGGAAGGAGATTCTCCCGGTTCTCGGGGTCCAGACTGGGGACTCGGAAAGGTTCCAGGGCATCAACGAGGACCACCCAAGGAGTGATGGTGGTCGCAAAGTTCTTGGCGTTAAAAGGTCCCAGGGGAACGTATTCCCAGGCTTGGATATCACGAGCGGACCAGTCGTTCATGAGCACCAGTCCGAAAATGTGGTCTTCAGCCTCGTTGACAGGGACGGGCTTGCCCATGTCGTTGGGCGTGCTGACAAAAGCAGCCAGCTCCAGTTCAATGTCGAGCCTCTTGCAGGGAGAGAAAGTAGGGACCTTCGGGGTCGCCGTCGGGTTGGCCAGGACCTGGCCGTTTGGACGATGGATGGGCGTGCCCGAGACCACGATGGACGAGGCGCGCCCGTGGTATGCGACCGGCAGGTGCTTGTAGTTGGGCTGCAGAGCATTGTCTGGGCCGCGGAGCAGGACACCCAGGTTGTAGGCGTGGTTGAGACCGGCATAGAAGTCGGTATAGTCTCCGATTTGCATGGGAAGGTGGTTGGTCACCTCCGATAGCGGCAGAAGGGCTTCCTTCTGAAGGGGTTCATTGTCTTTGAGGACTTGAGGAAACGGGGTGTCTGCACGGAGAATCGACTGGATGTATTCGCGGACTTGCCGGTGAACTGGCCGGCCCAGAGCTGCAAAGGCGTTCAGGGTGGGTTGGCTGAACACGCCGAGATGGGGCTGGATCGCGGGCAGCTGAGAGAAACCCCCCGACGAGGCAAAAGCGTTCAAATTCAGTGCATAGTCACCGATCGCAATAGCAGCGACGCGCGATGGGACCTTGGCCGAGGAGATGATTCCGAATGGGATGTTTGCCAGCGAGAACGGCGAGTTCTTGGGGATCTGCAGCCAGGAAGTCATGGTGGAGGAGGATGCGGTTAAGAGTGGGGATTTGAAAGAAAAGAGAAGGTTGTCTGGCTTGTCCAACTCCGAAAGAACTGCGATGCCGACGTTAAAAACATACCCCGCTGTAGCCTCGAGCCGTAGCTCTCGAGGCAATTCCGGAGGTGAAGAGGAGAGCAGCGGAATGAGGTCCGCGCCCGGTGATAGCCGGCCGGCGCTGGCAGAGCTCTTCCCCGCCGGCCCCAATTCCGCGCCCCCCGCAGATCGCCCGGTTCCAGCCTTCCAGGAACACCAAATCCCGCGGGGCCGGCGAAGGCACCAGACTCACTGGGCAAGGTTGCATTGCCGGATTCTTATAAACCTTCCTAGCTCTGAAGCTGTCTGCTTACCGCCATCGAGACTTGACGCGCTAGACACTACCCATCATGCCTGTGACCGATTTCAAGCACGCCGATCCATACTCCTACCAAACTGGCTTTGACTCTTACCATGAGTGAGTCGAGATGCCCCTGAGTCTATCAACCGTAAAGACTGACCGAGCCTCCCAGGACTGAAGCTATCGAGGGGGCTCTTCCTGTAGGACAGAACTCACCACAGAAGGCACCATATGGACTCTACGCCGAGAAGCTTTCGGGAACTGCATTCACCGCTCCTCGACATGAAAATCGGCAAACCTGGGTGTACAGGATCCTCCCCGCAGCCGCCCATGAGAATTTCGTGGCCGAGGATGGTGACTCCTACCACACTCATATGACAACTGAAACCCAGAAGCTTCACCACATTCCTAACCAGCTGCGCTGGGACCCATTCGACCTGGATGAGACCGTTGACTGGGTTCACGGTCTTCACCTCATTGCCGGTTCCGGGGATCCCACCCTTAAACACGGCCTGGGAATCCTTCTCTACGCGGCGGGAAAGGACATGGGAAAGGAAGCCTTCTACTCGGCTGATGGTGATTTCTTGATCGTGCCCCAGCACGGTGTGCTGGACATCCAGACCGAGCTGGGACGACTCCTGGTTCGCCCGAACGAGATCTGTGTGATTCCTCGTGGTGTGAGGTAAGATGATATGGCCTTTCTGCGCATCGAAACCATGCTAAAGTCTTCAGATACCGTGTGACTCTTCCTGCAGGACCCGTGAGGGGATACATCTGTGAGCTTTACCAGGGCCACTATCAGCTTCCTGAACTGGGCCCGATTGGATCCAACTGCCTGGCCAACATACGAGACTTCCAAGCCCCGGTGGCTTCCTTTGACGACGAGGAAGAGCCGTCAGAATATCGCTTGTACAGCAAATTCAACAACACCCTCTTCTCAGCACGCCAGAGTCATACTCCCTTCGACATTGTTGCCTGGCACGGGAACTACTACCCCTACAAGTACGATTTAGGTCGCTTCAACACGGTCGGCTCGATTTCCTTCGACCACCCCGATCCGTCCATCTTCACTGTCCTCACTGGCCCGTCCGACCACACCGGCACAGCGATTGCCGATTTTGTCATCTTCCCGCCCCGTTGGCTGGTGGCGGAGAAAACGTTCCGACCGCCATGGTATCACCGCAACACCATGTCGGAATTCATGGGACTGATCTGCGGTGGTTATGATGCCAAGACTGGCGGAGGGTTCCAGCCAGCGGGCGCCAGTCTGCACAATGTCATGAGTGCCCACGGGCCGGACAAGGATGCCTTTGAGGGCGCCAGCAATGCCGAGCTGAAGCCGCAGAAGGTTGGCGAGGGGAGCATGGCCTTTATGTTCGAGAGGTAAAGCATCCGGTGTGGATTTTCAATCTACGTGCACTAACTCCTGGTCTAGCTGCCTCATGGTCGGAGTGTCCGAATGGGGTCTGAAGACCTGCAAGAAGGTGCAAGAGGAGTACAACGCACACAGTTGGCAGCCCTTGCAGAGGCATTTCAAGAACCCGAAGAAATCGGTGGACATCAGACAGGCTGACCAGTAGGGTCAGATTATGAAGTAACGAACAAAATCCCCTAATACTAGCGTAGTTTCAAATCCACCATAATTCCAATTCCAACGTCTCTATTCTTTGGGTATGAAACTTGAACCCACCAAAGCCACAGAACTCTAAAGCTATGCTCCAAAACAAACCCTAAACAAAACTTTAGAATTGTACCACCTGATCCCCCACCATCTCCTTCCTCATCGCCTCCTTCACAATCGCCCCACACATCTTTGCAAACGGATTCGTCTGCACTGCCAACTGCTGCGCAACCTTATTCCCATACCGCCCTCCAAAGAAGAAATCCCGACTCGCCATATCCTCCAACTGCCCGGGTTCCAGCCCCCGTAACCGATCCGGGCCCCCTGTCCTTTCCTCCTCACTACTCTCCTTCTTCACTCTCGCTGCTTTCAGTAACAAATATCCCCGGTGCGTATGCGCATCGGCTAACAAGCGCGCCTGCACCGTCGACACCGGATCTGCGGGTGACTGCGGCGTCGCTAGTGCAATCGCTTGTCCTAGATCGGCTAGTAACCTGGACGCGTGTTCGGTGTTTTGCGGGGTGAAGAGCTTATCATCCTCCTCTTCTTTCTCTTTATTCTGTTCTGAGGGAGGTAGGGGTGTGGAATCGATGAGTAACCGGAGAGTCTGGGCACGGTTAACGTATGCAGACGGGTAGGTTGGGTATTCGGCAATAAGGGCGTCGAGGTCTTGGATTGCTTGTTGGATAGCTGCGAGGGAAGTGGCTTCAGATTGGAGAGTGCGGATGATGGCGATTTCGCGGGATTGGAGTGTCTGGAGGAGTTCAGGGGAGATATTGAGGTGGGATGGATAGGCCGGGAGGGCGGCGTTGATGGTGATGGCGTTGGAAGGGGAGGATTCGGCGTCGAAGAGGGCCTGAAGGACGGCCGAGTCGTTGGAGGTGAGGTTCGGTTTGGTGGATTGGATGGATGTCATTTTCCTCGGTTTCGGAGAAAGAGATGCAGCAGGTCTTGGTGAGTGGTAGGATGTCGGGGCGTCGTCGTATTTAGGGACTTGATTCCAACTACCAAACAGCAGCCATGTGGAACATTGCTTATCAGACCGATCTTATAGACCGATATCCAGGGATTATGGCAATCCGTGCATGCGTCTCGTGTTCTTGTGATGTAAACGGGGCCGGCTATCCCTCGGCGCGGGAAATACCCGGCCGTTGCCGCAGGTATCCGGGGTCAGCCGCGGCCATCCCGACGGGCAGTTTTGGTATCCTCGCTTCCTGCAATATCCACGCGCCATTCGGATTGCCAAAGAATAGAATTATGATTCATGGGAATCCAAGGAATGCCAGGCAGGGAGTCCCGATAAGCTGTCAGGAGGCCTGTCCCATTCGGCTTATAAGATGCTGGGATCTTCCTCTGGAATCATCTTGATAGATCATGATACTTGCTTTTACTTCATACAACATTATACCCACTGATAGAAAGCCTTCTTCACTGCATTCATCACAGAGACCATCATGGCTCCCAGCGCAATCTCCGCTCCCTCCTCCCCCCAGCAGCTCCCTTCCGACGTCTCCAGCTACAAGGGCTACGACCACGTCCACTGGTACGTTGGCAATGCCAAACAAGCCGCCTCATATTATGTCACCCGCATGGGCTTCAAACGTATCGCCTATAAGGGTCTGGAGACCGGCAGTCGCGCTACCTGCTCTCACGTCGTCCGCAACGGCGACATCACCTTCATCCTGACCTCTCCGCTCCGCTCCCTAGACCAAGCAGACCGCTTCACCCCCGAGGAGCAAGAATCTCTCCGCGAGATACACTCGCACCTAGAACAGCACGGTGACGGCGTCAAGGATGTCTCTTTCGAAGTCGACTCCGTCGACGCCGTATATCAAGCGGCCGTGGCCAACGGCGCCAAGGTAGTATCTGCGCCGCGGAACCTCGAAGATAAGGACGGGTATGTGCGTGTCGCTACGATCCAGACGTACGGAGAAACGACACACACCCTCCTGGAACGGAAGTCATATCAGGGGGTGTTTTTGCCCGGGTATCGATATGAGAGTGGGGAGGAGGATCCCATTACGGCTTTCTTGCCTGGGGTCCATCTCAACCGGATTGATCATTGTGTGGGGAATCAGGACTGGGATGAGATGGATAAGATCTGCCAATAGTATGATCCCTCCATCCTGATTCATTATGTATGTTGCTAACTGTGGCAGTTACGAGAAAGCTCTCGGATTCCACCGCTTCTGGTCCGTCGACGATAAGCAGATCTGCACGTGGGTACCACCCCCTACTACATGGCAACCAAACTAACAGGAATATAGCGAATACTCCGCTCTAAAATCCATCGTGATGGCCTCTCCCAACGAGATCGTCAAAATGCCCATCAACGAGCCCGCGCACGGCAAGAAAAAGTCCCAGATTGAAGAATACGTCGACTTCTACAACGGCGCCGGTGTGCAGCACATCGCCCTCCTCACCGACGACATCATCCGGGATATCACCAACCTCAAGGCGCGCGGTGTCGAGTTCATCAAAGTCCCTGATACGTATTACGAGGATGTCAAGATCCGACTCAAGAAGACGGGTCTGGTTCTGCAGGAGGACTTTGAGACGATTCGGAGTCTGGATATTTTGATTGATTTTGATGAGGGGGGCTACCTCCTGCAGTTGTTTACTAAGGTATGTACTCCCTCCACCTCGTCCTAATGGATGGTGTTCATGCTGGTGCTAATGGGTATAGCATCTCATGGACCGTCCTACCGTCTTCATTGAAATCATCCAGCGTCACAACTTTGAAGGCTTCGGTGCTGGAAACTTCCGATCACTGTTCGAGGCGCTGGAGAGGGAGCAGGCGCTGCGTGGGAACCTGGTGTAATATCTAATGGCAAGGCAATTCTTCTCGTTTCAAGGGACGGTGTACGGCCTGGTTGCCACGTACATGATTGTCTTTCGTTCTGGATCTGATTGTTAGCAGTTATTCCCATGATGAGATAATGGCAGATACGTTCTCTTGCTTGTGTTGGTTTCACGTAATGCTTGCTTGATATTCATGGTAGTATGTTGTATGTTAATCACTACATTGCCACCCCAAGCACCAGTCTCGCGCTACATTTGTAACTATCCATTACTATCTACGAGTATAATGAACTTGCACCAATAACAGCTTCAAGACGACACATCAATCCCATACCTCGCATAATCAAACCTCTCCCTCCCCCAATACTCCCCCACCACATCAACATGCGGCACCCAAACCACCCTCATCCCGGCGCGTCTCCCCGCCTCCACCCCCACCACACTATCCTCAAACACCAAACATTCCTCGCGCAAAATCTCCCTCCCACCAGCCTCCCCCATGGCATCATTCACCGCCCGCAACGCCAGCACATAGATATCCGGCGCCGGTTTTCCCCCTCCCCTGGCCCAATCGGGGATCATCGCCTAGGATCTGACATTCAGGCGGGAAATAGTCGCTCAGTAGACGGTTCGTTTCCGGGCGTGAGATCTTCAGCGTATAGCTGGGCGTTTTTCGTGCTGGATGCTAGTGCTAGCGCGATGCCGTCACCCGGACGGCACTACGGGCCCGACGGAGGGTTTGAGAGAAGTTGTTCGGCGCCTGGCAGCGGGGTTACAAGTTTTGAAAAATCCCGTCGTAGTTGGTCCTGAGTTCGTGGGCGAATTGCTCCCGGGAGATACGAGCGGGTAAGTTGGCCCAGGCGTGGAATGTATCGCTGCTCGTCGAGTCTGGGATCCCCATGAGCTGGGCTCGGATGGAGGGGAGTAAATGCGGGTCGACCCTACTTGGCTAGGAGGTGGTCTTTTAGGAGAGGACTTACGTTGTCTTGGAGCGAGCCATGAGTGCGGTGGAAGGTGGGATCTGAGTCGGAGTCCGGTCGGGCTGGATACCTAGTAGATAGTACCTACACAGCGTCTATACCCTAGTCTGGTCTAGCGCAGTGCGCCCAGTGGGGGATGGGCTTGATGTTGACTTATAGATAGGAGATACAGGAAGAGCATTCGGATGGGGTAAAAGTAAACAAGGTAGCATGACATATGTTGAAACGGATTTCAAGTTGGATGGACTATGTAGGTTAATCGAAGGTGTACTCCGTACAATCTACAACCTGCTCAAATCCAGAGGCATGTCTCTAAATGTAGAGTAGGCTTAGCTTGGCGGAACTGCAACACTGGATTCTCTCAACAATGGATTCTGTGTACTGATAGAAAGGTGGTCATGACAACACCGTCCAGATTTTGGGCCGCTGCCTGTCCAGTCACGCAATCACAGGCAAGCCAGACCTCACTGCTGCACACGTAGGCAACAGGAGACAGGAAAATAAACCAATGCAAGCTCATTGGTAGTGCCCCAAAATCCTGGTCAATATATCAACATACCGCACTCACGCTAGCTGCAGCTTTTACTATCGATGTACGGAGTAGCGACACAGAAGAGGGGCGAGTAGCTAGCCGGATGCGGAAAGTACAATGTGGCAGATGTGTGGCAGTTCATATTATTTGATTACCTTTATAGTAAATCCATAACTAACTATTCAACATCCTCTGAATCATCAACTATGTATATCTGAGATAAGTTAATCTTATTGAGTTTTACGCCCGTACATATACACAAATAAACCACCTGAATAACAAGTAATCCGATATGGTGTAGTGGCTAACATCGCCGTCTCTCACACGGCAGCCGGGGGTTCGATTCCCCCTATCGGAGCTTACCATCCATTCCTTTCGGGAATAACTTCTCTTTTCTTTTTTGCTTTCTTTCTTTCTTTCTTTTTTTTTTCACTTACAGATTTCTGGTCATTACCTAAATTATTAATATTTGCTTAATTGAGAGGGGTCTTTGAGTTGTGTTGAGTGGGTTGCTCTTTGGTGATCAAGAGATGTGTTGTTGCAGAGTTGGGGCGGTTCGTTTTGATGGTAGGTTTGTTTGGTTCTGGTTGTGCTCTACAGCTTCTGGTACGTATTCGGGGTGATGGGGATATGATATGTATTGATCGCTTAGCTGGGATTGGGGGGTTGGGATTGCTGCAGAAGTTGATAATCGTTTATCGTTGATGACACGCCTACTTTTGGGCATTTACACTTCAAGCAATCAATGTAGATGATTCCGCGCGGGAATGATCAGTTTCATTATATATAGTATCTCATTTTTTCGAACTAGCACCACCTGGTGTTGTTCCTCCGCGGCGCTTATATTTGCGTGGATCTGAACAATCGTCAGTACATAAACAGCAGAAGTGGATAGGCATTCAGCATACCCTTTCGACTCATCAGCACCCTATTCCTCGTGCCCTTTCCACCCTCCCAGAAGCCGCTTCCGGCTTTCCCAATGAGGACTACGCGGCATATTCCGCAGTTCTCGGGGCGGTAGATTTGCTCTCGTGAGCAGAAGCCACTGCGAAGGTTAGGTTGCGTTACCATGTTTAGGATAGGAATACATACCAGATCATGCGGTTTGCATGCTCGTTGGGATGATCCTCAGCCGCGTCGTGGCATCTGTCTATATTAGCATTCGTTCAGAAATCGAATCATCATTTCATACTTATCACAAGGAAAGACCTTTGCACAGCAGCTGAATCGAAACCACCGATAACTCTTGCCATAATGTGTACAACGGCCGCGACGAGGCAGTTCTTGACCTGCAACGATACCGAGGAGTTCCTTGGGCTATGCAAATTAGCGAGACGAACAAAGTGATAGTATGTGTATTTACCTTCTTGCGTGGAGGAGCACGAAAGCGAGAGGAATCTATGGCCATCAGCATCTGTCAAGCTCTGTCAACTGGCGACTTACATGCTGCGGATCCCACTTTCAGGAACTTGACCTCGGGGATTTTCAGGACTGGTGTTGTCAGCATCCTGATTATGACTGAGGAATGCTAGATATACCCATCTTGCGGTGACATTGACGACAATTTGCCATGGCACTCTCGCCTCGAACGGCAACGACACCAGGTGCAGGAAACGCCGTGGAGCATTCCGCGCACGTCGGGATAAAGCTACTACAGGGTTGTTAGCATCTTTGAGCAATAGGCTAGAGGCATAGAATAGAAGCGTGTCATAGCCAACTTACCTAGGAAGAAGATCTACGACAGTACATCCATCCAGGTCAAGATAACCCGCCCGAGTGGAGCTAGGGTGCATAAGCTGTCGACGGAATCCTATTAAGCATGTCAGTCAGTAACTTAGAATCCACCACGGCATGTGACACTTACCAAGGCTCATGGTATTCGCGCATTTCTTGCACGTCTCAATCTTGGGAGACAGCTCATCGCTCTTGTCCTTGATCTGTGGAATGTTTCTGACATCGAGATATTCCTTGCACCTGTCGCACTTGACAGTGATATAGAGACCCACGAGTTCCAGAAGCTCAATCCCGTAGAGTTCCAAGAAAGGGAACGAGAGAGCGACTCCGCGCTCAGTTGTCGTAGGCTCCGGAAGATCTGGGACTGGGGCACCGCCGTCCTCCTCATCATCAGACAGCTCATCCTCAGATGCAGTGATATCCGTGTCATCAGTGCCACTGCTGTTATCGCCCACAGTCCACTCCGGGGGCCGCGGTACGACATGAACATGTGGCTTATCCTCCAACGGTGTTCCTTCCGCTTGGAATACCGGCTCACTGGGCACACTCGCAGGGAGCACAGGTGCAGGTGCAGGAGCTGGCTCAGCGGCTTTCAGCGGTGTCTTGGCGAAATTATGCATATTGCTCGTCAAGTAGTTGACTTGTGACATCAGGTTCAATTGCTTATTTCCTTCAACCCACTGCGAAAAGCCGGCTTCCACAGCTCTACCTTCAAGGCTATCAATACCCTGCAATTGTATCACACTTGGTTCAAGAGGATACAAACGAGGCACCAGGAGCTTCACCGACTTGACAGAGCGAACAGAAACGGGTAAACGATCAATCTTAGCCGGCTGGATGGGGATCACAAAGGACAGCCCATCACTGGACTTTTGGTACAGAGGCAGTCTCCCCAGTCGAGCGTCCAGTTGCTTCGTCTCGACTACTCTCCGTTTCTCCGCCTGAGCCTTCTCCTCCGCGGTGTAAACGGGAGCTGGAGGCTGGACAGTTGATTCCCGACTTGGGGCTTTTTTGTTTTCAGAGGACACAGCTAGAGCCCTCATATCCTGGGCTAGCTTCTGCTCGGCTTGCCCTTGACTGCCCATGTTGGGCACAAACTTCAATGTAGGGCCCCGTTCCGTAGTAGTGAGCAAGCGTTCCAGATGTCGATCAAGACTATTAATCCAACTGAGTAGAGTGGCACGACCACCACTCCTAATCGTGCTGTCGACAATATCATCGAAACCCCTCGACACATTCTCCTGAAACGCGCTGCCCATTTCAGGATTGGTGACTTTGATAGACGGCCGTCCTTGCGCAGGGTACGTCCGGGGAACATGCAGCACGCACTGAAGCTGATCCATCTCAAAGGGAAAGTCAGGATCGGATGGTGCCATTCCGAAAGTCAATGTGGTTCCATCATCATTGCTGGTTTCTGTCAGACGGAAGCGTCGTCTTAGCTGGTTGAGTTGGAACTCTCGGGGGTTCGAAGCTTCCGCCTTGGACACTGGTCGCTGACCGGCAGCAGGGCCAACGCTGGCAGAGCTTCCTGTTTGTGTGTTGCTCATGTTAAAATGCCTTAGCTGGAGTGGTAAAGGACGCTGGACAAGCTGGAGAACTATCTACATGGAAGCAGATGCGATCGGATGTATATTTGCGGCGGCGGGTGGAGCTCACGGGCCACTAGACCCAAAGCGGCAGTGACTTCATGGCGCTGAGTCAAGCTGGAGAAGATGCTCGACCTCATCACCATGAGTCATCATCCTGACTCAGTGACTCCAGTTGACTGTTCGACTTGTGGAGTAAACTGGAGAAAGCCAGAGTTATGCAAGCACAGCCCCAGACCAGTGGCAAAAGGGGCTGGTGAGAAGGAATCATGAGTGGGCCAATGACGGGCGAGCGTATTCAATACGATGGCAGCGATTGCCCCGGCCAGTTCTAGTCTCACGGCGGCCCCCGTGAGTGGCCAGTTCTTCAGTCGAATACCTGGTGCCTTGCGTGGTTCGATGCTTTATCCAGAGATCTCCCAGTGGTCTGACTCGGCTCAGGAACACCCTTGACTGTAGCCATCAATGATAGTGGGACGATGCAGGTGAGCAACAGGGGTAAGGTGCTGGGTGCGGTCCCTCATAGGCTAGGCACCCCTGGTGTTTACAGTAACTGGAGGCCATAATGAACAGAAAGCTGTCCTTGTCGTGACTTTTCCTTCACAACATCTTTCTCATCGCTGGTCCTGTCTCCTGCTACGGTCGCGTTCAAGATGGCGTCTCTGGCTGTCGTAGGCACCTACGCTGTCGTAGCGGCCCTCGTCGCGATCATCCTGAACGTCACCCATCAATTGCTCTTTCGCAACGAGAAAGAACCTCCGGTCGTGTTCCACTGGATTCCCTTCCTGGGTAACACCGTTAGCTATGGAATGGACCCCTATGCATTCTTCTTCTCTTGCAGACAGAAAGTCAGTCGTCGTTCACTGAGAGAACGATCATGTTGCTAACGATTGGTGAACAGTACGGCGACATCTTCACGTTTGTGCTCCTGGGCAAAAAGACCACCGTGTACCTGGGTGTCCAAGGAAACGAGTTCATCCTCAATGCCAAACTCAAGGACGTGAACGCGGAGGAGGTCTACAGTCCACTCACCACGCCGGTGTTCGGGTCCGACGTGGTCTACGATTGTCCCAACTCCAAGCTGATGGAACAAAAGAAGTTTATCAAGTTTGGTCTTACACAGGCGGCTCTCGAATCGCACGTTCAGCTGATCGAAAAGGAAACACTCGACTACCTCCGCGAATCCCCACGGTTCAGAGGCACGAGTGGAGTGGTTGATGTCCCCGGTGCCATGGCGGAGATTACAATTTATACGGCGGGTCGCGCGTTGCAGGGTGAGGAGGTCCGCAAGAAGCTTACCGCTGAGTTCGCTGAGCTGTATCACGACCTGGATAAAGGATTCAGTCCGATCAACTTCATGCTTCCGTGGGCTCCGTTGCCACACAACCGGAAGCGCGATGCGGCTCATGCCCGGATGAGGGAGATCTACACCGACATCATCAAGGAAAGGCGCCGGAACCCGGATGAGGAAAAGTCGGACATGATCTGGAACCTGATGCACTGCACGTACAAGAATGGACAGCCGGTTCCGGACAAGGAGATCGCCCACATGATGATCACGCTGTTGATGGCCGGACAACACTCGTCTTCCTCCATTAGTTCCTGGACCATGCTGCGCTTGGCCTCGGAGCCTCAGATGCTGGAGGAGCTGTACCAAGAACAGCTGGCCAACCTCAGCCATAAAAATGGTGCCTTTGAACCGCTCCAGTACGAGGACCTTGACAAGCTGCCACTCCTTCAGAATGTCATCAAGGAAACGCTGCGTCTGCACTCATCCATCCATTCGATCATGCGCAAGGTGAAAAACCCAATGCCGGTGCCCGGCACCTCATACATCATCCCCGAGAGCCATGTGCTGCTCGCCTCCCCCGGTGTGACCGCCCTCAGTGACGAGTACTTCCCCAACGCAACCCGGTGGGATCCCCATCGTTGGGAGAACCAGCAGCCCGACAAGGAGGATGACGGCGAGATGGTTGATTACGGATACGGCAGTGTGTCTAAAGGCACTGCTAGCCCCTATCTGCCCTTCGGCGCTGGTCGCCACCGTTGCATCGGAGAGAAATTCGCCTACGTCAACCTGGGTGTCATTATCGCGACCATTGTGCGTCACATGAAGCTGTTCAACGTGGATGGTAGGAAGGGAGTGCCCGGAACGGATTACTCGACTCTCTTCTCCTGTCCCATGAAGCCGGCCGTGGTTGGCTGGGAGCGACGCTTCCCGGAGAGTTTCAAGGAGTTTTTGAACTGAAGCCCGCCTTGGGGTCACCTTGTCTCGGGTCTTTCACAACTATGTACCTTGTAATGAGCGTTTGTATGATTTAAGTCTTCACTTACTAGCCAATGAGACATGGCGCCGACTAGGCAGCATCAAGTTCCATCCGAGCTCTAGCCGTGATCGCAGGAAACCGAGGTAGACAAACACGTGAGAGCTAACGACAGCAATAGTAATCGTGTTCTCGTTTCACCTGTGAGACTGATCAATCCATCCGACGAAGAATTTCCACGACGGACACCAGCATCAATACAGCCCCATGTACCAGAAAAACCACGTATACGAATACCACAATGGAAAGAAAGCCCCGAGATGAGACGGCCCCCGGTGGCGTCGACAAGCGATAGGTAGAACAATGACAATGGGACTAGATCATCTTGCCACAAAACCGAGAGGCATTTGACCTAGTGTTCCGCGGATGATGTCGAGACGCGACCGAGGCCTGGGTCATCCAGAACAGAGCTTGAGGCTGAGCGCCTGCCAACTCAGCGCCACCCGCGGGTGAGAGCCAACTATATCAAAATAAGGATATAACATGGGGCGTGTGACCATCAAAAGCTGCGGGCCGATGTGTCAGATCCAGGGGAGGGGACAAAGTAGGCACGAAGAAGGAATCGAGATCATGATGACATAAATCTCACGGACTGGGGGATAGCCGGTGATCGACAGGCCTGGACCTGGAATACGAAGCACGGAGGAAGCCTCCAGAACGGGATATGCAGTGTAGTATACCTAACGTAGGGACGGAGGCTCATGACGGATTGGGTCGGAGGGTGTGAAAGCTGACCTCATCGTCGAACACGACGGCAAAGGGCATCATCATCATCACCTCCCAGGATCAGAATCCAGTGACCGGGGGCATCGGGGACAAGGTATCCTGCTGTGTCTGGATCACGCGTGAGAGGAGAAAAATCTGGCAGGAGGGGGCGGGGATATTATCGTATAGATCGGCGGGAAAATCGCTAAGCAATATTAAAGAACCACTGAGTGATGACTTGTCAGCGCGTAATTCCGGGATTCCAGGAGCAAGGGTACACCCGAATGTGATCGCATTGCCAACGCAGAGATCTGGTGACCCGGCGATCGACAGTCGCCAGGTCCTGGCCAACCGGTGCTGGAGGGACAACGCAAGAGACAGGGCCGGTTTAGCACCTGCAGACATGGGAGCGAAGAAAGTACCTGAACCGGTTTGCAGGCGACCACGGATAGGAGGAGGAGGTTTCGTTGCTCTGGCCGCGGGGCGTACAAATGATGCTGACTGTTGCAGCGAGGCACGCCGCCATGTGACCACGTGATGCGGCATTCTGCTGCCTTCTATCGCAGCTGCTGGATACGGAGTTCGAGAGCCATCCTTCGTATGAGACTGGCAGATGATGATCATCGGGCATCGCGGGGAGAATCTGGGGCACATCGACCGGTGGATCTGTCAGAAGCTGCTGCTGCACTATCGCCTGTCGTTGACGGGAGACCTGTGTGATGTCTGGCTGCAACGTCTGACGTTGGCCTTAACATGCCAGTGCTTCTCTTTGCTTTTTCTCGCCCCGTTTTCCGGGGGCTCATTTGCGAGCATGTCCGCGGATATTCTTCACGGTCAACTATACCCGGAGTACACGGCAACCTACGCAGACAGAGACGGCCCCAATCAGACCGAACACCGGTTTCACGATAAGGACGATGCCAGTAGGTGAAACCATTACCTAAAGTACCAAGTCGGACTTCCCAGCATTGTATGGAAGGACCCAATATCAGTCTTCCGGTAGAGTTTTGCCTAACAGACCGAGACCACGCAGCTTGGTGGCTGTCCCCCTTCAGGAAGAAGAGTCAAACTTAATCGATCACACCGATACTTTCAGTGATTCTCATTGACTGGATCTGACCAGCGATATATGTCCGCCATGAACTTAAGCGGAGATGGGAGCCACAGATGATGCTATGATGATTCCAGATCAGGCAGGATAATTTCCCCATTGACGGAAACATCGGTTGCACGCCGCAGTCGACGTCGGGTCCTCCGGCTTGCATATGCAATATGATTATACCCCGGGAAATGATAGGCGTGGATATCCTGTTTATGGTGGACATTGGCCATGAAACAAATGATAGCCAGGTGCAACACTCCATCAGCCTGGAGAACCGTCAGCAACATGAGGATTGAATTTCCCGCCTGGTAAAGCCATAGGGCAGGCAGGCAGGCAGGCCGGCCGGGCAGGGCAAAAGGGGTCCAGCCCGTCAGCAAGCGAGGGGTACAACACAAGTACCTTTGTACGTAAACGAGGCCATCGATACCGAACCAAACCTCTTCGAAACCCGGCAATACCACTAACCCCGCAGAGGGACATCCCGATCGCGATTGGCAGTGAGGCCTCACGGCACTTGTGCCACCCTGGCCCGTGACATTAATTTACCCCCTCCCTATCGGATTCCTGATTCTTCAGGCCAGCCATGACTCCAACCCGAGCCGGGCGTACATTTGTCTGTGCCACCGGGACCAAAGGGGATAAAGTATTACCGGGAAGGGAGAAAAAAGCCTCACTACTAAGGAAGAGTCCCCAACTTCCCCGCCAAATCATCCGTCGTGACTAGCCCCTCCCCGCGCCTCCTTCTCACTAAGTAAGCGCACAGGGCTTTGCGTGGTCTGATTCGCAGGTGGCTTTTGCAATTAGGGACGAATCGAGTAAGTTGAGCCCGGAGGAATGTAACTGGACCCACTGACGAGAATATTCAGGAGCGCGAGTTGACCTAATTTGGGTGATACCGTGATACAGCCAGCTCGGCTGAATAGCACGGCACTGCTATGTGCAATTAGTACTCTGTAGTAGCTGTACATTACCAACTTCGAGGTACAGATGTTGATCTGGACTAAACTCGGGCACGGTTGATCTACAGCTGGTCGTATTGGAGCAGATCAAGCAATATTTGACTTTCAGGATGTAAAGCATCGAGGATGGTCCGACAAGCTGAGGCAACCAGAAGACCCTTGATTGGTCGGGAGAGCTCTCGATCGAGGTACGCCGCACGCGAAAAGTCCTCACCATCATGTGACTCCTAGCTAGCGGACTAGACCCGAAAGGATCGTTTTCCCGTGATTACTCCGTCCATACAACCCCGGCCATCAGCAGCAGTTCCCATCCAACAATCATCCATAGCCAATAAACACTCAATTATACCAGTTCAACCAAGCGACCCAGGGATTCAGGAAGCCCTAACACCAACCATTAATGCTGCACCCGCCGTTGCCTCCATCCTGCGGAATAGCGCGCAGATAATCCCGCATCCGACGGAATCTGGCCGCGCAAAGATACACACTAGCCGTGTCGGGCAAGGCAGATACAACTAGCGCGGGTTCGGGCGACCTTCGATGGACGATTCCATGTTGCCTCTAGCGGGGTTCTACGCATAGCATGAACTCAATCGGAGAGGAGTCCTCCGGACCGTACTGACGTTAAACGGTCTGATGAAGTAGGATTGGTGTCTGCCTCGCGACGCGGCCTGTTGCTATACTTGATGATATCTTTAGAACAGAACCCTTATGACGATGGCTAAGCCTGCAAGCCTCTACTGAGCGAGTTTGATCAATTTAATATAAGCCTGTTAGTGTTAAGCACCGTAACCGAAGTAACAAATGAAGATGAGCTCATGCAGCCACCAGCCACTAAACACAAGCTAACCGAATTCGAAGCGGTCTACACAATGCACAAAGGCATAGATGTCGACTCAGGTCAGGTGAACAACTATGTAATCAAAGGATGGCCGATCACAGACCCATCTGGACCGACCGGCCGACCGACCTACTCAGCAGCGAGCACACACTAAATCCTCCAAATCCTACACATCGCATCGCATCGGGCACCAATCTCCATCCATCTCAAATCCCACTCTATACCTCATAGGTAAAACACCCCTACCAGAACCCCCCCGGATTGGTCCAACCAGAACAAAAATCTGCTACTAGCCTACGGAGTACTATCTAGTAATACTAATTAATCGACGTCCGTGTACAATCCCAAACAAGCTAATTTAAATACCGACCACGGAGTACAGCCAAATTACATCCCCGCCAACCCCAACCAATCCAATACGCACACAAAACCACCCCCAAAAACCACCCCGTAAGATATGTATGTAATCACCAATACGCCGCATAAACCCGACGGTAAAGTATATTTATGCTCTCGCTCTCGTACCGCTCTTTCCTCAAACCAATGAAATCTGAATATGAAGGTTTAGCTTGGTAGGGTAGGGTGGGAAGGTAGCCCGGGTAGCCCGGACTTTACCTTTTCTAGAACACTTCTCGAAGGTTTGATTTGGTTTGGTTGGTTGGTTTGGGTTGGGTTCGGTCGGCGTCACGGGTGAATTTGAACGGAAACGTGGGTAGGGCCGAAGATTATCCATTCCAGTTACTAACTTACCACTTACCACACTTTGTTGGGTTTGGGATGGCGTGGCATAACGTGGCATGTGACATGCTGATTTTGCCTTTGCTTTCCATGTGGTTGTGGTGTGGTGTGGTTGCCGTTGGGTTTGATGGCAGTGATGATGGTGAGGAAAGTGGCTGATACAGGGTACGTAGGGTAGTTTCATGTGACTGATATCCTACTCCGTATGGAGTAGTCTGTATCGATCTCCAGATGTGAACTGGGGCCCGGTATTACACATTCCTAGTTTACTTCATCTGGCTAACTTTGAATCAGACAAATGCTTTATTTGTAAGACATACAATATTACTGATACGATCCACATTCTGTGCAGAGAATACTGTACACACTTCTCTGTACACAGCTTGAGTATATCGATCATTACGTAGTGTCTCTACGCTTGGACCCGAATCCGACCCGACCCCGGTCAGTGGCTGGTAGCCTGGTAGCCTGGTAGTGAGAAGTCCGAGGCTGCCTGCCGGGCAAGTGAAGTTCGGGATTTCCCCGATCAATCGGGCTGCATCTCAGCCTCCGCCTCCGTATTGTGTATAGCTAGGCTGAAACAGACTTTCCGCCACGTGATGGAAATGAAGTGGCAAAAAGTTACTCCATACTTACTAGCTGCTAACACAGCATTGTTCTAGACGTTGCTGCAAGTGCTGAGTCTAGATCACTGCTTTACACTTTGGCAGTGGGTGTATGGGTGGATGGGAAGTGAACACGTAGGTGCCTTCGATGGGGCACAAGAACGGTGAGAGAAGGAGAAGAATTTTCTCGGAAAATAAACAAGCAAATAGAGGTCTACTGCTCTCTAAACAAGGTTGTTCCGATGTACTTACCCACTTGCTGCGGTCTGCAGCGTGGCTAATGGTGTATGAAATGATGCTTCGGCATGCCGAGCTGCATTGGGGAACCGGGCCGGTCGGCGGTCGGCGGTCGGCGGCGGTCACCATCTTGCCTGGATTGCAGTGAGATTCAGGGCCTACTGCAGGTAGGGTTGGCGGGGAGGAATGAATGAACGAACGTAATCAATGAGGTCTAGAGGTCGAGGTGATGCAGTCTGGGAGGAATCGCTCCACTTCCAGCATCCAAACAGCGGCAGAAACAAGATTGGAGAGAGGAGATAGACGGACTGGACCGATTGAATACAACCTTCCCGAATCGAACACCCAGGGCCCTGTCATGGAGATACCGTGTCACGGTATAACACCTCACAGTACCGGTGAGGTTCACTGGGGTCCGGCGTCTACGAATCACTTGGCTGCCCGATCTCCAGGCCGACCCACGGGACCCGCCAAACAGACCGGTTCTGCTGAGATGACAGAAGGAGGAGGGGACGCAGCTGACAAAACCTCTCGCTCACCCCGACTTTCTGCAGGGGCAGTAAACTCTTTCGGGCCAAGTTCCCCTCAGCCGCCTGCGCTGGTGTCGGGGTTGGATCCACCGCCCTGGTCTGGGTGTTTGGGAGAACCACGGGCTGCTGCTCCACGTTTTCGGGCAGAGTCGGACGTCAGAGTTTGCCCTTGACTCAGTTCTTGTCATTGGTGCAGTCCTCGGGAGATTCAGGGAGAAATTGTGGAGCAAATCAGGAGGAGGGTTTTTGCGTGTTTTGTTTTTCCTCTTTTACCTTTCGCCCATAGATCCTTGTGCTGCTTGGCTTTTCGCAGGTTTAATTAGGTTGCGACAATGGGGGTCACCATGTGCCCGGCTCTCAGTACTAAGACTAGTCCTCCGCTAAACAATTCAAGCATGCCGCGGTCGAGACTGAACGGATCACAGCGTTCCGAGGATTCGGGGGTCGAATGCAACATCTTCTCCGGTTTTCTGGAGTAGCCGGTTACGTCATGGGGGTTGAAGCAATCAAGATGTCAGTGCGCACGAGACCAGGGCCAATGCATCCATCTTATACCGAACTTTATACGGGGATTAGTCTGCTATCCCGCCGGCATATGTAGCTCTGATGTATCCTTCCGCCACCAGAGGACAGCTCACACCCCTCAATCGACAGATCACAATCCGGAAACCCTAGATAGGTAGATAGACTTCGAACCCCAGCTCCAGCACATCTGCAAGGTGGGTGCAGATGACCTGCGTATTTCCAACGGGACTGGGCGACCCCCCCCCGAGATACGGCCAGCTTGCATCCTCTTCACGGGAGTCTAGAACAGGCAGGCGAAGCTGTGGAAGACGACAGTTTTGCACCCCGGCAAAGCTGATGCGAGCTGATCCCTGGGGATATCTTCCGCAGTACACCGAAGGATGAAGCCAGGTCGCACGGATTGCCAGCATCGCTTTGGTACCCCAGACCGTGGATGACATCCACTCTCGGATCATTATGCTTAAACGGACACGCCCACCACATGACAACCAGACCGCAGACAGCGACAGTTGACAGTGACAGTTGCCAAAGACATCCTGACTAAGCGATTCATCGAGCGTGACGCGCTGCATCATCAAGTCTCTGACGCAAAGCCGACCATCTCCAGGTGTAGCGACCGATATACTTTGGAGTCACCATCCTGATCTGCATGGGCTGGAGCTAGATCGCGTGGACAGCGCGATATCGCGGGCGATGATGTTATCTGGCATTGTTGACCCAGGCATGATGTGAACCAGATGCGACCCTGGGTAATCCGACCGGTTCGGTCGGCTCTGTCCCCGTCATACCTGAAGTTAACTGGCAGGACACTTCATCAATTGTTGGCCAGGTAGGACAGGGGGGAAGGGGGGTGGGGGACCGACGCTGCGGTGGACTCGAGACTGATTGGAAGGAGGAAGTTCCTCTACCTTTTGAAGCTGGAGACTGCTCCAAACTGCTCCAATGTGATGGAGTTCCCTTCTTTGTTGTCCCCGATCGAAACCTCCGATGGAGGGAGGCCAATATCGAGGGTGCATGTGAATGGGATCAGTGCGAGATTCTAGATCGCAACAGGTACTCGCGCCCGGGCTGGTCGAAGGGAAGCTGGACCGGTGGCTCTGCCCCCCTTCTCTTCCCTGCTCTGTTAGACTGTTACGTGTCAGTGCGCCCCCAGCCAGGCTCGGCCGGGATGAGCGCCGTCCCTCTCTTGCTGCATCGCGTCACCACTGGTTCGATCAAGGCAGAACTTCCGGTCCTATCCAAAACGGTGTCTTCATTTATATAATGCAATATTCTTTTGGGGGTAATATATAGCAAGAGTCCAAACACGGAAAGAGAATAGAAACATCACCATCTCACAGTAGCATACAGGTGAAGGACCGCGAATAAGTGGTATCTGGTATCAAGAAGAGCTAAACTGGCTGTTCCCAAGATGCAAGTTTGCAATGTTTTCGGCCGCTCCAAAATCATCAAACGCAGGCGGTCCGCCCTCCCCGTCTCTTTTGGTACTATGTCCACCCGGAGGAACAATCCAACAAGAGTCAACAAAAAGCCCCTGCCCAAATGTGCCCGTGTCACCCATGCCTCCCCAGACAAGTGCAAAGAAATCATCTGTACAACGGAATTAATGGTGTAAAAGAGGCTTGGTCCCTCCCGTGGCTCGTATATAATGACAGCAGACCGCCACACAAATGCAATGTTGAAGATGGGGTAGGAAAGATGAGAAAAGAAACAAAACAATGACCCGAAATCGAAATTAGGTCGGAAATAACAGCCATATGATGATCCCTAGGTGCGCCAATATGCAATGCAGTCGTGATTGTACGTGTCACAAGGATGATAATCAATCGGCGGTCTTTACATGTTTTGGAAGGGGAAAAACAAAACCAAGGAAATAGCCAATCGACGATCGGGTATCATGGTCAATAAACATTACCCATCCGGATGAGAGGACATGCTTTGACGCAGATAATGAGAAGAGGAGGAGAAAAGACAAGGGCTGGGCTTCTACCACCCCTTCACGTGGTATTCCCAAGGCCCAAAGTCGGTGTAGTGGTTCCAGGAACCCGTCTTGTCCTTGCCCTGACTCGTAGCCTTGGTAGTAGCACCACCGGCCTGCCCGGATGGCTGGCCCTTCTGGCCCTTCGGTCCAGGGTATTCCTGCAGATTGGCCATATCATGCGCGGTATGTCTGCGCTTGAGGAAGGCATTGGCGGTCGCACTCTTTTGTTGACGCTCCCACAACAAGTGGCGTCGGAGAGACTCCGTCAGCTCCGTAGCCAGCATGTTGCGGCGAGTCGTCCGTGGGGAGTGAGCGACAGACTGCGGGGTGGGCTTCATGATAATCGGCTTTGAGCGAGGGACATCGGGGCCGCGCATCGTCAGGTTCTCGTCATCATCCTCAGGGGGGGATGCAGGGATCGAGGGACCATTGGGCGACGTGAGGCGCGAGCGCTGGAGGGCGGGACTAGACCGGGATGGGTGACCCATCTTCGTGGGCTGATGCATCATCATAGTAAGAAGAGAGCGTCGCGAGACGAGGTTGGGCCGGGAATCCACACGCTGGAAGAGCTCCTTCTCCTCCACGCTGGATCGGCCACTCTCCGTGATCGAGTCCTCCCAATCGGAGTCCGAATCTTCGATGGCACTCTCGGAAACTTCATCTTCTGTCTCAACGGCATCCTCATTATCGATCATGCCCTCGCGAATAGGCTTAATCACCTCATCATGGTCCCTGAACGAGGCCACCTTCTTCCTGAGGTTCTGGTTGCTGGCGGAAGGCTTGCTCAATTCATCCGAAAGAGAACTGCGGTGCGGCCCTTGCATGGCCATGCGATCCTCGAAGGAGCTTTCGTCGTCATCACCAGATGAGCCTCCGAGAGTGAACATGCCGCCCTTCTTCTTGAAGGGGGAGGGTTTGAGCTGTGCAGTCGATTTGGCCGGTCCAGGCTCGGCGGCCAGTCGCGGCTGCGACCGATAGGAAGACGAGATGACAGAGGGGGAAAACCCGCGGACAATGCTTGGCGACTTGATCAGTTCGCATCGGCCAGGAAGGATGCCGGAAGAAGAAACGCTAGTATCGGAACCGGTGCTATTGCCGTTGTTGTCGCTATCATTGCCCTCGGGCGCGGTGGTCGAGCAAGACTCAGTCGATTGATTCGGTTGCTGGCTCAGGGGAAATGGAGGCGGGGATGGCGTCCGCCTTGCAGTAGAGACAGATGGAGGAGTGGCGGGAGAAGGGGTGGAGGGACGTGGCGTGATATCGACGATAGGGGCGTCGACTGTCTCCATGACGGAGGAGAGCGGTTCGAGCTGCTTCTTCTCTTTAATGTTGAGCACCATCCGTTCTAGACCAAGAGACGTGATGTGCTTCTCCTTTCCACGGGCGAGGCTGGATAGTGAATCCTCACGGACCACCGCCGGCTTGTAGTCCAAGCATCTCGGACGCTTGATGTGGTGTTCAATGCGCTCTGCCTGCTCCGACGCCGCCGATTCAACGCTAGCGGAAAGTTCGGGCAAATCCCCAGCTTCGGAACGGAGAAGTGGCAAGGCCGATGCATCGTTGGAGGTCTCAGGCTCCACACAGAAGGTCTCACGTGTCCATAGTCTCCAGCTCAGGTTTTCCAGGCGGCGGCCTTCCTCCATGTAGTCGGCACATTTCGAAAACACTATTCCGGAGATTCAATGTCAGCCACCAGACGCGACTGATATCCGCAACAGCCACGATGCACTTACCCATCCACATCCCATGGAGACTCTGCGCATTGGCTGTGTCAACCTTGTGGATCTTGGCTGTGTCCACTGTCAGGACGGGGTGAGAAAAACGCGAAGCCATTGTAACGACGCCACAATTTCGAAAATCTGGAAGCTCCCCAAGCAATTCTGTCCCTCGTAAAGGTGTAGTTTCGGGGTCGCCGTCTCCCCCGAGCGTGGTCGTGCGGCGCGAAATGTTGCGAGATAGGCCTCTTCGATCCTTTGGTGTTACTGAGAGCGACACCTCCAAGTCAGGATTCTGCACCGTGCTGCAGAAGGTCGATTGAATCGAAAATGGCGCCCAAGCTGCCCGTTGAGTGCAGCAGGTGTCGAGTTTAACAATTGGTGTGCCAGAGAGGATGTCGTGTGGCGCAACACAAACGAGCCGCGGAAGGTCGATTGGTCGATGTCGGTCACGTAGTTAGGTCCTTCACCCTTCCGATATTACCTATCCAAGAGAAAAACGACCGAAAGCGACGAACGGTCGGGGAGGATGAGATTGAACGAAGGTCAGGCGTATGGCGCGAAGTATGTAGAGACGGCCGGTTCGGGGAACGAGGTGGGTGTACGGGAGAGGATTGAGGTTGACGGGCGAGAGGAATGAGCGAAGAGGGAAAAGAGGGAAGGGAAAAAATCGACCGGGAATATGGGGGAGGAGAACCTTAGTATGGCTGGTGGAGCGGACGAAGAAAGAGGAAAAGGGAAGATAGTTAACGGACGGGTCAGTGGAGATTTGGGGGGGATGCGAGTGGGAGCGCCGTCCGGTATGAGCTGGTAACGGTACAAGGGGAAAAGAGGCAGAAATGGGAATTCGACGGTGGCCACAGAAAAGTCCGACGAGAGTACGTACCGAGGGAGAGGTACTGGGGATGGCGGTAAGTACAAGGAGGGATCCTAGCCGCGCCTCCTCCCCATCCGTGGTCCCGGTCGCTGTGTGATTAATCTTGGGAAATGGGAATATTTTCGCGTTCTTTTTTTTTCGGCTTCGATTTTAATTTTTTTTTCTAATTTCCCCTTTCGTAATAGTACATCCGGAGTACCCCCGTGGGTCTGATGGTATTTTATACTTGGTCATAACATTGGTAATATTACCGGTCTGTTTCCGGAGTCCCACCCTGCGACAAAGTACGGAACTTGTATTGAAGAACAATACTAGTATATGGAGTAGTCGTGACTCTGCTAAACCCAGTAGGGCGAGTTATACATCGGTGAATGCGGTGTCTTTTGTGATCCCCATCACCGCAACCAGAGGAGGGTCAACCCTGGATCTGGATAGATACATACGAACTGGGCATGGGCACCCCCAATGATCCCAATCCCCAATCCCCAAGGCCATCGGGTTGGGACCTGATGCCTATGCCTTGATTCACCCTGGCACTTGCTTCATCTCGGACCGGCAGGACGATGTATGCATCATCGACAAAGCAAAACCCCTGGAGTGACAACAGGGGGAAAGGAAACAGGAGAGAGTTCTAGACAAACATTCAAACAAAGATCAACCCGTCCTGTGACCACCTCCACGGCTGACTAAGAGCAAGGCATCTTTAGTTACAGTTCACCAGTCAATCGGTCGGGTCACTTGACTCCTCAAAAATGGGGCCCGAACGATTGGCCGAGGCGAAGTGTCGCTGATATCACTCCGCAACTTGTCAACTCGCCTAGCTGGCGTAGTAATCGGTTAATGATCACTACTATTGAAGACCTAGCGATATAGCCACTTCCATCATGCTTCCCAGCTTCCAGATCGCTGGCAACCTAGGCACCGTGCCTAATTTCTCGCCTCGTCAGGGGCATTGGACACTTCACCACCGACCGCTGGCCCTCGCCTGTCTGTCCTGCTGACTTGTGAACCCTCAATCGAGCTCGACCTGCTTTCGCCACGGACCTGGTTTCGGATGCATTCTACTTCTAGATATCCAAATGTGACCAAGAACCGTGGGTTTGACCTTCGACATTCTGGACACTTCCTCAAGCCACGTTCTTGTTCCCTGTCTTTGGACATCAACATCGAACCTAGACTACCCGATCGGTCCTGAAACCGGGCATTCCGGCACTTGACCTCATCCAATTTATCGGCCCTGATCCCATTAGGCTCAAGGGTGGTTTCGAACTCTGTCTCTACCTCCGTCCGTATGATATGTCGACGTGTATGGCTCGACCATCCCGGCTGAAATGGCCTGAGCACCCCCATCTTCCTTACTGCTCCTTCGTATTAGCCGGTGGTGGTATGTACCATCAAAAAATGCCCCAGACGGAGTCGCATACCGGGGAAAGAGCACAGCGGTTCCGATCTGGTTGATCGTCTCACCTACATAGCTGTTATAAATTTGATGCGCCCATTCAGGTCTGCAACAGTTATGAATGTGTCTATCCTGGGTCGCAGGCAATGCCGTGTTCTCTAGAAGTATAGAGCCCCCATATCCAATCGACTATGTATCCCTGGCGAATACCAGTCTCGGGTCGTTTGGTATACCCTGAGTAGTCGTGGTGGCCCATTCCTTCCCCCAGCTATAGTCACACGGCGACAAGCCTGCCAGCTGTCATCCTCAGCGAAGAATGGTGCTGCACCAGATGTACGATACCGCCGGTCGTTCACAGGGAGTTGGGTTGATTACCCGCCTGTTCGGTTTAGCCCTTCCCACCCCCCCTTTTTTTTCCTGTCACGGGGCCTTGAAAAATCTTCCAAGCGCCCCGTTGAGAATAATAATACTATCAATAATAGACTAAAACGCCACACTTGATCCTTCATCGCGGATCCCCGGATGAGTGGCTCGGGGAACTGGGATTGAGAAGATCCGCCCGATTCACTATCATCACTGCCCTTTTGGCATTGACAGCGACTCTTCCCAGCCGTCAGCCCACGTTTTGCAATCATGTGATGTTCCACGTCAAGGTCTAGGTCTAGGTCTGCGAACACCTGATGGATGAGTTGTAAGCTGTTGTTTCATCTTCGGAACAAAACCTATCATCTGCTGAATTGTTGCTTCACCAAGGCGGGGCTGTCTGTTGGCGTATATTGCTTTTCCATCTCTCACGCCCCCCCGGGTTTTCTCCGAAGTACACATCACGGATCGAAAATATGAGAAGGGAAAGAAAGACTCGAGGGGCTGGATGTGGAGGGTGGTGACCATGCCGGCTTATTGGGGCCCAAAGAGAATCTAAGCCTCACAAGGCCCTGTCGAGTAGCGACGTTGAATGATCTGCAAGGCGGTTCACATTGTGGTCACTTGGTCGGATAGAAACATCCGCGGGATACACCGTAGCATGGAAGATGCGGTCGTCGTTCGCGCAAATCTCGCTCTATCGCGAAGTGGATGGCCCAGGTAAACCCCGCAATTATATAATGTTGCCGTACTAGGCAGGCGCTATTGACTACATCGGTTCGGACCTCACGATCGGCAGTTGTCAAAGCAAAGCTCAACAGCTAATAATTGAGCCCACCCACGCCTTTCATGCAGATTTGATGCAGACAATACTGAAGGGCAGCATTATCTCCTAGGCACCAGGGCTCTGTTGGCAGGGAGAATCAGGGAACCCGCCAACATGGTGAGCTTATCCGCCTCGCTTGCAGCTGGGGGCGGGCACTCCGCTCACCATGATCCAAGTGCTCAGCTGCCATCTTTCATGCATATAGTCGTTCCACAGTGATGCTGGAGGGAGCCACGTAGCGGCGCCATAACCCACTCGACCCCCTCCGATTCATCAGGCGTACCTCTGGCAGGGTCTTCCAGGAAGAGAGAACGCGATGGGCGCCTTTCCAGAAATTTACGGTGTACATTCTTGGTACATTGGCCGGTTAGGCTTATGGCAGTCATCCCGACGGATGGGAAACACTCCATACTCTCCGTGTTGTGGACTCTATCCAGGCAAACTCCCCGGATGATGTATGAGGGACACCTGTACATGAGATCCCGCTATCCCATGATCTCCTACGCGGGGAGGGCTTGCAAACCCAGGGCATCGACCAGCGGTCTGTCGTCAATTGGTCGTCATAGTTCGAGATGACCTCGATTGCCGGGTGAACCCGTCAGGAGCTGAGGAGAGCATCCGGGGGCTCCAGGGTTGATGATTGAAGGAACACACAGCGGAGGGCAAGAAAAAAGCAATCCGTCGCGACTGGAGAGCTGACGTCCATGGCGGCGGAAAGTTGCCGAGGGTCAACGGCAACTGCTGGTAGAACAGGCAGAGGCGACTATTGTTCCGTGGCGTCCTCCATGGAAACGAGTCGATGCAGATGCCTACGCAGCTCTCGCGACGGTGGAGGGATTTTACCTCATCCGGGCCCCTTAACGTGGGGGCAAACCGAACCAAAACGAACAAACCCCCCCAGTGGCGAAGCCGACCCCAAGTCACAAGACAGCTCCTCCGTCACATGATGTGGGGTCGTCCCGCGGCATTAACGCGCCACCGGCCGCGGCTGAAGGGATTCCATGTCTCTAGTCGGTCTGGCTGTCTACCCCGAGTTGATCCTTTTCTCAAGCACGCGCAAATCGGAGCGTATTGAATAGGGTCATCTATACGATGGCGACTCTTCCGTCATTGCCGACTGCTCTTCTGACCTGACCTGCGCAGGATGCACTATGGTCGATGGCTGACGAGAATCCACTAGAAACCAACGGTGGGGGGAAGGTCTTGGAACGCTACTGGAGACAGCTGCATCACGTCAAACAGCGGCTAAGAAGCCCAGGATAAGGGACCATGCATCCTCCACTGCAGCTCTCAGACAAAGAATGATAGACAGCAGCTGCCGCTGTGTCTCACGGAGCACTCCCGCCCGACCATAAGTCACCACAGACGTCCGACCGGGCGTGCAGCCTGGCAAGAATAGGAACCGTGATGTTGTACCATGTGCACAGCATCCATACCTATTACCTTTACGGGCTATCTGCCATTCCTTTGTTGGGACTGAGTCAAGCAGGGCTTCAGCCAGGAACACCGTGACATCCACTGTAGATCATAGAACCGTCTGGATTTTGCAGACATCGATCCGAGTATGTGGCTGGTGCGATGAGCTGAGCTCAGGCACATCCGGACTAGTAGCAGTGCATTGACCGTCGATACTGTCTCATCGCAATGCCTTGGATCTGGGAAGATCAAGCGGACATTGAAGCATCCAAGAATGTCGCTACCATCACTTATTCAGTCGCATGAATTATTAGGTGTAAAAATAGCCTCACGATTGCGTACGTTGACTCAGTCTGACCCGAATCCAGCCCATGGAATCCAGCGCCATAATTGAGGTGTTCCTGACCTCCCACGTCCTGAAGTTCTTTATGCATAGCTTAAAGCTTGGGTTGCGCACGGATATCAACGCTCGGGATATGCACTGGGAAGGGATACAAGGGTCTGATAGGACGCTCGGGAATCACTCATCATTCGCCCAGCATTTTGGGTCGGTATCCAGAGGCGACAGTATCATCTCGGCCTCTTTCCATCAAGTTCCCCTGCGATTTTCTTTCGTTGCTTCCTGTGCTTGCGCCAAATGCCATCCGCAGGCCGTCGTACGTACCACCGTTCTCCTGAGCAGTCACATTCCATATTTTCCCCGGGCCGCATCCCCCGGCCAGCCAACCCATGAAGGATTCTCGCCATGTAACCAGGAAATCCACCACCAGGCACCGATAGCAAATCGACCGATTGAGAATCCGACCTTTGTTCGAGAACCGGACTAGCGGCTACCAGATCATGCAAATCCACCACTCGCTCTGACCTCCAGGGGATGGGTGGGTTCTCATGTATCTGCAAGGGTTACGCGGATCGCATTCAAGGATCTGAGGAACAGGAAACCAGCTGCTGCTCCGGGAAGCCTAATCCGGCACTGATGTGCTTTGCTCTTTTCCTCCCTTCCACTCGATAAACCTCAGATAAAACATAGCTCAAACTCTCATGCTGAAGATTACTATTCAAGAATGGTCGGGGTTTGGTCAACACGGGGCTCCTCCAGCTACTTGCTCGCTAACCTACCAGCCATCCACAATCCAATCCTCACCTGGGACACGTAATCAAGTTGTCTCGAGCCTTCATGCTGCAAGGAAGCCAAGCCTCTAGCTTCTAGCCACCTTATTACCTTTCTCTCCTACCTAGTCACCGAACTGAGTTCCAACTCGAACCCACAGACCCATCACTAAGGACAGTGATACACGTTCACGGAACTACCCCGGATTGATCGCCCCACGAACACTAACACCGTGTAATTGAGCTCAAGCTCCCACCCACCTACCCAGGTAAGGTAGGTAGGTAGCTAGCTAGCTCACCGTGCCCTACGATCGGTATGCACACCTATATTCCTGGAACCATTAATCTGGGAGATTCTTCCCGGCGAATGAGGCTGTCCTACATGGTGTGCCTCACCTACATAAATCACGCATCTGGATGAGGGTAAAATGCCCTGACCGTAGGTTCATCGCAGGGCGGGTTTCCTTAATGGTCTTAGTGATATGAATGGTAGTAATTTAACTATGGTTAATGTGCCCTTGATTTAGAGACATATACGGAGTACTAAGACACAATTAATCTAATGATACAGTAGATCACGACATGTACTCCATACTTTAATAAATATAAGTAAGTTAAATCACGCGAACTCATTTCCCCAGTACCTTAATAGATAGATAGTAAGTAGGCAACCAAAGCCACTTCCTCTACTTACCTCCTCTTGCATGTACTCCGTAGCTAGGATAGTAATTAGCTAATCCCCATCGCATCTGCATGTCACGGTATTTGGGTCAACAGGCATGTTCACAGATACCTGGTCTGGTTGGGATCGACCCACCGCTGATCTGAACCACTCCCATGCCCTATCCTTATTGTGTTGAACTGTACGGAGTACTCTGCACATTGATGAATGCGTACGTATAATCCACCTCTTTACATATGTACATGTCTACATATGTAAGTCACCATGTAGGTAGGTAGGTAGGTAGGTAGGTAGGTAGGTAGGTAGGTAGGTAGGTAGGTAGGTATCCATTACATGAACGCCCACCTAGCAAGCATGCAATCGGTACGGAGTACGTGCCATTGTCAGTGGTCTGCCTCCCTAACCACCTAACTGTCTGCCTTTCAATCTATCTATCTATTTATCTGGGCAAGTAGAAATTTCTTTGTGCAACGAGAACCTCACCCAACGTAGCATCCGGAAACCAGAATATTATTTAGTAATACCTACTCGACAAAAAAACCCTCGTGTCAGATGACATTAATTTTCCTTGCCTGGTTAGGTTACACGTTGGCTTATGCGGCTGTTGGGATTTGACTGGGGTGGTGGTGGTGGTGGTGGTGGTGGTCCAGTCCGGTCGCTGCAGGGTAGGAGTCATCGTGTGCATGGGTTTGGATTTGGAGGTTGGGATTCCGAGAGCGGATTCTGGACTTTGAGGGGCGTGGGCGTCATGTGTCTTGGGGATGAGTATGGGGATTGATGGTGTGGTCTAGGCTTGGGGCCAATGGGACTGATTGCTTTGTGTTGATGTTGTTGTGGTGGTGGTAATGGCGGTTGTTGTGGATAGGGACATGGCTGGCCCCGTAGGGCTCAGTAGCCACACACAGCTGGATCAGGGGTCTTCAATGTTACTAGTCCTTCATCTAGGTCTTACGTGCCATCTGGAGCCAAATATTGGCCTCAGCTCGATACGTCAGATTGGACAGTGTCAGAGATCATGAACACCCTTGTCATCTCGCAACAGGTCGAATCGGATAGCATCGTCAGCAGCAAAAGGGGCAGGCAGAGCAGTCGGTAAAGCGATGAGAACACCTCATCCGCCGTACGCTGAAACAAAGACACATCCGAGCCAACGTAGTACGAAGGCCTTGGTGGTTCAGAATTAGGCAGATCAGGCACCGATTGCGACTGTCGCATGACCCGGGGATATAAACTATCCCCGAGGCAGGCAGTAGAGTTGGGTTGACAGCCGCCATGTCCCATCCATGTGACTTGCGCCTCGGATATGTTTTCGAGCTAATCGGCGTAGTCGCGGGCGTCGTTTCATGTTTGAGGGGCTGTAGAGGCTATTGGTTAACTTTTGTTGATTTCAGACTAATAGCGATTGGTAGTTAGGTTTTGCTTTTTCTATTGGTTAGGTCCATGGATGTTTAGAGTGATGGACTAATCGGATCGCATCATCAAGGCGATAGGTATATCCCTGGTGATAAGGATGCATATCGTAAGAGCGCCAGAGGTTTGATCGGAGACTGCTGGCATCGAGATATCATCGTCAATCTCTAATGTATGGTACCTGACTTCGATGTAGTACTTTTGCCAGGCACCGTGTCGGATACGTGGAGAAACCGTACAACAAGACAATGAAACCGTCTGAAATACAGTAAATACTCCAGATACGAAACCCAACATACAGTAAGACTACAAACACCAGCGCAACAGAGGCACATACCAAAGGTGAACATCATCAGATGCTAGGATCACCTCCTGCAGTCGTGTGATGCTGACATCGCCCAGGTCCGAAGTAGCGGTATAGGAATGGCGCCCGAGATATCACTGCCAACATTGATGCAACGACAGGTGATTGCCCGGCAGTGTTGTAAGGCATCTCCCTGCAAACACGCCACGGCTCCTCGTTTGGCGCCTTGATCGTCCGTTGCTGTCATGAGAAAAAGGAAAGGATTCCGGCCAGGGCCCACGGGACGGAATCATGGTGGTCTTTGGCGCGAACGGAGGCCGGCCACGTCGTTGATCCTAGCCATGTGATGGCGGGTGGTGGTAACCGCGGCGGATTCTCTTCTGGCGCTGCGTGGACTTGCTTTTTCGGGTGCTCGCCGCTTTAACCGGGGAATGCCTCGCTGCATTATCTGAATGCGATCAGACCCTTGGATTTATGGTTATGCGCTTCAAGCAAGATATCCTGGTTGGGGGTCAGGATTTGGAGTCGACGAGAAGTCCCGTCGCTATAGACAAAGAAAGAGACGGTGTTTGGTATCCGCCCTCGAACCGTAATACGCTAGCCTTATTGTAGCTTATTCTAGGTATACTTTCATCAATACCATTCACAGTCACATGATAAACAGCGGTGACAGATGGTAGATCGAGTTCCTTTATCCCACACATCTCATCTACCTCTTGATCGCGGCTGCGACATGCGAGATGCTTCCAACGGAGATGTGGAGTCTATATCGAAACCATGGAAGCTCACTCCATGCAGAAAACCACATCAGTAAACGACACGCGTCCGAGCAATATATCGGAAGGAATGGTGAGTAACCAAATGCTGGTGTTGATCTTCTACAAAGAGTACACCGTATCCATGACACTGGGACTGAAGATCCTACAGTCTGACCATTCAATAGCGAAACCAGTATCAAGACACCGATCTTCGGACAGAATCAAATGCGTCTGCATCTCCCCCCGAGTCAGTCATGAGCGCAAGGGTGTTCCTTGCTCTTACCCACAGCCTGTTCAATGATGGGATGGGCCGGCTCGAGCCACCAGACGAGTGTAACCTCATTGATCTCCGATATACTTCGATCAAAATATGACTCGAAAGATGCCGCGCTTCTTTTTCTGTACACCGCAGAGCAGGAAACCGAAAGAAGTCATGGGACAACTGACGGGATTACACATTGAGTTGCTCAATCTCTTCGATATGATGAATGCTATATGCTGACTTTGCTCTGTGATTTCGAGGATTCCTTGCGGATGTGGATCATGACTCTCGCACAAGGCCATCGGGGCCCTTTCCTCCGCCCAAGAGGATCTGTTGAACAGAATAATTATACGAGGCGAACTACATGCAGATGCAGGCCGCTGTTGCACATCGATTGACATGGTTACTTGTTCGACTACGTTCACATGACAGTGTTCATTCCGAGAACAAGTGCTTCAATTCAGAGCTGAAGGTGATGAACAAGAGATCATCCTTCTGATGATGACCGCAGTCACGAGTGCGCGTCTGGGATGAGAATTTACAGACCCAAAGTCTGCAGTATTTGACTTATTGACTTGCTTCTTTTCATTTCGATATCGTCTTAACGAAATGGGAAGTGTTAAACTGTCCTATCCTCTGACAACTCGATAAAGACACTGGTCTCGGTACAACATCTACCAGCAATCTACATTATCCTTAATTTTGGGCTTCCGATAAAAACCCGCCTATGACAAGGCTGTTGTGGGGAATAAAAAGGCTTAAGCGCAGCTAAGTCGAGGGTGATGGGCTAGAACAAGACGGCTTCAGCGCTACGCCTTCGCCGTCGTCGCAAACAGTACAATGTGGAGTATACAAAGATCCCTGTCGGGCGGCTATTCCTGAGGTCATCTGAAGAGATCTCCCCACCGTTGTGCAGGGGTCTTTAGGCTTTTCCTCGGTAGGCAATCCGTGTCTATTGCAAGCTGGTCCTGGACAGGGACCCCGGGAAGTTGCACCGAAGATGGCTTGTCCGGTAAAACATCAGCTGCATAGTCACGGCTGAATAGGCGCGATCGGCTAGGCCTAGAAGTCAGATTTGCTTCTTCTCCAATGCATGGCTACGTTGCTATTTACGGGAGAGTTTCACTGCTGGTCATCTGAGCGAATGCATTGCATCGGGCTTACCATGCCTGTGCGCTATCGATCATATCCTCCGCCGATGGGCCGTGAGTGGATGTCGATGTCCAATATCGTCTGTCCGATTCTGAGCCGTCGACTAATGGGAATAACCTAGTCGCCGAACCAATGGAGGGCCGCCCTCCCCTCAGGTCTAGACGAGGCAGCCGAATAACAAGTGCATTATCACCGCTGATCAGACGACCGTCACCCGATCACTCACACCCTCCTTGGAAACCATTTCCACTCTTTCTGATTGCTCCTACCAGATCGGATAGCAGTTCGAAGCTATAAGGGGGTATAATTTGGGCTGATAAGGGAAGCGACCAATGCCATTCTCATTTCCCTTCTTTTTGCCGATCGTACTTTTATCACTCAATCACCGATCAAACCCATGCTGAGCTGTCAGCCCATCGTCGTCTCCTCTCCCGTCTCCATTATCCGTTGATCCACCCCTCCGTGTCTGAGCACACGTATAGCACATGGCCTTTTCGCAAGATCCGTTCCTCTCAACCTCACAGGTCACTTGGATGGCACATACGGACCGTCCCAGCCTCGATCCATCGATCCTCGGTGGGGATGGACCCGGTGATTCTGGACAGTTAACTAACAAAGATAACGGAAATTACCACCAGGAATGAGCGCATGGTCTGCCAATACGGTGCTCTGAAGGATATCCTCGAAAACGATTCGAAATGAATACCATTATAAGACATGCTAAATCATAGGACTTGGCTGCTGTCAGCTGCCCAATACAATCATAAATCATGGTCTTGCTAGATACAATACAACTCCAAAAGCATGAACTCCACCAACAATGCAAGAATGAGCTCAGTAGCTGGTGCACAAGGGCTGCACTCAAATTCGAGGCTGAGGCAAAGCGGTTTCTTGTTCTCCGATTATCGTTCCATTTGGCAATTTCAAACCGACTGGCAGCCCTCTGACAAACTTGCCGGTATATGGTAGGCCTTTCTGCTTAGCAGCGACTTCCTCAACATCCCTGTGCATATCATATCTGGCTGCATGTCAGCTCTATACGTGGAGAAGATGCAACAGAGCAACAATGGGCAACTTACGCGTTCATCTCTTCGATCGTCAGTTTCTTTTTCTCGTCCTCCACCTTGTATGTGGCTGTGTTGGTATTGCTGGAGAAGCCTGGGCGAATGAGTCAGAACCGATGCCTACATCGCTCACAGCTTGACCCAGGCATAACTTACCGATGCGCTCGTTGATGTTATATGCTGCCTTTGCGGAAGCTGCCTGGACCTTGGTGGCTCGGGGCAGTCGGACTTCCTGATAGATTGACAGCGCTTTGGCGACATCACCATCGAAGTGTGCTTTGCTGAAAACAATGCCCAGGGCAGCAGCATCTTCAATGGCCATGCAGGCACCCTGGCTCTGATGGGGCATCATCTGCATTCAACCATTAGTCAACCACTGACATCGTCGGATATAGATATGAGCGTACCGGGTGGCCTGCATCACCCAACAGGCAAACCATGTTTTTGACGATATAAGGGTATGGTTGACTGGTCAAATCTCATCAGCAAACGGGTTTCTCATCAAAGAACATGGATGGAAACCACAAGGTAAAGACTTACTGCACCCACAAACGCCACGGTCTGATCTCCTTACCAATGCCCAGATGCGAGAGGACCTGGCGATCAAGATGAGGGTAAGGCGCCAACAATTCCTCGACAGGACGGTCTTCGCCACCCCAAGTATGGCTCGCATAGTCTCCCATCTCGCGAGGGAAGAAGCAATAGTACGACAGCAAGCGACCGCCGTTGCAAGGCGAGAGCACGATCTTGTCCCACTTGCCCTCCTGGCCGCCCCAGTACTGTAGCGCACTGTCCTTGGAGTAGTCGACCAAGCCGAGTCGAACCGCCTCCTCCGTAGTCACATTCGCATGCAGACAGCTCGACGGCGCGGGCTTCCTTTCCGGATGAATACCAATGATCCCACGAACCGCCGAACCAATACCATCCGCACCAACAATCAAATCATGCTTGGCCGTCTCCCCATTCGCAAAGGTGATAACTCCGGCCTCCAGATCGATATCCTGACACTAAACAGCACCCATCAGCATCCCATCCACCCCCCCAAAAAAAGAAACAATCGAATATCACCAACCTGACAATTCACCCTCAACTTGACCGGCACCCCCACCCCCTCCTCCTGCATCGCACAATCCTTCAACATAGCATGCATATACTGCCGATGGAACATATTATAGACATACCCCCACCGTTCCTCATAATCCCCCAAATCATACACACTAACGGGTTCCCCCGTCTTCCAATCCCGATTAATCAACTTGCGTAGAACCACCGGATCCCCCTTCGCAACATCCACCCCCCATTCATGCAACCAGCGCGTTCCATTCGCCGCACATGAAATCGACGCCCCGACCTCCCCCACGAAATCATGTCGCTCGTACACCGTCACCTCGTGACCGGCCCGACGGAGCGAAATGGCTGCTGCCATGCCGCCGATTCCGCCACCCACGATACCGATGTTCAGGCGTCGCCAGGTGGGTGGTTCGAATGTGTTGTTCATGGTGGTCATCTTCTTCGGATATATACTCGATCACACTCGTCACAACCACGACAATCACAGCTGATATGTGTATAGTATATATATAATAAAGGAAATGTCTCAAACAACTGAAGATCCGATGAAAAGCAAAAATGACAGGCCTCGTGGCGCACCCACCCCTATTTAACTTCTCCTGCTGAGCTACTTACCCTCCATACGGAGTACTACAGGCCTATAACTCTGTTGCTCGTAAACGTCAGTCCCGTATCTTTGGGTCGGCATGGTTACATTCCCTGGGCGGGTGGGAGGCGGGCCGCGCACCTGAGGTGCGGTATCCGCCTAAGGGCGGATAGGGACGGTCTCCTTGCTGGGGGTTCCGCTTGGGGTTTCCTGGTTTGAGGGTATCGGGTGTGGAGGTGGTTGATTGATTGATTGATTGAGTTGATATGGTTTGTGATAAGGGGGTGATTGGTGGTGGTTATCGGGGTTTGGATTTGAGTTGGGTTATGGACATATTAATGGATGATAGGTTGCTGGATTTTAGATTTGAGGGGTGATTGGATGATGGGTGGCTTCGTGGATGAGATAGGTACTGGTACTGCTGATGATGACTTGGTGCGCTTTTTTGTTGTTATTGACTGGGTATCGAGTACGCTGTAAGAGTATTTAACCGTCTGAGACGAGACTGTCTCCTACGGACCCGATGAATGTCATTTCTGTCATTTCATGTTTCTATGTATCCGCCATGTTATCCATAGCTTCACCCAGACTGATTACCTGCAAGAACTATATGTAGTATCATCGATTCCGCATGACTGCAACGCCAGTGTGTCACTTTTAGCCATCGAAACAAAACCCTGTATACAAGAAATCTAGAATTCCTGATCATCATCGCCCGAAATGATGACGTTGTTGATCTGTCGCTGGTTAGCGGTGTCGGCATGACATGAAGCACGGGAACTCACCTTAAGGACCATACGGCAGAGCTGAGTAGCAAGCAACAGCTGCGACCGCTTTCCGATCAGGGGATCGATGGCAAAGTGCTCTCTCATATCTATAGAATCAATCAGCTGATGTCAAGTCGTACCAACCATATCACGTACCGTTGTTGCCAGTCATCATGCAGTCAACACCCAGACGGGAGTTGTTCTCCTTGACCTGGCGGGACTTGATCGAAGCCAGGGTCTCGATCGGGCTCAGGCCAGAGTTCTCGGCAAGCGCCATCGGGACGGCATCCAATGCATCAGCGAAAGCGCGCATGGCGTATTGTTCGATTCCGGGGCTCTGAAGAGTAGTCAGCACAAGTAAGGGTACGCCTTCAAAGGAGGTTCACGCACCTTGACGGCAGCATCCTCAACAGCAATGGAGCAAGCAATCTCAGCAGCACCACCACCATACACGACACGGTTGTCGCGGACGAGGTTACGCACAACGCAAAGAGCATCGTGAAGCGAACGCTTGGCTTCGTCGATGATCTAAAGAGAGTTAGAAGCCGGTAACATCATGGTAACATCGCTAAGCTCACCATCTTGTTGCTTCCGCGGACAAACACCGTCACAGCACGGCTGTTGGCGCACTCTTCAATGACGAGCATCTTCTCCCGCGTGGTACCGAAGGTCATCTCACGAACACGACCCGCGGTTCCGAGTTTCTCCGAGCTCAGGTCCTCGAAACGAGGAACAATACGACCGTTTGTGGCAATGGCAATCAGTTCGATCTCAGGGCCGCCGACCCAGCGAACGGCGGGGAGCTTGTTCTGGAGCAAGAGGTGGTTGGCCTCGTCGTCGAAACCCCACTGGCAGATGACCAGGTTGGCACCGGAATCCTTCAAGTGTTGGATCATTTCCGTGAACTTCTCCCGCTCATAGTCTTGCAACTTCTTGAACTCCTCAACTGACGTGATATCGAGCTTGTGCTTGGTCTTGGGCTTCGGGGGCTCGAACGGGCAGGTCAAGATTGCCAGCTTAGCATCCCGAACTTCGTCCGGCATCTGGGGGTGGGAGAAATCTTTATCGACAATGACACCCTTGACGAGGAGGGAGTCCTCAAGGGCACCTCCAACCTTTCCGTCGACCTTGATCAGCTCGAAGTCGACATCCTTGCGCTCCAGGTCAGCCACGGAGAGGACGGCATCGATGGCAATCTTCGCAAACTGGTCGTGAGACTTGGAGACACTGTCCGGTGGTCAGCAAAGGGAGGGCACGGTGGAAAGAGCAGAGCCCGCGTACATCTTGCTACCCAGACTGGTCTTGGCAACCTTCAGCAGGTTTGTGGTGTCATCTTTCGTGAAGGGGATCTCGTCACTGATCTTATCGAGTTGTGCAATGGCGATTTCGCAAGCCTGGTCGTATCCGTCGGCGATCCGGATAGGGTGGATACCCTTGTCGATGAGGTCGGACGCTTGTTCCAGCATGGCCGCGGCCAAGACGACGACACCGGTCGTTCCGTCGCCAATCTCTTCGTCCTGAGACTTGGACAGCTCGACAAGGAGCTTGGCAACGTTGTTCGTAATTTCCATCTTCCCAGAGTCAACAAGTCAGATATATCTCGGGTGTAGCTGCGGGGCGCAAAAGGACGAACCTGGCCGAGAATAGTAGCACCATCGTTGGTAACGGTAATATCGCCATCGGGGGAGATCAAGATTTTGTCGAGACCACGGGGACCCTAGAACTTCCTTAACGTCTGTTGATTCTGCCGGCCTGGGACGGTGCATACCAGGGAGGTCTTGACGATGTTGGCGACAGTCTTAGCAGCAACGATGTGCGCCTTCACAGCATCCGTGCCGTGGACTCTCTTCTTTTTCCCTTGACTGCGGGGGAGAACCATGTTAGCCGCCTGCCCTGAAAGAAACCGTCCGCTTGGTATGGGATGGGCGGGAAATCGAAACGTACTCCCTAACGACGATGAATGGCCGGCCCTGTTCATCTTTCATCACAGAAGCTGAAGTGGTTGTCAGCGAATCGAAGTCGAAAGCGAGAGCAATCTGAGACAGCGGAAGTTCCCACCTTGAGAGAGATCAAGCTCTGCAGAAGAGCCCCAGGAATGTTAGTATAGGTGAGTCCGAGTGAGGGGTATCCTGAAACATACGCATCGCCATTTTGACGGTCTGCCACCTGGCAGGAAGCCCACTTCAGAGACTCGGAGAGAAAGCCGGTAAGGGGCGCACAAGAGGAGTCAACGGAACAAGAAGACTCCGGCGAGAAGGGATCGGAGGGACGTGGGGAGACAGAGGACCAGACGGCGGAGGGACTTGGAGGCACAACTGCAATTCGAAATTCTGGAGACGACCAAAGCGGGCTAGTGAGCTGCTTTCCACATCGGGTATAGCGTGTTTTCCCGCCGCGCGCCTGCGCGACTCGGCATTTCGTCTGCGCCCAAAGGAACAGCGACATCAGCTCCCTCATTGTTATCTGTCACTGAGGTCCATTCCGCTGTCGGTCTCATTCTATTCGAACCATATCGTGGGGCCCCCTTCTCGCGATTCCCGCCAAGTTGTTTTCCCGACTATTTAGCCTCGCCTCCTTCAGGACAATGCCTCGTGAGTGATGGATCGACTCGTATCGCGCTGAGAGCGCACTCCAAGCTGACCCCGTCCCAGCCCCGGTTCCTGACATGTCCGACGATGAGTCAACTGGCGAGTCGATCCCGTATGATGATGCCCCGGAAGCGAAGCGGGAATCTGCTACACAGGATGATGACGAGGACGAGGACGAGGACGAGACGGCCGAGGAAGACGTGTGAGTTGGCGCAGAGGATACCTAGTCGCGAATCAGTATTGACTCGGGTAGATACACCGTCGAAAATATTGTGAGCCACAAATGGGCGAAGAATGTACGCACTTAGCTTCACGATTCCCTGCTCAATTGACCCGGAGGGCATGCGTGGGCTAATGACGGGGACAGGGCGATCTACTTTTCCATGTCAAGTGGCATGGTTACGACGATCCCGCTGATATGACCTTCGAGCCAGAAGAGAATCTGTATGCTAACCGGCGCGGCTCTGTACAGCTGGACTGATACTGATTGCTCGTGTTTAGAGACGGCGCGAAGGAAATAGTGGAGGAGTACTTCCGTAAGCTGGGAGGTCGCCCCGAGAAGCCACAAGCACAGCCAAAGAAGCGCAAGTCAATGGGCAGAACCCCCAAGTCAACGCCAGAGAAGATGCCCGAGCCGAAGAAACGGCGCAAGTCACGAGCCGAAACAGCCACGGAAACTCCAGACGAAGAGCGAATTGATGACAATGATGGAAATGAAAGTGATGGGACAAGCACATGGATGCCTAAGTCTCGAAATTGGGAGGGAGAAGTCGAGAGCGTCGAAACAATTATTCGCGAGCCTGGGACATCAAATCTGCTCGCGTTTCTGAATTGGAAGAATGGCAAGAAGTCGAAGGTGTCCATAGAGCTGTGCTACGACAAATGCCCGAAGAAGGTAAGATCTCCGGTGGTTGCGGTTGATTGTCAAGGCTAACGCGCATCAAGATGCTTGCATTTTATGAATCACACTTGTGAGTAATCCCCTTGATCATCTCAGAAACGTAATCTAATCTTTCGCGACAGGGTCTTCAAAGATGGTTGAAACACCAGATCAGTCAAGTTGGACCTGTCGGGTTTTTGGAGCCCGGAGGTCTCATTTATCATCTAATCCACAATAAGCTTACCTGCCGGATAGTGTTGGAGGAGTGCGCATATAGGGTGTTTGATGGAGTTCTTACCACCGGGTTTCATCTATCCAATATGTAAGATAATGTCCTTGAGCGACGGTCTTGACCTGGACTACGATCGGGGTCTTCTACAAAGAAGAACCGACAAAGGAAATCGATGGGGTTAGATCAGTAGCTCCAGGCCCCATGAGCCCGTTCACACCATTCCTTTTCTTTGGGTATCAATTCATTTTCCGGATTCACTCTCCTTATGTCTTTTCTTGGGCGTTCTAGTCTTCATGTACTTTAGCTCGCGTGCTTGAAATGTCCAAATTGCGGCAGTTCTATTCGTGGGTATCTACAAGACCAGCAGCTCTGGCCAAGCTAAGGTATTCCCATCGGGAATTGAAGACCTCGGAACCATGCTTCTCCATGACCCGTTGGATGCCTCTAGTCTCGTTTCCCTCCACACACTTGTCATCCTCAGGCGTCCACACCCCTGGCATATTTTCCGGTACGGGTTTCCCATCTACCAAGAAAGCCAGGACCTTGTCAGCTAAATGTGGATCCATACTAGTGCACCGCAACGCTTCGAGGACTTGTTCCTCACTGCTCGCCTTTCCAGTTCGGAGACGGTCATCAATCCATGTGTCAATATCCTCAGACACATCCCCCTCTGGCTCATCATCTGAAGGCAAGAAGGGAAGCTCTAAAAACAAGGGGTCTGGCTGAGAAGAATTGAGCTGCTTTTGAGATGGAGTTTCTGGTTCTGTAGGAACCTCACGCTGTCCTGTCTTTTGTTTTACAACGGTTGGTCTCTGGCCTTTGCGAGGTGTCGTGGGAGGTGGCATGCTCTGTGCTTTTGCAGCCTGGTTTGGCTGATCATTGGAGACAAAGGGGTCCGGAAGGTGGTTGTTGACGCTGATGGCCCTTCTCTTCGAGATTGGCTGGCTGGTTTTGTCAGCTCTACCTTGATCTGGCGAATCCGGTCCTGAAGGCCGCCTCCTTTTCCTTTCGTTTGCTTTGGCGGCAATAGATTCGGGCCCTCGGGGAGACCTTTCGCGAGACTCAGACCTAGGTGTAGGCTCCTCGTGGGATGCAGGTGGAGCCGTAGATGCCGGCATACCACCGGGCCTTGGGTGTCCCTTGAGTCTCTTCAGGTACCTATCTCGATAGGACTGGAAAGTGTGTCTGGGATGCTAATTGCACTGGCCCTTAGTTTGCTTCACTGTGATAGTTGATTTTAGGAGTCCAAAATACCTGTGCTGCTAGTTCCTGATAGATCTTATTGCCCCTAATAGACGCCCTTGGATTTCGCTCGTGAGGCTGCATCCAGTCCCAGAGTAATTGATCATCTTCAAGAGTATAGTAGACTTTATGACCTCTGGTGGGGATGTTAGTAGCCCCTACAGGGCGTGCTTCCGAAGGCCCGGCTCTATAGTTCTCTAGATCCTGCAACTCCCCTTTGCGATACGAGTCTTCGACAAATTTAAAAGAGTACCTGTAGCTTATGAGCAATGATCAGATGTCGAACGAACGCAAAAGTTCTTACGCGTCAGAAGGCAGGTTCTTCCTCTTGTGATCGACCAATTTTATGTCTGCATCTTTCTCGTGTAGCCGTACAGTGCCGCCGTTATTCCATAGACATATCAGCTTTCATATATTCTAGTAGTTCATGGAGTGGGGTACCTGAATAATTTCCTTGAACCAGTTCCTTTGGGGGATGTTGTGAGATAACCAAAATTGTTTCCCTTCGAAGAGATTTGTGATTGTTTTGGCAGCGCCGCCATCTCCTGCAGCGCTCGTCTCAGCCATCGCGCTATGAAATCGTTGGGCCTACAGTGAGAGTTCTGTCGATCTTCTGTGGCTATACAAATGCCGGCCGGTATTTAACAACACACAATCACGTGCTCACGTGTTCACGCGTCGATGAGGCAAAATAAGGCAAGAGTAAAGGGTAATTTAGAGTTTTTCAGAACACGAGTCCAGGGCCATGTAGTAGTGAGGGGTCTTCCCCATAGTATCACAAGTTAATGGCAGAATCCCGCGTACCTTCGGGAGACCACGAGCAAGACGCGCAGTAGTGACGCCCATTTCTTCCTATTTAGGAATGTATATCACGTGCCTGGTGCTCGTAAATAAATAGCCGGTGGATCCATGGACGGCAGCAGGCCAGACATGGCCATCGTGAGTGCAACCAGGCGCCAAAACCTGCCAACTACAATGATACCTCTTGTTTAAGTGGCGGAGCGGCACGGTATACTTATGTATCTGCCTAATATCTCACATCTGCAACACAACATAGCAGGGAAGGGCGGGCGACAGACTGACCTCTGATATCTCCGCTACGACCTGAAACCGCTACGATGGGAGCTCTGCGAACCATAGCGATTGTGATCCTGGGGATCTCTGGGTTTGTTTTTGTGGCTCTGTTTGGGCAACTCCCTGCGTTCCGGTAAGCTCAAGCATCCTGTTGTATGGACTATGACTGATACGTAGATGCTTGCTGTAGCAAAACTCCCATTGGCTGGCTTCATCGAGCTCTTTGGATTCACATCCCTAATGGGATAGCTTATCTTGACAATCGACTATTAAATGGTTGGCTTTTGTACTGCTGGAATCGCTCCGGCAGTTATATATTGCATGAGAACCATCCACTTATTCTTGTTCGTCATTTGTGAGGGCATTTTGAAGCTCTTCGCTGACGTCTTCTCAGATATTCTTTGCCTCGCTTATGGTGACAGGGCAGTGTATGTTTATCCCGAGTGCTTGGTCGAGGATCTCTACCGTCCAACATTTCTGGATTCCGATCATTGCTACAATGCCCTATGCGCTTTTGTATATGAGCGTCACGACCAAGTCATTCATCACCCCGAAGAATCATGCAATGGAACTAGAGCGCTATCCATATGATAGGGTCATCTTTCACCCAGGACAACGTTGCCGCACCTGTCATGTTATCAAGCCGGCTCGAAGTAAGCACTGCGGTATCTGCAAAGCATGTGTTTCACGACAAGACCATCACTGCGTTTGGCTCATGAACTGTGTTGGACTGCACAATTACCACTATTTTCTATCGATGATCTTGTCGCTATGTATCATGCTGATCTACGGCTCGTGTCTCGGGTACAGTCTGCTGTACCAGACCTACGATAAGCTGATACCATCAGACTCACTCTTACGAACGACCCGGCAAACTTGGACTGCTTTCTTCAATATATGGGCTGTAGTCGTCGCTGCCGATCTTCGGATCGGTGGGATCACCTTGCTGATGTCTATGACAGCCCCTCTAGCGGCCGCCTTTCTCGTATACCACACTTACCTCATCTGGGCTGGTATGACGACCAACGAGAGCTCCAAGTGGTCGGATTGGAAAGAAGAGGTTGCAGATGGCATGGCTTTCAAATCCACCAAGGTTGAGATTTACGGCACCTCGCCCCTGTTGGCTGAATATCAAAGTGTCCAATCGTCCTGGCCAGTAAGCAGTGAGCAGGTCCTCGTGCTCACGGATGGTGAGCCGCCAAAAGAAGGATGCCTGCTGTCCCCAGATTCCAACGAGATCAGCCAGCCGAGCGACAGAGACGCTCCCATCGATCGGAGGTGGGTTCAGGTGCAAAGCATGAGGGAGATTGACAACATCTACGACCTGGGATTTTGGAACAATCTGCGTCATGCCCTCGGCTTGAGTATCCGGCCGAAGGTGTCCTAGGTGTATACCTTCTCCCTCAATTAGATGTATATAGATCATGAAATCAAGACATGGCTTCATTCACTCCGGGCGGCGTGTGTAGTGTTACCCGAAAAGGCAGTTGGCGGGGCAGCCCCGGAGCCGGAAAAATTCCCGCTCAACCGCTCATGATTCTTTCTCCACCACGTCCCTCATTCCTACACCCCTCACCACAGTGCGCGGTTCACGCTTGACAGCTGCCCGGACTGCGGAGATCTGCAAGCGACGTCAGAATGGCCGACCGCACGGCAGCGGAGATCAAACCGAAATGCACCCCCGCGGAGCTCATGTTGAAGGTCATCCTGACGGGGACCTTGAGCCACTATGAAACCCGCGGGATGATTGACGACAAACGCCTAGAACACATGCTTTCTGCTGGGAAGCAAATTTTATACAAGACGCACCAGGAGAGTGATGTCAGGTACGGAGTGACTTTGCTTATCTCGAACGAGGCTCCCTCCACCGCCACTGCCTGCCCCTCATTTGAGGAAACTTCGTACTGACTACATTTCGCCTAATAGACATAATCTTGGCCTCTCTCCGGATATTTGGCAAGGTTTTACAGACGTACTGACGAAGGCGATCCCAGTCCTAGAGTCCCAATCATTTGCCTGGAAGAGCCCCCCGACGGCAAACTACGATCATTCCTCCTCCAATTTAATAGCCTACAATTATTTCTCGCTAGTCAAGGACATTGAGCGCCTAAATGATCTCTGTACCATCGCTCGGAACCTACTCGCTACCACGAAAAAGGCCCAGAACATGGCGGCGGAGAAAGGCTTCGATCAGCGGATCTTAGCTCTGGTAGATACCTGTGTTAGAGTAACCGCGCGCGGGTTTGACGGGGAAACAAATGCACGGAATGAAGAGCGCTGGCAAAAGGTCGTCAACCTTTACAAGCGCCTTCTCATCACCTGCCTGCAGTTTTTGCATAACTTCATCATGCACAACGAACAGCGCAAGATGGTCCTCTGGTTAGACTTGTTCGGATACCACTCCACTGGCGACTCCAACATCATCCAACCCCGGGAGCCCCTGGACCCGGCTTGCAATCAGCAGGAGGGAATGGCGCCAATCGTAAAGACCGGAGAGAGGATAGTAAACCCGCCGATAAGGGCCCTTTACGACCAAACCGCCGAAGATTTGCTCCTGGAGACCATTTCCAACTTCCCGCGAGAACCTGCGACCATTAAGGAAGAGGCAGCCATGCTACTCCTTGCTAACATCAAGGACCACATGGAGAAGCTTCTCGGACGCGATTTGACCGCCATTCAGGAAATGGGCAAGGACCCCGAACAAGTGAAGGAGATCCGCGCGGCACTGACTGCTATTCTCGGAGCCAAGGTGGATGGCTGGTCTGACCTTCAGGACCGAGCCAAGGACCTCCCACCTGCCTTGCCGGAAGACGAGCCGCCCCGTAAGAAGGCGATCGTCACGATTGACCGCAGTGCAACCGCTGGATTCCCACGGGTCTGCTGGACCGATCTTCCCGACCTCAGTGAATACGGAGCGCTCTCGGGCGGCGATGCGACTGTCATGGAGGAAGACATGAGCATGCCGCGCTCTGCACAGTCGGCCGCAGAAACACTGCAGGAGGCTAAAGACGAGCTGATGGCACGACTGCAGGAGAGCTCCCAGATTGCGGATGGTGACCAGGACTATGATACTGGAGATGCAGGCACGGTTGGCGACGACGATTCGCGCAGCTTGGAGGCCGTCGCGGATGGTAGTATGGAGGAGGAAGAGGAAGAGGACGACGAGGATGACGACGACTACCGAGGCCGACCAGGCGACCAGCAGCGGGGTCTGTTGACCGATATTCCGCTGGTGCTGGGTCCTGCGGAGATCGAAGCTCTGCCCATGATCATCCAGGCAGGTATTGTGGATAGTTTCGGATTGAAGGGCGGAGAGAGAAGTGGCTCGAGGAACATGCAGGCTCTCAGATGTCATATTCTACTTACCCAGGAGACGGGTCGGAATCTGCTTCGCGAGTTATTGATCTTCATCGCTGCCTGGGATCTCCCGGATGATGAACTCTACTTCAAGATGATGGTTCAGATCATGGATGCCGTTCTCAGAAACGGTCTCATGTCGCATGCTTATTCCGATTTTGGCCAGCCGAAGGACATCATCTCGCCTGCACAAGCGGTTGTCGTCAAGATCCTCACGCATATCTTCCGCGCTAAGTACTCTCCTGCATCGGTTACGGGGTCGACGCAGCCCAATGCGACCAAGAACCCGGCACCGCTTTCGCGGGTCGACATTCTTACTGTCCGGTACATCTTTACGATATTCCGCGGCAACATTATTCCCGAGACCTGCGCTTTGATCTATCTCCAGGGTCAGATCCGGGCCGGACGGGCTCTGCCCGAGGACTTCCCTCTGAACCTGTGGGACATGGAGCGGGTCTACGAAGGTGTCTACCAGTTCCTGGAGTTCTTCGCCGTGCTTACCGAAAACAACGACTGGAAGAATCTCTTGGTCAAATGGGAGATTGTCTATGACCTGGTGACGTTGATCAAGGAGCTCGAAGCTAGCATTCCCAAGGGCCAGCTGAGTTCTCTCGGGCTTGGACGTAACAGCCCATCCAAGGAACAGCCTCAGCTCACGGCCCCGGCACCGGTTGCCGTTGAACGGCCATACGACCCTGGCGACCCCGACCCTGTTGATGGTCCCGGGTCCCGGGCCGAATCCCCGCCGATCACCGAAGATCCGTCCGAGTTCGAATGGCGCAACCTCAAGAAGCTCGTGGTGCTTGTCCTGTCGTCTCTTGTCTGGAAGTGCCCGGAGGTCCAGGACCAGATCCGTCGCTACGGGGGTGTCGAGACCATCCTATCGTGCACTAACTTCGATGCGCACAACCCCTACATCAAGGAACACGCAGTGATGTGCCTGAAGTTCCTACTGGAGGGTAACCGCGAGAACCAGAAGATGGTGGAAGAGCTGGAAGCGCGGGAGGTAGTGAAGGATGAGGGGGGCGTTCTAGAACGGAGCGGACTGGAAGCCGTCATCGACAAGACTGGCAAACTGGCCATCCGAACCAAGGACGGACAGGAGAAGCGTTAGCTGAGCTTAAATGTACAGAGTATCACCGTAACTAAAAAAATGACGAGCAATGCACATGACCAAACCCTCCCTTCCATAATCAACAATCAATCCTATAATTCTTATTCCACTACTAACCCCACCCCCACAATAATCTAACCATACATCCCATCCCACTCCTCATCATCATCAACCACCGGCTTCCTCCTCGCCTCCGCCTTCTCCCTCTCCTGCTTGGCAAAATCCGTCCGATCAAGCGGACACGTACCCCGCAATCGCAACCACGGCCTCACACACTCCAAATCGAACAAATGCGTCGGATGACACGGCAACTGCACGACGAGCGGATACTGGTCCTCCAGGAATGGGTTGTTGCATATCGGGCAGATTTGGTCGGGTTTTAGGGTCGAGCGGGGGACGCGGTCGAGGACTGTTTTTCACCAAATGTTAGTATTCATTTCATAAGGAAAGGAGTAGGAGTAGGACTTGGTGTAGGACTCGTCGATCAAACCAAGTCCCTCAAGTAGGAAAAAACAGGGAAAGGGAGGGATAAAAACAAACCATCACAAAACTCCTCACTCACTCCCTCCACCTCCCTAGGCGGCATCTCCGCCGTCCTCAACAACGAAGAAATCATCTGCGCGAGTAGATCCTCCCCTTCATTCCCACTCCCACCCCCACTTCCTAATCCTAATCCTTCCCCATATCCCGTCGGGGGAATCGGATCCGAACTCCCCCTCCGCATCACATCCAACGCCTCAGCGAGGGAATAGAACGCGGCGCTGACGTCTCTGGGCACGGGGACGGCATGGGGACGGGTCCGGGCGTGTGCGTCTTCGGGGCTGATCTCGGAGAGGGTTGAGAAGAAGGTGGAGAGGTCGGGACGGCGGCGGCGGTGGGGGGCGGCGGTGGTGGTGGTGGTGGTGTTGTTATTACTGGTGGTAGGGGCGGAGGGGTCGGTGGTGTTGTGTTCCACTGTTTTAATTTGTCTGGTGTTAGTTTATGTTTGAGGGATAGGGAATGGGAAGGAGGCGGGGAGGAGTCTGGGCTTGCCTTCGTAGGTGGACATGGTGGTGGTGGTGGTGAGCTTGGTGCTGGCGCGGGGTTTGGGATGAATTGGGTGAGGGGTTGTTTGGGGGTGGTCGGGGTAAAGGGAAAACCCTTTAGGCGAGGAGTGATTGATAGAGCTGGATTGTTGGATTGAAAAACTGGTGAATAAGTAGTATCGGTCGGGTTGTGTCTGAGATGTAGAGACAGTTAAGTATGAGATGCGGAGGCAGCAGCCGATAACGCGTTTTGCGCTCGGCTGCGGAGAAATCCCCTCGGGCTTATCACGCAATAAGTTGACACATTCCTTCAGGAACAAATTGTAGATCTACCTAATCTCTACTAGTCTCATTCATTGGCATATGTGCAATTATTCATTGGTGGTGAATCTACCCCTGATACACGTACACGACACATGGCACTCCACGCATCCAGCTGGCGAGAGTCTAGCCTGGGATACCACACCAGATACAGCAATCCATGCACCATACATCGGGCAATCCACGTATCCGACGCAGATCAAACTCGATGCGGGATGTGGAATTCGACATCTCGCCAGGCTGGCAGCCCCCACGGCCTCGAGCAACCAGTCGACAAGTGTCAACTAATGCGCGGCAATCCTGCAATGCAGCAGCAACAACCCAAGTTTCACCGGAACAGAGCAGCGGCATCGTGAGTCTTCACTTGCACGGACCTGACATAAGCACCCGCTGCACCGGATTTATTTAAGGGTTGGAGCCCCCCCAGCTTTGACCCCAGAATATCGGCGCGGAGACAACCGCCCACGGTTCACTTCACCCTCTCAAATCCGAATCCCGTCCCCGTGTCTATGCATCGCAGCACGACTGTCCTCGCCAGTCCAAAGAAAACGGTTCCCACGCCGTTTCGCGCGCACCATGTCGAAGCGCAAGGTGTATTTGGACATGGAGGACTTCCACAAAGGTGAGTGTGTTATGTGGCTCCTGGCTAACGGTGTCTAATCCCTCCAGCGCTGAGATTGCTGGATGCCAAACTCGGCACCGACCCCATGATTATGGCCTTCGCCCCCATCCGAATGATCGTCGCCGGAGGCTTCTTCTCCGTCATGTACCTGAAGAATAGAAAGACAACTACAGACATGGACTTCCTCCTCGACCCGGAGTGGGCCAACGACGAAGACATCAAGGTTCCGCTGCAGAAATCCATCCGGGAAGTCGCCAACGAGGCGCATTACATGGAAGATTGGGCCAATGAGGATGTGGGTGTGTTCGTTACGGAGAAGACGAGGAAGATCCTGATGGACGACGCCATCAAGCAGAACATCGTCCTCTGGGGTAGTGGCACCCTGCTTGTGCTCGCCGCACCCGTGGAATGGGCCCTGGAGAGAAAGCTGCGACGCATCTACTGCGCGGAGCGAGGGCGCAAGGCAGAGCTGGATCTGGCCGATGCCGTTGCAATGCTCAAGTTCATGAAAGACAGGAAGGGGAGTAAGCTTGATATGGAGTATTGTCGCACGCTGAATAAGAATGGCTTCGACGTCGTGCCCGACGTCGACACCATGAACTGTGTGGCTGCCGCTTACAAAGCAACCTATGGCGAGGAGATTTTTGAAGCCATGCATAGGCCTTCAAAGGGATAGGCGAAGCTTCCCGACGGTGGGTAGTCAAATCACGAATGATTTTCGCCGACAGTCGAGGCTGCGCAAGGGTTCGTTGTGAGATGCCGACTGCATCCGACATGCACACCGTCTGTTGAGTCGATGGCCCCTACTTTGAGACGAGAATATGGAGCGTAGGCTTGGGTTCATATCGTATAAAGCCAGCCGACATTCGTGATCATATTCCGGCGCGCAAAGATTTTATTCAGCCCTCCCTCCTCTAAGACGAGCTTGCCATCTTTCGATATGTACCGCTCAGGTAATCCGTCTAGGTCACTGACTGTGAGCGCGGGAACAGAATCTGTCCATGTAGGGCCGACCAGCGGTGTATACGGGGGCCACGGGTCGTCTTCCGTCTTCCGAATGATGTGCTTGCGGTTTCGACGCATGCCCAAGCTCAGGCGCCAATTAAACGCGACGACGAGCTCTTCCACGAGACATGCGATGATGGCGTAGCGCACGGGATCTTCGTCACGCGGATCGCTGATCGACTGCAACGACCAGCCTTTCTGATACCAAAAATATTCCGTTTCGGTGCCCAACACCTCATAGACCCCCGATGCCATAGCCTCATACATTCTGTACACACAGCGCAGTGGAGTATCCCGGACGCGCCAGATCGGGATGCTCTCCAGGTCGATCATATTATCATGACGCAGAAGTAATAATTCTTCATTCCCGATCATTTCCACCGCGGGCACGGTATCAGACACGGGGAATTTCCACGACGGAAATGGGACGAAAAGGCGAAAAAGGGCCCAGAGCGGATGTTTTTCGAAAGCGCGGAGTCTCGTCAGGCTGCCTCGCAGGTTTAACGGTGAGCGCCATGTCCGAAGCCGATGGATCCATTGTCGGATCCTGAGCGAAAGGGGCTTCTTGCGGCGGGGCGGCGGCATTTTAGTCTGCCGGGCGCGGGGAGTGAATAGAAATGTCACGAAAAGGTTTTAATCCGGTGGGACGGACCCAGAAGTGGTGAGGTTAAAGAAGGAGCTCCATGCTGGGACGGCAACGTTCGGAAGTGAAGAGTTATAGAAAGTAAGGACATGTTTACTTCATAGGTTGGCGCCGACCGGAGAACAGGCGGTCAAGACGGGCATTACTGCGCACGGACCATGCATCGGTCAGATAAGATTACTGCCTGATTATCCGGGCATGACAACACTACAACTCCAATCGTGTATTTCTGGAAACACATAATATTTCAGTTCCTAATATAGCACCTAGACACAGCATGGCATCACCGAATGTCCTATCAATAGTTGAAGTCCTCAAAAACTACATTTTTACCAGTGAGCCAGGTCAAGACCGAGCCTTTGAGAGAAGGGCTGCCACAGAAATACCACATGTCCGCCAGAGACGAGTCCAGATCCTTTGCATCCATTCGGCGGCGATAAATGCGTGCTTCAGACAGGCAGACAGCTTGATATTGTTCAACTACATTTTTGTCCTGTGGATCAGCACCGGTAACGAAGAGAGTCGTAGAGCCAGACAACCGAGGAAACCGCTGGAACGTATCCAAAACCAAGCCCATATCATGAACTGACACGGACCACAGCAGTCGCAGTCGAATGGTATCGAGAGCCGGAAGTTGTGCCAGAATAGGCGTAATACCAATGCCACCGGCGATAAAAGGAACAATATGGTCCCTGCCTTTCTGTATCTGGAAGTTACCACCAAAGCCTTTCAGAGGAACCTCGAGACCCGCTCTCTCGTTGGTCCTAAATAGATAGTTGGTCACGTTGCCATGTTTGCGTGCAGTTATCTCGAACTCTGCTGCACCCAGTCCTTGCCCGGGATATGATGAAATGGTAAATGTACGGATATAGTCATCATTGAGACTGGTTGGATCGTCATCTTGCATATGGCGATAGCCCATGTCTAGTTCATCGTGGAAGGAAAACGTAGCGTACTGTCCCGGTACCCATTTTCCAAGCTTGGCCGGATCAGAAATACGAAAGCGGAACCGGCAGATGGCAGGAGTCAGGATGTCCTTCTTGATCAGTGTTGCTGTGACAGCCGAACCATCGTCTTTTGGAACAGTCGGAATGTCCCTCTCGGCTGCCAAGTATCGCACCGGTGGATTGTACGGAGATGGCTCTCCTGCAATACCTCGAAATGATAGGGATTTTTCAACATACCGGGCGGCCGTGATGGTGACAAGAACGGCGAGGTTTGATCGTGGCAGTACACGGGCTGCGTCTTTGCCAATCAAAATCTGTGTTTGCCCAGTGATATACAACGCAGCCCCATTATCAAAATCGGGAAAGACATATCCTGCCAAAGGGTTCGCTTGGAGGTTCCCCAAAGTCTGATAGAGACGATTGCCGGAATATTCCGGATAAGCGAAGACGGCTCCACTAGGTTCGTTTGATACGAGTCGAACGAACCCTGGAGGCCCACCGCGAATGTTGGTATCCATATCGATGCTGCCGTGAGATGAAGAAACAAACAAGCAGTCAGCGCGATCAAGGAGGCTTACACCTTCTGAAGATAGTTGAGGAGAATTTGAAATGAGCTTTGGAGCCGGAAGGGTTGGTATGATACGTTTCTTGTTCAGATATTTCGGACAATTACCTCCATCTGTCAGCATATTGCTCAATGCTTTTCATCAAGGAAAACCCACCGAGACTGGCATCTATATGCACGGTCAGATGGGCTGTGCCTGTGTGTCCTAGCCCTGGTATTTCTTCTTGATCAGCAGGGTCTAGCGACCCGGAAATCCCCTTGCCGTGGAGCTTGGCTCTCCTGCGAGTTTCCAGATCAACAATCAAGCCGGACCAGATCTTCTGATTGCCTGACGTAGCTGTAGGATCGTTGGCGAAATCATGCAAAAGTATTCTAACAACAGGATCATAGCTCGTATCGACCGGAGTATTCACTTCAATCGTGGACTGAGTTATGGGGTTAGCAAATCCGGCTTCGCCACCCCAAACAGTTGACCACGGCCTGCCCTCCTGATCGAGAGAGCCTATGGCGAGCAATGGGGCCGTTCGCAGTAGATATGCCGCCCCGAAGCCGAGGGACGGAACCGTGGGATTGTCCTGTGAGGGAACGCGAAGCAAGTTGTGCATCTTCTTTTCTCCATGATGGAAGGGAATTTTTCCTGTCAAAATCGACGCCATAATGAGGACTGGATAAGATTCAATTCGGATGAAGATATAAGGAACTTGAAAACCGCATGGGTGGAAGTCTAGCTAATATAGAGACGTGATGAGTCTGGATTAATCAGCAGCGATACTTGGGAGTGGAAGATTATGGAAGTACCTTGGCTGGGATACGAGCTGCGCTGCTACCCCCCGTGCTAGATTCCACAAGAAAAGTCCATGGCAGAGCCCCATAGAGCACCGATACTGTCTCAGCTGTCACGATCACTCAGCTGTATAGAGAACACACATTTGGCAGATGTGGGAGGGAGGATCTTCATGTCTCGATAGCTCATAGCGCTTCGACACATTTAGTCAATTTGCGATGCCTTATAGAGAAACCACAGCCAATTCAGAATCGAATACTCGGAGTAGAAAGAAAAAGAATGTCCACCAGGTTCCTTGATCATTCACTGAGAACGGGATGGTTCGTCCCGACTGGATCGGTCGGGTCAGGAGTCGGGCACGTGCCGGCCATCTACACCAGACATCCTGATGAAGAACTGGTAATTGGGTAGTTGAAATAAACGGTCAGCTCTGCGGAACGCTTCAGCTAACCAGGATCAGTTGGACTGACACCATCTTACTATGCATGTTCCGGTGGACCGTGGAGAGAAGATAAACTTCGCGGTGGCCCACTGGTGAGACGCCATGGACGAGCGACGCACTGTTACCGGGGCAGATTCATCAGCGGCGGCGTCATCCTCCCCCAAACCGCTTCTTTCTTTAGCAACACCCGCTGTGGAGTCGCGATCGCCCAGCGAGGCTTTGCTCTTTGCACGCCTACTCTCGTCCGTTGTTGATCCTGCCTTTGACTTTTCTCCTGTTTGTTGTCTTCTTCCACTTTTCATCTTCTGCTGTCTTCTTCCTCCATATCCAGATACCCCGTACATGAGGCCCTTCGAATTCACCTTGAGCTGCATTCATCTCGCAGCGGATCGGCATCTCAATCATCTATCGACGACTTTAGTTCTCGATCTCATACCACGCCGTTGATCCCCACACCCGCCGCGACCGGATCGCCTCCATTGCAGCGCTTCCAACACCATCACCATGCGGTCCCGAGCATCCGTCAAGCCGTCGCAATACCCTCCGATCCCGTTTCATACCATTCGTGCGACTGGTCTGATTTCCACTTTCGTCGTGGGCATTATCCTGGCCGTATTCATTGTCCAACTGCATAACAATAACTACAAACTCCCCTGGGCCTTCTTAATTGTAAGCCACCCATGTCGATGACAAACAACCCTCCAACCCCCCACTAATACTTTATTTCCTGCATCTCAGCTCGTCATCGCAACAGTCCTCTCCCTCCTAAACTTCATCCTCACCACTCTCACCCACTGCTGCTATGGCCTCTCCCCGCGCCTCAACCTCACCACCAACAGCATCGTCCTCGTGCTCTGGCTCATCGCCCTCGGCCTCTTAAGCTGGAGCATGTCCCACACGATCCTCACAACCTGCAACACCACCTACTGGGGCACCTCAACCGGAATCAATGTCTGCCGGATCTACAAAGCCCTCTTCACCTTCACCATCGTCGCCGCGACCGCTCACCTCGCCGGCGCCGTTCTCGACGTCATGGTCTACAGACGGCAAACCCGTCTTGGCGAATACGATCCAATGGCCAGCAGCACCGCCCTAAATGACTACAAAATGCACAACCGCTACAGCAGCGCCATGTCCGGTGGTGCTGGTCCATACTCAAACGATGAATCCCTCTACAACCAGCAGCCCCATGCCCCCGAGAATCTGTACCAGAACGCCCCTGAGCCGATGTACCACCCGAGCCAGCGCATGCCCCCTCCGCCCGCGTACGGAGCCAGTAGCCTGGAACAACACCATGCCGGCGAGGCGGAGGAGTACTCGGACACCGCACCGACACAGGGACAGCGTCGGAAGCCGAGAGTGAGGTTTAGTGCTTATGGGGCGTCTTCGGGATATAGTCACCCCTCGGAGCAGACGAGTTACGACCCGGCTGCGTATCGGTGAAATGATCGCGCGAGCCATACAACAATACTTGTTGCTTTCGTGTGGAACGAGGCACGAAAACTTTGGGATCATCTCCCAACTCTATACTGAGAACCTTACTGGCTTCCATGCTATTCGAACTGATGTGCTACGATCTTGCATTGTAAATGGTATAGTTCCTTGACTTGGATAGGTTCATATGCTGGCGGGCGTAATGCAGGGGTTTCTTTTTTTCAGCGATGTCATTTGATCTTGTCTTCATATAGGATGTTATTGTGTGTATCATCATAGATACCAGAATTTGACTATACAATAAGTGCTTCCGTTTCTGCTGCTCGGTTAGGTCAAAGATTAGCTTGGCAAGATATTAGCATATTATTTGATGTTTTTCACGGGCGCATGACTCATATATCCATGTCCCGTTCTAGAAGCTAGGTCTAAAGCACGTAGGTTGGCAATTCGACAATCAATAACGAGTAGCCAGAACAGTCAACTGAGATAGAGGGAAGGTCACAACGAAAATGCCGTCACATCCAAAACCATCATATATTTCCCTTACATGATAACCTCGTTGGCGACGTCCTGAAACCTGTTAGCTTCTACCCGGGAAATAACGTGGATATGGGAGGTTGAAAGAGGATACGTACGCGCTTCAGTTCCTTGTACGGCAGGCACACACAGTTCTGTACCCGCACCTCGTCACCCACGGCACACTCCTTGCCTAGAATCGTGATGCTCTGAACCTTGACGCCGTGCTTGATGATACTGGTCGACTGGGTAGCCGCCGGGATCGGGGTACCCTCAACACGAGCCCAGGCACCGACCCGGCTGCTCCAGCCGATAATCGAGTGCATCACGCATGCATCATGCTTGATCTCGGCGTCTTCCAGCACGATCGAGTCCTTGATACGAGCACCTGCACCCACGACCACACGGGGTCCGATGGAGACGTTGGGGCCTAGCTTAGCCGTTGGGTCGACCGTGGCGGAGGGGTGAATGTACACGGGGGGCACGATGGCAGCGGAAGGAGGGGTGAGTTCATCGGATTGAGCTTGGAATGCCTTCTGGAGGTAAAGGGCGTTGGCGGGGACCGCGGAACCAGCCGTCTTGATCTGGCGCCAGAAATCCTTCGTCTCATGAACGAAGAAACGGTTGCTGTCGGCCAAATCGGAGAGAATATCCTGTTCCAGACGGAGGACTTCGGTCTTCTCTGCCTCGTCCTCCGCTGCGATGAAGGATGACTCGAGGTTCTCGGACGAAGGGTAGGACAACAGGCGCGGCCGGGTGGTGCGACGCTTTATGGCGCTGCGGATGGAGGGGAAGATACATTCAGTGGCGAAGAGGTAGACACCGCAGTTGATGAGGTTGGAAATGTGCGACTCGGGCTTCTCAACGTAGTGTAGCACCCGTCTGGTATGGGAATCGGAGACAATGCAGCCGAAGTTGGTGGCGGTTTCGTTGCTGACTCTTGTTCCGAGAATAACTGCCTCCGCGTCCTTCTCTTCGAACAGCCTTAGCATCTCGCCAAGGGGGAAGGAGCAGCAGACGTCAGCGTTCAGGACGAAGATGCGCTCGGGTTTGCCCTTCAGGATGGCATCGCGGAAGTGGTAGAGACCGCCAGCGGTGCCCAGAGCCGTGTATTCACGCAGGTATTGCATCTTGAACTGGGGAAACTCCTTGGCAGAGTCCTTGATGAAGTCGCGGAAGACGGTTTCATCGTAGTAACCGACGAGGATCACCTCTCGAATATCGGGGATCTTGGCGAGGGCTTTGAGGCAGTGATGAATGATAGGATGACCGGCGACTTCGAAAAGGGGCTACACGGACGTTCAAATGTCAGTGGGAGGCCATGACGAAGCTTTGCGGGTTGACGAATTCGGGCTCCGCGCGGAGGGGCTTGGGTTTGGGATAGCTCAAACAAAGAGGGGCAACCGACCTTGGGCATATCCAGAGATAGAGGCCTGAAGCGTGTTCCCCTAGACGGGCCACCGACCTGATTAAGACTTCGTCAGCGAGATACAGAGAACGAGAACCCATGCACCACCTACCAAGATCACTGCCTTGGTGGAGGCCACGTTGGAGTGCTCCCGCACTGGAACTTGAAGCATTGGAAAGGTGGGGTATAGTAGTGGGGGGTATATAGGAGCTAGGGAGAGAGCGCGAGATCAGAGTCCAAGCACAGACAGATTGATTAAAAGTCGTAAGAAATCCGAAAAGCAACGAGAAAGAAGTAGCAAAGGCAGCGCGGAGGGGGAAGAGAGCGCTGTTGTCCAGGCCCACCGCCAGCTCTCCTTAGCGCTCCGGATCAGGCCAAGGGGAGTGTCACTTGCCGCTCAGGAGAGCCCCCGTTGGTTCCATGGGCTGGAGGGGTCGCCCGCGTCCCCTGACTGGCTGTTTCCGTCCACCGCTTTCATTCTTCTATTCACCACCACATTCATAGTACTCCCTCCATATCTAAATCATCTCATCGATACATCACATGGGTTAAACCATCCTTGCGCTGACACTAACCAAGCTCGCCAATTGAGGTTCAGGACAGAACTGACTCCACTCTCACTTTGGACTCATCGCATTTGTCTGGAGGATGCCTGGAGGGTACCTGCAGATTGGAAATTGATCTCTCTCCAGCACAACCTGTTGTATCCTTCCCACTCAGCTTGCCTGTATCTCTTACACTTCTCTGTCGTGCTATCTATCTAATAGACTACCATAGTTCTCTTCCTCATTAAAATGCTCACCTTTCCTTTCTTGGCTTCCTTTGTCCCTGGCATTCACTGGATTTAAAGTCTTGCCTAAGCCCTTGCAAACATGACTCGGTTACCTTTCTCTGTTGTCGTGAGACACTGCATTCACTGTAGGGTCCTTGCAGAACACTTAGCTCGCTCAAAAACTTATCATCTTGACTGCCCCATTCCTCCTTATAATACTCTACCCTCTCCTACCACATCTTGACCTCAACCACCACACTGTTAGTTTCCATCTCCTAGCCATCCATGATGTCTTCAATGACCTTAGAGATCCGACAGACCCCACAAGCTGAGCAGAGGGACCTAAAGTCCGAGCAAGAAAGTTCTTCAGCAGGTGAGTCCTTCTAATCCATACCTCTCAACCATCTCTCACCTTTGCTTAGCAACCATTCAAGACACTCCTGGAGAGATGTCGCCCTCCGAGATCGACTCGATCAACCTGATCGCCAATGATATGAAAGAGCTGGTCAGAAAGATACAGGACCTGCGCCATATCGGGATCGAAGACAAGAAGATCGCGCTCCCGAAGATCTGTGTTATTGGCGATCAGAGTGCTGGGAAGAGCTCTCTCATCGAAGGCATGAGCGAGATCAAAGTTCCCCGAAGCGCGGGTACTTGCACACGCTGTCCCATGGAGATTAATCTTTCAGAGAGTGGACCGGGTCAGGCGTGGACATGCAAGGTCTTTCTATCGCGGAAATACATGTATGACGAGACCAAAAAGATGGTGAAGGTTTCGAAGAAGTCTCATCCCCTCGGTCCCTGGGTGGAGCAGGAACAAGAAGATGAGCCGTTCACAGTACTGCGAAACAAAGATCAAGTCGAAGAAGCGATCAGATGGGCCCAGCTCGCGATTCTGAACCCTTCAAGACCACCCGCCGAATACGTGCCGGGGCAAAACAGTGACACAGACCCGACCTATTGCCAGGTGAAGTTTTCACCAAACGTCGTGCGTTTGGATATTGCAGCTCCGGCATTTCCCAACCTGTCATTCTATGATTTGCCCGGGGTCATCAGTCACGCAGAACAGGAAGATGAGCGATATCTGGTCAACCTTGTGGAGAACCTTGTCAAGTATTACATCATGCAGGACCATTGTATCGTCCTGCTGACTTTGCCGATGACGAACGACGCTACCAACTCAAGTGCTGCGCGTATCATGCAAGAAGTTCGTGGAGCCAAGTCGAGGACAATGGGTGTCTTGACCAAGCCAGACCGCATTCAGACAGGCGAGTCGTATGTTCAGTGGGTTGAAATTCTAGAAGGGGACAAGTTCTCGCTTGGGCACGGATACTATGTCGTCCGGAATAACCCCGACCCATCGATTGAGCACTCGACAGCTCGGGAAGAGGAGGATAATTTCTTTGCAGAGAGCCCTTGGGCGACTGATCTGGGTCTATATCAGGACAAGTTCGGAACTCGACGCTTACAAGCCGCACTCTCCGCGCTCCTGCTGGAGCAGATCCAGGGCTGCTTACCAGAGATTATCAAACAAATCAATGAGAAAGCTAATCGGATTGATCTGGAGCTGCGATCCCTCCCAGACCCACCTTCTGCGAATGTTCCATACATCATCTGTGGGAAGTTGAACCAGTTCAAGGAGCAGATCCGCGCTCATATCGATGGCGGATCCGCAAAATACCCTTTGCAGAAGCTTTGGGGACATATCGCTATGGATTTCAAGCGGTCGTTGATCGTAACCCGACCCACTGTGCAACTGCTGTCTTCCCACGATAAATGGACTTTCCCGACCGAGCACGATGGGGAAGGCGATTCCGATTGTGAGATGACATCAGTCTCAGTGCCTGTGAAACGCAAGTCGCCGGGTGATAATGGCCCAGAGGCTACTACTAAGCCGCAACCTGTCCCACAAACAGCCAGCAAGAATAGAGGGTACTCGACAGCGCATTTCGACAAGTTCACTGCCTCGGCTATGATGTTCACCTGGGAACAGATTCGCGAAATCAACGAGGAATCTTACCGAGCTGGGCTTCCCGACCTGACAGATCCAAAGGCCATCGAAATCATGAATCAGAAGAGTGTGAAGCATTGGTCCGAACCGCTGTCGGCATTTCTGGCTGCCACCCACCGTCTTGTCAGGGACATGGTGCACAAGCAAATTGATGAAGTATTTTCACAATATCACCAGACGGGTCTTTACCGGGAGATCAAACGTATCATTGACGCCTATCTGTATAGCCTGAAACGCGATCATTTTGAACATGCTCAAGAAAATTTCAATATTGAGTATAACAAGCCGTTTACAATGGACTTTGCGGCCTTGGACCATGCCACAAAGTCTGCCCGTCAGTACCTGGTTGAGCGGCGTCAACTTTCCCGCGCTGCGTCTTATCTAGACTCCCAGGGAAAATATCCCAAAGGAGACGCGCGGCGGGAAGCGGAACTGAAGAAGATCACCGATGCTGATCTGGGCCGGGACCAATTCACCCAAGAAATTGCAATGATGGCGGTAGAGTTGCTTACCTACCTAAGATTATACTACATTGACTGACCGCTTGGGCTAGACCACCAGAGGCTACTACGACCTAGCCAGCTCCCGGTTCGTGGACTCGATCTGCCAGAGTGTCCACACTAAATTGTTCGCCAAATGTCGCGACGACCTGATTACAGAGCTTGAGAGGGAGCTCAATATCTTTGATGATAATGGTGAGTCCATGGTCATTACACAAGCGTCATGGTAGATATTGACGCATTCTCTCATTTAGCGCTGGAGCGTTGCCTCGAGCTGATGGAAGAAGACCCAGAGCGCCAGCGGCGCCGGCTATACTTCCTCAAGGAGAAGGAAAAAATCAATAAGGCGCAGGAATGGTTGAATCTAGCGAAGAAAGAGGACGATGAAGAAGATCCTTTGGACAATGTGAGAATCAAATCTCAGCCTGTTGACGAGTGGACTGGTTATTCCCACATGGACACCGCTGAGTGAGCACATTGCTGTACATGATGCATGACGACGCCGTTGAGTTGGGTTGATGAGCAAGTGCAAGTGTGGTGGTAGTCATTGGGTTATGGAAAAGGATTGGCACTGTCGACGACTGTTAATGGATTGGCCGCAAGCATCGAGGACGAGGCGGGGTAGAACCCCACTTGGGTGCCCTAAGCCCTAAGCCCTGGTCACGAGAGGCTCGACTGGTGTTTGGACGCATGTGATTAAGGGAAGACAATGAGTAGGAAATAGTACCAATCGGCGATTACCAGTGATTCAGCAGCTTTTAGACAGAAACCGGGGGGTTTTGTGCATCGTCGACTGGTATCTGGTAATGGCGGCGATTACTTAAGGAGCGGGCGTGGGGAGCTGCCCCTCGCCGTGCCCAATGAGCATCTCCCGCCGTGGCTCCCGCCCAAAATTCTCTCTTCCCTCCGACTTCAACCCACCATCTCGTGAGTCATCACCCTGTCCCTTCCCCTCCTTTTCCTGTCATAAACTTGTCTTACCGAAGGTGACGGAGACCGAACAATCCACCCCACCTAGTCCCATCACCATGGCCGATAACGCTGTCAAGGAGGCCGAGGCCTCCATGGCCAACCTCATCCTCGACGAGGTCACCGGAGAGAAGGTCTCCAAGTCCGAGTTGAAGAGACGCCAGAAGAACCGTGAGAAGGAGGCCAAGAAGAAGGAGAAGGAGGCCGCTGCTCCTCCCAAGCCCGTGAAGAAGACCTCGGCCGAGGATGACGAGGCCAACCTCACCCCCAACGTGAGTCGCACCCCATTCTTGCCGTGCGGGCCTTTGTGCGCTCTTCAGGACGCCATTGTCGCAGAAATGCTAACCATTTCGCTTCGGCTCTCCCCTGCAGCAATACTTCGAGATCCGCAGCAAGCGCATCAACAAGCTTCGCGAGACTAAGCAGCCCGATCCCTACCCCCACAAGTTCCAGGTCACCGATGACCTGCGCAAGTTGCTCAAGGAGCACGAGGGCCTCGCCAAGGGCGAGCAGAAGCCCGACGTTCCCGTCCGCATCGCCGGTCGTATCTACACCAAGCGTGCTTCCGGTGCCAAGCTGATCTTCTACGATATCCGTGCGGAGGGCGCCAAGGTGCAGGTCGTGTGCCAGGCTCAGCACTCCAACGGCAGCGTCCCCTTCGAGGACCAGCATGAGCACCTCCGCCGTGGTGACATTGTCGGTATCGTTGGTTTCCCCGGCCGTACCAGTCCCAAGAACCGTGCCGACGGTGAGCTTTCCATCTTCGCCACCGAGGTGGTCCTGCTCTCTCCCTGCTTGCACGCCATCCCGTCCGAGCACTTCGGTCTGCAGGACAAGGAGCAGCGTTTCCGCCAGCGTTACCTGGACTTGATCATGAACGACAAGTCCCGCAATGTCTTCGTCACCCGCTCCAAGATCGTCACCTACATCCGCAACTACTTCGATACCCGCGACTTCATCGAGGTGGAGACCCCCATGATGAACGCTATTGCCGGTGGTGCCACCGCCAAGCCCTTCGTCACCCACCACAACGAGCTCGACATGAACCTGTTCATGCGTATCGCTCCCGAGCTGTACCTGAAGATGCTGATCGTCGGTGGTCTCGAGCGTGTGTACGAGCTGGGTCGTCAGTTCCGTAACGAGGGCATTGACTTGACTCACAACCCCGAATTCACCACTTGCGAGATGTACTGGGCCTACGCCGATGTCTACGATGTCATGAACCTGACTGAGGACCTCGTTTCCGGCCTCGTCAAGCACATCACCGGTGGCTACGAGACCACCTTCCACACCCAGACCGGTGAGACCTACAACGTCAACTGGAAGGCCCCCTGGCGCCGCGTGGAGATGATCCCCGCCCTCGAGGAGGCCACTGGCGAGACCTTCCCTCCGGGTGACCAGCTCCACACCGCCGAGACCAACGAGTTCCTCAAGCGCGTGCTCAAGAAGACCGGCGTTGAGTGCTCTCCCCCGATGACCAACGCCCGTATGCTCGACAAGCTGGTCGGCGAGTTCATCGAGGAGACCTGCGTCAACCCCACCTTCATCACCGGCCACCCCCAGATGATGTCCCCTCTGGCCAAGTACCACCGCCAGAACGTCGGTCTGTGCGAGCGTTTCGAGGCCTTCGTCTGCAAGAAGGAGATTGTCAACGCCTACACCGAGTTGAACGATCCCTTCGACCAGCGCCTGCGTTTCGAGGAGCAGGCTCGCCAGAAAGACCAGGGTGACGACGAGGCCCAGATCATCGACGAGAACTTCTGTACCAGCTTGGAGTACGGTCTGCCACCGACCGGTGGTTGGGGTATGGGTATTGACCGCTTGGTCATGTTCCTGACGGACAACTACAGCATCAAGGAGGTGTTGGCCTTCCCCTTCATGAAGGAGGACAAGACGGCTCAGGAGACCAAGACCGCCGCCGAGGTGGTTGGCATTGAGCCCCAGCCCGAGGAGGGCATTCGTAAGTTCTTTACTTTGGAAACCCCTTTCCAGAACCAATAACTGACGGATTGCACAGCCCACAAATAAACGTGACGAACCGATTAGATGATAGTTTTTGTGATGACTAGTGCATGGTTTCGACAATGAAGAAATGCATAAAATGAAATAGATGACAGCGATGCTCCATGAGTAGTTGTCTTGCAGTACGTAGTTCGCAGCGTGAAAGGATTGTCAAGTCGACGGGACATGAATGTGTCCTGACGTAAAAATTGTCCGGCTTTCAATCTAACGCAAGTACAACTGGAGCGACAGATTCAAACCCAATGTGATGCTTCAAATGCAATGTCCACTGGACTTGTGCCCAGCTATGACCTACACAGTAAACAACAAGCTACGTCACCCACCATTCCGCTTGTCGGTGACTATACTAGTGCTCTCATCATGTCAAGGAATATGATTACTGGGAGTATTCCGTAGATGCATTGGAATCGAGCGAAATCGACTGGGCGACATCCTATACCGAGAAATACGATAAGATCACATGACGATAAGAGATTGTATAGATAGCATCACCTAACGTACCATCCGGATAAGATAGCAATGGTGCTACTATACAAATATCGATGGCAATGATAAGTTCAAACCATCTGTCTAAGCTGTCTAGGTCACATACTCTCACAATAAATTCCTCCAATACCTCACTACCGGCCAAACCATCGCCCCTACCATCCCCCTCGCCCAGCCAACCCAGCCCCGCGCCGCAATCACCGTCTTCACCATCTTGACCATCCGATCTGTAAATACATCTGTGGTTTCCACGTCATGTAACTGGATCTCCCAGACCCCTGTCTCCTCATTCTCTTCTACCTCTTTCGACTTATTCCCCCGTTCAAGCGTACACTGCACAACCTCCACTCCCTCCCTCGTCAGATACCCCCCATCGGGAAGTCCCAATTTCAACCGCGGCCCCGTAACCAACGACTGTCCACTACATGCCCGATTCGCCATGAGATACGTCGCCGCGTCGACCACATCTTCGGCTTGTCCGATGGGCACACCAGCCAGAATCACCCGCGCGGGGCCACTCATTAACCCGATATCAGTGTAGTAGGGACAGATGATGTTGACGCGGATTCCGGCGGAGAGGGGGGCCGTGACGCGGAGACAACGGAAGAGGCCGAGGATGGCGTGTTTGGTGATGGTGTAGAAGGATTGGGAGATGAGGGGGTGGACGCTGGCGATGGAGCCGATGAGGAGGATGTGGCGGTCTCGGGGGGATGAGGTGGTGGTGTCGGTGCAGGGTTGGGAACCGGGGTTACGGGGGAGGAACCATTCTGCGAGGTGGACGGTGTATAGTACACCGGTGAGATTGACGTCGACGGTTTTGAGGCTAGGCGGGGGTGGGCTGGGGTGGTTGAGGTAGTCGATGGTCGGGGATTCGAAGTATCTGGATTCAGCGGCGTTGTTGATGCCGGCGTTGGCGACGACGGCGTCGATGCCGCCGTGGGGGCTGAGTTGGATGGCTTGGCGGAAGAAATTCACTTGGGAGGTCCAGGAGGTGACGTCGAGGTGGATGAAGTGGACGTTGTTGTTGGAGGTGTCGGAGCGGATTTGGGCGACGATGGTCTCGCCAGCGGGATTGATGTCCCCGATGATGACTTGCGCGCCGGCGGAGGCCCAGCGGGTGGAAAAGGCAGCGCCGAATCCGGAGGCACCGCCGGTGACGAGGATCGTCTTGCCTTTGAGGTCGGCGATGTTGTAGTCTAGGTGAAGCATGGTGATGGTGTGGGTAGAAGGGAATCTGGTTGCGGAAATTTCCAGCTGAGTGGAAGATTATAAGCTTTTGGGGCTCAGCTGGCCTCGATGGCCTCGCCCCACGGCCTCGTATTGGCGGAGTTACTTATAAGCGGAGTCGTTGTCAAGCATATTGCTTATTGTTTGTGGGTGTCAAGGATGGAAACCGTCAGAGACGGCGATTGAGGACGGGATAGAAACCACGCTATCAAGAAATCTTGTAGTCCGATGTTTAGTTTGCTTTTTGTTTTCGTTTTGCTCTTTTTACGGCAGCAGCCTGCAGCCTGCAGCTAGCAGCTCCACTATGCGAGACCAAGCTACTGACGCTCAGATTCCACTGTCAGAGGGGTTCATCGTTAGCTGCGGTGGAGAACATCTTGAGACATTTGTGGTACCCTCTATACCAGTAGCTAGAAGGCATATTCCTTCTGGTCTACGTGGTAATAACCTTGACAGAAACTCAAGATGGTTCACCTGCATACGGAAGCCAGCAGGGATAGCGAGAGACAAGGAAGCTGTGATGGCCTATCGATTACTCAATTGTCAAGCCATGTAAGAAGGAGTAACAAGTAGGACCTGAAGCTGAAAACTCACTCGTTTCTGCCGAGATCCTCCTGTCCAGACTGTAACAGTTGCACCACTAACGTAGCCCAAATCCCACCTGAGCACCCGAATGAACGAGCCACAGGCCTTTTATATGTTGCGGTTACATTTAGCGCCAAAGCACGTGGACACAATGCGGAACATACCTTCAAATATCAGGCAATAGCCTAACAAATATTGCCATGCTCCGGACAATGGACCCGTTGAAACACGCACGGTCCAAGGAAAACCGCTACCTTCCTTCGAGGCAGTGAAGATCCGTGAATCCTCACCGTACTGTGGGGAGATTTCCATGAGGAATATGGGGAACAAATATAGAGGGTCTGGAGAGCCCAATGGAGATCAGGTAATTTATAAAAGAGGATGAGGGAATCTTGTACTTTGGTTGGCTTGATGGTTGTGCGTGGATGTTCTCTTTCCATCGAACCGTTTATTTTTCTACCTTTTGATTGGGGCTTGACTCCATTTGTAATTGGAACGGAGGCCCTTGCTTGCTGGGCTGTGTCTCTGATAGCAAAGACGTTCTGATATCAAGCTGATACGTTGTTGCTTGATCAAGGTGAGTATGTCCCGCTGATGTTGTTCCTCGAGCCTATTGCTCCGTGTCGGTATAGAGAAGTGCTTGCTGACCGGACGGCCAGACAAACATCACCTTATATCATCATGGCAGACCCGCAGCAGCGTCCGGATGCCTCGCCGGTGTATATGCCCCCTACCGGGTGGTACCCGCCAATGGGTTACTCTCCGAATCGCCTCTATTCGCCCCACTCGGGTCCTAGGAGGGTGTACTATGCGCCACGGTACCCCTATCCCATGCAGCCAAACCGCCAGATGGTTAGCCCCGTCGCAAGGTCCACGATGGCGGCACAGGGTGCACAGACGCCGACCATAGGACCCTGGCAGCCACAGCATCCCATTCCTAACAGCCCAGCGGGAATGCCGATGCCCCAAGCAAGGGTGATGTACAGGCAACCAGGGGAACTCATAACCTTCCCGCATAGCCCGCAGAGTGTAGGGCAAGGTCAACGAGAGCTCGGTGAACCTATGTTCATTGGGTACAACCCACAGAGCCCCTTCGCACCCGGACAAATGGGAAACTCGGTATTCATGGGGTATAACTCGCCCACGGCAATTCAAGGTCCGTTTCAAGGGCTGCCGACTCCTGATCCAACCATCGGCGATCCGATCCATACCTTGCCCAGTCTCCCCTCCAGCAATACGCAAGGTAGTGTTAGATCCTCAGCCGGACGGGTAAGGAAACAGCCACGCAGGCTCAAGCTTATCATAGAGGAGGCGGATTACGTGAAAGGAAGAACGGCGAAGTGTGATCATTGCAAGGCCGAGAACGCTGAAGACGTGTGGCGTTGCAAGCCGTGCGGCCACCAGATATGCGTTGAATGCACAGGCACAAAGAGCAATAGGCGAAGCCATTGGGACAGAGGACTGCTGCATATGCCATACGATGTCTTTCAGTTAATGCTAGACAATGTACACACCAAGCCTGCCACAGGAGCCAGACAGTCAGAGCCAAAGCCAGAGGCACAAACCCAAACGGGAACCGAAGCCGATTCCAGTCGTATGCAGAGGCGCAGAGCAACTCCAGCAGTTGTTGACGACGCCGCTGTGCCAGAGCCAGACAGCACCTGCAGTGGCTCAGCCAACTAAACCAGTGAGTCTGACTCCAAAAGTGTCCATAGTAGTGCCGAAGCACTCATATCGTTTAGTTTGAAAGCATTCACCTCGGTCAGGACTGGTAAATCATACATCCAGTCAGTAGACACCGTGAAGTCGTTATTGACAATAGTACACAGAACGACCTACCGAGGAACAAAGCCTCTACGATTTCTGTCGGAAGCAAGCGAAATATGCCAAGGAGATGTACCGAAGGAATCCAAAAATTCGAGCTAGGAAAAAACGCGACAAAAACAAATCTGCCAAGTGAGGGATGTGGGAGAGAGGAACACTCGCGAGAGGAATAGCCCGCAACTGTCGAGGATGGGATAATGATGTTCTTGAATTAAAGGTCCAGAATGAAAGTCAAGTCTTGCGTTCATATTGTACAATGCGTGAAGTAGAGATGTTTGTAGACATACAGGCCCCACCGTGGCGGTATAATACATACAGAAGGGTGTCTGAACTTCTTCCTGTTCAGCATATCCTCATGGTTGACTTACAGCCTCCGGGGAGCGTGGGCAGCTGCACCGGAAACAGCTTGTTCACGAGCCTTGGCCGCCATCTGAAGCAGCTTGGCTGTCCTAGACGGGTGCCAGACACGGCTTCCCAGGACAAGCACCCAGGTGAGGAGGAAGAGACTGCCCGCCTGGTGGGCAGAGGCAAGAGGCGTGGGAACCAGGTAAAGTAGAGTCGAAATGCCCAAACCAACCTGTACGCAGGCGAAAGCAACCACTCCGTGGACGCCCTTCTTCGCAGCCCGGGGCAAGAAACGTCTCATTGTGGGAGATCCGCGTGTGTAAGCCATAAGAGCCATGATACTCGTAAAGGTCGTCATCGCCAGAGCACGGTGATCCAGTTGCACCAGGGAAGGGTTTTCCAGCATGTTTCTCCACCACAGATCCGATCGATCCTCGTGGCGGGAGTAGCGCTCATCGAACAGTTCCGACTTGGGAGGTGCCAGACCATTTCCCATGAAGGGAAACTCGTTATAGATGAGACCAGCGTCCAAGCCGGCAACCAGGGCACCCGACATGGCAGTCACAAAAACCAAAGCAGCCAATCCCGCGACGGAGCGACGGAAGATCTTGAGCTTGGGGTCACGGAGCGAGTCCAGAAGCTTAATTCCGGCTTCCGGGTCGGCGAGAAGGCGGTGGGAGCGCAGAATGGCAAGACCGTTCCAGAGCATGGCAGTATAGCAGACGAAGGCAGCGCCCAGATGCGCCGTGAGACGGTACTGACTCACACGGGGGTGACTACCAGGGGCGAAGAGGTCGTCCTTCAAGCCAGACTTGACCATCCACCAGCCAATGAAACCTTGGAATCCAATCAAACCTGCAATGCCCGCGAGACGCAGAGTCATCGGCTTGCTAACCTTCTTTGCTGCGACGAAGTATGCGGCCGGGAGAACGAACGACAAGCCGACGAAGCGGCCCCAGAGACGGTGAATCCATTCCATGTAGTAGATCGACTTGAATTCGGAGAGAGTCATATGCGGGTTCAGCAGCTGGAATTCGGGAGAGGCACGGTACTTCGAGAACTCCGATTCCCAGTCTTCGGCGTTCATTGGGGGGAGGGATCCGGTGACGGGGCGCCATTCGGTGATACTCAGACTGCGCACGCCTTCGTTAGCATTGCTCTGCGGAACATGGAAGAGAGATCGTACCCTGACTCAGTCAATCTGGTCAGGCCGCCAAAAACCACGATACCAAACACACTGGCCGCGCTGGCCAGCAGCCAGTAAGCCACTTTCTTGTCGCTCACATCCGGGAAGTTAGATTTGGCCTTTGCGGCTCCTTCCTGGGCAGCAATTGCCTCTGGTGCCGCTGATCCTGAAACAGTCCTTCTTAAGCTAGACGCAAAGAGCTTTCTAGCCCTCGCCTGCAGGGCAGCATTGGCTCTACCGTTGGCGTTCTGGGTGATGGGAAGGGCGGAGAATTGCCTGCGGAAGGCGGACTTAGCGGCGTGGTTCTGGGTCCGGATCAAACATTGGCGGCAGGTGAAGAGCTCCCGCGATAGCCGAGGAGCAAAACTCCGGATTAAGGGCATGGAAGGCCCCAGAGATGCCATGATGGAGGATGAAAGGGAGAATGAAGCTGGCGGAGGCCTTCCCGGACAGAATTTCCAGTTGAACATCGCGGAGAACACGGTCGGAGCCCCGAAGGCCGAGACAGCGACAGCCAATCGGAGCCCCTCAATTTGTTACTGATTGATCAGCCCATACAGACATCAGGATGTTTGTTTACAATACAACCTGGCCACATTGAACCTTCAAGTTTCTAGCGATACATTTGTGAGAGTGGGGGGAGATGAAGAAGTTAACTATGAACTAGGAGAGGGCATTTACTATATTGCCAAAGCTCTCTCGCTCACTTGGTTACTTGTCTAGCTGCATCTTATCTTCGAGCTAGCATGTCATTGTAATGCCAAACCTGTCTCTAAATCACCCCTCAGCAAGCAGTTGTCCAGTATCCAAGATTCCGTGCCATCACTCACTCTCCGTTTTCATGCTGTCTGTCGTGAACTACCTACAGTTCCATATCGAAGCTTATATACTCAGCAAAGGCCTTGAGCCGCGATGTCGGGCCAATCACTTCACCTCTTTCCCAGCGTGATCATCGCCATACTCGATTTGGATAGTGTTTGACTGTGGTAGTCCTGGATGGGGTAAATGCTGCCCTTGACCTCCATCAATGACACTATATGCAAGCAGTCACAGGCTCAAGTCGACATTCTCCCAATAGAAGGAGATCTCTGTATATTAGGACATGGTCTTGAAAGGTTCATCTAGAATCAGCTACGGCTAGATAAGGGACAAAAGTGGGGTCATGTGATTGAACCGACCCACATCAATCTATGGGCATTGAAGCTGGTGAGCCGGTATTCTGCTTGGTCAAGCATCCAGCACCATCTATCTACTGACTGTTTCGCGTCCTTGCTGCTTCCAACAAGACCCTTATGTTTAAGGGACATCCTATCGGGGTCTAGAGGCTTTCTTGTCGCGTCTGAAGCCATCAATCAAATGACTCTTTCGTTACCTCTTCACACTTCTGAGCCCTCGGTATCCATTCAGCCTTGTTACAGCTTTTGATCATCAGTCCTGCTTCAAATAGTTTCTGAAAGCCAGCCCTTGGCTCCCGAGCTTGACTGTTTCAGACCGAAAGAAGATAGATGCGGGATAAACTACAAGTCCGACAGTATGTCATCATTTAGCAAGGTAAGAGTTGTTTATATCCCTTGCTATATGCTTGGTTGCTTTCCTGACATAACTATAAGCCATCACCGGAACATGACCCTGTCAAGCCGAACCCCAAGCAAGTCGCACAAACTGTCAGCAGAAGCGAGAAGACCTGGTACGCACATATCGCGGCCACGATAGAACGAGAGGAACTACCCCAGACTTGCTTTGAGCCTGCTGCCCTCTTGGGGAAGGTACCGGCGGTACCCAATGGCTCATTCCCCGAGCGCGTTGGGCGCTTGAAGAAGAGTGTCTTGGACGGACAACTCGTTGGAGTTGGCCATTCCAACTGGGAAATTACGGGACGGACAGACTGTGGCTTAGGCGGCCGTGAAAGAAAAACCGGGGATTGTCCCATTGTTCTTGGTGTTAGGGAAAGCACACCCATCAGGTTTCACGCAAATCCGGACCGGCCCCGAAGGGGGGTCATTTCGGCTATCACAGCAGGCCTGGGATACATCCTCTCCAAGCGACTGGTCGAGTTGCAGAGCCATAATAATGACGATATTTCCTCGCCTCCTAGTCATGTCTACTACACGAACAAAGTTGCGGCGGTGTGCCTCGAGGGGTCACCGCAACCTGCTACTCTTTGCCCTAGCGTTTTCATCGGTGATGTCGACGATGAGGCATGCAGATGGTGGCAAGCACTATTGGCGACAGGCCAGGGCTGGAAGGCTGAGATTGCCGCTGATAACGGAGGGGCTTTCCTACCACCATGGGCCATCCAAATCAAAGATAAGTTTATATGTCAGGTCAAGTGCGATCGAGGTACCTCCAATAAATCTGAACTTTCGCCGCCATCCTCGCTCCGCGCCATGATGTTCCTCCGCAATTTCTGTGAGCTTCATAATGCGACAACCGAATTCTCCATCGCTCTGGTAACTGCACTGATGCTGCCTGTTCATAACTTCTATGGGGTTCCGGCCAATCTCCAATGGCAGATTCTCGATGATGGCTGCTGTCCCAGGGTTAGTCCTCGCGATAACCAGCTAGAGATGTTCTGGAGCAATATTCAACGTTACCTTTCCCTCTGCGGTCATCCCCGAGGGGTCATGTCCAACCTATGCGGAGGATTCTGGGAACCAGATATCCCCTGCAACCTTGTACATGCCTGGTTTTATCCCCCTTTCGAACACCTGCCCACGGTTGAGGGGATCTCTGGCTCCACGCAACGCCATCATGAAGCTCTTCTTAGAGTGTGCGTGTGTCGCCGACCGAAGCTGGCCCCTCTCTTTCTAGGGGCTAACATGAGTGGAGTAATGTCACTCGTTCTCCGTTTTGTAAAAAGCGGAATCCCTGTCCTTGACTTGGATGCTGCTGGCTGGGCAGGGTGTGAACAAGGCTTCATTCAAAACAGTGGGCAACAAACACATGTTCAATCCAACAGCATGTCACGAGCAGATATTTGGCGCCTTCTTTACATCACTGAGGAATACCCGAGTCCTCCTCTCACGCCATGGAAGCCATTTGGTGAAATGGCGCTTCAGGACATACCGCTACAAGCCTCTACGCATCAAGGATGCTGTGACCATTATCTAATGTACCAACTATGGCGTTGGGAACTTGTTGATGGCTCTTTCCTTGAAGACGAAGGTCTACATCAGGACGATCTAAAAGTGTCTTCTATTGTCCATGGAGAATATTGCCCTACATCTATCCCATTGAGACTGCCCTTCATACAAGACACAGCCTCGGAAAATGCCACGAGGAATGCATTCCAATGGGTCACTGTCAATGGGGATGGATTTTCACCAAGAGAGCGTGAGATATATAAACATGAATGGGTGGGCGTTGGAGACGATTTTTCCGACTACTCCACTGCTGATGATTCTGAGTCTGGCGATGATGAACGCACCAAGTCCATACCATCTTCACTCCAGGCCACTCGTGACTGGCTCATGCAGTTGTAGCCTCATCTCTTTCATCCCTCTCTTCCCACCCGTAGTATCCGTCAGGTCCTCCCTCGTCCGGGCCATCACCCGGCGCACATGTCTCACTTTCTTTACATATGACATGCCGTTTGTGTGCTTGGGATTGTGATTTCTATCGGTTCAGCGTTTTGCAGAATTGTACCTACCATAGCTGTGCTCGGCGTTCTCTTATTCTGTCCCCCCAAACCAGCTTATACATATGGCGGAAATGATCGGGGATCTGGGGCCCCGCAATTGTGGGGCCGAAACCAGGATGTCGCACATGGGCAGCACCGGACTGTAGACTACACAGCCACCGCGTCAGCTGAAGATTCCTCCTCTTCGCTTGCACGTCAAGTGAATATGAAGCTCGGCAAAAGTCCTACCGATCTACCTGGGGTGATGAATGGTAAGGCTGCAGCCCACCTCGGCTGCTCACCTCGGCATTGTCAAAGCTCCAGTCTGTTCCAGTTACCGTGAACACTATGCCTTTCCCAGCAAGTCATCGTCCACCAAACTCCATTATGGCTCCAACCTTTTCGGCAGAGCATTGGGCCGAGCGCTACGGCCCCTCATCAACGGGGATATGGCGGACCGACGGAAAAGTATGGCCTATAAATCATGTTTGCGCTGAGGAGCATGAACATGCTCCGGAGCGAGTGTAATTGAGGCCAACTGCAATGTATCTCCTCCCTTTCTTCACAGCAGCAGCTCTTCTTCTTCCAGATGTGCTTGCTATTGGCACAAACGATCAGGTCGAATCTGACATCGATTATGGCACTTTTCAGAACCCCTCACCTAACGTGCGACCACGCTTCCGCTACTGGGTAAACGATGCGTCGATGAACTTAAGTGTGGTGGCAGAGGATGTAAAAGCTATCGGTAAAGCTGGGGCAGGAGGGCTCGAGCTAGTTGGCTATTATCTATATGGAGATTCGTCTAATTTTGGTGGACAACTGGCATCGCCGCTACAGTCGGATTGGACTGTATTCGGTTTTGGCAGTCCTGCATGGAGTGAGATCTTCTCTTCCTGTCGTTGAATAAATGGGGAGACATACTCACATATCAACAGAGAATCTAGTCGACACGGTCTTAACGGCAGCGAAGGAAAATGATTTAGTCGTCGACCTTGCAATCGGACCCAACCAAGGTGCCGGTGTCCCGGCACCATACAACGATGACGGCCTTTTGTGGGATCTTTCCGGGTTCAATTCAAGCTTTTCCACCGAACAAGGATTTGACGGCACCCTTCCGGGGTGGGGTGCAGGTCCCCTCATTGCAGCCGTTACAGGTCGCGTCAGTTCGACCGGCTCGAGCAATGAGACATATAAAGTGCTTGCGGAGAGTTCGCTACTCGATGTCACACATCTTGTCAGCTCCAGTGGACATCTTCAATTCCAGGCCAATGACACCACAAAAGGTCTTGAGCATCTCGTTTTTGCTTACTATCTTGTCCACTCTGAATACCGCGAGGTCCAGAGTCCTGCCGATGTTGAGGCCGCGGTCCCCCAATCGCCTGTCACGACGTACTCGCAGAATGGATCATGGGCTGTTGACCACTTCTCTTCCGAAGGCGCCCAAGTGACCGTGAACTTTTGGAGACAGGCGTTGCTGGACAATGAGACTGGCGCACTCATCCGTGAGGTCGGGAACTATATGTGGGAAGACAGCCAGGAATACAGTGTCTCTACCTGGTGGACTCCGCGTCTCCAGCAGGTGTTCCAGTCTAATCGAGGCTACAGCATCAACAGATTCATTCCCATTTTAGTCGGGTCCGGCGGCGGATCCACCCCAAACATCACCTATGTTACCGACGAGGCTGATGCAGGTACTAGTCATACTGTGGACTATCAACAAACTGTTCGGTCCCCTCTTCCCTATATTAGATATTCTGGTACTGACTCAAGTAGCTCACCGAACTCAATGCCGAATACCTCACATCCTTGACACAATGGAGCAATGAGCTTGGCATTCAGTTCTCCGCACAGGTCGTGTACAATCTACCGTTGGACATGCTCGCCAACGTCCCCTACGTCAACGGTCCTGAATGCGAAACACTAGGTTTCAGCAACAACATCGATGGCTACAGACAATATGCTGGCCCTGCACACCTCGCCGGAAAACGCATCGTATCTAGCGAGGCGGGTGCAGAGATGTCGAAGGTATATCAGGAACCTATACCAGAACTCTTATGGGGCCTGAAGCGTTCCCTAGCTGGCTCAGTGAACCAGTTTGTGCTTCACGGGTATCCTAATTCAGGCAACTATGGTAATACGACATGGCCCGGCTTCACTACCTTTGCATATATCTTTTCGGACATGCATGGTCCCCGCCAGCCGGCATTTGCCTTCTACGGGGATTTTCTTGATTGGCTTTCCCGGAACCAATTTGTTGGACAGACAGGCGTCCCAAAGGTGGATGTTGCGTTTTGGTCCAAATCCACTTCGTACGAATCTGTTCCAACTGTTTACAGTCCAGTTGATTTACAGAACGCAGGTATTGTTTTATATTCTAGGTCAACTGCTATGGCACTAACTATAGTCTAGGTTATACCTACGAATACCTTAGCCCAGACAACTTTGTGCTACCCGGGGCATACGTTTCAAATGGCACCTTTGCGCCGAATCAGCAAGCTTTCAAGGCCCTTGTTGTCCGAGCGAATGAGACTTTGACGGCAATTGGCGTCGCCAAACTTGTTGAATACGCTCATGCCGGGCTCCCGATTATCTTCTCTGGAGGACTGCCGTCAAACTTTAGCGGGTACAACCCAGAAGCCGCGCGAACAGCTACCAAGGCACTGAATAATCTAACCTCCTTGAATAATATTCACGTTGTCTCGTACAATAATTTGGCAGAGACCCTCCGTTCGCTCGACATATCGCCGCGGACGTCAGTGAGCGCAAACCGCACCTGGTACACCACCTGGAGGCACGACACGGCCACACTCAAGGATTACGTCTACATATACAACGATGCAACTGGGGTGCCGTATGGAGGTGGCTTTTCGGTAGGAAGCGTATCCTTCGAGACAACCGGGACACCTTTTCTGTATGATGCCTGGTCGGGAGAAGTGACTGCCTTGCCCTTCTACCAGCAGTCCGAGACGCATGTCACCGTCCCGCTCCAGCTAGCTGGCAACCAGTCGATCATTATCGGCTTCCATAAGGACACCCAACCAAGTCTTCACGCCCAGAATACCACAGATGGAATTCTCTGGGCCACGGGGAATACGACGTCCCTCACCGTTTACCGATCCTTTGATCAGCAGACTCGTTCCCTACAGCTTTCAAACGGAAAGTCTGCAACGCTCGCCCCGATGCTAACGCCTGCCTTTACCCTCAGTAACTGGACGCTGATAGTCGAGTCATGGACACCGCCTTCGAACATTTACGACATTGAGGCTGGGTCAACGCGCACGAACCACACATTCGAGGTTCCCACTCTATTACCCTGGAATCAGGTCTCATCATCTCTGGCCAATGTATCGGGACTGGGGTACTACTCGACAACGTTCAGCTGGCCTCCCCAAACTACTAACGGGGCGGTATCCGGTGCGGTAATCGACATTGGTCCCATTACTCAGACCGCACGGGTCACAGTCAATGGACAAGTGTTGCCCCCGGGAGAAATCACCTGGGCGCGGTGGGATATTGGGCATTTGCTCCAACGCGGACGGAATACTGTTGATATCGTTGTTAGCACCCCGCTTGGGAATGGCCTGCGGACGTACTGGGATCAACTTGAGACAAGTGGGAAGCTTGCCAGTGCAGTGGTTCCGTCGCCCCCAGATGAGGCGGAATACGGACTTCTAGCTCCTGTGCAGATTGTTGCATATCGCGAAGACCGGGTGGCTTAATACTGAATTAGATATAGGACATGATCTGGAATCCAATGCCCATATGGTCTAATGGAATCGGTGATGTATAAAAAGAGAGTAAAAAACCAAATCCCTGACTACTCAGGTCAGCAAATAACCCATCTGCTCTATCCCCAGTCCAATACTTCACACCTCACGCCTCCCCCCTCTTCAACCTCTCCGCCAACTCCACATACGACCCCCTCCTCACATCCTCCAAGATACCCACCCTCTCCGGCTTCCACCCCAACACCCTCATGGCCTTCCCCCCCGACGCCCTATTCTCCGTACTCCAAAACCTGCCCAAAAACCCCCACCTCTCCACGGCCTCCTCAACACCCACAACCCCAACCCTCACCCCCAACACCTCCGCCATCGCCCTCCCCAACTCCCCAAACGTGACTCCCCACTCCGCACACCCATTAAACACCTCCCCATCCTCCGCCCGCTCCGCCACCAACAAAAACAACCTCGCCGCATCCTCCACATGCACCGCCGCCGTCCTCCCCCCTCCATCCCCAATAACCAGCACCTCCCCCATCCCCATAAACATCCTCATAAACAACCCCACCCCGCTCTCTCCCCCACCCCCATACACCCACGGCGCCAACCGCACCACACAAACCCTCACTCCCCGCCCTCTCACCCCCAAATTCCTCCTCTCCGACTCAATCCGCTCGTTCAGCGGCGTCTCCCATAACGCACTCGTTTCGTCGGTTTCCTGTCCCGTCGCGGCCACCACCAATGACCCGGACGTCACGACTAGCGTTTTGCGCTGGGTATCACTCCTCCCTGCCATCCCGTCCGCAATGGCCCTAACCGCGGCATCGTCGATCGCGATCCGTTCCGTGTACGGCAGGGCATAGTTACCGGACATCGGGTCCGCGAGGTGGATCACTATATCTGCCTGTTGGGCTTGCGTGCGCAGGATATCCAGGCTGCCGAGGTCCCCCCGGATCGGGACCGCGCCGAGAGAGCGGATTTTTATGTCGCTGGTGGGGGTCCGGGAGAGGCTGTGCACGGTGTAGTTCTTGGATAGGGCGTGGGTGGTGAGGACGCTGCCGATGTAGCCGCTGCCGCCGGTGAGGAAGAGGTGGGGCATGATGAATTGTTTTGATGGGAGGGTATGTTTGGTTTGAGTCTGGGGAGGGATGGGATGGGGTGGTATGGTATGAATTGGGAAGTTGGGGTTTGTTTCTTATATATGGAGGAGGAGTTTTATCTGGGATGGATGTTGGTGTAGGGAACGGGGATTGTGGCTTAAGTCCGTAGAGTAGGGACGGAGTTTAGATATGTCGGTGTTAGGTCCGGGTTGGGGATTATGGGATGATGGGTTGAGGGAGGGTTGGTGGATGCATACGGATCAGGGACTGGCCGAGGGTGTGGCATAATGTTATGCTGGGTAGAGGGAATCATGTCAGGTGGAAGGTAGGGCTGGTTTGCGCAGGTATGGGCTGCTCCTGTTAGTGCTTATCATCTAGTTCTATTATTGCAGGGTTTAGTAGTTGGTTAGTGTAGTTGGTGACTGAGTGCCGGGTATAATGCCCCATTTGCTGAAAGACTGTAAGCCGGAGATGCTTATTTACTATGAGTAGATTTCGATGGAATAGAACGAGAGACTTTCTGTTGGTATGTAAATATCTTATATATTAGATCAAAAACCCATTAAAGCACAGTAGTTATATTGCTGATGGGCATGAGCACGTTTCGCATCAAAAAGGAACCTCCTGGCCTTTGTAAGTGACAAACCGACCTCCAACCGTCTCTCTTGTGGCGCCATCGAACTACCCATTCATTAGCACCACCACTCCACAACGGTATCACCGGAAATGTGAATAAACATACCAGCTTAATCAAAGCATCCGCACACTCCTGAGGCTCCGTAAAAGCCTCCTCCAACCCAATACTCTTCGCACACGCATTCCCCATTCCCGTCTTGACAAATCTACCCCACCACCATCATCAATACCAGATCCCCCCCAAGGAAAGGGAAAATAAACTCACCCCGGATGCACAATAAAACAAACCATCCCCTCATTTTCCACATGCATCTTCCTCGTCGCCCAATTCACCGCCGCCTTACTCAACCCATACGCGCCCCCCGGGAAATGCTCCTCCGTGAGTCCCGCAATACTCCCCAAGAAGCTACTCACGGTGATGAACATCGGCTTGCTACTGTTCTTCAGCAGCTCATAGGTACTCTGGAAGAGACGGATCACACCGAGTGTGTTCACTTCCAGGTGCAGCTGCACGGTGGAAAGGGGCACGTTGTCGATGCGGTACTCGGCGTCGTCGTAGTGGCCGGCGTTGGCGATTACGGTGTCGATGTGTGTGATTTGGTAGGTGGTTTTGAGGGTCTGGATGGCGGTGGTGGTGTTGGTGGGGGATTGGGCGTCGAGAGTGAGGACGATGAGAGACGAGGTGGGTGAGGTCGGAAGGGTGTGGAGGGTGGTCGTGGCGGGGTTGCGGACGGTGGCGATGATGGTGGTGTTGGGGCGGAGGAGGAGGGTTTGGGTGAGGGCGAGACCGATTCCTGAGGTGGTTAGGGAGGATGCATCATGGCGAGAGTGGGAGATTTGGGTGATGGCGAGGTGTAATACCTTTGTTGGCGCCGGTGATGAGGTAGATGGTTGGAGAGGTCATTGTGCGGGGCAGAAGGATCACGGCAGCGGTGAGTAGTAGTTGAAGATGGCGATGGATGAACAGGTGCTTGAACAAGTGTCTGAGCAGTGAGAACAGGGGATTTCTGGGGGGATTGCATTTGAGGGAGAAGAACTTCGCTTTTATAGTCCCTGGGTTTGGGTTTAGCTAAGATGGGATTAGGGCTATGGCTGACGAATCGTGGCTGCCGGTGGCTCGAGTGACTCCCAGTCTGCACCCACCTATAGTCAGCCTATGTGTGTCACATTATCCCTGGTATAGATCCTTCGAAGATACATGCTCCTATAATCGTCTCAGATAACTCACCTCGTTGCCCATATCCCAGTATCTCTTCCTATCGCCCCAATAGGAACGACCATACTTCTTGGCAACAGGGAGGTTGCAGAGAGCAAGATCCAAATATGACCCTCTAGATGCAAGTTCTTACAAGTGAATTTCTTTAGAGCTACCGAGTGACGTACTACCACTGTGACAATAACAGAGAAAAGGAGAATTAGGACCAAGGAAGAGAGTCTTCGTCTCGGCAATGATCGAGTAGATGACCACAAAATATAGGCATTAGACCGAAGGTTTATCACAACCTACCTGAATGGAAGAGTGACATGCACAACATTTGAATGGTTTCACAATCAGCGTATAATCATACCCATCTGATTTGGTAGAGGCTGCAGTGGAGCAAACTGAATCCTGGCAAATACTGAGTTGCAACTGCGGCTGATTATTCCAGTGTGCCTAGCGCAGAACGTGGATCAGGGTTCACCTGAAAGACTACACCGAGCACCTAGAGCAAAACCTAACACTGAGAAGCCAATGACCCAGTCATGCCTGGATCTATAAGTTATCAGTGGTAACTGAGTAGTGTGGCATATTGGATAGACCTATAGTCATGCCTCAGGCACATGTAGCTACCATTTACGGACTAGCGCCCAGCTCCGACCTCCAAGCTCCAGACTCAGCTCCGAAGCAGTCAACTACTCACAGTCCAACACCCCATACCGAAAATGTCCTACGCAGTCGAGACGAAAAAGCGCAAATTTCACCGAGTCCTCGAATCCCTGACCAAATCCTCAACCCCCGACTCCAGATCAGCCTCCCCCGAAGCATCATCAGCACGAGACCCATCGAACAAGAAAGCCCGACTGGACACAAACAACTTCTCGAGTGTCCGGAGCTCCCTACTCAAGGTCGCACGTCCCAGCTCTCGAGACTCATCCGTATCGTCGACTTCGCGACCAAGCTTCGTTCCGTGGGATCGCGAGCGCTTTCTGGAGCGATTGGAAACCTTCCGTCGCGTCGACCGATGGGCACCGAAACCGTCTGCGATCAGTGAGGTGGAATGGGCGAAGCGCGGCTGGATATGTACGGATGTGGCCCGAGTAACGTGTGTTGGAAGCTGCGGTGGCTCGGTCGTTGTCAAGCTCCCGGACGAGCTGGATGAATTGGATGGATACGATGGCGAGAAGGTGCAGGAGCGGAAGGAAGTTCGTGAGTGCAGCTGGCCTGTATTCATTTCGCGATACTAATTAATCAGGGGCCAAACTCGTGGATGAATACGCAGGATTAATGATCAAGGGACATGGAGAGACGTGCCCGTGGAGGAACAAGGGCTGTGATGGTATGTTATTGTTCTTGGGTCCATTCTGCGAGCTGACGGTAAAGCTACCATCCATCGGTTACCCCTGGCCAATCCCGAAGTGGCGATTTCTGGCCTGCAAAAGCGCTACGCGAATCTCGTCAAGATGGCCGATCAATTGCCGGCACAAGAAGTCATTCAAGCGCCCGAGTCGTTCGACCTAGAGACACTTGTCGGAATCTTTCCAGCGGAATTCAAAGGGTCCGAAGAGGAACCGCGAACGGAAAGCGTTGAGACGCCCACTCCAGAGGGTGTTGATGAAAATACGGATAGCACACAGAAAACTGCGCCTGAGCCATCCATTTCCAAAAACGCTTTCATGCTGGCCTTTTTCGGCTGGGATTGTGTCCCAGATGGAACGGCCGGTCTGGCTGGCTGCAGTGTGTGCTTCCGACGTCTGGGTCTGTGGATGTACAAGCCAAAGAGCAACGGGGATGCCGCTCTGTACGACTCGCTGGACGTGATCAACGAACACATGGAATACTGTCCTTGGGTGAACGGAAAGGCTCAAAGCGGCACAGGCCGGGCATCTGAGAAATCAGAAGGTCTGCGTTGTGGATGGGAGCTACTAGGCCAGGCGCTCGATGTGCGTCATCGTCGACTGATTCGATCGACGACTTCGGTCAGTCGATCTGTCTCGGAGGTGCCATCCACGGATGAGCCGGTGGTAGACGATACCAACCCAGAGGCCAAAAAGGCTAGTGATCGAGAATGGTGGGCCAAGCTACGCCGGATGAGACAGGTTTTGAATGTCAATTCACCTCGAAAGAAGCCGACCGCCAAGTGATACCCTGCATTTCTGCATCCGATACTGTCCTCTATTTGGGTTAATTTCCGGCAGCGTGGCGTTAGGCATTCTTCATAGATAACTCATCATGTCCATATATTCTTTATTTTCAGCAAGCCTGTGTATCGGCGTCGATTAAACAGCTTCAATTGAATTCATTCTCAGCCAGAATGAACCCAGAGATGATTCACCATCTAGCAAACATAAAATTGATCTGTGGAAGCCCAATGCAACACCACCCCAACACAAATAAGGCGAAGAAGAGAACGGCCCATCCGACGTGTCCCCCAGTCGTCCTCTTCCGCCGGTACTTTTTCCAGCCCGGTCCCGTGCGCTCCGGCAAAGGCAGAAACGAAACCACCTCCGCATCCGCAATGACCTTGGATGCCATGTCAGCTGGCAAGTTGCCCGCATACGGAGCCCAGTAGCGCCCAAAGACGGTGTTGAGGAAGCCATCTCGGGCCTGAACGCGGGAGACCGAGGCCGCGGTGCGACACATGCCTACCATGCGGGCATATCGAGTCTGCCGGTACTGCTGCAGGAGATGTTCAATCTGGGCGTTCGATGGCTTGCAGACGCCGCGTACGTTGACGAGATCGTGAAGAAGGGACGAGAGTGTGGCAGCATCCTCAAAAGCGCAATTGGCACCCTGGCCAAAGTTGGGTGTCATCTGCACGCGTCAGCTCAAGTCTAGATTTTCCACCGAACATACCTTGTGAACACTATCACCCGCCAAAACCATCCGCTCATAATGCCACGTCTCGAAGAAGCCCTCCTCCAGAGCCGTCATCGAGAACACCTCTCGATTCTTCCACAGATCGCCCACGCAGATATCCTTCCAGAACCGCACATGCTTGAGTCGATAGAGAAGCCGTTCGGCGTCCTTGTCTGAGAATCGTGGGACATCGGGATAGACATACTTCTTGTCCAGCTTTTGGATCACAAACCAGAATATCCGACCATGTCTGCCATGGATCGTCAGCACGGACAAGTGGTCGAATATCCCGTTGATCTGCTCGCTTATCTCAAGACCTGGGATGGCCGAGGAGATTCCAAATACGCAGGCATATTCAACCGTCATGCCTGGCTCATTAGCTTTCTCTTAACTCTCAATTAGGAGCCAGAGACATACAGGTCTTCTCACACTTTCTGAGAGCCCCGGACTGCCTCTCCGCCATTCTCCACATCTCACTTCTCACTCGACTATGCACCCCATCAGCACCAACCACGAGATCACCCTCATACACCGACCCATCAGTCGTAACAACAGCAACACCATGGTCCAACGGTCGCACCCCAACCACCCTTTTCCCCGTTAGAACATTCTGCTTCGCGCGAAGCCTCTCATACACAATCTGCAGGAAGCGTTGTCGATCGAGAAACGCAATCGGATATCCGAACCTAGATCCTTAGCGCCTTTCCTGGATTATCAATATAATAAACAAGGGAAAAGAGCATACCTATCCCCCACAACCTTTGGATAGACATTACTAAAGCTGTACCCATCCGGATAAATGATATTCGCCTGATACAAAGGTTCAATCACTCGTTCGATATCATCGAACAGACCCAGTTGCTCAAGGATCCGTCCACCATTCGGCATAATACCTATTGAAGCACCGACCTGCGGGGCAATATCGTTCCCTTTTTCCAGGACCAGGTATTCGATGTTTGCCCGCTCCAGACAGTGCGCGAGGGTAAGGCCTGCGACAGAGCCGCCGACGATAAGGACACGGAAGGGGGGTTGTTGAGAGTTGGCCATCTTACCACTTTGAGTTAGGGATAGGTTATCTTGAAGGATTGAAGTTTTACTCGGCAAAATGGATAGGAGAAGCAAATTTGATGCAGAAGAGGGTAGGCCTCCAAAGCTGAATAGATTGCTCCGCTATCACAGCTCCAGGGAACTTTCGGTCGGCTCACAGCATGGCCAGTATGCGGGGCCAGCCCAGTCCTTCACTTTGGAATCTGAGTCTGCCTCTGTGGCACATTTACTTGACTGGACTTTTCATGTGCTACCAGAGGGGCTGGTCATCACGCCATCATCATGTGCAATTTTAAGCAGGGAACGAAAGGCAAGTGTAGCTGGACATCCCGTCACAATTGATCTGAGACTGCTCTAGATTCCAAATGGTGTACTCAATGCGTCTAACCATAGATACATGACATCTTGACCTGGCCCAACTGATGCTGTGCAGTACGAGCAGATACTCCGTTGACCACGACAGATACTAAAGAATGTGACACAATATGAACTTTTCCCGCCAATTCGTCAGGTACCATGGTGGCTGTGTTACAATGTATATGCCCTCAATCGCCAGTGGTGGCCATCTGGCAGACCCGTCTCTAAAAGAGTGATCTATCTCTGCTTATACTTGATATGCTGGGATTCCTCTTCGCGCCGCTTGACAAGAAAATATAGGAACCCATACAGCAACTCGGAGAGGAAAAATGTGGCCACAGACCACCATATAATTGGACAGTTCAACCACGAAAATGCTTCCGGCCAGTAGAAGTATCGAACGAGAGCAAAGCCCATGGCTGTTGTCGATCCAAAGAACCTTGAGATCCTGTGAAGGTCAGCAAGGCAGGCCGCACAGGTATAATTGTCACTCACCACAACGTCCATGAAGCGCCACGCGTGTTTCCTCGACTCAGCAGTTGGAACACATTGCCTACGCTGATGCACATCTGGCACGCAATAGCGCCCCATGAGTAAGCTGCTGCCGGCCCGAATTGGGCTACCAGAGCCATCTGCCCACTCAGCAACACAAGCGTCATTGCTGTGAATACAAGAAGCATGTTGTCCCTCACAAGTGGGGAGTGAGCCCATTCGTTTGGAGCATTCTTGGCCGCCACGTAGATGACGCCCAGATCAAGAATAAGGCCCAAGAGGAAAGCCATGCGCTCGGCAAATCCTTTCGCAGGATACAATACACAATACACAAACTCCCAGGCAAAGTTGATACATTGGCCCACGATCGTCATGCAGTATGTTTTGTCTCTGGCAGAGGTGTACGCCATTTCCACATAATGGGCGCCCCAGCTGACGGCCATTCCGATGACGAAAATGTTGACGAGCCATTTCAACTCGTGATACTCCGGGGGAGCAGTGGAATGATCGAATCCATCCATTGGAGGCGGGAGAGGAGGGACTAGTTTGGATGAGTGGTAGGAAAGATACCTGAGAGATGTTCCTCCTGTCGGCTGACGCTGCTTATATAGGACTTGTGGCTGTTCGTCGGCTTCTCACAATGGTGTCAGTGAAAGCGTCTATGCCACGCTTGTGCAATGAACAATATTTGCCTGTCACGGTCTGTTTCTCATCCAGGTAGGACCATCATAGCCATCAATAATTGTGTCACCAGTGTACCTTTCATGTCCAGCGACCTGCAAGGCAGTCAGGGGATTTCTCGAGGCGTATTACCTCTGCTGTGCTGCTAGACGCATGCCACCATACCTGACCACCGCTTGCACTTGAACAGTCAGTAAATGGCATTGCTCGCAGGCTCGAGCGCACTGAAGGACCAGTGTAACTTTCCAAAGCTACAGCATCCCCAGGAGATAAGTCCTGAGCTATTTCTGCTGGGCCACCGTGCCATGACATACATATATAGAGCGTCCCATCGTATTCTATCGGATACTCTCACCGTCCTCCGTTAATTATCGTTGTCCTTGCGTCCTCGTCTCACAAACAGATGAACCATGACGGCGCTCTCAGACGTTGCCTCCATGTCTCTTCCCTTGGTGGCAACCATAGGCATCGTGCCGCTCGTATACTATGTCCTTGATCGGATGGCCCCTCTGTGGCCGACATCCAAGAAGGCTTTTTTGATAGGCAAGAAGAAGCCAGAAACCGTGACGTCGTTTGAATGTCCATACGCCTACATCCGCCAAATCTATGGCAAGTATCACTGGGAGCCTTTCGTGCAGAAGCTCTCCTCGAGGCTGAAGGATGCGGACCCAGCCAAGTATAAGATGGTCTTGGAAATCATGGATGCGATCCATCTGTGTTTGATGCTGGTCGATGATGTATGCTTGTCCCAGCTACCAAGAACTAGTCTAACAGAGTCAGATCACCGACAACAGCGACTTCCGGAAGGGGAAGCCAGCAGCTCATAGGATATACGGTCCTTCGGAGACGGCAAACCGCGCCTACTATCGAGTAACGCAGATTCTCAACGAAACAGTTCAGCGGTTCCCGAAACTGGCTCCATTCCTACTGCAGAATCTGGAAGAGATCCTCGAGGGTCAAGATCTGTCCCTGATCTGGCGACGAGACGGACTGAGCAGTCTGTCCACGAATCCAGAGGAGCGCGTTGCAGCCTATTGCAAGATGGCGTCGTTGAAAACGGGAGCTCTCTTCCGGCTGCTGGGACAGTTGGTGATGGAGAACAAGTCGATGGATGAGACGATGACGACTCTTGCGTATTGCCCCTAATCTTATTTTCCACTCTCTTTGAAGTTACAAAAGCTGACCTAAATAGATGGTGCTCCCAACTCCAGAATGACTGCAAGAATGTCTACTCGTCCGAATACGCCAAAGCCAAAGGCGCGCTTGCCGAAGATTTACGCAACCAGGAACTCTCCTATCCGATTATCCTCGCGCTAGAAGCCCCCGAAGGACACTGGGTAGCCAGTGCGTTAGAGACCAGCTCCCCACGCAACATCCGCAAGGCACTCGCCGTGATTCAGAGCGAGCGGGTGCGCAACGCTTGCTTTACAGAACTCAAGTCTGCGAGTGCCTCGGTCCAGGACTGGTTGGCGATCTGGGGGCGGAACGAGAAGATGAATTTGAAGAGTCAGCAGGCATAGCTGCGTGCTTCGTTGGTATAGGAGTGTCACTTCTGGGTATGGTTGTTGTGCCAAAACGCATACAAGGTTAGATCAAATAAATATATGTAAACTTATACCTTACGATTACATTACTGACCTGTCTGAGTCTACCTTCAGATGAGCAGGGAAGTGAACGAGGCGGTGGCTATCAGCCCTATATCGGCTCAAATAAAGGCATAGACATAGTCCGAACGGGCACTGCAGTGTGTTACACGACATTGACCAGAGGAGTATTACTACTCCGTCGACTGATGAGATTCGGAGCAACTTGGCGGAAATTATCTGCAGCCGTACTCATCATTGCATCTGGACCAATCGACTGTACTCTGTAGATGTTTGCTTGAGTGGATGTGTGTAACCGATACGCTATGCTGCATCATAACAAATTTCCTGTCTCCTTCTTACGAAGGCTGCTACAGGTCAGGCACTGTGCTTGTCTGCATGACATATAGTACTATCCGGGAGTATCCCATCCTATGGTTGACCACACACTCCAATTTGCGTCCCTCCTACTACCACCCATGCTCGGCCCAAACACGATACCTCTCCTATCCACGGCCCCTCTCCCTCAGAGACAAACCCAATCCCCTACTTCAATAATCAATATAACTCCATCCGTAACTTATCCTCATCCCCATCCCCCTACCATTCCAACCCAACCCATCATGTGCCCCCTCCTCCCAATTTCCCACCTCCTCCCCATCACCCTCGGCATCACCACCCATCTAACAATCTTCATCCACGCCGACATTGAAAAACACGCCGTCCTCATCTTCCACACATTCATCCTCACCCCCATCCTCTGCACCATCTCCCTCTATCTCCTCGGCTACCACGACCTCTCCCAAACCACCACCCTCGCAATCCTCAGCCACCACACCTCCCTCCTCCTATCCATCGCAACCTACCGCTACTTCTTCCACCCTTTAAACGGATTCCCCGGTCCCAAAGCCGCACGGATCAGCGCCCTCTGGGCATCCAAGCCCGCGGTCGTGGATGCCAAGTGGCATGTGCGGGTGAGACAGTTGCATGGTGTTTGGGGGGATGTGGTTAGGATTAGTATTTCCCTTCCCCTCCCCCTTCTTTCCCTCTTTTTCTGATGCTGGGTTTGGGTTTGGGGATTGCTAATTGGGATATGCATGTAGAGCCACGAGAAATATCAATTAACGATCCGGGTGCCATCAGGGATGTATATGGGGTGGGGACGACGTGCGTGAAAGGCCCGTTTTATGATCTGATGTATCCGCATCGGTCGTTGCAGATGGTGAGGGATAAGGGGTATCATTCGAGACGGAGACGGTTGTGGGACCGGGGGTTTAGTAGCAAAGGTTTTGTTCTTATATCTTATATGTTATGTTATTGGGGAAACTGGACTAATGTTGGGATAGCGCTGGCAGGCTACGAGCCGTTTATTCTGGAACATTGTAGGGATTTGGCTACGCTGATCGCGTCGAGAGGGGCACAAAAACAGGAAGCCACAGAATTGATTGATGGGTTTGCGTGGGATTCGATGGGGACTCTGGCGTTCAGCAAGTCGTTTAATATGTTGCAGGGCTCGCCGCCGAAAATGTTGAGGATGATGAGGAGGATTGGTCGCGGGGCGAGTCTATTGGTGTGTGCGTCTTGGGCGGTTATATTCCTGAGGAATATGGTGGGGGTGAGGTATACGACGGAGAAATGGTTGGAGTGGTGTGCGCAGGAGGTGGAGGAGAGGAAGAGGAGAAGTGTATGTTTATCCCCAAGGGAGGTGTTCGTTGGCTGACTGTGGTAGGGTGAACTTGATCGTCGGGATTTGTTCAGCTATCTGATTGAGGATTCAATAGCTGGTAGCGAGCATACTCCGACAGGGACAGATGGAGACCTGGTGCGGGATACAGAGCTCGCCGTGGCCGCCGGCAGCGATACCACCGCCAGCACCCTCAACGCTTTGATTTATCTCCTGGCGCAATATCCGGACAAACTACGGCGGTTGCGCGAGGAGATGGACTCGGCTGTCCCAGCGGGTGAGGATGTATCCCATGCTGCATTGGTCGGGAAGCCCTATCTGGAGGGCTGTATCAACGAGGCCCTGCGTCTGTATCCTGCTGTCATGAGCGGATTGCAGCGAGAGACCGGACCAGAAGGCCTCCGAACCGCGGGGGTCTACATCCCTCCACATACACTGGTGTCGGTGCCAACCTATACGATCCAACGAGGTGAGATCTTACACCCACTGAAAGACCAAGCTAACCTTCCAGATCCGCGTAACTTTCACTCTCCCGACGACTTCATCCCGGAGAGATGGTCCAGCGAACCCGAGCTGGTGATTCGGAAAGAAGCACTAAACCCCTTCTCGACGGGTACATATTCCTGTGCAGGGCGGCCCTTTGCCATGATGGAGATGCGACTGTTGGTATACGCGCTGGTGAAGCATTTCGAGATCGAGTTCCCACCAGGAGAAGGAAAGGAATCCCTAGACACACTAGGAGGGACAGGGGCACAAGACTGTTTCACGACTCACATTCCACCGTATCATCTGATCTTTACGCAGAGATAGAGGGGTAATGCAAACTGTAACACCATGCGCTTATCAGTAAACCTGCGTCCTGTACGGAGTACTCCGTAGTGTCAGTATGTCCGGATGCGGCCAGGGGAAACACGGTTAATGCCGAGTCCAACCAAGGAATCAACCAATACCGATCAACGCCTTGAATGAGTTCTGCGGCCTTTATCTGCATCGCATCCCTGTCATGGAGGTCATTCCCTACACCCATCATGGCCGAGCAGCAGCAGCAGCAGCAGCAGCCGCCGCCGCGCGCTGGCAAACGAGGCAGCATCAGTATGTACGACCCCGCGCGGGACCGATGGGAGGAGCAGCAGCAGCAGCAGCCGATGGATCGAAGTGATCCACCGGTGTTGACTTTGGGGACATCACAGGTAAGTCTCAGCCTCCGGCTAGTTTAAGTGGTTCCAGCGTTGGTTGCGACTGGAGACGAGTGGAGACGAAGAGAATAGCTTCCTTTGCCGTGGCGCTAGGCGGTGATCCATCCCGGCAGTATTACTTCTGCGCGTTGGTCTCGGCGAAATCTCTGTTCATTCATCCCCATCAGAATCCAATCCAACCCTCACTGACGTCGAATTGATCGGGTAGCTGGATGATTCTATCGCGACGTTAAATTCTCCTCATCCTGCAACCACCCTATCCCTCGCCGAGCCGTCCTTGATTCAGTCTCCGATTCCGACACCAGCATCGCCATCTCAACCCGCACATCAACATAAGACATCTGCATCTGTATCGAGCACGATGGGTGACTACTACCGCTCTGGGTCCGCTCACGCCGAATCCGCAGAAGGCGACTACGCGTACGACCACGCGACCGACCACAAACGCAAGCTGGACGACGAGCCCGCCGAAGCCACCTACACAACCGATCGACCCGTCTCGAAGCGCAAGCGTCTCGAAGAACGACACCAGAAACTCCGGAAACGCGGGCAAGCTCCCCCGTCTGCATACTCACGACGAGACGGCGATGAAGTCTCTAGTCGACCCGCACCGCCGCCCCGATCTCCCTCCCCGGATCTGCCGCCCCGGTCGCCCACGCCGGAAACCCGTCAGCGCAAGCGACCGGGTGGTGGTGCTCGACGGGGTCTGGTGGATCGGGAGACGCTGCGACGGAGACAGGAGGAGCGAGAACGCGCACAGGAAGAAGATGCGATTCGGAACTCGCAGAGTCGGGGCATGACGGATATTGTTCGCCAGCATTATAACGCCGTCCCGCAGCGTGGTCGGGAGTGGCGCAAGACGGAGAGTAAGATTAAGGGTCTGCGCAGTTTCAATAACTGGGTGAAGAGTACGTTGATCCAGAAGTTTTCGCCGGATGAGGAGTTTGTGGCGCGGTCGATTGGTACGAAGGACTGGGCGGATGGGACGGGGCCTCCGCCGGTGGAGGAGAAGCGGCTCTTGGTGATTGATCTGGGATGTGGCAAGGGAGGGGATCTGGGCAAGTGGCAGCTGGCGCCGCAGCCGGTGGATCTCTACGTGGGATTGGATCCGGCGGAGGTGTCGGTCAATCAGGCGCGCGAGCGGTATATGGGGATGCGGACGGGTCGGGGGCCCCGTGGCCGTCGGGGACCTCCGCTGTTTCATGGGGAGTTTCGGTCGAAGGACTGCTTTGGGGAGTGGTTGGGGGATGTGGATATTGTTCAGCAGGTGGGGATTGATTCCAATGCTGGGCCGGGAGGGTCAGTGATGAGCTCGCGATGGGGCGGTGGTGGGTTCGATGTGGTGGCGTCTATGTTCGCGATTCACTACGCTTTTGAGAGCGAGGAGAAGGCCCGACAGATGCTGCGCAATGTAGCTGGGTGTTTACGGAAGGGTGGCCGGTTCTTGGGCGTGTGTCCGAACTCGGATGTGATCAGTGCCAAGGTGGCCGAGGCCAATGCCAAACGCAAGGACCGCGAGAAGACGCAGAAGGAGGCGGAGCCCGAGGATGGTGAAGTGGAAGAGGAAGGCAAGGTGGAATGGGGGAATTCCATCTACCGGGTACAGTTTCCAGGCGAGACACCTGAAGATGGAGTGTTTCGGCCGCCGTTTGGCTGGAAGTACAGCTACTTTATGGAGGAAGCGGTGGGAGAGGTTCCGGAGTATGTGGTGCCGTGGGAGGCGTTTCGCGCGTGAGTACCTGCAGCCGCCCTGATCCCGATAATGTACTAATGGAGCAGATTGACGGAGGAGTACAATTTGGAGCTACAGTACCGCAAGCCATTCTTGGAGGTGTGGCGGGACGAGAAAGACGACGCGGAGCTGGGACCGTTGAGCGAGCGGATGGGCGTGCGGGATCGTCATACAGGGGAGTTGGCGATGACGCCGGAGGAGCAGGAGGCAGTTAGTAAGTTTTTCTTCTTGGATGGTGGGCTGCTGAATGGATTGTGCTAACGAGATAGGTTTCTACCATGCGTTTTGTTTCTACAAGGTGTAAACGAGATACCGTGGCAGATACCAGTATGGCAGGATTAGGAATATCAGAATAGCAGATACTACTAAAAGTAGTACATCGAACAGAATTCGTGGAAGACAGGATAGCAATAATACAGCCATCATCACCCGATCCATCACCGTAGATAATATCTTGGCAACCCTATCGATAAGATAACACGCTCCACCAACCCCAAACCAGCCTAGCGCATGCATCGCGTCGCGTCTCGTTATTCTTTATCTCATCAAATTGAACAAAGAGATATCTGCCTCTGCTTCAGTCCCTCCACCTCTTTCTCTTCTTCACACTCTACGTCTCACATCCTACATCTATCCAACACCTAACATCCCCATCAAACCCCCCCAATACAATAAGAGAAAATGCCCCGCCGCCCCCCCTCAACCGCAACCGCAACCCCAACCCCAACCCACACCCACCCCTCCACCACCACCACCAGCACCCTCCCGCACCTCCTCACGCAACAAAACACACACCCGGCTCTGGTAGCACTCCAAACCACCCACACGGCCTCATCCCTCAAGACGCATCTCCAGCACGCGCAGGAGAAGTTAACCGATGCGGCGGGGGAGATTAATGAGCGGTTGACGGATGCGAGGGAGAGGGAGAGGAGGGGAGTGGAGAGGAGGAGGAGGAAATATATGAATGTTTCTGAGGGGAATCGGGGTGAGGGTGGGGATGTTGATGGGGATCAGAATCAGAATCAGAATCAGGATGAGGGGGATGGGGATGGGGATGAGAATGAGAATGAGGGGGAAGGTGGAGATGGGAACAGGAATAGTCTATCCGCATTCGAAAACGCAGTGTCGAAGACGACGGCACAGCTCGAGGAATCCATGCGCGGGAGTATCGACGCCGAAGTACGGTTTGAGAATCTGGGGATGGTGTTGGGAGGGTTAGAGCGGGGGGTCGTGGGGTTGTTACAAAGACGGAGGAATTCTCGGCGGACGAGGGCGGGGGTTGCTGCTGCTGCTGCTGCTCATGCTCAGGAGGGGGATGAAGATGGGGATGAGGAGGAAGAGAATGAAGAAGGGAGGGATCCGCTACTGGTGCAGTTTGAGACCGGGGTGGATGAGAAGGAGGGGGAATGGAATGGGTTGTCGCTTACGGAACGGTATCTCCCTTTCCTTTCTTATTCTTTATCTGGCTTTGTTCTATGTGTTTTTTTTTTTTTTTGTCAGAAGGGGGGTAACTAACGGATCAGATACTCCACCAACAACGCCTACATCGGCTTCTACCGCATCATCCACGAATCCAAACACACCGGCGAAGATATCCCCCCGCCCCCGCATCCATCGACCTGGTTTGCTCATCTCGAACAACCCACCACCACTACCACCACCACTGCCGCCAGCTCAGCCAGACCATCCCGAGCTCCCACTGCCATCTCAAACCACCCCTCCAACCGCTCCCACCACTCTAACCCCCCCACAACCACCACCTCAGCAGAAGGATCCTCCGACGACGAAATCGCCATCCAAACCGAGCGCCTATCCCTCAGATGCCCATTAACCCTCCTCCCCTTCACCGATCCCGTGAGCAGCACCAAATGCCCCCACAGTTTCGAGCGCGCCGCGATCACAGACATGATAGCGCGGAGTAAATCCACCGTTCCGGATCCGAGAGCTGCAGCAGCAGGGGGAAGGGTGCGAAGAGTCCGCAGTGCCAAGTGTCCGGTTTGCGAGGTTGTGTTGACGGAGGGGGATTTGAGGAGTGATCCGGTTTTGGCGAGGAGGGTGAAGAGGATGCTTGCTGTGCAACGCGAAGAAGAGGAGGGGAGTGGGGAGGAGGAAGGGGAGGGGGGGAGGGGGAAGAGGAAGAGGGGGAGGGAGATTGAGTTGGGGAGTGGGGATGAAGAGGGGGATGAGGAGGGGGATGGGGAGGGGGATGGGGAGGAGAGGATTCGGGTCAAGAGGGAGCGGGGGATGTCGGTGGCGAGGATTAAGCGGGAGAGGGCGATGTCGGTGGCTGTGGGGGATGTGGAGGTTGTTGATGTTGATGCAGCAGAGGGAGAAGAGCAAGACGGATCTGGCGATGGAGAAACAGAGGACGCAGAAATGGAAGACGATCAGGAGGAAGATGATGAAGAGATGGATGGGGAAGATGAATCCGGAGCAGAAGATGCGGAAATGAGTGATGAAGTTGCAGACGAGGCAACCTCAACCAGCACCGATGCAGAAATGTCCGACTGAACTATTGCTACGGGCACGGGCACAGCACATGCTATTTGAATGATTATTATCGCTCACCCGCACTAAAGCACCGGGTATAATAAATACAAGAAGCAGAACATAACACCAGGCTCCATTCAATCAGGGTATTAACGCATCTGGTCCGGCAGTGCGACAGCATCGATCGATGCAGCCGATGAGTAGGAAAAGCGTGATCAACAACGCTGCTGGTGTCATTGTCGTATTCGTAGACAGATAAGCACTGCCACATTCGTATTTGTTGATGCTGAACATCTACTTGGTAATCAAGTTGAGGTAGTCGGCCACGATAAGCGTCACCATCCTGTGGGCCGTTAGCTTAGCATCGCACTAGTCAAAAACAGTGGGGCACTAACGCATGGGGAGCGATCCGCACATAATAAGTGCCGAAACCGCGATAGAACCGCAACCAGCCCTCCTCCTGGACGACCTTGCGCGCGCAATCCAACACGCCTTTGTAAGGGAGCCGACCCGTCTTGGGATCCTTCTGCTGCTTCTGCAGCCGAGTCTTGACAAAGTCAAACGGCAAGGAGAGGAAACTGGCAAAGAAGCCCGCAATGGCCGAGGCGGCAAAGGTCTGGTTCTGGGCCGACAGACTGGTATGCGCTTTGAGCTGAGCCTTGGACTCGGCGAAGAAGGTCAACTGGCCGACGTTGAGCGCCATGGCCCGGATGACGGTGGGGAAGGCACCCGCCCACAGAGCCGCGATGCCCTCGTGCTTGGAGATACGGAACAGGGCGTCGAGCACGGAACGGTAATTGGCACGGGCCTGGACCGGCTTGAGACCGTCGGACTGCATCCGCACGAGCGCCAGATCAGCCGGATTGCCAATCATGGCGGCGATGCCACCGGCAGTGAGCCCGGCGCCGGCGCGTTCGGCAAAGGTGACGGAACGGTGGGCGGCCTCGGCACGCTTGTTCAGGGCCTTGCTGAAGGTGTCGAAGAAGCCGAGACGGGCGGTGGTGTAGACGGCCTGACGGAGGAGTCCGGCGGACAGACCGGTGTACAAGTCGAGGACCTTCCCGGAGGCGATGATGTCGCGGGCCACGCCAATGGCAGAGGGACGAGGACCGGTGCGGACACCTTCACCAGCGAGCTGCAGACGCACCTTGATCATGTCAATGGGCTGGATGACGACGGTGGCCGTCATGCCGGCGAGACCACCGTTGATGAAGGGCAACGCAGCACGCGTGTACGGATGGTGCAGGAGATTCACAGCGGGATCAGTGTCTTTGGCAGCAGTAGGGGACGCCATGTTGACGACTAAGCAGATTCACACCAGATCTGATCAGAACGAGTGTTAACCGGCGTTCACAAGAACGAGAGATGGGTTGTATGAGACGGGGGAGACAGAAAGCGGGGATAGTAGCAACACGGGGATGGAGCAACACGGATGGAGCAACAGGATGGCGAGGAGCAGAGAGAAGAACCATATAATTCGTGCCTTGCCAAGGGACGCGTGAGTTCCAGGCACCCAACAGGCAAACCCGTGACGTCGAGGCGGGAGGGGAATAACACTGACCGTGGATGCGATGCCCGTGAAAAAGAGGGGAAACACGGAGGCGACGAAAAACCACGAGAAAGAGTAGGAGGCCAGACCGGTTTGGAGCAGACAAAGACTGGTCAGAGGCAGCCGTTGTGATGCTGGAGGATTTTACAGGGTAGCACCGTAGCATCCGCGGCGTCGATGATGTATTAATACTGGCAGCTGCTGCCAGCTGCTGCCAGCTCCGAGCCAACGCCGAGCATGACAGCAGCGACAGCAACATCACAGCTCTGTTTCTGTTTCTGTTTCTGTTTCTGTTCTTTGCGATCCTCGGAATCTCCACAGGAATTAAGGCCCGAGCGATCGAGCTGGCGGTGGCTACTGCACGATGCCGCCAGCTGGAATGCGGGGTTGATGCCTCAAATCATTTCATCTAGTTTGTCTTCGTCTTCATCTCCTCTCATTCCGTCTTATTTTCATCTCATCTCCATCGCATCTTCATCTCATCTTCCTCTCAACAGTCAACACTGTGTTATGTAGAAACGTCATATAGCGGGGCGTTACCGAACCGTACGGGGCCCCACCCCCGGCAATTTCCACTGGGACTACGGAGTACATGTGTCTGTACAGTACAACCATCACTCCCACCACCACCACCACCACCACCACCACCATTACCTAGTAGATACATAACAGAAAGAAGCCGCGCTCTCCCGGATGCCCGAGGTTACACAACCCTTCATCCAGCCCTCTGACAGCATCATAGGTAGCAAAGACATAACCGAGGTCCGCCTCTACCCAACGGCCCACTAGCGCATGTCTATTAACTAGTTAAAGGTAGCGGAGCTCGCTGACTATGCGCGCCCGTTGATACGTCCAATCAGCTGTTCGCCCCGCTCCCCAGATCGGGCTCGTCGATCCAGGGGCTGATTAATATTCTTCCGTCGGGGGAGGGAGGTCGGGGGACATATTTATACTATCTCTTTATTCTAGATCTCGAGGGACATCGTGGGTATGGAGATTAGTTGATTGTATATTCATGTAGGGTATGTAGACCATCACTTTGTAGTATTCTTAATTTGAAAGCTCAAGAAAAGTAGGTATATTGAAAATGGTATTCCCTTCCCCCGATTCCTCCGAATTTCGGCTCTTCCGTCAGCCGGAGGAGTCCTTCTCCGTCCTCCCTCCTCGCAACGTGACGAGGATCGACTAGGGGCTGAGTAGCGACCACAAGCAGGATTTGGATGGCGGAGCACTGCTCTCCTAGCTTCAGACAGACAGCATGCTCGTCTTGTTCCACATTTCATCGGCGATCGGACAGCTACGGTTCAGGGTCTGTCAGCCTCCAAGCGAGTGATCCATCCAGTATACAGTGGGTTCAGCAACAGCGGATACTTGCCCGGCAACCTAATCACCTGGCGGCAGATATCTCGGGATCCCGGAGCGGCTGGTTCGGATGTCGGCAGCTGGCAGCCAGCCTGGCTGGTCCTCGGGTACGGCCCAGGAGTAATCGCGGCCCTGGTGGTGGCTCTGGTTGCTCTTGGCTGGTTTAGCTACTGGGGCCGGTTATGATCCGGTTACTGCATCTGGTACGGTGGGACGCAAGCGAGGGCCAGACCCAAACAGCCGATTTCCGCTGGAATCTTGGATATCGGAGCATTGTGTCTGCATTCGTCCTGGTAGCCTATCTTGCTCCTTGTATCCGGGGGAATAGCCGACCCTACCCTGGGTCTCCTCCATTACCGCGCGCGAGGCCGAAATTGAAGGACCGGCCCTCGTTTCTGGCTAATGATGTGATCGTACAGTTGGAACTCGTGCGGATTCGTCCGTCCAATCCCCGCCCCCGGGTTTCCTGCCCCCATCGCCCCGGCCGCCGTGTCTGGCCGGCGGAAGTCGTAGCTCCACACAAGGCTTGCCAGCGCCAGCTGCAGCTCCAGCTGCGCCAGATGACGCCCGATGCACGCCCGCGAGCCTTGCGAGAATGGCGCATAGGCCGCAGAGGTGACGTCGAGTTTGTCTGTCCCGGCGCCCGATTCCGTCAGCCAGCGCTCTGGGATAAACTCCTCCGGCCGGGGAAAATATAAGGGATTATGATGGATGCTGTAGATGCCTGTCCCGACACTGCACCCGGCCGGAATCACATTGCCGTCGACAACGAGCGTATCGCCTTTTTCGACCCGACGGTACGGGCATCCCGCGACAGCCGGCGATATGCGCAGGGTCTCCTTGATGCAGGCTTGAAGGTATGTGCATTGCTGCATCAGGGGGCCGCTGCGAATGTCGTCGGGTGATGGAAAGACGCTTCTGATCTCGTGGGCGAGTTTCGCATACGCGTGAGGGTAGGTTGCGAGGTAGAAGAGACTCGCACATAGACTGACGGAGGTGGAATCAGACCCTAGGGAGGTTAGTGTTGATCGGTAAGGAGCTTAGGTTACCTACCAGCAACGGCCAGCATTGCTGCCTCGGAATACACATCCGCATCAGTCAGCGTCGGGCCCGTGACACTATCACGGGCGCTGGTCAATTGACTTAGAACATGACCTGACATACTGGCTGCGTCCGCCATCATGCTGTTGACTAGTCGATGATACCGCTTCATCCCGCGAACCTCGTCCTTGAACAACTTCTTGTCCAACCGACCGAGAAACACATACGGCGCATACATCAACAGCGATAGGCGCTTCATCATCCCCGAGATATCGTACACCGTACATTGAAACTGTTGGCTCCCGAGCAGGTTACACGCCTTGCCAAATACCAGGTCGGTGATCACATCGAATGCGAAATAGCTGCACCACTCCGACATGACCATGGGCGGACCCCACGTGCGATCCGGGTCGGAGGAGGGATAGAGGGCGTCGCGGAACTTGTGCACATGAGACAAGAGCTTCGGCTCGAATTCCCGCATGGCGGTGCTGGTAAACCCGGGTCCGATGATCTTACTGCGTTTGGCGTGTTCTTTGGGACTGGTCACTGTAAGGAGGTTTTTGGTGCCCAGTTGGATCACTCCGTAGTGGACATCCTTGCGCAAGTCTTTTCCCCGGACGTAGATATCTATCGGTGTCAGTATACATCAGTGGCTCTGACATATCCACTGACCTTTCAAACCACTTTCCGTGTTGAAGATGACCAAATTCGGCGTATACCGTATAACAGGCCCTGCGAACTCTTAGCACTATTCCATCGCCGATACGGGCCACATACCATATTTCTGATGACACCACCAAATGTGCAGATGCAAATCCCCCTTCACGGCATGATACGCAGCCCCGGCCTCGGTGAATTTCCCTAGCCATGGACCCGGGTATTTGGCTAATGGGTGAAAGTATACCTGATAGATGACATATCCTAGGACCTAGTCTCGTCAGTCCTACTCAATTAGATCTAAACGATCTAGAAGGCTGAACTTACCGCGAGAATCACAAGCCCAACCCCCAGAGGAATGCGAGAGAGGACAGAAAGAGGAACCGCCAGATGCTCGTCCATGTTGTCTTGAATTCACGCCTGTGTCATGGCGGTAACGTGCATGAAGAAGATGCAGAGCAACTGAGCGTCATCACGCGTAGGCCTTGAATCTTCTTATATGTGGATTTGCCATTATGAAGGGAGGCTGGCACAAGGGGTTAAGGAGGTGCCATACTGTGGTGAAAGGCCGTGGCTGAAGGGGCCGTAATTGACGAATCGTAGTTTAGCAAAGCAACATTGGTATCCACCCCTTGTTTAAGGACCAGGGGCGAAGCCTGTTTCGCGATCGTGAGGTATGTTAAACATGAAAGAGGACTCCGTAGGCCACGCGCGGAAATGGACCCTGTTGGGTCGATCGGAGATTAACGTGATGCAGGCCAAGATGCATTCGCGTCCGCACCCGCGTAATGCAGGTTGTAACTCTATTCGCATGATTTCAGGGGATAAGGTATCACACGACGCACGAGTCCGGTTTCTGTCTCGATCTCGTGTTGAGATGAGACATTTCAGCCTCCTTGCATGGTGCTTTGTAACTATTGCGGCTGTGCCAGAGCCAGCCAAAGGTTGGTAGCATGTCAAGGAGTGGGTGACATACCAACGCCGTCAGGGCGGGAAATGGTTCCAGGTGGTGTCTACTCGGATGAGTAGACAGATTCAATTCCCAATGTTGAGGTTGATTTAAGGTATGAGACTTGAAGTTGAAATAATCAAGTGGTTCATCGGAGTTGCGAGGACTGCATGCATGGGAGACAAGAAAATCTGGAGAGACCAGCCGGTGAAGGGAAGACGCTAAACGACGATCACATGTGGAGTCGGCAGGATTCCCCTGGCCATCCCTGCCATCCCGTGACCCACCCAAACTCAATGCAAGTTGCAACACTACAAATGGAGAGCGGATTTTTGAATGTATCGATTTCAATTTCTAGCTTTACTGACTTCTACCAAGTAAAAGCCAAAACCCAAGGAAATGCCCAAGGTCTTTTCCCCGCCTATTGGGGCAAGCCACATGTGGTAACTCGAAAATCATGACCCATATTTGAACGCAACACGCCATGCAAGATATCATGAAACAAGGAAATAGAAAAAGCATATCAATTTACTGAGGCACCGGACCGGCCGCAATGACCTCCTTGGTCGCTTGGTCAGCGTACTTGGCAAAGTTGTCGTTGAACAGCTTGGCCAGCTTGTTGACCTCGTCCTTGAAGCTCGTCGACGCGGTCCAGCTGTTCTTGGGGTTCAGCAGCTCCGAAGGAACACCGGGGCAGCTCGTGGGAACGTGCAGGTTGAACACATCGTACGTCTCGTACTCGGCCTCGCTGAGCGTGCCGTTGTGAATGGCGTCCAGGATGGCACGAGTGTACTTGAGCGGGCAACGCTTGCCACCGGTGGTAGCGCCAGCACCAACCCAACCGGTGTTGAGCAGCCAGGCGTTGGCCTTGTGCTGCGAAATCTTGTCCGCCAGCATGCGGGCGTAGCGCATGGGGTGCAGAGCCAGGAAGGGCTGGGCGAAGCAGGAGGAGAAGGTGGCCTGGGGCTCGGTCACACCGTCCTCAGTACCGGCCATCTTGGAGGTGTAACCCGAGATGAAGTGGAACATGGTCTGCTCAGTGGTGAGCTTGGAGATCGGAGGGAGAACACCACGGGCATCGCAGGTGAGGAGGATGATGTTGGTGGGGTGCTTGTCGGACAAGCAGGGGATCTTGGCGTTGTCAATGTATTCGATGGGGTAGGCACTGGTCTCGTTAGTGACGAATCATTCCCCAAAGCCATCGAGCATGCTTACCAGCGAGTGTTCTCAGTGAGGGTGCAGTCATCGTAGTTGACAACACGGGAGATGGGGTCGAAGACAACGTTCTCCAGGACGGATCCGAAGCGGATGGCGTTGAAAATATCCGGCTCCTTCTCGGCGGAGAGACCAATGCACTTGGCGTAGCAGCCACCCTCGATGTTGAAGACACCACGGTCAGTCCAGCAGTGCTCGTCGTCACCGATCAAAGCACGCTTGGGGTCGGCAGAGAGAGTGGTCTTGCCGGTACCGGAGAGACCGAAGAAGACGGTGACATCGCCGTTCTCACCCTCGTTGGCAGAGGAGTGCAGGGTCAGGACGTTGTGCTTGACAGGCATCTCGTAGAAGAGGACGGTGAAGACACCCTTCTTCATCTCACCGGCGTACTCGGTACCCAGGATAACCATCTCCTTCTCGGCGAAGTTGATGGCGACCGACGTAGCGGAGGTCATACCCTCAGTGAAGCGGTTGGCCGGGAAGGATCCAGCGTTGTAGATGACATAGTCGGGGTGGAAGTGCTTCAGCTCCTCCTGAGAGGGGCGGATAAGCATGTTGCGCATGAAGAGAGCATGGTAGGCGCGAGCGCAGACAACACGGACACTGAGGCGGTATCTCTCGTCCCAACCAGCGAAACCATCAATAACGTAGATACGGTTACGGGTGTTGAGGTAGTCGACAGCACGTTCACGGTTGATGCGCCAGACCTGTCAGCCAAAAGCCCGTTAGCAAACAGCCTTATCGTGGATGACGTCATCGGTGAGACCCTGGCCAGGCGCGAAACAAGCATTCTCAGGAACACAACCAGACACAGTCCAAACTCTGTGTTGCACAGCAGTCGCGCGATTAAATGCCTCAGGAGGCATTTATCGCTGAATGTGCTGCCAGTGTGGTGCCAGAAAGCTTGAATCTCATGCCAGGCGGCTAGAGCGGGCCAATGCAAGGGATGATGCGCGATATATGGCGCTTGCATGTGAAAGAAGAAGAAACAGCAATGCACACGTACCTCAGGAGTCATGGGCTTGTTGACAGGTCCCCACCAGATGTCATCCTTTGATGACTCTTCCTCAACGATACGCTTGTCTGAGGGAGAACGGCCAGTCTTGGCGCCAGAGTAGGCAGTCAGGGCACCGCTGGAGGTGATAGCAGTACCGGTCTCGTAGACCAGAGCATCTTCGTAGAGAGCAGGGACGGCCGGGTTGGCAATCTGTCGGGGTCAGTGGGGTTGGGACAAGCGACAACATGGAAGCCTTACAATAGCAACGCGGTCATAGTCGATGTGGGCATGCTCGTGGAGCTCTTCCTCAAGCTCAGTGTGACCCTTGCCTGGCCTGAAAGGTCATAGTTAGCGAAGGTGTATTTCAGAAAGACAATATAGTATTGCGACACAATGCGCGGGCAGGTCGCGATGTGAGCAACAGGATAACCAAGAAGAAGAGAAGAAGAAGAACATACAAGACACCACCAGGGTGCAGAGCAGTGCGATTCACCGAAGCAGCAACCATGTTTCTTAGTGAGGTAGAATGATAATTATTATTTCGTTGCTTGGCAACTTGCTGTTGGAAGAAATCTGAGTAGAGAGGTCCAGGTTCGACGGGGGATTCGGGGGGTATATGAATGTTTGTCGCAGGGCTCATGATGGGCACGATTCAAGGCGCCGCGAGATTGGAATTCCAGGTCGAAGTGCCTACTCCACCGTTCCACGGGTGATGTCGGGGCTGAGGACCGAGTCGAGACGGCGGTGGTTATCGTGAAAGGTCGAAAAGAAGAACAAATGCCTCTTTGGATTGCCCGAAAGTTCCCGAACCCCAGATGTGGGCACGAGGTGGTCCCGGAAGGGCTGGCGGATGCACCAACTAGAAGCCAGGGATTCGCAGAAGCTTCGGAAACTGGATCAGAGATTTGAGGCGGGCCTCACGGATAGCGCGTCAGGGGATGATGAATTAATGTCTCATCCACCGCACTAGTGGCAGATTTGGAGTCCAGGGATGGGAAGCTAAGCTAGCTAGTTGACCACCAGGCCCCAGGCCGCGCGCTACAAACGAGGTATTTATTGCCTTTCAGCCTGCCGCAGCCACTCCCCCGAGCCAGGGTCATTGGAAGAGCGCTGCAAAGGATTACACTACAAGGACCCAAGGACGAGTGCGCCGTTTGGCCGCTGGCTGAACAAATGACAATGGACGGCCATGGCCGGGGGGATGGAACAGTGGGAGTGGTGACGTTGAATGCGCGCAATGCAGCAGCCGGAGTCTAGAGGCGCAGCGATACACTCTCAGACTAACAGAAATTGCGGGGGGAGACAGTTTTCGGCTAGGAGGGTTGGACTATACCCGACGGGGCGGTTTGTGTGTAATGAGAAGCGCTGATTGCAGTCTGGGCCCGGCCAGCGTCAGGAATCCTTCCGAGTGACGAAATGCCGGGGGAGAATCTCGGGTTCCCCTCGTCCGCACTTTCCCGCTTCCGGTATCTTCTTAGTCATCTGGCTCCCGAAATACTCCCCCCGCCAGCCAATCAGCGCCCTCACGCGTCACGGATGAGCAATCCAACGTCACCAACTTGGGCAGAAGATATTGCCGTCCGCTCGGGCTCGAGCATCATTTTCGGGTGCGCTGCATTTTGAGGCAAATGAGAGCTATCACCTGGCTCCGAGTCGCATTTCTGGGATTCCATGTCATACCGATGCAGGCATTTTTCGCCATCGTCAAACCCCCGGCATGTGCGTAAGTCCCGCATCGATAAATTCTCTCATACACAGCGTCTCGTATCCCGATTATTAGGTTCGTAACTTGCTGCACATCCATCTCCCTACTGTGCACCAAAAAGGGGCATTCCCACTACGAAAATCGCACATGATAGATCAACCTGGCCCCTGCCGAAATTCCACGAATATCCGAAACGCCTCCCGAGTTGGGTCAGGTGCTCTGTTCCCCGTTTTGCCTCCACGCGAGCAGTCAGCTAGGTCATCGCGCATGACGAAGAGCCAAGAGATGTAGCCGGGATTTTATCACCATAGATAGATGACGGAGGGTTGATGCCCTGACATTGGATTCAGCCAAGATGTCACGGCGCTGTCTTTCCCCTATCGAGAATGACCGCTATCTGTACCCCGCATCCGAGGGGTGCCGGGGCCACGCGGGCCTTTCCCCGGATGTTCTCGTCCCCTGGGGGATACCCGATTCCGGCTAGAGCTGGTTTGATTCCCTCGGGTGGTCGTCTCGAGGGACTGGACAACCATCGTGCATTGTCAGAACGATCGCGATGCTGGCGAGTCCAGAACCTCTACGAATTTGAATCCCAGCGCAGGTCACCTGCCCTGTTTTTAAAGTTGCGCGTTACCTATCACTTGGTTTTGTTCCGGATACGGGCTGGCACTTCGGCCACTAACGGGTCATTAGCTTCCGAGGGTGATTGAGGATAGTCGGGCCCTCACCGACTTCTGCGCCGCCAGTATCACTTCATATCAATCGAGTTCTTGTTTCTTGCAATATACCGCGCTAAGCGTGAGAATTCTTTAATACATCTTCTGCCTGTGGTAGTTAGAGCAGTAGTTAGAGTCCTACCATCAGAATTTCGTGAGCAAACAATATATATGTACAGAATAGCTCCAGGGGAGGGGAAATCAGCGGTAGGCTTTCACATGCTTCCAGCCTTCTTTACTCGCATTTGATCTTTAAGTAGCTGGCAAATGCTCACTGACCATCATGACCTTTAGCGAAAGCGGGAAAAGTGTAATATAATTAAAGAGATATGAAAGTAAAATGGAATCTGCGTGACAACTTCGTCTCGGATTTGTGAAGATTCTGTAGTGGATACCTGCGTGTCGCTTCAAGGGAGGGGTCATGGTACGAAGACCACTACTATCACTTCCAACTTCTCTTCGTTCATCATGATTCTTCACGGGTATGTTAGTATCATCGTCTGTAAATCAGGATTCTAGGGACAGTATTCCGCTCATTGTAACTCTAAATATATTGTTCATTTACCCGTGGAGAATCATACAGAGTTCTTCAACATCATAGCACCAGGACATAAACGTAGCTTTTGTATTATCAATAATGCTCAGAATTGAGCTCAACTTTTGCACTTCTTGTTGATACCGATAAAGAACTGAATATTGTTATACACATATTCCTCGATGAGTTGACCGGCAACCACCCCTTATTCGTACGACTCCATCCCACCCAGGAGTCATTCAGGCAATACCGTCTTCAATGGGTATTAAGTAGTCCGGCTTGTAAGTAACTCGGAACCCGACCGTCGGGTAAATCTACTCCCAGGTTGTATTCTCGATTGCTTTTTTCATATGTCTAGAAGATGCATATTTTCAACAATTGTAAACTGGAATAGATCCCGTACTAAAGTGATCTGTCCAGACCTCGCAGATATACGACTCGCCTCGGCAAGGGAGCTCTTGTTCATGTTTGATTTCCTACTGTACCAGTGATTTTGGCATTCCGTAGACAGGCACACATGCATACACTGAAAGACAAAACAGTGGAACATATTTTGACTTGCACTACAGAAACTCATGGATTGGGTGTCGATATGTCTTGACCAACAGGGAATAACAAAAGAACTTGAGAATGGACTAAGTGTTACTTTCTTAGGATTATGCTAGCTACTGGGATGCAACAGTCACAGCCTCCCTGGCCTTGGCCATATCGGTAGATCATGCCACTGGACAGGAAGGTATCGGAATAGCCTACATGATCCGAACAAAGGGAGTAACAAAACTAGGAAACTGGAGAGTCGGTGGCCGAGACCCTTTCAATCCAGCCCGGTCTGCCGACCTGTGCATGTATTAGTCACTGTGTGTCTTGTACTCTTTTGACCCTTGATAATGGCCGAGGGCGAATCCCTGTCTAACAAAACAAGATCGGGCATTGCCGCAAATAGAAACAGCCCACGGTCAGTTAGAACTACCTTCTATATCTCAATCCCAACTCACGTCTCGTGCCTCTTCCACCAACTATGGCATACATTTCAGCTGCCATAATTATAGCCCAGCATCAAAGCATCACGGCAATCAACAGCTGGTGCCGTCACCGACTCAGTCTTGATTTCACCTCAAGTTCGCGCTTACCATGCGGTAAGAGCGTTGGTCCAGTCTATATATCGACCAGAAGTCATATCTTGCTTCACTAACGGTTGATATCTTAGATTCTAGGTATTCACTGCTCACAGCAGGGTAAGCAGTACTGCTAGTTGTTCGACTGCGATCATCCCTGACGAGATAGACGCACCTAAGGACTCCGATCATACTCAGAAATAGCCCCGAATATGCCATTCTCATCCAGATTCGCTTCTTCCTCAGGTCAACAAGGATGTTAAAAGTGTCAGGATGCCTCTGAGCATCACTAGACGGAGGGTGCAGGTCCCCGTACCCAGAGATATAAAGGACACTGATTTGCTGTTGGAACGAGACCTTCCAGAGCATCACCGCAGAAACTGAACAGTTACCATCCCACCGCAGACCTAAGATAAGTCTCGAGCAGATTTAATCTACCCCAACGCACTCGACTACCAACCTCAAGAGAAGTGCGCTACCCTGACCATCCTTCACACCACCACTACGGCCATGGCCTTCCCCCAATAACTCCAGGGCCCAACTATCACACTGAGTGAAACTCATGTCTCGATCTCCGCTGACGGAAACCCCGGCAGGATGGACACAACGTTCAAAACCCAGTGGACAGAAATATAAATAATAATCGCTGTGCTATTACCTGGTGAGTGCTTCCCCTATAATGCTATCCTTGTCTGCAGCAAAGCTTGCGCAGACGATCTTTACAAACACGATTAATTGAAGGAACTCAAACAACATGATCACTAGCAGCGTGGATTTCGACTGCCACAATAGCATCTACAGCATCAGTTTCCCAGATGGTCTGAGCGATGTCGCGACCTTCTCCCTCGCGGTTAGATACCAGCCAATGATTTTTTTTTAGCTTTATATAACTCGGGACTGGGTGGCGAGTGGCTGTGTCAGATTAATCCTAAGGAGACTACAAAGAGATACTGTTATCTTGGCGGGGCTATTGGCTATGTGCCCCCAAACTAGATTGTTGAGCTGGCCGTGGTCTCGAAGGTTGGGCTCTTGTCGCTTGTTTTAGTCGGCTCAGGAAAAGGAAGACGCAGAATTTGAAGGGGATGTGTGTGTGAGAGAGAGAGAGAGAGAGAGAGAGAGAGAGAGAGAGAGAGTGTGTGTGTGTGTGTTTTGAGAAACAGAGGAAGGGTAGCTAGAGGAAGAAAGATATGTTTACGCAGGATATGTGCCATAGGATGCCGGTTTTCAGACATTTATGGCACAGAGTACCAAGTAGACATGCAAGCGATTCCCGGCTGTGATACCCTATGCAGAACGATATTTCGATAGATATACCTGAAAGCATACTAGAACCAGTAAATGCCACACCACACACCGATCTGAGAACAATGCAAGACATATCAGAATACCTTCCAGAGTGACACCAAACCTGTCCTTCAACAAAATTCGTCCTATACACCAGAAAATTTACCACCCACCAATCCACTCCTCCTATAACCTCACATGCACGATGGCGATCTTCACGCAACCCGCGGGGCATCACCCATCCTAATCACCTGCCCACCGCGCCTTATCACCACCACCAATCAGGTGTCCCGGATCCCGCACCAGCGGGGCCTCACACAGCGGGGTTGACAACAAATCGAGTGAATCGTCGCTTCCGTATTGCCAATCAACCCTAGGCTTTCTTTTGATTTCGTTCCATTTCACTTCTCACCTCTCTTCTCTTCTCTTTCCCCTCTCACCGTGCTTTGTTGTTCCGTCAAATTCATCCAGGTGAGTTGGAATCCTAGTGGTGAGGGGTGGTATTTGTTTGTAGACATGTTCACTGATTGATGACATGTCCTGTATGCAGTCACACATCTCACTTCGCTTTCTTTCTGAACCAACAGATCAAATTTGAACCGAAAAAATGGCTGGAGGTCACCCTGCTTGTCCCTCTTGTGGAGCTGCCATTTCTGGCGATACTAAGACTTGTGTATCTTGCGGAAAGGTAAGTTAACTTGACTTGACTCGGAGTTTGTTCTGGGGGTTGTTGGAAATGGTGGCTAATGTTCGGTTTGTAGTCTTGCCCTGTTTAAGTTAAGCTCAGGCTTGATGTTGAACTGAAGGGAGGGGATAGGATTCGGAGTTTCGTGGGATGGTTTCATAATGGGCTAGGTGGGTGAGGGGTCGGGGGTGGTGTTACTTGTGTTGATGATGATGACAATGAATGAGAGATGAATGACCCTTTGTGCTTTGTATTGATCTGTCGAGGATTGTGCCGTAGGAGAGCAGATCACACCATGTTTCTCATGTTCACGGTTCTCTCTGATCGCTCGGACTGCGTCGAGAGTCGCTCTATGCTTCTTCCAGCTGGACTATCCTCTCTAGATCTAAGCATAGTTTCCGTATCCTCTTTGCTCTCTTCTTCACTGTCGCTCTCGGAGGGGCGTGAAAACCGGTTGTTGATGATCATCGAGTGGCGTTGAGGGTCAACCGTGCTGTTGTTGGGAAGAGGTTCGTTCTCAGACAAGAGGACTACGCTCACAGGGTGGTCGTAGATTCGGGGCACGTTGAAGGCTCTGTAGAGGGCGTTGAGAGCGGGGACAGATAGCCCGTGAACAACGATAGAGAACAGGACCAGCCAGTAGACAACTGTATCGCAATCGGTTAGAATCTGTACCCCCATCTCTACGCTTTGGGGCCAGTCCATACCTGGTACCATAGCGGCGGTCATATTGTTGATCTCTTTATCGCTTTGGCCGGGGGGTGGAAAGAGTCGGCGAGTATACTGCACATATGAAATTGCGCCGACACCTAGATCAATGTTAGCACGAGATATAGAGTAATTTAATGACTGAACTTACCGATCGGCCCGAAATGCCCCAGGAACAGCGCCTCCTTCCAGTCGCTGCAGACCTTGGGCATGAACCGGTATCCCACCAGAATGGCTGGGATGCGCCGGAACACCAGGATCATGAAGCCGAGTACAAACAGCCTCCACAACGTGATGCCCGTATCCTGCGGCCGTTGGAACGATTCCCATGGCATGGTCGCTCCAAGGAACATGAATGCCGAGAAATTCAGCGTCGTTTCAATAGTTGTGTTAAACGAGTCGTGTCGAGCTTGAATCTCTTCATGGTAAAGCCCGTTCCAGTTCAAGACGCACCCGGCAATAAAGCAAGCAAGTGTCTCATCTGAGCCGAAGCAGCCACAAGTGCCAACAATGAGCAACCCAATTGCCACGGGAGCCAATGTAAAGCTCTCATTATCAATCCACCTCCGTTGGGATGCTTTCCCCAAAAGCTTCTGGCACGTAAACCCTACAAAGGCACCGTAAGCGGCACCCAAAAGGATCATGTATAATACCCCTTCAATGGCCCAGTGCTTTAACGCGACACCAGCGCCGCCGCCGAAGCGCCCCGCCCCAGTTGTTCCAAGCACATCGGGCAACCCCCGTTCCAGGTCGAACTCCTCCAGGCTAAGGGTGTTGGCCGGGGCTTCGGCATATCGTAGAAGAGAGACTCCAAGCAGCAGGAGGGGAAACCCAAACCCATCATTCCCACCTGCCTCCGCAGAGATGAATTCTCGTAGTGGTCGACGGACATAGTTGTCAGCGAAAGGCCCTTTCGCTATTGCCTGGGATAGAACAGGATCCGTACACGTCACGCAAGCGCTTATGATGAGTGCCGCAAGCTTTGTGGATTGTTAGTTGCACCCAGAGCATAGCGCTGGCGAAGGAAGAAATCAACGTACAAAGGATATACGTGGGACTATAAGTTTTACGCAGCCTGTGGTTGCAAGCCATGATATGGTCATCAACGGAAGTAGGCAGATGATCATCTCCACCAAGCGTTGTCTCAAATACTTCTTGGGGAGCTCATATCCGACCTTGACTAACTGAACACCAATAACTAGGCGTGTCAAACCCTGGAACAATTAGCCAAGTTCAGTATATATCACCAGGCCATCTCACGTAGGCTATTTCGCTGGTCTCATTGTCGTCATTGCCTCCCCATTGGGATACGTTCAAGAATTTGGCACCGATCGGCCCAAATGCAATCCCAATGAGAAAGGCAGGCACTATGTAGATGTTAGTTCTGTCCTCGAGTCTGAGATCACATGGAGTCATACGAGCTTCACCAAGGTACCACCTTTGCTTGAACTTGAGTGAGATAAACCCAAATAGGAGAATGTAGAGGCCTTCGCTAAATGTCAGCTCTTCGCAGGTATCCTAGTGCTGCTTTACTCACCTGTGACGGAGAGAACGAGGTTGAAATTGCTAACATCCAGAAATGGATGCAACATCCTGTGCGAACGCTAAATAGCTGTCTTGACTGGGTCCGGCCGGGGCAAAATGCCTCAGTCCCCGAGTCTGAATAGGGAAGCTTTCCCTTGGATCTTTACGCCGCTAGACGCTGGGTATAATCAACTCCTGAACTCAATACGTTGTTGAGGAAAAGACCCGTTTGAGACGGTGAAGGATACAAGTCAGATTCTGACCTGACCTGGCCGCACAGGTCGGGGGAGAGGTCGTTGTACATACCATATCCCAAGACCATTATCTGACCCCTGTCGACCCCTTGGTACACTGTACAATATACCCGAGTGCTATCACACTTCTCCGATAGGATACGTACATAGTGGGTCCAGATACGCCTCCCTTGCAGGAGGGATTGCAGCTTCAAAGCTTGGCTGCGCTCATGGACAATGATCGGCGAGTGGCTTTGGAATGGGCCAGGAATGAAATGTCCAGGCCTCATGCTGATGGGTGGAAGATAACGGAGAATGCCAATATGATATTAAGCTTCCGAATACTGGCAGGTCGAAGCAATATCGAGCAAAGCCCTTGTAGATCCCAGATAATGCAGCGTGTCATTGACTCAAGTGATGGCAAGCGATGGCAAGGAAGGCTGATCGGCATCAAAGGGATGGAAGGCAGCAAGATAGCAGGTTGCATGTAGCCAGTAGCACCGGATGAAGATAATCAATGGCGAAAATGAGATGGGACGTGTCTGTCATGTTGTACTGCCTTCCAACGCAAGCAGTATCTGTTCGACAGAGATCAAGAACTAGGGGGTCGAGAAAGGGATAATCGGTGGCCAGACGAGACTGAACAGGTGGCAACCAGCTCCAGTAGCCATACTGTATACGCCATACTGTGTACTGTGTAGCCACCGGGCGGGGTTGAAACAACGGGAGCTCGGAGGGGAGAATGGAGTATCTACTCATTTGGAGTACCTTGGGAGAAATTAGAATCCAGCGGTTGTGCTGCGGGTAGCCGCCAGCCTGAGTGCCTGAATCCGAGGGCTGCAAGGGGCTCAACATGCGAAACGCGGCGAGTTGACGTGTTCGACAGCCACTTGAACTTGTAGCAGGGAGCAAAGTACATGGAGTTAAGCCGTACAACTAAAAATAGAAAGTTTGCAGAAAGAGGAATCCGAGGAAGTAGTAAGGAACTGGTTGGGATGATAAACAGACGCAGCAGAGGACAGCCTCCTATTTGGCTAAGAAAACAAGGGAATAATCTCTAAGTTACATAAAACCGTAGAATAAGACTGGAACTCGCCTCGCAGGTAAAACGGTCCAGCTGATCCAACACATGATAATTCACTCCTGCACCGTCTCAGTGCGCTCTTTCTTCCCCTCTGACCAGACTGTCGGGAGCCTGGATGCAATAGAGCGCACTCTCAAGGCCAATAGGCATCCACAGTATCACGATAAATGCAGATAGCGCTTGGTGATGACCAACGGACACTGCATAACTGGCCTTGTTGGGTCCTTCCATACATGAGGCATAGCTCAAATGTTGACTGCTTACGCAGTCTTCCGCCACTGTGACCAGATACCGATCAAACTGCTGACCGTACCTGCAAGACCCACGATGCCATCGTCAAGCGATGCAAACCCGAGGGCGGAAACCGGAACAGTCAAGTCACAGAGATCGGAGATGAGCTGAATACGGGCGGCAGAACGCTCCCTGACAGGATCACGTTAGTAACGCATCTCATTGCCCACAATTCGGGTCAAAGAACACTTACTTCTCAAGCTTCTTCGCTTCCACGACGCCCTCGCCTTCCTTGCGGTCAAGCGTCTTCTCCTTCTCCCGCAACCTGAACAATGTGTACACACCCGCAAGAGCGCTGCAGACCAGCCCCGCCATCCATGAGCGGTAAGCAGACTCCTGCAGCCGCTTGGCAGAAGCGAGTTTACGGACCCCGATCGTATCGACAACGGTGATTGTATCGAGAGACAGGTAGCCGGCGTATCCGAGCTGACGGCCGACGGAGAGATAGCGAAGCACGGGATCAATAGGGCCCTTGTTGTCTGAGGCGAGCGCAGCTGCCTTGAGATGTTCAACGAACTTTCCAATCCTCAGAATCTTCCGAGTTGTTCCGAATTGCTTCTTGATGGCATTGTAAGGGTCGATGGCAGACTGGGGACGGTTGGTGCGGAGGAGGTACCAGGCGTAGAAGCGAGAGAAGTACTGCAGGGTACGAAGGAGCTTATCGCGACCAACTTTAGAGTGGTCAGCAACTGCCTGAAGAGCAGCATAGATGATGGGGTGCCGATGCGCGAGAGACAGGACCTAAGAGTCAAGGGGACTTTTTGGTCTCCTCCCGGCCGAGAGGCAGTAGGGCGGGGAAGATAGAACATCAGCACGTACCTGTCGTTGCGACAAAGCGCAAGTAGTGCGCCAGGGCAGGATGGTAGACCAAGGCGTCGGCAACCATTTTGATGAGGTCGTCAAGGGATGTGTTTGGACCGCGATAAAGGGCCGGGGGATGTCGGTTAGTTAAAGAGTAGAAAGAAAGGCGGGAGTCGAATTCCGCGCGATCTCGGGACGGCGTGGGGAGCGTGCAAGGTAAGCTAAACTGACAGGCCGGCTGGCGGACGGAGGGGGGAGTTTCAGAATTCAACGATTCAACGGAATACTGACTGGAAATGGATGCTCCACACCGAGGGTCGAAGGAAGAAAAGACGGGGGAGGGGCGGAGCAAAGGATATTAGTACTCAGTCCTGGACAAGGTTGCTGGATGATAGGATCGGTAATTGAATGACCGGCGATCGACCATCGTCCCATCAGTTGTTGGTTGGCTCGCTGGGGGACCTCGGCTGGTCGGAGCATCCGAGCTCGTCCTCTTCCCCGTGCGCTCAATCACAAGATTCCACTCTCTCCACGTCGGCTCTCCAAAGGGTCCCGGTTGCGATCGGAAAACATTTTCTTTCTTCTATCTCAGACTACATCACTAACATAAGAACCATCAACTCATTACAGGCACACCACCAATCAGACCCAGTACCCTTCAAGGGTCAGCTCTGGGCTATACCGTTTACCAAAATCGCGCTTTTGGGCAAATTGTCTTCTCGGCGTCGCTTGGGCTTAGTTGTTCCTGGCTGAGATTCTTGGTGATCGCTTTCGCTGCTTGGGCTTTCTATCCAATGTTGCAAGGGCTGTCCGTCCTAGATTGGGATGTCGCTCGGGTCAAGGAAGGGTTGGCACTAGTTAGGCTGGTGTTGGCCCTGAAAACAGTGCCTATGGCTTTGGCAGATCCGTAAGGCGGGCGGGTGGCAGGATACATTGACTACTGCTCCTCTCGATTGCCCATGGACGAGGTGTCGTATCCGTGGGCCTCGAGGTAAGCACGGAACTTTTCATCCTCGTATGTGATGGTGTCCTAGAGGCCGTTAGCCGCCTCTCGCCTGATCCATTGAATTCAATACAGTGGATTGCACGTACCTGGCCGATATTTGGTAGAAGAAAAAATGCCAGTGCAGCACTAAAGATGCATAATGAACTGGAGACAAAGAAAGGATCCTGACCGGACCGGACCTTGTTAGGCGCGTTGTCCTGGATGATCGGGATCACGTAGGTGCCAACAAAGGCGCCTATCTTGCCGGCAGCGGCAGCTATGGCATAGAATTGGCCACGAACAGCAGTGGCGCTGCTTTTGGCACAGCAGAGTCCAATATTGTCACCAGGACCAAACTCACCAAGACTCGAGAAGATGCTAGTTTTCCATATCAGCTGATAAGCGATGACAGTGAAGATCTATGACATACCCAAATACAACAACGAATGCGGCGACGTTTTTTGGCGTTGAGAGATATTCATAGCAGCCAGACATGATGAAGCCAACAATGCCCTGCAGCAAAACGCCGAGTGCCAAAGTGTTGCGTGGTCCCATCCAGTCACTTGTCAAGGCTCCCAAAAAGGAGCCGGGGATGTAGAAAGAGTAAGTCAGTGTGGTCCAGCCGAAGCTCTTCCAGAGAGGGGCGGAGTCTCCCAGGATGATTGCGATCCAGTCAGACGAGTATATGCTAAAGGAATAGGAAGAGAAATCATAAAGAAACCAAATCAGTGAACACACAAACTGTCCTCGGTCAGTCATGGGCTGTGTATTGGCTAGAAGGAGGGATACACACCAGGCGCTTCCAGTAAAACCTGCGAGAAGTGACTTAGCCTCTGCTCTGCGAATAGGACGCAAGTGGATAACGATACTCACTTCACAATTAACCAAAGAGGAAAGTTGTGCATGCGTTCCCGGTTAAACTCCTCGGGTTCCTCCAGCTTCAATCGCAGATAAATCAGACTAAGAGGTGGAATGACACCAAGTCCCAATCCAATACGCCACACCGCACGTAGATGGTTCTCGGTAAAGATCAAGACCAAGATCATTGAAACCAAGGCGGAGACGACATAGGCGAAGTCAATCTGGAAATTAGTGAACATCACAAACCATCGGTTTCGATGGCCTTCCTTTAGTTCACCCGTGTTCTCCGCTGCTGCGACTGACCCTGCAGGGTACTCGCCGCCGATTCCAATTCCCAAGAAGAAACGGTATGCCGTTAGAGCGGCAAATAGGCCATAATGGCTATTATTGTATCCATAGGCCCCAGCACATAAGGCTGCAAATATGAAAAGGATAATTGTAGAAATCATAAGAGACCATTTTCGCGACCAGTGATCACTTGTGTACCCAAAAATAAGCATACCGACCACAGTGCCGGCGAAAGTGATGGAAGAGACATTCTGGCTGGCAGGGGAATCGGCGTATTCTTTGGGGTAGAGCCTCTTGAGAATTGTATTAACAGGTCCAATAATCTAAAAACAAGTCATGTCAGGAACAGTGCGGAGAGCAATTGAGGTAGAAGGGCAGACGTGAATGCACATACTCCATTAAGATAGCCATCGGAGAATAGACCAGCACCACAAGCAATTGTAGGCCAACTGCGCTCCCAGCGACTCTTCCCTGCTGCAGTGGCATCTAGAGCCACTGCTTCGAGGGAACCAGGAGCCTTTTCAGGCGGAACATCAACCTTGGACTGCACGTCCGTTTTTGTTTCCATGATGACTTCCGTAAGAATAATGCCAAGATCGGATTCAAAATCCTGGCTTGATCTATTCAGCCAGGTGAGAAAGAACAGTGACTGGCGAGTTCTGGACGGTTACTGGTAGAGATACCAGAAAGAAGGCCTAGGAAGTTACAGGAACACAGTATAGTAAGTGAGCGATTGTGCCTTTATTCTTTAGAACGATGATATAATGCTGGCGCAGGTGTGACAATACAGGATCAGAAAACGAGAAAGTGAGATGGGAAAAGCAAAATCAAGGAAACGAAGACTGGAAGAAAACCTTTCATAGCCCTGGAGGCATTGAGGGCACATGATGAATTTCCTCTTTGATCCATGCTCTTCCAGTACCACGTTTAGTTCCAGTCTGAGGTTGTATGGCCCCTCCCTTAGCAGCCTTAGCGTATTATCACCGCGGGTTAGATACGCCCGGTGGAGCCAGTACCCCATCTTCAACTGACTTCAACAGCAGGTTGATGCCACGCTAGTCCCACCTCGGAGTAGCACACCCCATAGATGCAGACTGTTATTCGCTGAGGCCTCATCCTGGCTTCGACCAGCCGAATCCCATCGAAGCGAATCCGAGATTCTTTTGCGACCTAAGGCAGCCTTCCCGGTTGCTCGCCCTGGCTTGATTTTCTTTTGCCCCATCACACATAAGAGCTCCATGCTACATGCAGCATATTACAGCTGCACGGAAAGTGGCTAAAAGACCGAGCATCGATGCAAATTTCGATTAGAGATCCCTGATAAGTAACTGGGATGATATAGATACGACGCTTCCGTACGGAGTATAAGGTTTCCCAACAGGTTGGCGGGTAGTAGTTCTTTGGGACGGAGAACTCCGGGAGGTGGTCATCCTACCATGCACGTGTTTGCGATTGATAATTTGTTCGATTTCATTTTCGTAATCCGGCAATCACTTGCGAGCTACTGTTCCTGGTCGTAGACTACGCCCTATACCAGACCCAACAATAAACACTGTCATCGGATGTGGCACTCCGCCACACCTTGAATAGTAACTCGGTTGCAATCATGGATTAGACCCCGGATATTAACTGAAAGGCTTTTACTTGAGCACTCCAGCCCACACTCTGTTTTTCGCCTCGGTGGTGGCACTCTTGACGAGAGGCTTCTGCATCCCTGCAGGGGTATGCGATGCATGACCTCGCGTCCTTTGTTCTCTCATTCTCGGGGCTTCATAGCGACTGGTAGAGATATTGGTCTGCCATGAGCGCAGGTGGGATCCGCCGTTCACTAACCTTCTAAGTAACGTAACTTCAGCATGCAAGTCGAACATCCGACCCTGTAGATGATTCTAGGTAAGTACAACAGAACAGCTACATATAATATAGAACTTTGATTGACTCGTGGCCATCGGTGCTGCGTCTACTTGGCTCCAAATTCCGGGTTTCGTACATTTGATCGGTGGAATGTGACATCGCTGTATGTAGTCCGTAAGTTGTGGAAAGCAGCTGCAATGGAATACTTAACTGCGGAGTAAAGATCCTCATACCCAGCCCGGCTTAGTCGGAGGATGCCTATTCCAATGGAGATGGAGGAGAAGGGGTGGCTGTTTGCATCTTAGGCTGATCCTCTACTTTGCTAGACCACCGCCAGATTGGAGATGTCCCGTTTGTGCAGCCAGCTGAAGAGGCCGCGGGCATAGTCGAAGATGTTGACAAGAGACCGACCGTAGTTGGACCAGCCGTTGGATGTGGTCCCGGCGTCGGAACAACCTTTCCCCAGCTGAGCTCGGGTCAGCTACGTCCCAGCGGTGATGTATCTGCCTCATCCATCACCTTATCCAGATCCTCTACTCATCAGTCCCTCCACCTTTGCTCTTTACCTCTGCTATCCAACCTCCCTGCCCTTTTTAACTCTCTAGTGTATCGTTATATCCCCCATCGCCAGCATGGGGTCCGATCCGCAGTACATAAAGTACCCTGACCTCACTCTCGCCCAACATGTCTTCAACCTCTCCAATCCAGCATGCCCGCAACCAGTTCGACAGACATCATTGAAGAAGCTTCAAGATGTCATAACCGAGAACAAGATGGCCCCCTTCTACCGACACCTTGCCCACCCCGTTGAAGGCATCCTGAATCACTCCGGCGAGGGTGTCCCTCAGCTTCCGGCCAAGTCCCTGCTTACGTCGAATATGTTGGCTTCGCGAAAGTCGCCCCAGAAAATAGACTTTCCTTGGGATGAAGCTCTTTACCAATCGCTGGTGGAAGATAACCGAAAGGAGTTGGACACTTTTCAGAAGGAGGAAGATGAGGCGGAAGAAGCCGCTGGGGAAACCGAGGTGCTGGCCGCACGGGGGAAGCGTGCGGAGTTCTGGGCGCGTGTAGGCGATAAGGTACGTCTCGAAAAGCTATGTTTTTGAGGATATTTGAGGCAGTCTTCACATGCTGGTCAACTTGCTGACACCAGATCGTGTCTGGCAGGACAAAGCTATTGAATCCCACGAAGCCCTCCTTGAGAAGACGACATTCCTCGGAACCAAGATTGATCTGATGCTTGCTATGGTCCGGATCGGCCTCTTCTTCGGTGACTCTCAATTCGTCAAGAAGAGTATCGAGCGAGCGAACACTTTTATCGAGAGTGGCGGCGACTGGGACCGGAGAAATCGCCTCAAGGCCTACAAGGGTCTGCACCTGCTCACTGTCCGCTCTTACAACATTGCTGCCCCTCTGCTGCTCGACAGCTTGTCAACCTTCACAAGTTACGAACTCTGCAGCTATTCATCCTTGGTCATCTATTCGATTCTTGCCGGCTCATTATCGCTGAAGCGAGTCGATTTCAAGGCTAAAGTTGTGGATGCGCCCGAAATCAAGGCCATTCTCGGGCCTGGAGAAGACCGCCTGGCTGCTTTGACCGGCGAGGTTTCCTCAGGACTGGGTGCCCAGGACGAGGAGATGAAGGATGCTTCGGTCTCCAGAACGACGCCAGCCGCGGCTACTACGGTGGTTAACCTGACCACTTTGGGTGCGGGCTCTGGCATCCAGGCCGAGGCTGAGACACCCGTGGACTTCTCGCCCCTTGCAAACTTGGTAGACAGCTTGTATACCGGCAACTACCGCTCTTTCTTCCTGGCGTTGGCAGCAGTGGAGGACAACTTCCTGAACCAGGACCGGTACTTGCATGAGCACCGTGCGTGGTTTGTGCGGGAAATGAGACTGCGCGCGTACCAGCAACTGCTCCAGAGCTATCGCGTTGTTGGCCTGAACAGCATGGCCAGCGACTTCGGCGTCACCGTGGATTACCTGGATCGGTAAGTCCGCGATCGGACCACGACCCGTGAATTACATAGACTGACAATTACAGGGATCTTGCGAAGTTCATCGCGAGCAACCGAATCGCTTGCACCATCGATCGTGTCAATGGCATTATTGAAACGAACCGACCGGATGATAAGAACAAGCAGTACGCGGATGTGGTGAAACATGGCGATGCTTTGATCACGAAGCTGCAAAAGTACGGCCAGGCCGTGCGGTTGCGCGGAAGTGAACGGAGCTAGAGTGGATGTCTTGACTCGCCATATGGTTCATGACTTTCTAGATGAGATACTTAGTGACTTATTCATCTTTTGACTGTTAACCATTGATCACTGCGGGCGCTAAAGCAAGCGGAGCTGCTGTATCATATTTATAAGGACCGAAGGCAACATATCCTTGAGCACTCGCACTCGTTGTGGAGACTGGGCCGAAGTTATCCTCGCTGACACGGCGTAGGGAGGGACCTAGATACGGAGTACTGATAGGCACCCTGTAGATAGCCGAGCCGAAGCTCGGGACGCCCCGGCGAGGGTGTGGGATGGCTGGCCTGAACTACTGGACGTAACTGGTCAGCCATGGGGGCAGCGCAGTCATCGGCCACGGCGGTGCGTCTCCCACCTAAGCCACGGGTGTTCCCAAGCCCATTTCGACACACTCTGAGTGTCGATGCGTAGCATGGACTCGATCAGCATCACCCCGTCTACCAGGCCTTATCATGTAGATAAAACCAAAATTACGGTTCCTGACCCCCGTGGGAGGACCCCGCTGAGTCATCTCCTCACCGCCCCGTGGGATATCCCTCGTGGCTTTCTTTTTTCTCCGTTGGGGATTTGCGGTTTGGCCCACGATCACCTGGAGACTTTCCTTGTCGGCCTATTAGACGGACTTGTCGTTTCTTTGCTTCAAGCAGCAATCCGTCGCGAGTGACCCCCGCTAGCCCCCACGGTGGAGAAGGATTGATCGTGCAATTGGCCGACTTTGGCGCATAGCTGTCGATATCATGACCTGGCAAATTAAGCTCGCCTCTCAGCTGCGGGCATCTCCGCTGCGATGCGCTGTTTCCCGGCCGAATGGTGGTGCCTGGCTGTCATGCCATAACACCCCGCGCCCCTTCTCCTCCAGGGCAAGCCTACCCGCCAGCTCTGGGCTGAGGGGTGAGTTCTTTTGGTTTCCCCCTCCCGTGTCTCTGATTGTCATTGGGCGTGACCTTCCCCCCCATGCTCGGGATTATCAGACACCCCCCGGGGCCCCGTCCAGCCCAGCCCAATCTTGTGACTCCCGGCTTCCCCTATACTGGCATACAAAGGGGACCTGCTCCTCCGTTCCGGCCTGATGCACTGTTCATGTCCTAGTAGCGGGCCCGTTACGCAACTTAACTGACCATACCCTGTACTGTCGCAGATTCCACCATGACCATCTCCCTCACCACGAAGCGCACCCTGACCGCCTCGGCCCCGCGTCGTTTGACCTTGGACAACGTCAACCCCCATGTTAAGGCTGCCAAGTATGCCGTCCGTGGTGAGCTGGCTGTCAAGGCGGAGGAGTACCGTGTGAAGTTGGAGAAGGGGGACAAGTCGTTGCCTTTTGACAGCGTGATTTTCGCCAACATCGGCAACCCTCAGCAGCTGGACCAGAAGCCCATCAGCTTCTTCCGCCAGGTGCTCAGTCTTCTCGAAAACCCCACCTTGCTGGAGAACCCCGAGGCTCTTCGTACCACCTTCGGCTACCAGCAGGATGTCATTGACCGGGCCAAGGTGCTCCTTGCGGACGTCCAGAGCGTCGGTGCTTACAGTCACAGTCAGGGTGCCCCCATCATCCGTAAAAGTGTGGCCCAGTTTATTGAGGAGCGGGACGGCTTCCCCGCCAACCCCCAGGACCTGTACCTAACCGGTGGTGCCTCCTCCGGTGTCAGCACTCTTTTGAACATCATCTGCGATGGCCCCAGCGCTGGAGTCCTCGTGCCCATCCCTCAATACCCTCTCTACACCGCCACTCTTTCTCTCCTGGACGCCCAGTGCGTTCCTTACCACTTGGAAGAGCACAAGGCTTGGGGTACCGATGTGAACGCCATCCGTGAGAACCTGGCGCAGGCCAAGGCTGCTGGCACCGACGTGCGTGCCATCGTCGTTATCAACCCCGGTAACCCGACCGGTGCTTCTCTCAGCGCTGAGGACATCAAGGGCGTGCTCGACCTGGCTGCCGAGGAGAAGCTGGTGGTGATTGCGGACGAGGTGTACCAGACCAACGTCTTTACGGGCGAGTTCATCTCTTTCAAGAAGAGACTTCGTCAGTTGCAGCAGGAGGTGCCTGGAAAGTACGACAACGTGGAGCTGGCCTCCCTGCACAGTGTCTCTAAGGGCATGGTTGGTGAATGTGGTCACCGTGGTGGCTACTTCGAGCTGGTCGGATTCGACCCCGAGGTCGCGGCTCAGATCTACAAATATGTCAGCATCATGCTCTGCCCGCCGGTCATCGGACAGTGCCTGGTCGAGCTGATGGTGAACCCTCCCAAGAAGGGCGAGCCCAGTCACGCGGTGTACCAGAAGGAGTACAACGGCATCCGGGATGGCCTGAAGCAGCGCGCCTTTGCTTTGTACGAAGCCTTCCAGCGCATGGAGGGAGTTGAGTGCCAGGAACCTCAGGTACGTAGTTCAACCACAATCGAACCATGTTGTCGATGTCCACTGACCAATATCTAGGGTGCCATGTACCTCTTCCCCACCATCACCCTGCCCCCTAAGGCCATCCAGGCCGCCAAGGCCGAGAACCGTGCTGCCGACGAGTTCTACTGCCTCCGTCTGCTCGACGCCACCGGTGTCTGTGTCGTTCCCGGCTCCGGCTTCGGCCAGAAGGAGAACACGCTGCACTTCCGCACGACCTTCCTGGCTCCTGGAACGGACTGGGTTGAGCGGATTGTGAAGTTCCACTCTGAGTTCATGGCCAAGTACAAATAAGGAGACGGACGGTCATATAACCTGCACGCGTTATGAAGATATAGAGTTATACCACTGCCCTGTTCACAAGACATAGAAGAATTCCATCTAGGAACATCCTGTTAATTTCTCAAGAGTCCTATTGATGCTGCTGTGATTGTACGTACGTATTCCCTTCTAGATTCGAGTAGTCAGGGCCAAAGACATGTGGATATACTAGCGGAAGTAGCCATTTACTGATTGGGAGAATGTCTATCGATTCACCCTCTCCCCCCAGAACCCAATCCTTGCTAAATCTGAGAATAAGAGTAGGTCGGATAGACAGCTGTCGGTGGGGAATCCCTCGTGAGTTGTGCCCCGGTGACCCAGAGTCCCGAGTGGAACCAAGGGACGACCCGAGGCTTGCTGCTCCACTTGACCGGGACCCTCCATCATCAAATCTGGGGACAGAGAAGGTCGTGCCGTTGAAGAGACTGCTACTGTAGTATTGGCATCAGTGATCGGCTCTACTATCTTTCTTGTGCTCCCTGCCAGTAGGTCTAGACCTCTAGAGACTATTAATAGGTTGCACAGTCTCTTGTAAGCACTAAGCGGCCGTGACGGGACTTGATTAGGATCGTCGATCGGACAAACAGGGGACCTCGCCGATGAAGACTCTTATTTATCAGGCCCATCGGCCCTTCTCTGGCTCTTCAATTCTCTGATTCTTTCTCCTCGCTATACACGTCAGGTCATGTCCCTCCTATCCCTCCCCACCGAGCTCGTGAGCATCGTTTGCAGCTATTTGGAGCAGTCCCACTGGTGCGCTCTTCGCTTGGCGTGCCGGAGTCTGTACGCCAAGTCCCTCGATGCCTTTGCCATCCGCGTCTTCAAGACCATCACCTTCTTAGTGACCACTGATAGTCTCCGTCGCCTGAAAAAGATTGCCGCCCATGATTTCTTCCGGCGGCGAGTCCAAGAACTGTGGGTTGTGCCGGAACTGTTTGGAGGTCTCTATGACGCCGAAATAGCCAGTTCCTCCCCCATCATAGGAAGAAGGCTGCCGAATGGCCAGGCGCTCACGGCTGCGGATGTCGAGAGCAGTTATGCCACTTATCAAGCTATAGTAGCAGATCATCTCAGCATCCTTGAGGCTGACACCTTCAGTGATGTGCTCAAGATCTGCCTGGAGAGCTTTGAAAACCTCGCCGTCTTCGGACTGCGATATCGCCATGTCTCCCATCTCGCATCGAAAACGGATACCCGCTGTCTTGGCCTGCGCAGGTTAGAGGAACAGCTCAACTGCAATCAGACCTACCCGCTGCGACGATTTGGTGGTTTTCACACCCGCGTCGCCAGGTCCCACGCATTGGCCTTCTCGGCTTTTGCCAGAGCGGCCATCGCATCCAACCAAGGCATCACCAAGTTGTACACTTGCCGTCATCAGTGTTGTGGTCTGACCCCCCAATACTTGACTCTCACCCCTGAGCAGTATGAGTCTCTGCTGCCGCTCCTGAATCATGTCAAGAATCTACATCTCTGCATCTGTACATTCGGAGCTCAATCGGAAGAGATCATCCTCAACTATCTTCTTGAGATCCTCGCAGCGACTGCCCCTAGCCTTGAAGTGCTGACTTTCTCGACATGGAATCGAGACCACCAACTGAGCCCTCCTGATTTATCCGGGATCTCGCGGCGCATTCACTTCACACGCCTTGCAGAGCTTCATCTCCATGAAATCGAGATCGCTTCCGATGCCTTCCAACGCCTTGTACGCAGCGCCGCGCCGACATTGAAGACCCTTACCCTGAAAGCCATCAGCTTGACGGACGAAGCGATGTCCACGGTAATCTATAGAGACGATATCGAGCGCTCCTGGCAGCAGGTTCTAGATTTTTTTCGGGATGAACTGTCTCTACAATCTCTGCACATGGTCTTCCTGTTTCACCGGGGCCAGAGGGTGGAGATAATCGACCGCTCGAGTCAGCTCGCCGGCAATTTGAGGCCCAACGACGGTACCCGCACTTTTTTCAGTGCCGACCGAGCCCGTATCTCCTTCAAAGACTGGGTTGGCCAGCTCAGACCAAACCTGCCAGTGATTACCGAGGTGGCATAAGGACCGAGGGATCACAACTCGGAGGGTCGTACAGTAGGGGCGGGAGCCCTTGTAGAGCGACCCTTGCAAAATGAAGAGCCAGATCAGGCTCGTAACACTTTCTCCCTTATATATAAAATGCTGAAAGAGAATTTGGCCGACTCGAATGATAGGGAATGTGGCTATCGCAGGATGCTTATGTCAGCTACGCCTGCGGCGATCCTCCCCCGCTCGAGGAATTAAGCCTTGAGAGCAAAGTTGCCTGACGCATCCACAACGAAGTTCTTCAGGATCAGTCTCGTGTCGCAATCAGCACCAGACACCCTCGCTCTTCACTAACCGAGGCATGAACAGAGAATCGTCCAGTCACTTACTTCATATCATTGCTTTTGAACATGGGTGATCAGGGTGATGAGCCGTTGCAGGTTGGTCACCTTCATTTGTGGGCGCATTCGCCAATGCGATGGCCCGGGCTATACAGGTGAATAGCTAATTCGGCCATTGAATCTCGCTCTTAGGACCTGGAGAAGACGTATTGCCCGCCTCTGGATCCAGCCTTGCTTACGGCTATTGCTTTTGACTATGATCTGAGGGTCCCTACTCAGCTTCAACAACTTCGCGACACCTTAGATGCTCTCCGCTTATCAGCATGGGAACAGGAGGATCTACCGTTCGATCCCTCCGGCACGTCCGGATTAAGCCCAGAAAATGGCCCAGAAGCAGATGGGATTTTCTCGGAGCGCAGCGGATCACAGGGTGACCCGTCGCGCGCAGCTGATCTCTCGAGCCTCACGTCTGGTTTCTCTTCATTCGGTCTGAGTGAGCGGAGCTCAAACAGTAGAAGCAAAAGTGGCTCGACGACATCAGACCATATTTCCTATATTATTGGGGCGGACGGCTCTATCTGTTTGTCTGGGGCTAGCGACGATGACAAGATCGGCTATCTGACGGAGATGTTTCCTTCGGCGGACCTCTTTACGATCAAACACACATTGAAGAAGTCCAATGGGGACGTTGACCGCTCAATGGACGTCCTGCTGAACCTCGCGTTCTTTGACGAGCAGGCGCCTGATGAGGATGGGCGGACGGTTGCTGTTCCCAAAGGCGTGGACGGCTTCGAAGACGGTCCTGGAGAGGCCGGTAGGAAGCAAGGACGCAAGCGCAAAGCCAAGAACAGAACGGGCCGCAAACAAGAGTTTTCGTCGCCCCTAGGATCCGAGCCTGAGTTGGATGGCACATCCACTCTTAACAAATGGGATGCTGCCGGGAAGGATGTGGAATTCATCCATGCGCGAACCTCACCGATCCTCAAGAAGGAAACGGTGCGCTCGACTTATCATGCCAATGGAGCCTCCCTTCCCGCTACAATACGGGCCCTTGCGAGTGCGCATGCCCCGAAAGATGAACGGGTCATCAATGAGGATCCAGTTTTGCTTGCGCAGGTGGCCGAACTTACGCAAGAATTCTCTTCGGTCCCAGCACTCACGTTTGCGGGCTTGCTCAATATCACGAGAAGTTCTGTATCGGCTGCTAGCGAGCTCGCAGCGGCCATGTTAACGGGCCCAGTGCCCCCCTCCATGTCTGAGATGATCAAGATCACGGCGCCACCCCCACCGGTGGATGTTGAAGAGGAGGTGCTTTCTACGCGATCCGCTAATATACCGGTTACCCGAGATCTCTATCGAGCGAGAAGCGCGGCGGGCTTGCACTTTGCGGCAGGCGCCGAAGCATTAACCAAGGCATCAATCGCATATAGGCGCGGCAAGTCGGATCGACTGATGGGTGGTGCGGCTGCGTACTACTCTGCAGTGGGGCGGGATCATATGGAACGCGCCAAGCGCAATGCCGCAGCTGCCGCCGACGCCCTGGTTGATTCCCAGTCTACATGGAATATGCTCGACCTTCATGGAGTGTCGGTACAGGACGCGGTCCGGATCGCCAGCGCACGCGTGTCGGAGTGGTGGGAGTCTCTGGGCGATGCGAAATACATGCGAGGAGGTGGTGACCCAGCCCAGGGTGGCTATCGCATTGTCACCGGTCTTGGAAGGCATAGCCATGACGGCACCTCACGCCTGGGTCCAGCTGTTGGGAAGATGCTGGCTAGAGAAGGCTGGAGGGTGGAAATTGGAGCTGGAGTTTTGACCGTTGTGGGTGTTGTGCGGCATCGCTAAGGCTTTGCTATTCTGGTTCTCTCCATACTTGAGCTTGGAGCGTTCACCTAGAATGCGGATCTAGAGAAGGGACGTTTTGTGGCCAATATCTACTACACATACATACATACATACATACATACAATCATGCATACATCACACATTCATGCATTTCTACACGTGAACTTGCAAATAATGTATCTACTATATAATCTATAGGAGGCAGACACGGGCTCTAGCCCGTGTACAAAATATACCAAGGTAGACGTTGAGGTGCTTCCGTCCGGATGACGTAAAATCGCAGGCAAATGAGCTATAGCGGCGACCATACCAATGGCCCCTCACCATCTTTTCCCCTCAATCTTCACGTCCGAGATCGTGATCGCTAGTACTCACCAAAACGGAATCCCTCCAACTTGCCCCTTGAGCCCTAACCTCATGCGCTTCCCGGGCCTGAGCTCTCCCCTTCGCATCTTCACCGTACCCCTCCGATCGCAGCCCGCGCGATCCCTCCGCCATCATCCTCGCCCCATCTCCGGCGCAACAGTCCTGCGAGCCGCGCCCACGATCCCCTTCCTCGGATCCTTCTTCAGTTCCAGCGCCAAATTCAACACCCAAGACGACAGCAACATGTCGTACCCCGACCAACGCAGCCCGGATGCGTGGCAAGCTGTCCTAAGTCCCGGTATCTATACCTCGGCACCCACCCCCCCCCCCCCCCCTCACTTAATCCCCCCAACTAACACACCTCATCTCAACACAGAACAATTCCGCGTCCTCCGCGAAAAAGGCACCGAGCGACCCTTCACGGGCGAATACGACGGCCACTACCCGTCCCAGGGCGTCTACAACTGCGCCGGTTGCAATGCGCCCCTGTACAAAGCATCACACAAGTTCAAGTCAGGCTGTGGCTGGCCCGCGTACTTTGATTCTATTCCGGGGGCGGTTACAAGACATACGGATAGTTCGTTTGGGATGGAACGGACGGAGATTGTCTGTAGTAATTGTGGGGGGCATCTGGGACATGTGTTTAAGGGTGAGGGGTATCCGACCCCGACGGATGAGAGGCATTGTGTGAATAGTATTAGTTTGCGGTTTAAGGAGGAGGGGAATTAGGGGGTGGTGTGGTTGGGGTTTGGTGTAGATTAGTGTATGTATGTGTTGAAGTAAATGAGATGAGAGATGAGAGAAACCTTAACTTTCGATATCCTCCGTAATCAACATCAAACGGCCGCTGGCACGTGCCGTGGCCGGTCGGCGAACCCACCGCCTTGCAGCCTGAGGCGCGCGCGGGACACCGCAAGCCGCCACTTGGTGGCCCATTGACGTCCCCCGTTTCAACTCCCCTTTAATCTCCTTTCCTCCTCTCCGGTTGCATTCCCTGGTAATTCGACTCGGACTGCGTCCCTAGCTGTCATGTCTCGACGTGCCACGCCGTCCCAGGCTGCTCAGAACCAGCAGATCATCAAGAGTCTGTTGAAACTCGACCAGAACAAGACATGTGCCGATTGCAAGCGCAATAAGCGTTAGTGACCCTCCGCAATTCCCCATATACTTTTCTGTGGCCGCGCTGCATGTCTCCGTTCAATGCGGATGCACATATGTGCTTTGCGATCGCTGGCTAATAAGTTCTTGATTTTAGATCCGCGATGGGCGTCATGGAATCTGGGAATCTTCATCTGTATCCGGTGCTCGGGCATTCATCGCGGCATGGGCACCCATATTAGTCGGGTGAAATCCGTCGACCTTGACTCGTGGACGGATGAACAACTGCAGAGTGTTGTGAGATGGGGCAATTCTAGGGCAAACAAGTGCGTTGTTTCCGCGACAATTCGTGTGTTTCTGGGACCTTGGACTCATGGTTGTTGGCAGGTATTGGGAAGCGAAATTGGCTCCCGGTCATGTTCCCTCTGAAGCGTAAGTGGATATCTTCCCCGCATATTATCTGACTGGGTGACTGTGTGGCTGAATTGACACCGTGAGTAGGAAGATCGAGAACTTCATCCGGACAAAGTACGAGTCTAAGCGTTGGGTCATGGATGGTCAGATGCCCGACCCTTCGACCTTGGATGATGGGGATGACGATGTGGTAGGTGGTTTAGTTGCACCCCTTGTTGATAGGCACTATTGGATAGCATTAACTTGAGTCAAAAGCCTCTTGCAGTAGTACAGGAAAAGGCGAAACTTGAGCGCTCCGCTTCTCAGCGGGTGGCGACGGCCAGTCAGCCTGCAGTCCATCGCCAGCAAGCATCCATCGACCTCTTCGGCGACGATATCTCCCCTCCCGCGCGTCCCAGTACCACAGATCCCACCCCTCGGGCGCCTCCCAAACAACCACAGTCGGCGCCTGCTCCTAAGCCGGCGGCCCGTCCTGGAGATTCGCTCCTGGGACTGGACTTCTTCGGCAGCACTCAGCCGGCCCCCAGCAGTCGGCCAGCCAGCATTGCGTCGACTCCTGCTGGTTCCACCGGAATGTCGAGACCCGATCTGAAGCAGTCTATTCTATCACTATACTCGAAGGCTCCGCCGGCTCCGGCGCATCATGAGCGCACATCCTCGTTCGGAGATCTTGCCTCTCCCCCGGCTCGCTCCGCATCGGCCTCAAACATGGGTGGTCTGACTGATGCTTTTAGCGGATTGAGTATTCCATCAACCACGTCCCCTCCGGCCCCCAAACCCGCCGAGAAACCCTCGCCCTTCGCCAATTTGGCGAACTTTGCCAGCATAAAGTCCACACCGGCAGCCCCCAAGGTCTCTTCGCCTACTGCTTCCGTTAACAGCGGCGGTGGCAGTCTTTTTGATAGCCTCACTTCTCCTGTCGTGCCCCCACCAAAGCCGCTGTCCCGTACCACATCAGTTTCCTCCAATGGGTTTGATGCGGGATTCACCAGTTTTGCGTCTCCTCCGCCTCCCAAGCCGAACCCACCGCAGTCGCCTCTCTCCAACGATCTGTTCGGACTTTCTTCTCCGGCCCCAGCCGCGCCAGCTGCCGTCTCGCCACCGCCGTTCGCATCGACCTCTCCGCAGGATCTGAAGTCTGCTTTCAACCTCAACCCCGCTCCTGCCCCAGCTCCGAAGCCCGCTAGCACCACGGCGTCTGTCGCAAACGTGCTTCCCCCCACGACCATTGACCCATGGGGAGGCAATGCCTGGAGTACGCCGGAACCCGCGCCTGCGGCTCCCGCTGCTCCATCTTCGATGATGAAGGTCCCCGACACGCTGACTGCCAATGACGTTGGTGGAGGCTGGGGCGCCCCGGCCCTGTCTGCGGGTTCCAAGCCGGCGCCAACTGTTGCGGCCGATGAAGATTTCGGCGGATGGGCCAGCGCGGCACCGATCTCGTCTACCACGACCAACACTACTACGACTAATAAGAACGCATCCTCTAAACCGGCGGGCGGGTTTGGCGGAGCCGACGACTTGTTTTCTAATGTTTGGGAGTAAGGCCTTTGGGTCGGCTCGCATCCGTCTACTTTGCACATATCGGTGTTTATCGTCTATCTTTTAGACTTCAGCGGCAGGTTTCAATGTGATCTCGTGTTATTACGTTTCCTTCTCCATTTTTACAGTGTCTACCTCCCTGTTTTGGTATCTTGTTTCTCATCACTCATGACCAGGGATGGACATTGCATTTGGATTGTAAAATGGGCGGGGTTATGGATTCATAAGCTTATGTAGTCATGCCGTACGTGCTATGTTCTTCACACTGGTGTATACGAAGTAGAGCATCATGATATGAATTGCCTCGGAGTTCGGTGGTTGTAGCAAAATCTCGGTCGCATGATCGACACAAGGATTACGAACGAGGTCATGGCTGGGAGCAGGCACATCCAGTCCCTGTAGCTAAAATGTCTGCTTGTAGCTGACAACACTCGCGTTGTCTCCTTGAACAATCCACAGACGGCACAATATAAGAGCGTAGGATGGTTCGGGTGGGTCTCGCGGAGGCCTCGCCACCGATCCATCGGGTGGCTCTCGGCTCATCAACAACATCCCCAATCCAATCCAATCCACCACTCCTCCACCCATTTCAATCACCACGCTCGTCCAAATGAACCATGTCCCGCTGTCGTAAGCGTCTGCCACCCAGCTATCATCCCGTATTCGACCCGATTCCGGGACGGAATTGGCCCTAAGGACCAGGACAATGAATCCCACCGACCCAACAGGGTCCGCACCGGTCAACAAGCCCAAGGTCCGGCTGAGCTGCGAAACCTGTCGACAGCGTAAAGTCAAATGCGATAAGCTGGACCCGTGCACGAACTGCCAGCGTCTCGGGGCGAGATGTGTCCCGGTTGAGCGGGCGCGTCTGCCTCGTGGCAGATCGGGCCGCTTGGCAACAGAGCGACCCGGGGATCAGGATGCGAATTTGAAAGATCGCGTCTCGAAGCTGGAAAGTATCCTTCGGGATCTGGCTCGTGGGGGCAGTCAAGCTTCTGCTCGGGCTATCTTGGCTGCGGCGGTCGAGGAGGGCTCGCAGGATGGGGAGAATTCGCTCGGCGACGACGATTCGCAGGCTGGGGGGGTCCGCACGCCTGATACGTATCTCGGGTCTTCGTTTTGGGCTAATCTTTTGAATGAGGTGAGTGAGTCGTGATGCAGTCTCGTGGTTGTGGCTGGGTTGTTAATTGTCTAGATAGGTGCCGGATATGCATCCGAGTGAGCGTCGGAGCTCAAAGAGTGATGACCATGATGCTGAGAATAGGAATCTCATTAGCTATCGTCGGCTTTTGACTATGGCTAGCGGGGGTGGGATCAAAAGTGAACCTGTGTGTTCCTCGCCGACCCATCAGCAGCTATGTTGTCTATTCATGCAGAGGGTAGACCCGCTTTGCAAGATCCTACACCGGCCAACACTCAAGGCATTTCTCGTGGATGGAAGTCCGTATCTGGACTATGAGCCGGGACATCTGGCTCCAACTGCGCTCGCCTATTCGGTGTACTACGCAGCGTCGTGCAGTCTCATTGACGAAGAGAGTATGCGCTGCTTCGGCATCCCCAAGTCATCCATGGTCGCACGATACCATAAGGAAGCAGAGACAGCCCTGGCCCGCGCGGACTTTATCACCACCAACGACCTCACCGTCCTCCAGGCCTACGTGCTCTTCCTCGTACGTATCCATTCCCTCCCCTTCGAAAACATCCCACTAACCCTCCCCAGCTCGCACTGCGCTCCCAAGACCAAAGCCGCCGCATGTGGACGATGCTCAGCATGGCCCTCCGCATCGGACAAGCCCTCTCCCTCCATCTCCCCGACCCCCCGTTCCACGTCCGACCCTTCGAACGTGAACTCCGCCGACGCCTCTGGATCGCCATCGGCTTCCTCGACGTCCAAGCCTCCATGGACCGCGCCTCCGAACCAATGATGCAAGCCAGCTGGCTCGAATCCCACCCCCCAGCCAACGTCAACGACATCGACCTCAGCCCCAACATGGAAGCCAACCCCGTCGACTCCCCCGGCTTCACCGACATGACCTTCACCATGATGATGCACAAATCGCAATACGTCGCCCGATCCCTCAACTTCTCCGACTTCATGGAACCCTCCATCACCACGCTCGCCATCCGCCAACAACTCGTCCTCGAATTCAAACAATCCGTCACCAAACTCCTCCACCACTCCAACCCCGACCACATCCCCCTCCACTGGCTCACCCGCGCCATCGCCGAATGCACCCACGCCTCCCTGCAACTCATCACCCTCCGGCCTCTCCAACGCGCCCCCAACTTCACCCCCCCGCACGTCCGCGGCGACCGCCTCCTCGAATTCGCCGTCAACGTCCTCATCCTCTCCCGTCGTCTCCGCTCCGACCCCCGCTTCGCCACCTACCAATGGTTCGAATTCGCCTTTCCCCCCTGGCACTGTCTCGCCGTCGCCCTCGCCGAGCTCTGCGTCTGCGACGACCAATCCGTCATGGAACGTTTCTGGGATCCCATCGAAGATACCTTCCACCAACTGGGTCGCCTCATCGCTGACTCCCAGCGCGGTATGCTCTGGAAACCCATGGAAAAGATCATGGCGCGTGCACGCGAACGACGCGCACAGCTACTTGCCACGGACGCTTTCTCCCCCTCTACCACAACAACCATCCAACAACAACAACCCCAACAACAACAACAACAACAACAACAACAACAACCCCCAATCCCCATACAAATACCCCCACAAGACTTCATCCCCGGAATGCACACAGACACTCAAGTCGGCCTCGACCAAGCCGTCGCGGCCATGAACACGCCCGAAAGTGTAGACAGCACGTGGCCGAATGTCTGGGACGCGGTGGATTTCAGTTACGCGGCGCCCGGACCCGCGCAGATGGCGTGGACGAGTTATGGGGATTTCGTGGCGGAGTTTTATGTTAATGTTGATGATCCGTTGGTGAATCGGTGATATCACTACCTACCTACCTACTGGGTGAAATAGATCTGAGAGAAATGGATACTATACGGGGTGTGGATGCAGTGTACACACATCCTTGAAAGGAGCCGACGCAATCCGGAATATGCTAGCACATACGACTCTAAAGACTTATTGTCGAATGACAATTAAGAACATGATGCTGACCATCCATCCCACCGACTCCGCCTATTATACACTGCTCGAAATAAACCACACAGCCTGCACTGGACTGGCGTGACAAAATAGGGGGAAAAGGGAAAAAAAGGAAAGAGAAACATAAAACGACATGACAGCCCCCGTTGTCCTGTTCTACCGCATCACATCACCGTGACCCGGACGCCTTAAAGAGTCAGATTGCGAATACAGTTCGTCCATTTCACTCCATTCCACCCCATTCCACTCCACTCACACCGTTTTAAGAATATATCGCTTCACTTCTCCTCTCCGAATACGCGAAGTACCAAAAAAAAAGGCTGTGTGGCCGCCCAGATGATAAGAAGGATATGTAGGAGGCTACACAGGCCCTCTGGGTCAGTTGCCCAGGGATAAAAGAAGTAGAAGAAGAAGGTAAATAGAATAATCACCGCGCGGGGTCCAGAAGCGACCAAGAAGAAATTGAAAAAAGCCAGGGTATTTGTACAACATAGCAAGATCAAAAAAAATGAGAAAGATGAGAAGAACCTCGGTAAATAATGCGATAGGTAGGTAGGTAGGTAGTGAGATGATAATGATGATGATGATGATGGAAAGTTTCGTCAGGTCAGTCCAGGTTCATTTCAATCGATCAATCAATCAATCAATCAGTCAGTAGTAATCCTCTTTCTCTATTATCATGATCAATTCAGTTAGTTCCTTGCGTAACGACCGGTTCCGGTCCCATGTTTCCACGATCTTCGGACGATGGCTGAGGAATACGGCTTTCTTCCAGGAGAGTCCGTTGTATTTCTGTGCCATTCCGATGGGCAGGTTCCTGGCGACGTTGCGCAGGACGAGTGCTGCCTTGTAGGCGACGCCGATGGGTTCGCCGCGCTCGTTGATAGGCGTGTCCATGTAGAACCATTTGCGGACGATGCGCTCTTGGAGCACGGCACGCTTGGAAACGGGCGCTTCGGCATCGGCAGGGCGCTCTTCGGGTAAGTGCGATGCCACATGGCCGGCGACCATGGCGGTATTGGCACTAGGGCCAGACGCGCGGAACCGGGTGCAGTTGTCCCAGTGACACGTGTGGATCGGGGTTTCCGCTGGGTCCAGGTTATAGTGGCCCGGCGTATCCGTGGCCTTGAGTTCCATGTGGTCGGCAAATACATGGTTGCGCAGGTCGGTGGGGGTAGCGAAAGCGCGCTGGCAGGTTTTGGTGGGTTTCGTGTTGTCCGCCCACTTGCAGTAGAGGTACGGGAAGCCCTGGAACGTGTAGGCGGTCTCCAGCGGACGGATGCCCTTGATGATGAACCGAGTCGCCGCACCGGGCCCGTTGATGACCTGTGCTTGGGCGTTGGTGAAAGTCGTGCTGACGTTCTTGATGAACTCGGCTGCTGGAAGGACACCGCCCCCAGGAACCCGGGGGTCCGCGAACCGGCTCTGATACGCTTGCCACAGAGCTATTTGGGTGATTTCGCATTCCGCATCTTCAACGAAGCAGCAGCGCAGCCAGCGGGAGCTACGTTCCGGCTCCTGTAACTCCATCAAGTCTTTCAAAAGCTCTGCTGGTACACGGGGAATCTCGGATGGCGGCGGGGCGACTTTCTCTTCCTGAAGAACCGTCTCTTTCTTACTGGGTCGCGCTTCGTGGGTCAGGAGGGCGATCATTCGTGGGACGAAAACGCTGGGGAAGTCGAAAATATCAAGCATAGTCTCGATGTTCTCGCGAGAAAGCGTGTATTGATACCAGAAGTCAAGCGCCCCGCTTAGGACGTCTTTGTCCAAATCCAAAAGAGTATGGAAGTACATCTGTTGCAGGGTTTGTTTCGGCATGCGTTCCAATGCGCGGTTTGCCTCGGGCTCGTCAATTTCGGTCGAAAAATGGGTCAGCGCCCAGAGCGCCCGGACGACGTGGGCACGATCTGAGGACTCGAGGCAGTGGAGCAGGGAAAGCCAGAGGGGATCTTCGGGGTCGGTCCTCATGAACTTGGTGACCTCTTCGGCAATGTCTAACGCGTCGTTCCTGATTTCGTTCAGACGGGGCTGATTGGGAAGGTTGATCAAGATGACCAGGAAATCCCTCAATAGGCCGTGCGCATAACGTGAAACATAAAACGCGTTCTCTCGGAGCAGAACCATGTTTCGGAGAACCAATGTAGCCTCTTTGACATTCCGTAGGCGATGGTTGAACTCGTCCGTTTCGAGGGTATCAGTAGGCAGCGTGACGGGGATCCTCCTGATTCTCTCGAGGATATCTCGTGTCCCATGTAGCGAGTTGAGCATGTTGATACGCTCCATGGGTTGACGGAAGTCATATTGGAGTTCCCATTTGACGCCCGTGCAGAGTATCGACACCCCCAGGGCCTTTTCCATCAATGTCTCGGCCAGCAACGGAAAGCCCTCGAACTTGAATTTGTCCCAACGCTGGTTTGAAATCTGGACAAGGTGGTACAATGCGAAATCGACCTCATCGGGAATGCCGGACTGGAGGCCATAATGCGCACGTTTATAGATATGGTCCGCTGTCCGAGCGTGTTAGCAATGGCAACGACACCAACGTGGGGTTGCAGGAAAGGCTCACGCACTTTTCGGAACCTCGAGGTATCTGAGGGGGAAGTAAGGATCATAGAAGTCGGGTTGTTTAGCAACCTTGCCGTGCAGGTTGAGGAAGAGGCCCGGCCGGTTGCCTGGTGTTGCTACCTCGCGTGTGTTCATGGGCACTTTTTGTTCCTTTCCATCCCAGCCCTCAGTTGGGAAATGCGAACTGTTTGAATTCGGCGCGGGAGAGTTGGAATGCGTTTGGGACATTGGCGTTGGCTGCGGAGACTGGTTGGCTTGAGTATGTGAGCGCCGAACCGGAGCAGTGTCCGGAATGAATGGCTGGTTGGCCTTTGGAGCCTGCCGCAAGCCCTCTACAAGATGTTAATCGAGCTTACGGACAAGGAGCATGGCGGAAAACAGGAATACTTGCCTCGTAGAGATGTGCGGGGAGTCTGAGAAGACATGTTGAGCCTGACTCAAACACGCCTAAGATGCCTTCCAAGAAAGCAGCCCGTTATATCAAGTCGCCCTGGAATGCCTCGTAGAAAGACCAAGGGTGACCTGACTAACCCAGCCTACTGGCCAAAGACACCGCCTGCAGTTTAAGCGCGAAACCTTTGTGTTAGACGCGCCGAACTGAAGTCGAACGCCCAAACGCTGTCTGTTGGCAGCCCGTTCCTCCGTCTCTTCCAATTATCCTCTCAAAATTCCCTTGCTGCGATGATACGAAAGTGTGGGCGTAGAATCGAAATTCGGTCGTTTTCCGGGCGGAATGCTCGCGTGCTGGGTTCGAGGAACGTAGTCCGGCGACGGTCTGGAAGCTTGGTCGCGATATGAAGCTATCGGAGGACTGCCTGCTGGGAACCGAAGAGGATGCGACGGGACAACAACATAAGACGCTCGCGTAGGAAGTGCTCAGGAAATTATGAGAAGGAGTCACTGCGCGTGTTGTCGACCAGTATCAGCGATAGATATATATTCTGGGATCGGGTGTCAATTCCTTTGGCGAAGACCAGGAAGAGAGGGCGCTGTGTAAATATGAAGAGAAGCTGATCCTGCGATCGATCCGTCCTTGGTCCATCCGCAGGCAAAAGTCCGCGCTGCTTCTTCGGGCCTCAGGCGCGTGTCCGGATTATTGTTACTTCCGGAGTGCCGTTCCCGTCGGTTTGCCTGGTTTGCAGGGATGAGTAGAATGATGGATGCCTCGCATATCAGGCTTACGAGGCCGCGTCGATCAGCGTTCGTCGATCATCCCGAGCTGCATTGGCCTATCGCATGTTCTGTCCTCAGTTCCACCCGCCGTGGGACGGGCAGCAGCACAAGGGACTGTACAGACAGAGTGAGGTCTGTCGCTGCTGGCCATCGGTTCACCAGCAAGTTTCTCCAAGACATTCAACTGTTTGACATATTGGCCGGTATCGGATTCTATGAAGTACTCGAGACATAATCCCTGATTAATATGAATATGAATGTTTAAAAATACCTGGTAAAGCTCCTTATTGACAGGCCCAGAAGCATGACCTTTAGTATCGTATCCCGGGGTTTGGCGAACCCGGTATAGTCCATCCACCATGTCTTCTACTTCCGTCCGAATACCCCCCATCTACATATCCGCACATAAACCATCATGTGCCTATAATATCACTTTCTATATAGCATATCAATATAATACTTGACTGTCTGCCTATCCGGACAAGTCAATCGATATGATGCATCCGCTGTCTCAACAGCCTCCCGATTCCACGACTCTCGCTCGTCTATCATTAGCCAAGTTCTCCCATACAACGACCTCACTTAACCACCGAGGTCCATTACACTGGAGCCATGTCATGGGAAATGGAGATCTAGTCGGCATTTTTGAGAGGCGCACGATGACAAATTTCACTCCAGACAGAATACTCTTGAAGGTCATTGGTGTCCATGGAAACCTGGTGATTCCCACCGCACTGAGAAGCAGAATCAAACAAGCTTATCAAGCGTGACACTAGGAAGAGATAGATCTTACTCACTTTGCTATTGAAGCCGGAAATATAACCCAGTCCAGCCAAATCACAGCGTCAAAGCCAATCTTCGCAGTCGTGGTGAAGTTACCCTGCCTTGCAGTAAAGTATCCAAGAGCAAACATGGTAGGAAAACGAGTCTATCAACAGTTTTATCCCTAACTTGTAAACAGGTCCACCGCTTCCAGATAAAATTCTCCTTCGATCACGACTTTTATACGGCCTTGGCCATTCTGAGCGACATGAAGTGTCCCTTCTCGGAGGCCAGTGTTGGCTCCATGCGGAAATTAACCTCATCTCAATGGAACTCGGGGTCAATTGAATCAGGACCTATAACTAGACAGCCAACATATGGATCGAGCATGCCAGGTCCACTCGCATCTCATCCGGTTACTTTCTGTCAACAAACCCCAACCACCAGTGCATCAGGTTCGTCATCTAGCGTAACAGCAGGTAAGACTTTATACACCTACCGACGTGCATTCAAGGCCTAACCATTGCAGGCATCTCAGTACCAACCACATCATCCAGCACAGTCCAGACCAGTCACACATACTTCACTAGATCAATCAGCAGTCGAAATAACCCCACACAAGCACAGGCACCTCTCAACTTCTCACAGCCCATCACCCAGGGGAGCCCAGAAGACAATCGCCCCAGGCCATCTACATCCGCATCTTCATTGTTGGCAAAACAGACTCAACCCTTAGACATACCACCTAAAAGAGACCTTCCATTCGCCAGTACCAGGAAGAAGGATCCACCCACCTTCTCACAGGCAACAATTACATCCACCAAGGCTAATCGTGGTACGAAAACACTGATCTCAGTTTGTTATAAACAGTACACGTGCTAACCTCCACCAACAGCAAATACAAGTCCACCAAAAACCACAAACCACCCACCAAGACCAGCCACCTCCAACGGAACAATCACCACACTACGATATTCCCACCCCAACAATGACAAACACCCCCTTCACTCAGAACCAAATATAACCCCCTCCACTATAACATCCAACCCCCCATACCCAGCAACGAACATACAATCCCCCAACCCTCCCTATCCCTCTACCACACAACCCCACACTGAACCAGCCAACCCACACCAAATAACGACAAACAGCGGAAAAACCCATCAGATGAAAGTCCCAGAAGCTCCCACAGCAACAGATCTCTCAGCATATATGTCCGCTCCGACCGCCGAGCGAATGGCTAGTATCGAAGCGTGGATCTGTAGTCAACTTGAAGACGATGGATTTGTCCAGCTTTGTCAGGATATGGAGGGTATTTGGCAACGGATTGCGTTTGGGAGATAAAGGGGGTTACCGTTGCGAATGGTTGTTGATTGTATGTGATATGGCTACTATGTATCCAAGTCAATGTGCTGGTTGAGATGGGTTATGATGATTTATTGATAAAGGAAAAAAGATACAGATTGTACTGCTAATTAATATCATATTTAAAGAGCCGACGCACAAATCCATCGGCCCGTAAAACACATCGATAGAGATGAATCTAACGACAAGCAAGTAGGTTATCCATTGAGAGAAAGGAAAGATAAAAATACACGGGCCTTAGAAAAGAATACGCTAGTCATGGAAAAACAACCATTAAGAAAAATAGGGAGGTAACCTTGATAAGTTTCTTTTCTGGGGGATATATGAGAAGAGAACTTCCAGCTCAAAAAAACAGATTCAATTTTCCAAAGGAACCATTACGAAGAATACACTTGTGCAATCTTAGTGTCTGTACTGTACCCCAGGGCTACCGAGTCCGACGGTAAATCAACCCGGAGAACACGTTCAGGTAGCCTTCCTTGGTGAGAAGGGTGAAGTCGACGACCATGTGACCTTGCGGTTGAGGGGCGAGGTTGGGGGAAGTGGCGTTCATGTTGTGCTCGGCCGAGGACATGGCAGGGGGCGGAGAGGCGTTGGCGGCCACCTGGCCCTCTGCACCCACGGCCAGGTCAGCGAGGTGCTGAAGGGAGCGCTGCTCGTTGGGTCCCATCACTGGCGGGGCGGCAGAACCGCTCTTGCCGAGGCTGGGATCCTGCAGCTGGTTTTCTTGCGCTTTCGTGCGTCGCCATTCGAGGAAGACGCGGATTTTCGCATCCCAGCCTGGAGTGCCGAAGATGTCACCGAACTCCCCGGACTCGGTGGTCCGTTTGGAGCGGTAGTCCAGGATCTCTTCGACCTTCTTGAGTGCCTCCCAGCATTGGTTCGAGTGTTCCGGAAGCACAGTGGCCTCGAGAAGTGTCATGGACGCCAAAGCCAAACTATGCAGATCAAACGGCGTGGATAGTCGGGACTGCATGCTCGCCTTGTGTAGCTCGTTGATGACCTCCTCGGCGGCGTAGATGATTTCATAAGGGCTATAGACGAAGATGTGGCGTTTGATCAACAACCGCACAGTCCAGTACAGCTGGTTCTGTAAACTTTCGAAAAATCCGTAAGGTGTGCCGTCCTCTGGGTGCTCGTGAGGCTTGCGGAAATCTCCAATCTCACTTAGACGCTCGAGCGATGCGACCAAGTTCGCCGCAACCATACGGCCCAGCCCTGTGTTCGTCTGGCATATATTGTTTTCCTGGGCGGCAAGTGTAACCATCTCAACAAGGAATGTGGAGTATGCTAGAAGGTAGGAAGGTTAGTTAACAGGGTCAAATTAAACAAAGGAGATGGTCAGACATACAGCCAATCCCCGCCGTGGCTGAGCCGAGGACCCTTTCGTCCTCCCGTCCACCGATCTCAAAGGTGCCCAGAACACTAGGATCAGCCACACTAATTGAATACCAGCGGCTCAGAATGGCTAGAGATACCCAACTGCGTCTCACAAGGTTTGCGTCGGAATCAACATCTGGATCTGACGATCGCTTGGTCTTCAATTGACCGAGCGCCTTCGCCATGTCGGAGCCAAGCTTGGTAGCAGAGTGGATGAGACTGTGCTTTGGCACGCCATCTTTCATCACAAAGTTGTCTGGTCCTCGTGAATCACAGTCAAGGATCATGAGAAGCAAGGTCTGAAGCCAGATCAAGTTCACGCCTGCTGGGCGCACTAGAGCCGGTTGTCGGGTGTAGTACAGGAGAAGATCCTGCGCGTTATCGAACGAGGTTACCCTTTCAAAGAGGCCCGTCACACGATCCATATTGGTACGTGTCACCGTGAAGAGACTGTACGAGAATATCTCCTGCACCTCGCGACTGCATTGGTGTAGAAGCTCGAGGAGACGTTCTTTGGAGTGGGGCAGGATAGGAAGTACCGGGTGAATCTTTTGATAGTAACTGCTGGGAGTTAGGGCGCTGACCAACGGAGACAATGCCACATTCAGCTATGTAACTTACGCATTGAGAGCGCTCTCATCCACGTCCAAGGGCGTCATGTCTTCATCCAAGGCCTGTTTAGGCACTTCGGGTATCTCGAGGCCAGGCGGCAACTCGGTCTCATTGCCCGTTGACCAGAACAAATTCCCAGGCTTGGGCGCAGTATGGTTCACAACCGAGGGATTGCAAGGGTCCGTGGAGCTCTCTGCAGCTTCTAGTACAGTTAGTCAAGTGAACCCGTATGTTGACGCGAAATTGGGCACGAACCAAACGCATTCTGAGAGCGAGGGTTGAAGGGCGGCTGCGCAAACGATGAGCTGGGGAGCCCTTCGAATACTGAGTATGTCCTCTTGCGACCAATTGGGCCAGCGTCCATTGGTGGCGAAAAGTCCTGATAGGCCCTCGGAGAAGAGACCTCGTTCATCGTCTGGTATGGCATATCAGGATGGACCATGGCAGGCTGCATCTGGCTTTCGAGGGTATGTAGTCGTTCGGCGAGTTCTTTGATGTAACTTTGATTGGTGTTAGTACATCACGTCCATCTGTCCTGTGAAGCCCAACGCGCATCATGATTCTTACCCTTTGCTGGGACCACGCTTCATGGGCACACGACTGAACTGGCATACGACACCAAGCCGGCGACAGTTCGAACAAGTCTCGACACCGGATTCGGAGCTCGCATCGCAACGAACCTACGGAGGAAGAGGTTAGACCACTGAGCCGCGTCGCGTCCGGGTGGTGAAGAAAAAGCGTGTCGTGGGTACCTTTTTGCGCCTGCATTCATCGCACGCGCGGGAGATCTTGGATCTCTTCCGTCTCGCGCTCTGGTCTCCGTAGCTCAGGTCGTGATTGGGGTCGACACCCACTTGCTGGCTGGGGGTGAATTGGAGCATGTGTTGTTGTTGGTGCTGGTCGGGAGATGACGGACGGCCCATATCAGCACCACCAGGATTGGACGAGCCCAAAACCATCGACTGACCATGGTGGACGCCATTGCTGGAGCCGTCGGCGAGGCCGGGGCCAGAGGTTTCGCGCGAAAGTTCGGCGGACAGGAGTTCGTCGGCGGTCAGCTGGCGGTTGTAGTACTGCATGGCGCCCTGGCCCATCTGCGCCGCGTTGGGGGATGGGTAGGAAGGAGCCGGAGGCATATCGGCGTGCTCGCGGGAGTTCATCGTGGCAGGAGAGGATGGAAGCGCCAGAGAAGACCGGGGGTGGATGGTGGAGCGATGCTCCGGATGATGGAGGAGGGAGAGAGTTGAAGGACGGAAGACGCGCGAACAGCAGGCAAGGTTTTACAGGCTAAAATTACCTGGGCGGGGAGAATTTCGAAAGGGTTAGCGCCGAAGGCCGACGGCGACGAGCAGGACTCAGCAAACATGATCTCGCGACCGAATGGCAGACAGTCCTTCGCACCGAATCTGATGTCGATTCGGGGACGAGGATATAGTTTCATACTGGGATGATCGCGCCGACGCGGAGGGCCGGCCTTTTGTTTCTGCGTCCAGCGACGGATTAATACTATTTCCCACCGGCCCAGAACTCGACCAACCCTCTTCGCTCGCCCCCAGTCTGTCCGGCGCAGTCGATCCAGCCGATTCGAGAGCCTGTCTGAATCGATTTCGCCTGGGTTTTGGGCCTCAGGAACCCGGGCCTGTCCTCCGATTCTCCCCTCGTTGACCTGATATACGAGGCAATTGCCAGGGGCTCGTGGGTGACCATTCACCACCTACCGTCGCTCGGGGCAGATGGTCCTCGCAAATGATTACAATCACCCATAACGGGGAATTACTCATGCAGCACTCATTCTCACTCATCTAGCATCTCTATTCAATTTTCTCTGCTTTCAATTCTCATGTACGGCCTCGTGTGATGATTTCTCACGTGAGACTGTATGTGTATGTATGACGTCTGTCCTCCCAAGAAGCTGACTGGCAGCACATTTTCTCTGGTGCCGTGCTCTAAATATCCGACACGGTCTTCTACGTTTTGGTGTGCATTTTCTCATGTCATAGTCGAAGTTCTGAGAAGCAATGCGAGCGTCGCAAACTTATTTCGGGTCTGTCATAACACTCGGAGCGAGGAGTCTCAACGCGTCGATGTAATAGGCTCGGCTTTCTTGCATCGACGACGTGGCCAGCAAAAGCGCACTTGCCCTCCTGAATTGGTTCCGCATCTCCACGTCGTTTAATGAGTGTCGAACCAACATCATCTGGCATTTTAATTGCGATGCGTCTGGCCCTACGGGGTACTCCGTACAGCATCCCAGGTCAAGCTCCAATGGTTGGCTGAATCGTTCTTTCGACAGCCCCTTCGAGGTACCCTTGATTTTGAGCGAATGTGTAGACTCAGCTCTGCCACGTCGGCGATTCCTTTGACCCGGTGATGAAAAAGCAACTTGCACTGCAGTGGGGAATTCTCAGTTTCGTCCCCGGTTTAAGGGGGGCGTCATGTCCGAAGCTCCCAGCATATGAACGTGGTATCATAGCCTAGTTCACCGATAGATCGTGGCCCCCAACGAAGGAAGATTTTTTTCGCGCAGCCACGAGTACCCCTTACGGCAGTGTGGTGCCTTGCGACGGTGACCTGACTGCGCCTGATTCTAGATGGCAAGGTTCGTTGCACTGGGGGTTTTGTAGACGTCCCGATAAAACCAAGTAACGTCGCATTTCAGCGGCCTCATACAACAAGTCAGTCGTAAGAATGACAATAGTGAAATCTTCAATAGCTGGGACATACCCCCGTAGACTCATCCCTTCACATTTATCCTTCAAAGAGAGGATTGGTTAGCACCTCGGTAGTCGGTAAGTGTTGAAAGCCACATACAAACCCATTGTTCCTGGTGCCGTGGTGGTCGTACTACCGATCGACCAACAACCGCCCCCTGCATCACTGGTACCTCGAGACACCCAGGGTTGAGAGTCGCTAAAATGTGCCTAATCGGCCCCGGATCCCCAATACGGGATAGGACAAAGCCATTTGCCGATACTTAGATAGTATCTAGAATTCGAGAATCGAGATAGTGACCCAGACTCTTCAGCAATAATTTCTTATCGGGGACCAAGCCGTTTCCACGAATCCGTTTCCATCACAACCAAGCACCACTGGCAATAGCTTCAGTTCCCCTCCACATCGCGGGCACGGTCCGTTGGCTGGGGCTGACCGGTGCGCAGTAGGCTGAAACAGGCCCACCGCGTCGTGTCTAAGCTAGTACTAAGCTACCAGCTTGCCTACCTAAAGTTAAGCCATGCATTGAAAGTGTCAGGGCGCAAATTCGCCGATGGGTGATCTGCCATATCGAACAATCGATTCAATGGTTCTGGCATTAATAGTTTGCTTGCTTTTGTTCCCGGATCGAGGGGGAGGGGGCATTATTGAATCAGGGCGATCGGCTGAGGATTGGATCGTTGGGGAGTGGAACTGTCTGGGGAATCGATGGAGTGAACCGGGTTGATGATCCACCAGACAAGGCAGGTCAGCCTGGCACTAAAGAACATGCTAATTGCTAGTTGCGAGTTAGGCTCCCGCTGTGTAATAATCAGTAACAAGAACCGTAACGGACTACTCCGACGGTGGAGGCGCAGAGTCACAATACGTTCCGTCTTAATATGGACGGACTCCTGCTGAGCCCTCAGCGTTCAGACTTCATACTCCAGGTACTCCGTAACTTAACACTAAACCGTTTCTTGCCCTATCACCCGCGTTGCCAGGGTGTTGGTGTTTCAGCGATTCGCATCGTTGGCTAGCATGGCTTCTATCCTGGGACACGACTAGATGGTCCTGCTGAAGTAGCCTCAGCTAGCGACCCATTCTGCTGCAATACCTGGGAAGGGATTCAGCCCTGGCTCCTGGCAGAGGTACGGACTTCTGTAGGGCAGTTCCAGGTACCGCTTTACTGCAGCCGAGGACCATTCCCGTCCGTTCGCGGGCTGACGAGGAGCACACCCAGACCATACGACACCAGTACCAGGGCGCGCTCTCCATGCCCCGAGGGGTCCCGACTATGGCCAGGTTGAGGGCATCATTGGTGGACAGAACAGCCACCCAGCGCTGTGTAGATCAGGCCCCGCCGCATGACCGGCCATCGAAACCGCTGCAATTGCCCCGAACGAGAAGCAGTGACGCCATCCCGCAGACACCAACAACCCGTGATTTTGGCGATGCGATCTGAGGCCCTAAGGGGACAACTGATCAGTGATGTAAACCCGGGTCGCTAGCGGAATTGGTATCTTTTTCCTGGCGCCCTGATAGGCTTCCTCGGGGGCGCAAAAGAAAGCAGGCCCCGATCCCCAATGGTGGGCAATTCCACGTTGATCATATGGAAAGATGGAAGTGTCGTTCCAAACTGTCAGGATCTTCCACACCGATACCATACGGTACGTCGTCAATACCCACCAGTACGGCGGGACAGCGAGCCGGCATCCCACTTGTACCTCGCGGGCCTCAAAAGGAGGTGACTACTTACTGTGCTCGTCGAGGGCGTAACACTGCAGCGGACGGGGTCACCGACATTATTACCCCTAGTCTTCATAAGCAATATGTCAATAAACCCCCAATGTGCACAATTGCCCGGAGTACGGAGTACAGAATGTTCGGCAGAGGACAGGCACAGGTTCCAGGGCACATGCATGAAAGGATGAACCGCCTATGGGCACAGACTCCAGGCCGGTCTTGGTTCATCCCACCGGGTCAACCATGGTCGGATGGCAGTGCCTGTCCATTCGCAAGCCCTCATGCCCAGCCAGAACCGCATGAGTGGCTGGTGCGAAAAGAATGAGCTGCATGGAAGACTCGACTTTGGTTTTCTAGAAGTCATTGCTGGGAGAGCGTGTATGTGGCAACACGGACTGGCAAAAGGGTGACCGCCCAGGTGATACCTACTAGTACTCTCCGTAGATAATGGCCGACTCCCACTGGATGGCTACCCGCCGGCCCATTCAATCACTTCTTCCCAAGGCAACAGGCATTAGCATCGGCAGTTATTGGTTCGGAACACGTCGCGGATCGTACAATGCCTGCTGACGCTAAAAGTTTTCCCGAAATAACCATGCCTCAGCATCACTTTGATACTGAATGCTGGCCATGACTCTGCTTCAGCAGGGAGTAGAAGCCAGCCACTTCCAGGCCGGTCTCGGGGAATCTCAGGCCAACCCAGGACAAAATTATGTGGTCACTGGTCCAACTATCTACTAGTCACCGGCCCGGTTGTCCTGCCCCAGAGTTTTCGTAACAGGATCCATCGGGCCCCCGACAGAGTTTGGTTCGTCTCCATGAAGCCTCCAGACCACACTAACGGGAAACGCAGCTTTTTAGGCCCCTCAGCGCCTTGGATTCTGAACCCTAACCTAAGACCTAAGGACCGTTCCTTTCAGCAATCTAACCTCTTGCAGCCGGGCTAATTTCGGTGGGCTGGCCTGGCGTGAAGCGCGGCTAACCGACTCACGACCTTCACAATCACGGCCAGATAAGACCGACCAGGAGGGATGACGAGGGGACGGAGACAAGTCCGGAAGAAATGCCCACGAAGGCTGCTACGTCGGAGATCCCTTGCGTGGATACATACATACATGAAGTACCTGGGTCGCATTCAAGATCTCAATCTCACCCGAAATGCTTGGTTTGGGTACCGTATGTTACGGGCTGGTCTCTGGACCAGTCTAGATAGGTGGTAGCGGCGGTGCGCACCGAGCATCAGCACCCTGGCTGCATGCTTCAGGTACCTTGCTCTGGACAGAAAATTTTCCTGCTGACATGGAGCGGCATGGCACTTGATGTGTACAACGCGAATACCAGGTGATGGTGGATGGCTTGCTGTTTTAGATGGCCAGCGGAAGATCCAGGGACAAGGCAACCGATTCGTAAAGGTTTCACGGTGAAGTATAGGTAGCCACAAGGCTGACATCTAGGCTCGCATACCTGGAGAGTAAATGTGCGTAAGAATGGATGCGTGTGTGACAGCTTTGCCCTCCGGCACGAGGCTCGTTAAACAATTGATTGCCCAAGGGCCAAGTATCCATGGAATGGCCCGTGGGCTGTGTGGAGCAGCGGTTGGTGTTGTGTGGGTGGTTGCGTCGGGATGGACTTTTTGTCGTTGGTACATGGTACCTCGTACGTGGAAGCCAGAGGAAGGATCCCGATCGATAGATAGATCGACTGCGAGAGGCAACACTTAGCGATCATCCAAGTATACATGATTAAAGGACCAAATAATGTCCGGGATGACTACTGGAGAGGGGGGGGGATGCTATTCGTGGCAGGGTCCGATCAACACCGAAGCAGCAGCAGCAGAACGTGGAGGAAGGAAACGAAACGGTAATACCGAGGATAGGGTCAGGCAGAGCGACCAGACGCGCCACTCCCTTGCGGCCGCCGAGTTGTTCCACTCGCCGCGCCCCCCCTCGACCCTCGCCGAAACCCAAACGACAAGACGGACAGACGGACAGACAGACTCTCGAGTGTCTGACTACCAAACGACTACTTCTTCCCGCTCCCCTCCCGCCTTTCCTCCTCTTCCCTTTTTCTTTCTTCCTTTCCCCTTCTTTTTCACAGAGTTACTCCTGCAACTCTGCCCCGAGATCGATCGCTTTTTCTCTTTATCTTGGCCGCCACAGCCGGTATTTGGTGTCCTGTCTCACGGCCGGCGCCAAACGGTGCGTAGGCTTTGGCCCCCCCTCCCTCTCCTAATTTCTTTGGGTTTTTGTATGTTCCTGTTGGGCTTTTCTTGTTCCGGATCGTCTGCCCGCCCGCCCCTGGTACCTGGGTGCTGCATTGTGTGAACCTCGCTCTGCCCGCCTCTTTATTTGCCCCCCTCTCGGGCCAATCCCTCGACCTCAGTTGCGATTCGACCCTTATACAGGTGGAACGGCGTTTCTGTGACTTCGTTTGGTGCATTGGGTTCTTCGCTGGTGATACCCTTGCTTTGTTGGAGTTTGCCTTCGGTTTCTGCTGGTCCGATCGGTTCGACGGACCACACCCCTCGACCTCGAATACTCGCCTTGACGGCTTTTTTCCTTCTTCCCGACAGGTCTTCCTGTTCGGCTGATATCAATAACTCAAAAAAAAGACACCAATTCGGCGCAGAGACCTGAGACTGCTCTGCCCCTCACTCGATCCCCTTCCCATATATTTGATACCTCTATCGTCGCGAATCGTCGCATGTTCCTTTCCCAGTAACCGCGGCGATGCTTATCGATGGCGAGAAGTGGGCTTGTGAAGCTTGCGTCCGGGGTCACCGTGTCAGCAGCTGTCACCACAGTGGTAAGTGGCGATCCTCCTGGAATGGAGCTATCATAAATTGTCGCAATCGCTAACGTGGCTGGCTGCAGACCGCCCCTTGACCCACATCAACAAAAAAGGCCGTCCGGTCTCTCAATGCGCTCACTGTCGCGGCCTACGCAAGTCACGGACAACCCACACTAAGTGCGAGTGTGGTGACAAGAAGAAGAATTGCCACAAGAATGACTCAGATCCCCACGCTGCTGAAAAGCGGGATCTCAAGCGTGAGCATGATGGGCATGGTACACTGGTTCATTGTTTCTGATCTGGATTTTACAGAGGACTCCCGTCCAAGATGTGGCTGCTCTCATGGACAGCGCTGCACCTGTGCGCTGAAGAAGGAACCCCACCTGGATACCGTCCCGGAGACCGGCTTCCCTCAACCCCCAGCTGCGGTTCTGTTGGATCAGCCCAAGAAGCCGCAGCTGACGTCGACCAAATCGGAGAGTACCCTGACTATTTTCCGGGATGGTCACCACAAGCCGGCTCATAAACACAACGACATGGCTCACAAGTGCGGCCTGCCCTATACGATACCCCGGTCGCACACCATTCATGCGACGTCCGACGTGGCCCGCCGCTCGGTGGACCACCTGCCCTTGGCCCAACCGACCATGCTCAATGAAGGTCTCGTTGGCCAGCCTGCAGAACCGTCGCACCCTCACGGACTCCATCGCCGCGTCAAGTCCGAACATGGTTCGCCAGAGAGTGCTCCCGTCGTTTCGCCGGACAACGTCCCGACAACCGTTCCCCCACTCGACATCTCGTCCTTTTTCCCTCAAGTTCAGACAACGGAGAACCCCGGCGACCTTGGCGTTCCCGAACCGGTCTCAATGCCTATGAAGACGCCTCTTGACCAGCTTGTGACCTCTGGGTTACCTTTCGATGTGTCGTCATACTCATCCTTCCCTACTACCGCAACATCGCCTGTCAATTGCGTGGCATTCCAAGATCCATACAAGGAGCCCTTCTTTACATCACCAGAGGGCGACATGTCCCTGGGATCGACCGCATTCAGCGCTCCTCCAGTCGATTGGTCGAGCTTTCCTCTGTACTCCTCGGAAGTTCCGGCTGCGACGAGCACTCAAGCGCCCTCCTACGCAAGCTTCGATTACAACTCCATGGGCCCCGGGTTCCCGGCGCCCTCTTCTTCCGGGGATATCTCTGAAGCGGATGAGTTCGCGCCCATGCCTGGATTGGGGCGCACTGGCAGCGACCTGCACGACCTCAACAGCGTCAGCGAGGGCTCCGATATCGACCATTACCGCATCAGCTCGGCATCCTCATTTATCGGACTTCCTCAGGCGCAGCTCCTGGCGTCGAACAACCTGGAGTCGATCGACATCGATGACTTCCTCAAGTCCGCCAATGAGTCAACGGCCGCGCTGGAGCATCAACTCCAGGCTAATATGGGCTTGGACGCCAAGCCCCTTCCAGCTGAGGACGCCTTTGGCATGTCGACTGCAGAGGCGTTCAAGCCAATGAGCACGCCTCCGGGCAGCATGGCGATGACGACACCTCCGACGGATGCCGTTTGGGCCGTGGGGTTATACGACCCCAACGCCGCGTCCATGGGCGATAACAACGAGGCCAATTTCTATGTGCCGCCATGGGTGCAATAGGGCCTTGATGGGACGCGGCTTATTATATAGCATTGCGGTCTGTTCGCGCACCTTACCACCACCTCCACACCGTCTGAGTGACAAGCACGTCTTCATGACCTTGATGAGAGATGATGATAAATGCCTGATTTCTCTTTGTTCTATTTAGCAGTCCGCGAGAGACACTAAACTATAGCATCCAATTATAAAGATTACATGTTCGATTTGGGCCTTGGCCGGGATTGCCTGCACCTTTGTACATTTTGCCGCTGTATGTGATTTGCGTTGAGCTCACCAGCGATGCTGTTTTCTCGCGTATATAGAGCCAGTTGCTGCAGCGTTTCTCTATAGACCGCGGGTCCTTCTGATGAGTTCTGAGTCATGACAATCATTGTGGAGACCTGAATCTTCCGATCTGCAGTGGATCATCCTTGATCCTAGGGTAAGACAGGGGGAGGCTGGAAGAGTTAATCGGGGTTACGTCAACTGCACAGAATGCGATGGATTCTTGTGCTGTGCCCTGTCGTCAACTGCCCTTACCAGTCACCTAGTCAATTACGGAGTAGTAAGCAGCTAGATCGATACCCAACCAACCCCGAAACCCAATTCTGACCGGTCCGTACTCTGTAAATACATCGTAGCCAACAGGGAACGTTTTTATTCCCTATATAGTAGTAGCGGTGAGCCGGATAGTCAAAGTCCGGCGGTGTAGTGACTTGCAGGGGTTCCATCCATCCTGGGTCTGTCACTCGTCATCTGATCCGTCATTTCATTCATTGATCATTCCCCCCATCCCTGCTGCATGCATGCCTTGATCCTAGTAGCTTTGCCCCCACCCAAGTAGTTACTAAATCAGGTACCAGTACCCAGTAGGTGCGCTGGAGTAAATTGGTGACAGTACACACTGCGGAGGACCTTCCTATCATCTCCTCAAGAAATATCACTGATGGGTTATGTACGATATTTTTCTCATCCGTGAATATAATACATACATAGCTCGATAAATACATACAAAACTGAAGATACAGACTAGACGATTACACCTTGATGAAATAAAAATAGAAACCCTTCACCCCACCAGCCTTATAATTCTCGACTATGTATATCATATATATAGTATTCATGTATATATAGCAGATATCACCTAGAACCAAGAAAAACGGTTGAATAAGGACTCCAACAATGACGAACCAAACTCCCCAAAAGCCAAGTCCCAACAAGCCTTGGATAGGCAAAGCTTGTCTAATCCCCCCTTGCATGAACTTTCAGGGATGGGGTGCTTGCTAGGGTGTCCGGGGGTTTGTTAGTGTCAGCGGGATGTAACATGCATAAAGGGGCTTGATGGGATGGAGTGTGGGTGGGCATTGGATGGGTTAAATGCCTCATGTGAAGTGGGTTGATGTTTAATAGATTGGGGTGGTAGGTACTCCGTAGCTATCTCCATATCTACGTATGATCTACGAAGCAAATACTAGCTCCTACCTACCTAGCTTACGTATCTAGGATATGGACGGGATTATCTCTGTACCTGGTTGGGGATTTGGAAATTGGTCTGCTTCTGGTGGGATTATATGTTGTTGTTATCACTAAAAGGGGCGGGGTGGAAAATGACCCCGTTCATTCATTGTGGAGATATTACTTGATTAATGGCAATGAGTAGTAGAATAGTGGCGTACTCTAGTGCTTCCGTTCCTATTTATATATAAATGATTGCCATGCCACTTCCCGCGATGCAGATGGTGCCGTGGGCGGGAGGTGGAGTGATATATATAGTGTCGGGTAGGGAAATATTCCGTTTGTGACGATACATCGAACAAAGTTATAGGCTATATATACTTCCTAAGGAATAACGGCGGGTCATGGAGATTGACTTGCTGATGTTTCAATTCTAGCGCTCTGAAGCCAACGATGTTGTGTTGTATTCTTGGATAGGTCAAGTCTACGTTTCACCCCTTAATAAGAACGATCATTGCAATTCATGCACTTGGTTCTGGACTATGAGATGATATAATCTCTCACATTCTCCGTAGGATGCCTGGCGTTCTGTTGTCGTAGATCAATAGGTATTTACTCATCATTGGGAGACGTCTGTCCTATGAATGCATGATAGAGTATTATAACACCGTTAGATACTCCGTAAATAACAACAAAGAACGTAACATATTATCATTAGATATATCAAATACGCTGCTAACATTTAAGCCAACTTGCTGGTGTCCTGTAGATATTTTCTCATATATTCCTTCACAAAACCTTAAAAGCCATGTTGACCCTGCGAAGATTCATGGGATCCTCCCTGAGATTGCGAGTTGGAGTATCCGTTGCCCCACGGTCCAGTGGATTGTCCAGAACCAGGGTAGCTGCCTGAGGAGTGCCCCGATGAAGGAAAGCTGGATCCACTTGAATGTCCTGAGAATCCCGACTCAGGGTAGGAACCCGTAGAGTGCTCAGAAACAGGGTAATTAGATCCGCTCGAAGGGTTCTGAGAAGACCCAGAACTAGGATAAGTACCCGTTGAATACCCAGAAGAAGGATAGTTGCCCGTGGTGTGTCCGGAGGAAGGATAGCTGGATCCGCTGGAAGATCCCTTGGAGTATCCAGTGCTAGGATAAGTACCCGAGGAGTGCCCAGCAATGGGGTATCCGTTGCTTGACAAACCAGTCGACTGTCCGACGGGGTATCCATTGCTCGAAAGTCCAGATGATTGTCCAGAAGTAGGGTATTCGCCATGGGACTGACCGGAGGGGTAGTTCGACCCAGTGGAGGCACCCTGAGCAGACCCAGTACCAGGATAGCTTCCCGTAGTGTGTCCAGAGGAAGGATAACTGGTCCCGCCAGAAGAACTCTCGGGATATCCAGTATTAGGGTAGGTGCCCGAAGAGTGCCCAGTGCTCGGGTATCCGTTACTTGAGGTTCCAGCTCCCTGTCCACCAGGGTATCCGGTGTTTGATCCAGGTTCAGTATACTGATCACCAGTGCTATGTCCGGTTTCAGAAGAAGTTCCGGTAGACTGACCACCCGGATACTGAGCGCCTGAAGTGGAGCCTTGAGGATGCTGGCCCCCAGAAGAAGATCCAGTAGATTGACCACCTGAATACTGACCACTTGAGGGGTGACCCTCGGATTGTTGACCTCCCGAAGGGGCTCCGGTGTGTTGGCTGCTTGGGTACTGGCCGGTAGAAGCCCCAGTAGTCTGACCTCCTGAGTACTGGCCGCTTGGGGGGTAGCCCTCAGATTGTTGACCTCCCGAAGGAGATCCAGTGTGCTGGCTGGTAGGAGCCCCAGTTGACTGACCGCTTGAAGAGTGTCCTCCAGAAGATGACCCAGTGTGCTGGCCGGTGGGAGCCCCAGTTGACTGACCGCTTGGAGAGTAGCCCTCGGAAGGAGATCCAGTGTGCTGGCTGGTGGGAGCCCCAGTTGACTGACCGGTTGAAGAGTATCCCCCAGAAGGTGACCCAGTGTGCTGGCTAGTGGGGGCCGCAGTAGACTGGCTACTTGAGTACTGGCTCGCAGCGGTGCTAGTCGGCCGATAACCAGATGCGTGGCTCGTAGTCGTGTATCCAATATAATATCCGTCTTCGTAAGCGCCTGCAGAGTCGACGCTTGTCGGGGCTTGGTTGCTTGGCGATGAGGCTGCGGAGTGTTGGCTACCACTAGAAGCACCACTAGTAGACGAACTACTTGGGCGCTGGCCATGGGAAGGGTAGCCCTGGGAGGACTGGCCGCTAGGAGCACCAGTGGACGAACCACCAGAGTATTGGCCATTTGGATAGCCCTGAGAAGACTGGCCGCTAGAAGGAGCGCCACTAGATGAACCCCCGGGATACTGACCATTTGACGGGTAGCCCTGGGAGGACTGGCTGCTAGGAGCGCCACTGGATGAACCCCCGGGATACTGACCGTTTGACGGATAGCCCTGGGAGGATTGACCGCTAGGAGCACCAATGGACGAACCACCAGAGTATTGGCCATTTGACGGGTAGCCCTGGGAGGATTGACCGCTAGGAGCACCACTGGATGAACCCCCCGGATACTGACCATTCGTGGGATAGCCTTGGGAGTACTGGCTTTGGGATTGTCCCTGAGGTTGTCCAGCACCAGTATAGCCGCCCGGGGTACCCACCGAGGTCCCAGTAGGGCTGGAAGGAGCCGTGTTGTGAGGAGGTGCGGGCGACTGCTGATAGTCGGAAGAGAAGTTCGGAACGGCAGTGCCCGTGGGTCGGTTGATTCCATGGAGAGCCCCAGAAGGAAGGCTAGAGGGCGTGCTAGAAGGCGTAGCTATGCCGCCACTAGCCTGGCTTTGCCCCTCCATGGGCCCGCGAAAGGGCCAGTCGGGCGTAAAGGGGAATCCGCTTGCAAAAGGATCGGAAGGCCATTGGGGCTGGCTACTCGGAGAAGGATCACGTTTGGCATTTGGGTTGTGGATAGGAACCGCGAGAATAGAGCTGCAGAAAGATAAAATGAGCGTGGCTGTTTGAGCCTTCATGATGGCTCAAGACAAAAACTGGTCTGGATTTCAAGGATAGACTAAACCAGTACGAAAGGGGGACAAAGAATGAAAAGCAGTTGGTGGTCGACTGGGATGCGCGAGAGGGCCGGATAACCTCAAGAAGGGAGACGAAAGGAAATGCTTTATATATTGAGAAACCAGCATTATGACAGCCAAAGTGTCTCCAAGGCATGGCGAATCGACGGTCTCGAGTTGCGCCAGCACACATAGCTCAACCACAGGAATTGCATTTGTTTGGGCTTTGGAGAAGCCATCTCCGTTACTGTTTCTGTCAGACACTCTGCGGAGAACCAATTGACGGCATGACATTGGGTTTGTTGACATCCCCTTCATTGTTTCTTTTGGCTTCTTCAGGATAATGCTTGCAAGGGTGAGGAATCCTGAGGGTTCCGTGATTTAGCGCAATTTCATTCCACAGACAGTATGGCGATCCAAGGAATGCACCGACTATGGGCCCGTACCACGGTGTCGGAGAGAGACTTGAGATGCCGCTTTCGAAGTGAGCGAGACAGCATATGAAGTCAAGGGGATCACAAACGGCAGCTGTCCCTCTAGTATCAGCACAATGTTCCTGTCCTTAGGGTTGGCAGAGAGAAGTTTCTGTAATTAGTAGTTATGGTCTGGCAACGTTCATATGTCCACCCATATTAGCGCCAGAATCCAGGCCCACATTGAACATTCCGATAACTGCGAGGGGGAGCGGGACCAGTAGATAGCTGTAGCAGAGCATCGCACCCTCGTGGCGGTCCACCATCCCTAGATTCTTGACCAGCGGCATCCCAGTACGTCTCAGATGATCGGATCCAGGGTCCGTCTTGTCCCGTTCCTTAGACAGACCCCCACTTCCCATTGCACATCAAGCGGAGGCTTCGAGCAGAGAACTCTTAGCGACTGATAGAGGGGCTATGCAGACCCAGCTTGTGTAACAATTGGCCAACGCAGGTACGTCATATGCTTATAACTCAATTGTAGCTCTCTACCCAGAGGCTCAAACCCCAGAGAGGCTATGTCGCTCGCGTGGTTGTCGCCACGCGAAATTGAGTAGACGCTGGGTACTGGTATAATTGGTAGAGATAATTGACTCCCTTGGCTGTTCCCCCAATTGTTCTAGGCCTAGCCACCGAGGCTAATCAAGTCGTCTCTATCGCAAGCAGAGAAGCCGAAGAATCTCATCAGCATATGCGAGAGAGTCTGCAGAAAATTGTATGCTGCATTCTGCTGGCTGCTCATATTGCTTATAGCGCGAGAACGCCGTCGGTATGAACAATATAACTCGACCACTCATCTCAGAGCCCAGAACCAGGATGTCTTGCGTATTCCAAGTTCATTGCCACGATGCAGCAAGTTGTCGGAGATTCCTGATGCCGGGCTACGGCGGACGATAGCCGCCATCGGCACAAGCACTTGGCAGCGATTTTCTCGACTTTTCTCCTCATCGTCCATCTCAAAGGTCTATCTCAATATTGCTATCACTCGACGGCTGGTCTAAGATCCTTCTTTCTATCTGGTCCTTTCTAGACCTTTGAATAGGGATTAGCGTTATCTCCGATGGAGTCTGTTGTGTTCAGGATACTGCTAACAAACCACCAAAACCCACTACTCTTCCCGATATAGCCGCATTCTTGCGTCCGTACTGCCTCCATATTTGACCTCGAAGGATAAGCCCAGTATGGCTGTCAGTGAGACAGCTCTGCCTTACGATGAACCGTCTATTTCCACAGTCCTCAATCTGGCGGGATTTCTTCTAGCTCTGAACATGGTCAATGCCTGCCTGGACAAGCTCCTATACTGTGGACTGATAGGTCAGCTGTTCATCGGCATTCTCTGGGGAACCCCCGGGGGGAAATGGCTCGACCGCGATACAGAAACAGCGATCCAGCAGCTGGGATACCTGGGTCTGATCATGCTCGTATACGAGGGTGGTCTGTCGACATCACTTCCATCCGTAAGAGCAAACCTTTTCTTGTCAATTGCCGTGGCTCTTACCGGCATCGGAACTCCAATGGCTTTATCATTCATCCTCATGAAGCTGGTTTCTGCGACACCGCTCCAGGCTTTCTCTGCCGGAGCGGCCCTTAGCGCAACCAGTCTGGGCACCACTTTCACCATCCTCTCAACTACTAGGCTCATCAAGACACGGCTTGGTACAATCACTACTAGTGCGGCCATGCTAGATGACGTCGTGGGTCTGGTTATGGTCCAGATCATTACAAACCTCGGCGGAAGTAGCAACTCGTTCAGTCCAGTGACCGTCATTAGACCCATAATCGTTTCCCTTGGATTCGGTGTAGGTGTGGTGCTGGGATGCAGATTGTGCATCGGACCAATCTTGCGCATGATCTTCGCGAAGAGAGACATGATACCGGGTGTCATGAAGACGCTCCAGTTTGCTTTTCTGGTTTACACATGCCTCTTGATCGGGTTGATAGCCGGGGCCACTTACGCAGGAACATCCAGTTTGTTCGCTGCGTATCTCGCTGGCGTCATGACTTCGTGGATTGATGATTTTTTTGAAGGGAACTTGCAAAGAGAGTGCCATGTCACTAGCAATACTGATGACTTTGCTGAATCAAGCTGTGGAAACATTGCTCAGGACATGCAAGGCAGATCCACGCATCCTGCAGCTCCAAGCATACCCCACGAAAAGACCCCAACTGGGAAATTGGCGTATGAGAAATACTACGCCCCACCTGTCAGTCGAGTTTTGACGCCTCTCTTCTTTGTCAGTTACCTCTTCATCGTATGAATGGCATGCTAATGCAACTCAGGCGTCGATTGGATGTGCAATCCCCATCACTGAAATGTTCAATGGGATCGTGGTATGGAAAGGGATAGTCTATGCTGTTCTCATGTCCATTGGAAAGTTGGTCACAGGGATATGGTTGGTTAGACTCTCCTTCGGACGAGTATCGAACGTGATCCGCGCTTTATCGACCCCCTGTCATTATGTGGCGTTGTTCTGCACTCATATGCCCAAAGCAGAGTATGGAAGAAAGGGTAGTAAGGATCAGGGCAATCGTGACGGCCAGGCGGATAACCGCTCTCAAGAACAGCCTGTCGCGCGTGGGAACGAGTCAGAACAACAATCTGGCCCAGACTCGAACGGCGGGCATGAAGGCCATGATGGAGCAGGTTCCAATACACCTGCGAAAGGACATGCAGGTCAGCCAGGGCAGCCTGCGCCGTCCGTTTCCTCGCCTCCCAAGCCTAAATCCCTCTATCCCCCGTCGATCCTCGGACTTGCAATGGTAGCTCGAGGCGAGGTAGGCTATCTCGTTGCATCTCTCGCGGAATCAAAGGGGATCTTTGGTGAGAGCCCGGCTGGTGGTTCTTCCGAGGCCTACCTCGTCGTTATTTGGGCCATCTCTTTGTGTACCTTGATTGGACCAATAAGCGTTGGCACCCTCGTCAAGAGAGTCAAAACTCTGCAGCAAAGACGCATCAACTCGGGCGGTCCAGATCCTTTAGGAGTCTGGGGTATCTGATGGGTCAAAATCTTGGTAGGGTGGAGACAACCATGCGGCTCTTCCAGGCTTCCAGGATTGGCAGTGAGTTTTGGCAACGGTCAACATCCGGCTGCAGCTCGCATGAGCCGATGTTTTGGTGGGCGACTGCCCCAGGTCCTATTCCTGGACGGAGAATAGAAGGAAGCCGTAGAGTAAATAAGGCCAACGAGTGACGGAACTAGTGATATTAGATGCACTAGATATCTGTAGAAATCGCGCTGTTTCCCTTTTGTGGACAGGAGGAATCGACTCCGAAACCCCAGAGACATCACGCAGGTTGCCGAACGGAACCTATCCCTATGCTTGGTGAGGATTTCGAAACTACCAGAGTTGATCTGGGGGCACAATATATCTATCACAAACGCCCCCGGAGATGATATACTGGTCAAAATGCCACTGACAATCCGATACGGCTCAATATAGATATGGCTGCTGAATAGATCGATGTTGTAGCTGGGTACCTGCTAGCTAAGGCTTGATATGTGTCCATGTCAGCACAGCACCTGTCATTAATCAATTCAATTGACCGAAACTCTACCCCGTAGTCCATATCTCACTGACAGCTCTGTACGGAGTACGTTCCCTGTAGACGATCAGAAACTTCCCGGAAGGAGACGAGTTAATCAGATTTTTATAAGTGATGTCCAAAGCGCCGATACCTGATTAGGCCGCGAGATTAAGGTTCTTATCAGCGAAAACGACATGTCAAGGTGAGAGATGCAAGCGGCATCCTCTCCGATGGCAGTCGGTGGAGGTTGGCGGTTGCGTTGGGGATGGATCACATGCCTGGTATGGTAGGTATGTTTGTTTTATTGTCAATCTCGTCTTCTCAAGCGTTTCCAACCAGGTGTCGGTGCCACCAACCTGCCTTTACCACCATCGTGATCACCAGCTATAAAAAGCAAACGCGACCCTTGAGACTTATGACGTACATATTCTTTTATAAGTAAGCTCGCGCGGGCTTCGCGAACCGACTTTGCCCAGCTAATAATAGCAGGCTTCACATGCATGCTGATCGTGTAGCTACCTGGTCGTCCTGGGTTTCCACGTACCTCCAAACACGCGTCTCAACCGAGCTACTGCATGGAGCAAAATTCAATAGCTGAGTTGTTGCGTCGCCACGATGTGACTTGTCCAATGGCCTTAATCACTAGTACAGGATGTGATGTGTAGGACGCGGTCGCGAACTCCAGGCCGTTTCTGAAGACAACAGTAAGAGAACAGTAAGCGGTGTTTCCCAGCTTCAAAGGAATGTATGCTTACCGATACTCATCACTGGCTTTGGTTGTCTAGTATCACTTCTCGTGCAATAACGGAGCTTGGTCGGACGCAAAAATCGTTTCACTGTTTTACGAGGAAACGGCACAGCTTCTTTCGCTAACAAGGCCAATCTTACCGCATTGATCTTCTCCTAAATCTTGGTTCTGCGTTGGCTGCGATATTGACTGGATGGCTAACGGGTTATCCGGTCAAGACCAGCCGGGTATCGGCACTAGTGAACCCTTATGTACCTTGCGCTGTAGCTTGCAGTAGCGGATCGAAGCTTCTGTGAATGCAATCGGAAAGCTTCCTCAGCTATCCGGCAATTTGTGTGGCCCTGCGTTGCTACCACACACATATTGCAAACCAAAGGGGCACACCATCCAAGGGGAGCTCCTTGGAGAGACAAGACGTCATATTTCAGAAAGGAGGATCACCCTCGTTCTCCTTGGAAGCGAGCACGTACTGCAACACGAGCTCCCTGTGCTTGTTGGGCGCGAATCATCTTTCGATCAGCCGAGACTCTTATCGGGTTCCACCCTGCAGTCACTATCAAGATCTGCCACCTAGACGCGTCCTATGCAGGATCAAAGCTCCTGGAGCCTCCTGGGGCGGAGACGAGGAGCGCAGGACCGAGGGTTCAGGACAGATCATCTGCGGCCCCCTCGCATGCAAGCCGGGCCCTTGGCAGCAGTCGTGCCCAAAATAGACAATTTTTAGCTTTTTGGGTCTGCTACTTCCTTCCCCCCTCTCCTATCGGTCAATATTGTAGGGGAAACAGGGGCGCTAGGAAAAGTAAGAGGCGACAAAGCGGCCCAAGCAGGTAGACGATGGACCCTGGCCATGAGGTGGCTTGTTGCGGTGTATCTCTTATCCTTACACTTATAAAGCACCCTCGACCCTGCTCATGATCATTGAACTTCTCGATATATCAAGTAGCCTGAGACCGCTCGTTTAGCTCGTCATTAGTCTTATTGAAGACTTTCGAACCTCATATCCTTCGCTTGTGATACCCGCAACTATCCAATTTAGACGATCAAAATGCGTTTCATCAACATTCTTATCTCCCTTGTGGCATTCGCTGCTTCGGCCTCTGGTATGAACCTCCATGATCCGATATTAGAACGTCGTTGGATTAACGCCAGCATGCCATAGCCATTACAATCACCCAGCCTATGGCCGGCGACCAGGTGGACTTTAGCAAGTCTTACACCATCAAGTGGACGACCGTTGCGTAAGAGCCATCTACCAACTGTTACAAAGCAATCAATGAAACTGAGCTTGGCCTCGCATCAGATCCGACCCTTCGAACTTCACCATCGTGCTCGTCAACATGAACAGCCAACCCAATGTCAGCAAGCAGATCGCCAATGTCAAGACCTCTGACAACTCTTACACCGTGGACAAAGTCACCGGGATCCCGGTTGCGTACGTTTGCTCAGAACCCAGTCGCCTGTCTGTGATCCGACTCTAATCAATGCGCATAGTAACGGCTATCAACTCAATGCCGAATCCAACACCACCACGAACACCGGCATTCTGAGCCAGTCCCAGCAGTTCAATGTGACCAAGGTTGGCAAGGTTGAGACAAGTAAGGAAAATTCTATTTCATCATCACCATCAACATCATCAGCACCAGCACCATGTATCCGCCCAAGCACCAGCACCACTATCACAAGAACCACTTCCCGTCCCTGCATCAACCACCAGACTACTTCACCATCATCTAGCACCACCCCCTCCAGCTCCGCAAGATTGGGTGAGTACATACAGGGTGCAACACGAATGAGACTAACCACCTCGTCTTCCCTCACCACAGCTTCCTCCGCCACCACCAGCGCCACTCAGACCGCTGCCGCGTCCACCTCGTCCGCCGGATCCGCCTCGTACACCGGTCCCCTCTCTGGTTCCGTCGCTGTTTTTGGCGCGCTCGCGATGGGCGTCCTCGGTGAGATGCTGTAAGTGAAAGAACAGGTACTTCGCGTTACACGATCCGGTCAGCGGTCAGAGACGCGATCGATGACGATTCCCGAATCGAAACCGAACCGACCCGACCCGACCCGACCCTCCGTCGTTCCCTCGCACGATCGACCCAAATTTAAAACATGGCACGCAGGTAAATCAGCTGGCGTCATGATATTTCCGCGATGAGTGACGCCAGTCATATTTGCTATTACCCCTCTGCCTTGATCCCCCTTCCCCGAAACATTCCCCCTTTCTTATTGTCTATCCTTTATGTCTTCACACGAGTGAAACGATCTGGTACATTATATGGTTCTCTTGATGATATTATAGTTTCAAATGATGTATGGATGGATTTCATGGCACTATTATTACATTCTCTACTTACCTTATCATTAATCCAACCAATCTTTTCCCCCTCCAAAGCGGCATAATAACCTATCGCGAAACTCATAGCCATACACGGCATTGGCAGACTGCAAACTCAATATCCTGCAAGGAGGACACTGCATCTACAGTAACCACACGATATCATCTACCACTCATCATACTCCCCGACCATCAATTACCAACAACCAAGCACAGCCCCACCCGTACATACATACACACATACATACACACATACATGCAAATAATCAATATCCCAAACTAACTTCACTAGTCCCTCTAACTCATTGACACACTCGCATAATCATCGAACATGTCACAGATTCTTCCGTAGTATTTATCCCGTGCTACTTACACCAGCCCGATTGGGAATCCAACTGACTGACCGTACATTGTAGCCTGTTTGGTACATATGTAGCTGCCTAATGATGCCTCTCGCTCGCCTTGTGGTAGTGGTGGTGGGGGTTACAAAGGGTGTCATTTCACTGGTATGGAGAGGTGTAACTGTTACACATGATTGGGAGGACTTTGGCTAGGTAGTATGGAGTAGTCGATAGGTTAATGTGGGAGAGGTAAGGAAGAGAAAGGAAGATATTCGGCGTAACTGGGTGCGTGGGTATGTGTGTGACAGGTACTATTTTAACTGACACGGTCTGAGAAAGTTTGGGAGAATCCCGTCCCGATACGAAAGCCAAACAAGGAATGTGGTGGGTGGATTGGATGGATAGATCGTATGCATCGATGAAAGTTACGGTTCCGTGCCATGGCAGTTACGTATTTGTCCAACCACAGATGGAAGCATGGTAGGTATTGGTATTGATTCCAATGGGTATATTATTCCTGGTTAGAAGTTTACAGGCATTCTTACAGAGCAGCTACGGAAATAGCACTACGTCAGGGCGACCGCAATTTGGGTAGTGTTGTGTTGCTGCAGTGTTCACAATGATCCCATCATAGAGTCAGCGAGGAGAGACCCGGTGATGCTGGCGCTGATCGCCGGCGAAGAACTGTAGTTGTCGTTGATCCCTTCTCGGGGACGGTCCCAGGTACGGATGTGGCCTGGGTTGGAGGGTTTGTTAGCGTATGAGGATAAAGGCTGGAGATGTGGAAAGGTCGTGTACCTTCAAGAGAAGAGGTCATGATAGAGTCTTCTTGGAATCCTAGCCAGCAAATCGGGTCTTCGCCGACAATTTTAGACTACTTGGGTTAGCTTCTATAGGGCAGAAAGCTGCAGGATGTGGATTACCATGATCGGTGGGAGGAGGGCTGTTCGCGCCCTGGGCTCAACAGGATGACGAACGGTGGGATCGTAACTGTTGTACGTGTTCGCGGTTTCTTGGGAATCGGACCTCATTCGGTTTGCTCCGCTGTCGGCTCGATGGCGGTTGTATTGTTGGGTGTTGGGAACTACCATGCTGGTGCGTTGGCGGGCGCTGACTTGATGCTGTTATAACCTGGTCAGTATAATAGCCATGTCACGTTGAGAATCGGTGAGAAACGTACTACCCTAGGACGGTGCAGCATTCCCACGCTGAAATCCCACAACAACAATCGACAATCGTCACCGACGCTACCAAACCGGTATGTCCGTTCATCGCAGCGCCACGGGTCAAAAGCTACCGCAGAGACCCAGGAGTTATGGCCCTGACAACGTGCGACAATTTTGCGCTCTGGCAATGACCAGATCGTCACCAGATCGTCCTGGCCTCCGGTGACTATGTATTTGCCGTCGGGCGACCAGCAGACGCAAATCAGTCCGCCATAGTAGCTCCGGAAAATATCCAAAACCCTAGCACAATGTCAGCTCGCATGTTGCTATCCTAGCAAGGGGACTATAATTGGAACCGCAGCGTACTCTTCCTTAAGGTAATCCATTACTCGCAGCGAGCCATCCTCCAGGACGACAGCCAGGTGTCTGCGGTCCGGAGAGAAGGCAAATTGTGAGATCTTCTGGTTCGCAAGTTTCCACAGCGCAACCGGATTCGTTTTCTGGTTCCTGGAGTTGACGGATTTCAAGATCTGCAGTGGTTGTCGGCCCGGCGACTTCACCATCTCAACAGACGGACTGCTCAGCTCTGGTGTGAAAAGGGCATCCTCTTTCTCCTTGTCGTATACCACCAATTGGCCATCGGCATGGGCGGCCATGAAGAGAGTCTCCGAACCCGGTATCCATCTGATATGGGTCACAGGAGAATTATTGACGACTCCGTTCTTGTTGATCCGCGCGTATTTCTGCGAGATCGGCTCGTACCATATGATGTCGCCAGCCGACGAACCCATGACAACGTCTATGTGTGACGAGCTCTTGGTCAGCTCATTAATGTCGTGGCTGATCATGTGCGCTCTGGTGAACAGTATCTTGGTGACGGGTTCTTCCTTCTGCTTTGCACTGAGGTCTAGCCACTGGAACGCTCGGTTGATGTTGGCAAAGGCGAAAAGCCCGTCCGGATTTCGATCGTTCAATCGTTTCGTGGCCGCTTCATGTGTGATGACTCGCGAAACGAATGACGAGCTGCTCTTTATGATGTTGTTCTTTGGTTTCCGTCTCTTCAACCCTTCCTTCACAACTGGGGCCGCCAAAGCTGGGTTGCCCTCTCCAAACAGAGGTGCAGTTCCGGCTCCGTTCAGAGGGGGGTTGGGAGTCTTGACCCGGCTACCAATGCTAACTAGTGAGAGCTTGACGCCGGCTGTCGGAGGGGTCGGAACGGTCGCGAGCGGATTGGGATTCACAACGGGGGCTTCGGAGGGATGAGGAGGAGGCGTGGCCAAGTGGAGGTTATCTCTGAGGTGGTAGGTACCTGTCGGCGCCATGAGGGTCAGTCAATCTGCAATTCCATGAGACCCTGCGTCAACGCGCATGAGCAAAAGCGCACCGCTTCGGCAACATACCTTCACCGACTTGTAAGGAACAGCCACCCTCCGGATGGCTGAGTATATTGTTGGTTTCTACAACGGGCACCGCCATGCCATTCGACGCTCCGGCCGCATAAGCGACGGGGACGGTGTAGCGAGGCGGAGGTGGGGGAAGGACGCTGATTCAACGGGTCAGCCACAAGAAGGGACGCAAAAGAGTCGTCATCACAGCGCAAGTAGGGCTGAAGGGCTGTAGCGCTGTTTGACCACCAGGGAATCCAACACCGGCCTATGATGCGCCCACGAGGCGGAGATAAGGGACCAAAGACGCTGATAACCAGGCCTCAGCTGGATTGGGGCGAGTCTTACAACATGGCTGCGGATGCGACAGCAGACACACTGGCCAGCTAGTAAATTAAAAAGGATTTCGGGGGTGGTGTGACAGGGGCCTGGGAATGCGCGATAGGCTCTCGACAGGCAATCGTCGTTGGGACTCGGAGTTTCCCTCCCCCCAAGAGCGGCACCCTAGACGGTGCCACTCAGGGTGGCTCGTAACGTTGCTAGGTTATGGCTGGATGAGTCCAGAGAGAAGGGCTGGCATGTGCCTGGCACTGCGATCGGGGCGGACGGAGGAAGCAAGTCGTTGTCGTGCAAGACACGGCGGGACCGGGGATCGGGTCTCTGCGAGGGCTACCGGCTCGGACGAGGGATCGATCGGAGCGGGGGTGGGCAACCTCGTGGAGGATTTCACGAGGATTCGAGAGATGCTGGATCTGGTTGGATTAAATACCCCAGAGTTGGAGATGAAGACGGAGATTAGGAGATACGCCGAACACGACGCTGCGCAAGGGCCTTGAACCTGGGGAGAGACTGACGGGGATTTGAAGCCAGAGAAGAGGGAGCGGGAGGTCATTCCGGGGTTCGTTCACGTTGACGCGTGGGGCCGGCCGCCATCTGCCAGGCCTCAGAGGCTCAGCCTTCACTCCCAGCGCTGCTAACGGGCGCAAGAATCCCACTAGTCGTCATAGCCCAAAGTCAATCCCACGCCGGGCACACGATCCTATTACGCTTCTCCATTGTTGTTACCGACATGGCACATTGAAATGAAAAGTGGATCACCCGCCGGAATTAGGCCGTTTATTATGCTTCCCCGGTTAAACTCACCATGCGTGCGAGCAATAATGATAAATCGTATCCTAGGTAGCCCCAGGCATTTAGACGATAAAGAATCAAGGGTATCTATCTAACTCCACAGAAATTCTATTATCGCCGGACTGACTTCCCCTCACCCCCCGCTACCACTGACCCGCCGCCATATCATAACCGCCGCCGCTCCGGCGCAAACCACCGCCCCGAGAGCGATCCCCCACGCCATCCATTTGCCCTCGACGTCTTCCTCGCTGCGCGGGAAGGCCGTACTGGGCTCCATGGCGGCTTCTGCGATGTGGACAAACACCTCCTGGATGGAACTCCAGGTGGCGCTGACATGTAGGGGCGGGCTCGACATATTCAACATGGCGGTATACTCGTGGGGCTGATGTTCTGCCCGCTGGGTGGTCCGATCCAAATCTGCCTTAAGAGCAATAAACACACTCGGTAGCTCCTCCAAGTGAGGATATTTGGCACGCAGTGCAGGGATGTATGCGAAGGAATCGGGATCCGACGAGTCATACGTGTACACGATGACATCGCACTGATCCAGCAGTTTCACCTGATTTTCGAGAATGGCCGGTTCCAGCTCTCCGAGTTCGTCCAGAATGAGATAGCATTGCTTGCCCCCTGGAAGCTCAACCGTGTTAACAGCGGTTCGAGGCTGAATGGTTGGGTGATACGTGGTGCTGAATCCGCGGGAGAGGAAAGCATCGAGGAGCGCAGATTTGCCCGAGCCTGCAGCTCCAAGAACGTGGCCAAGGACAACATTGCGCCCCACCCGACCAGGTCGCCTTCGTCGCTTCCGTGGCCGCGTAACCTTGAGGGCTGCTGTGGTGGAGAGGTTGCTCCGGTCGGATGACTCGAACCCCAGGTAAGCTAGATACTCCAGTGTCGTCTTGGGCGACGTGAATGTAGTCATACTCCATTGCGCCAGCCATCCTTGGAGCGTGACATGTCCAGCTTCATTGCGAACGGTGGAGGATGGGAAGGAACCGTCCGCCCAGGAAGCCGGCAATCCTGGCGTCGGCGCGAACAGCGATGCCAGCTCAGCATCATTCAGACCTCCATCGTTGTCCTTGTCCGAGAGAAGGAAGAGATTGACGAAGAACCGGTACCCTTCAGGTGAGAGCTCGGCTGACGCATAAGGGGGCACATCAAACCTTGGGTGGAGGAAGTTTTCCTGCAATGATAAATTATCCGTATACTGGAATGCTCTTAAGATAATCCAGACTGTCTCATGACGACCCTTTTCCGCGTACATCTTGTTTAATTGTATGAAGCCGCGACAGTCGATACCTGAAGTAGTGACTGAGTGAGGATGCGTCCTCTGGATAGTCTCCTTGATGTGGATCAAATCCTCCTCACTCAATGGCTTCTCAAAGCATCTCATCTGAAATTCCTTGATCTCCTTATCGGAAAGGTAACCATCCCTATCCTTATCACTGAGGTAAAAGATCCGCTGCAACGCCGCGATGGCTGCCGGCTTCAGGGAGGATTCTTTAGAGTCGAACAGCGGCGCGATCGGATGGGTAACCGCCTTCTGGCAGAGAAAGAAGGCCTCATTGACATTCCGATGCTCACGGGCACTGGTGCGGATGCAAGAGTCAATTTCCTTGAACTCCGCCATCAATGGCAGCATTTCCTCCTCGATGACCTGGGCCTCGGTATGGTCTGCGGCGAGATCGGACTTGTTCGCACATAGAACCACGGGGACATTGACTCCCAGAGAGCGGAAATATGGCAGCCAGAATAGAGCGACCCTCTCATAGCTGTAATGATCCGAATATACGAGTAGAATCACGTTTGACTTCCGGATTTCCCTGGCCAGATTATTACGCTCCTGCGGAAGAGAGGAGGTGTCCACCACCGTCGTTGTCGTGACATTCTCGGGGGTACCGATCGTGGGAGGAATTGTGATTTGAGGTAGGATAGGCTGGATTTTATTCGTAACGAAAACCCCCTTCACCAGGGAGGTTATGAGGCTGGACTTGCCAGTGCCCTCATCACCACAGACGCAGATACGCACTGGAGGACCGTTAGCAGATGGGTTACTAGGGTATTCGACATATGCACATCGAACCTGTAGCCATTTGTGATCGGAAAGATAAAAGGCGATGGACGACGCCCTATCCGGTTTATTGGGACATGCCTTGAGAGATGCGTGTTATCGAGGCCAAACCGATTGGAGCCCAGGCCAATCGAGAACGATGTCACTAGGGACGGTCGGCTGGGATTGCGATGATCATCGGAGCCTCGGCGGTGGCAGTGCCGTCCTTGCAGCCTCAGGTTCCGGTCGGTCGGAACTTCTTCCTTGAGTGGCTTGACGAACAGAGGGGATGAAACAATCAGGGAAACTCACAGTGGGAAGATGGAATCCATTGGATTCATTTCCATGAGAGCCAGTCCCAGTGAACTGGGCCGGCGAGCTACCACGATCCAACCGAGGGAAGAAGCTGGTCGAAGCGGCCCCAGCCACACTCCCCGTATTAATGAACTGACCGAATGCTCTTCCGCTCGCGGGAGGTGCTACCCTCCCAATTCCAACGGCTGTTGGCTCCCATGAGTCAGAGAAGTATATTATTCATCGCACAGGAACATACTACTGCGAGAACCAGCTGTACTCGCTCCTAACACTCCACGGGGTCGTCGTGTGGTGCAGAGTTTGGATAACAGATCTTCCTTATCGTTTGCGAACCGCAGTCGGTGTCAGCCGTCATCTGGGTTCCACTTCCGGTCGCTCCCTACCATAGAGACGAACAGCCTTCGCAGCGCATCCTACTACTATCAACATCCTTCTCTCCCAACTCTCTCGCTCTACCCCCTTCCCTGTCTCCGTCCTCTTACTTCTCCGACGCGCATAGTCAAAATGCCTCTCGGAATCCATAATCCGTTGCCTTCATCTTTAGGAAGTATGTTTCGCGCCACTTTCCTTTCAATTTCCCCGCAATTCCTTGACAGGTGGTTCAGCTGGGACTAACAACCAGACAGGCGAGTGTAGAAAGGCGGGCAAAATTCTTGCCTCCTTCGTCGATCCACGACAAGCATTTGGGCCTGACAAAGTTATTCCTCCAGAGATTCTAGCAGGTGCTAAGGTAATTAGCAAACCAACACCTTGCCCATAGCTCTCAAGTCGCACCGCAACTGATCGCTTCTTCTTTTAGGGCCTTGCCATTCTCACGGTCCTGAAAGCTGGCTTTTTGGGCTCAGCTCGTTTTGGTTCTGGTGTCGTTGTCGCTCGACTAGCTGACGGCACCTGGTCTGCTCCGTCGGCCATCGCAACTGCTGGTGCTGGATTTGGAGGTCAGATCGGATTTGAGTTGACGGACTTCGTCTTTATCTTAAACGATGCCGCCGCCGTTCGGACTTTCTCGCAGGTCGGAACCCTGACGCTCGGTGGAAACGTTTCGATTGCTGCTGGACCGGTCGGACGAAACGCAGAGGCCGCTGGTGCGGCTAGCACGAAGGGTGTGGCAGCGGTGTTCTCATACTCGAAGACCAAGGGTCTATTTGCAGGTGTCAGCTTGGAGGGAAGCATGCTGGTGGAACGTAAGGATGCGAACGAAAAGATGTACAACAGTCGGGTGTCGGCACGTCAGCTCCTCAGCGGAACCATTCGCCCCCCACCGGGCGCGGATCCTCTCCTGAGTGTTTTGAACTCGCGTGCCTTCTATGGCAATTCTCGGTCCGGTGGAGCGATGTATAATGACATCCCTGTCTACGATGATAGCCATGATGATGTGGTATGGGAGGGTCGCCGGGGCGAGGCGTACGGGGAAGGAGTAAGGCGCGAGCGCACTGGGCTCAGTGGCTCGGGCTCAGACGACCTCAGAGACCGACCACGCCGTGCAAACACATGGGCGGACGATATTTACGATCGACCTGCTGGAGGGCTGAGTCGGTCCTCCACTACTCGGTACAGCGGTCGCACCGACACATCCGACTCATTCACCCGCAGCCGGAGCAACACTGCCCCGATAGAGGAAGACTATGTCTACTCTGACCGCAAGCCCAGCCGGCCCACAGCTCCTAAACCGGTCTTTGGCCAGCGGACAGGGGCAGCTCCTACTCTACGCCAGGATCAGGCCATCGCGCTGTACACGTTCGACGCGGACCAGGAAGGTGACTTGGGTTTTAAGAAAGGGGACGTCATCACCATTCTCAAAAGGACTGAGAAGAAAGAGGACTGGTGGACTGGGCGGATCGGAGACCGGGTGGGCATTTTCCCAAGGTAAGCGGATTCGCAATTCCAGACACCAGGCGTCTTGTCCGTGAAGCTAATCAATCGCACTCAGTAATTATGTCGACACTGCCTAGGAGACCTCTCACCCTAGTTCGCCTCATGCGGAATGATCTTTGACGATGCAACTGCCTTTTATGCTTTGTTTCCATTACGGACGTTTCTATGTTCTTCATGTCTGATATCAGCCCGCAAGCCGTCTTTCAGGACACCCCCCTCTAGTTTTATTTTGTTCCAGAGATTTTTTTTCGGCTTTCTTGTGTAAGTGCCGGAGTTGCCAGTTGGATTGACCAGCAAATTCGGGGTGACCTTGAACGAATAAGTGACGAAATGGGAAGCTCGCACCTGTGTCTGTTTTCTTGGCGATGGTTTGGCTTCAGTATATGCGGGTGCGATAGTGTTTTGACCGCCTTTGGGTATACATAAGACTCTGTCCCTGCTTTGTTTTGACCTTCCGGTTCCACAATAAAAATGGCATTTCCCCTCTTTGTTGCCGTGCAAATGGGCTGGTTGATTGGATAGGTTTTAGGCCACTAGACCGGCTGCTTGGCCGATATGCTCCCATCCCTTGCAAGGGATGATGGAGTTAGACAAACGAACGGGTGGCTGCCGATGAAAGGTCCGGGGATTATCAAGTTGTCGTGAGCAGCCAAGGTCCTAAAGAGACCCAGGTTCCCTGCTCATCGCATCAGCATATGTACATTCTTCGGGGTATTGGCGTGCAATGATAGAACTCGACCACGACCATTCACTTGGGCCATTGGACTTTTAGACCAAGCCCCTCAGCAGCATCCCGAAGTCATCGGGAGAGGCCCGTTCGACCAATGGAGGTCAGGAACACAAGGCACGAGACTCGCGTGGGTCTCACGCGAGAAACAACGCAGCAACGCGATTGAGCACACTGCTAGTTGCCAACCTGACTGTTCTTTCTCGGCTGTGACTTGGGGGAATCTGATGGCATATAGCCAGTCTCTCCTAATCATACGAGGATGGAGCTTTGCAAAGAGGCACGTCAGCTGCACCTGCTGAAGATTACGAATGACTCAGGCGAGGTCGGTTAAACAGTCGGCAAAGAGAGCGGCACGCGGTTTGAAGCAAGAAAACGGCGGCTATCCCTGTCGATCTATGTTGGAAGACGGGATGATCAGTGCCGATGGAATCGCCATGAGAAAGGCAATGAAAACATATATGTATGCAGTGCAATCTTCAGTGTTTAGATTCCTAATTGATGGACGGTGCTTGTTGCAAAGAGTTCATGCCAAATGATAATCGCATTATGGTCCATTGTCTTTTATCTTGTGACGCATCTTCTCATTTGGTGGGGCCGGGCTTTCCATTCAATATTCTTTGTTCTTCCTTTGTACTAGAAGGATTTTGTAGTCTGGCTGGCAGTGACTGCTTTTTGGGTGCCTTGCCCAGTGACCTGTAAGGACAAGGATCATCTTTGCATGAGTGAGGGCTGCCTAATCAGCCGTGGAGTAATCCCTTGTTCTAGAGATCTAAGAGGGAAAAAAAAAAGATTGTCTAGACAGCCCACACGACAGGTAGTTTGTAGATAAAGCCCCCCGAGCCCTAGCAAACTGGATTAGATCACCGATCATTGAGAGACCGTGCTACCGAGCATTGGAGCCCACCAAGAGCACGGGGTATTGCTGATCAGCGATCACCCGCACCGACGGACTGAACAGGGTAGTCAATCGCTTCATCAGATTTATTTAGAGCAGGGAAAACAGGTGGCCTGCCAGACGATTGATCAGCAGAGGGCAGTGGAGCAGACGGCTGACTAAGAGGGCGGCGGTGCGTCCTGCCCAAAGATCCGTGGAGAGCGTCGAGAACCGATGATACTTCCTTCTGCTCGACCGGCCTCACTTCCACCCTTCCAAGGCATCGGCACTCCCGAGTTGGCCATTCATGGTTTTCTGACCGGATGCTCACCCACCCAGGAGTCCATCCAGCTCCTTGAAACCTATCCACGCCGTCAACCCCTCCCCCTCGCTCTCCCCCCGGCCGTCCAGCCAGCGCGGCGAGCCCAGCCAAAACCAACCCACCCACCGACCAACCACAGCGGCCGCCTCCTCTCAGTCCACTGTCCAGGTACCTCAGCACCGGGTCACCACCGAACCTACTGTTATTTCCATCCAGTCCCCCCATCCCCATCTTTTCCACGAGGAACCACGGCTGCCCATCTCAGCCTCGTCGCTCGCTCTCCTCCTTCTTTCTCTCTTCCCCTCTCGCTCAAACCTCAAGCCAGAATCGCATCTTCGGCCCCCGGATGCCTAGCCGTCATCGCCCTCCTCTCTTTCCTCTCGTCACCCTGGTGGTTGCTCCTCTCCGTCGACGCTTCTTCCCCGCTCCCATGATTCCATGACTACCTTTTCTCTTCGTTGTCTTACGGCCCTGGTGGTACATTGACCTCCTCTCCACCAAGCGACTTTACTGATCCTCAGCCAACCCCGGGTAGTCCTCCTGTCCGGTCTCCCGGTTAATTTGCTCTCATGCAGGTGCGTCGCTTTCTTTATGCCCGCGTTCTACCAAAATTTGCCCCTGCTACCTCTTGCCCACTCCGAACGCCCTGCAAATGCTCCAGGGGCTCCCGGCCTTTGCTCTGCCCCCCTCAAAGGACTGGCTTGGCAGGAATAATCTGTTGAGCGATGCATTGTGGACCCCCGACCCCTGTTTCAATTGTATTATTGAAGGACTCATTCTAAACATAACAACACGGGTTTCAGGCTTCACCGAGCCCCTCTGAGCCTGGCGGAGGATATGCGACGAGGAGAGGCCATGTACCTCACCTGTCGATCAGTGACCCGAGTCACCATGTCACCGAAGCCATCGGCCATATGTACGATGACGATTACGACAAACGGGACTCCAGGCGCCTTAGTTTCATATCCTCCCCGTTGAGCGAATCCATCACGATCATCCCCACCAAACTTGCCGGCTGCGAATCCCCTACCTCCCCACAGTCACTCCAAGTCCAGCCTCGCTTGAACGAATCTAAGAATCTGCCGCCCAACGGGCAGTCATGGTCGCACGGAGCCAGGTCCGCAGAAAGCAGCCCGACATCTCCGGCGTCAACCACATCTCCCGGATCAACAGACACGGCTACCACCTCCTTCCCCTTGAACGATGTCGACTATGAGTCCGACCCGGCCGCTGTAGCACAGGAACTGAGTAACTTGGCCGCAATTCGGCGGATGTCTATGGACGTTGCAGCTACCGATGACCCCGATCTCCCGAGTTTCTCCGTGCCATCCATCGCGCCCTCCCCCTCCGACGACGAAAATGATGCCTCGCGACTGTTTTGGGTTCCGGCCCGTTTACACCCGGAGCTGGCTCCGAAGGAGTTCAGGTCTTTTCTGGAGAGCAAGGCCGAGCAGATCAAGCGGAAATCCGGCGATTTTTCTGCATTGGGCCCTGAGCGTGAAGGATCAATAGGGGGGTTGAGGCGAAAGCGGTCCATGTTGTCCAGGCAAATCGACACCCCCCAGGGCTATACGGATGGCGCCGAGCGACTCGAACGCAAACGTTCACAATCGAAGCGTGATTCGTTGACTCCCAACCTCCATGAACTAGAAACTATAGTGGACGATTCACAACCGCGGGCACCCAACGCAACGACTATCCTCGATGGAATTCAGAAGCTTGGGATCTCTGCCGATGAAGATATACCTATCCTTCCTCCTGCACCTCCGGGACACAGCCTCAGACGCTCGACAAGAACTCAGTATAGGAAGGCGGGAAGCTTAAAGAAGGGCGAAAAGGCACCATATTCGAAGCGCGTGGCGAAGGCTTCCGAGACACATGAACCGCTCACGTCGCCCACTGCCGCGTCTAGCGGTCAAGCGAGTCAGGGTCTGGCACGGGTGTCCACCGATCCCACTCCCAGTGTAACACGAGCTCAAGCCTCGGCCAAGCCGACGCAAGGCGCACCACAGACTCCTAGCACGACAGCTAGCTCCACCATTGACTCAGCCAAGGAACCTTCACAATCAGTGAATGATCGCTCTGACCCGGCCTTGTCAGACCCATCTAGCAGGGCAAATGCCCCGCAACAGTCTCGCCAATGGCACTCACGCATCAGTTCCAATGGACGGTCAACTATGAACGTGGCCCCTACAGAACAGAAGATACCCGAGATTATCGAAACGCCTCCTCCTGGAACTCCTGCCACGCCTTCTGCCACGCCTTCTGCCCCAAGCCCACAACCAAGCGTTCCTCCGAAAGGAACGGTGGCTCAGGATCGAGCTCAGGATCGAAGCTCCAGTAAACGGGCATTACATGGACGCACACATGGCAAGGAGCCTGCTCCCAGCTTCAATGAATTTGCCAACACCCCGCAAGCTCTTCCCGGCAACACCACCCGGACCGACAATCTTTCCTATATTCCGACTTTCGAGGATCGCAAGGCTGAATCCAAGGAATCGAAGGAGTCCAAGAAGTCGAAAGATAAAAAAGAGTCAGAGGGTGGTCGCAAATCGAGCTGGCACTGGCTGCTGGGTACCGAGGATAAGGACAAAGACAAGGAAAAGAAGCGGGACAAGGAGAGCGATTCCAAAAAGCTCAAGGCGAAGTTGGCGGATAAAGTCCATGAGACGGCGCATGCCCTGCCATCATCGAACGATACCAGTCCGCGAGGACGCGAAAGCGTTGCCGTGGATCGGCTGGATCCCAAGCTGGAAGAGGAGCGCCGGAAAGACAATGCACGACGGACCTCTGGTGAATCCAAGAAAGAGAAAGAGTCTGGGTTGTTCTCGTCCATCTTCGGCGGTAGCCGGAAGAAGAGCAGTGGTGACAGTGGCCACCACCACCACCACCATCATCACAAGAAGAGCGCGTCCCGAAACCTGTCACCTGACCCGCCTGTCCGTGAGCTGCGGCCGGATGTTGATTACGCCTGGACTCGCTTTTCGATCCTAGAAGAAAGAGCCATTTATCGGATGGCTCACATCAAGCTCGCGAACCCTCGACGCGCTCTGTACTCCCAAGTCCTGCTCAGCAACTTCATGTACTCGTACTTGGCCAAAGTTCAGCAGATGCATCCACACATGATGCTGGCAACGTCCGCGGCGCAAAGGCAGCAGCAAAAGCAGCAACAGGAATACCAACAACAACAACAATACCAACAATATCAAGAGGTGAGTGCTTTCAAGAGCGGGTGGTTACTGGCTTTGCTGACTCTTGGGCTGGACAGTCTCAGGAACAACAATATACAGATAGTTCCTACGACGATCCTCAAATGTACGAATATAACGACGACTCGCAAGATCATTACGGCGCCCATTCGCAGAATAGCAAAGGTGGCTATGAGAATGGGAATGCATATGGTCCGGGGCATTATCAATATGGTCACTCGACATTTGGCGATGATGTTCAGCTTGACGATGACGATGACGATATGTGGTGACCGGGAACAGGCAGTTGGATTCATCTATTGCCGTTGGTTTCATTGCAGCACACCCAATACCCTTTCTGCCCAGTCTGGTCAGTTCCCACACTCTGTACACTGATATTAGCCTTAAACTTCTTGTGTCATCCTCCCATTCTTTCGATCCGTTGGTGGTGAACTGTTCCTTTCTATGCACAGGGAATATAAGGTATACCGAGCGAGCGCCCTGATGCTCCTCTACTCTATATAGTGGTCCTTTGAATATTGCACGATGACGGGTAGGGCCGATGTGATTGCCTTGGGTTTATTTGATCGCATAGCGTCTGGGGTTTGTCAATTACTTCCGGCATGGTTTGGTGCCACATAGAACACGAAATACTGCATCACAGTATTCTGTGATGTTGCTCATTATCCTATTCCAACGTAATGTAGATAGCTCACCCCCCTATTCACCCGTCTAGCTCCATACTACGGAGTACTCCGTACTAAAGTAGGCCGATCCACTCGAGCCGCGGCCTGGCATCGACACATCACGTGACCCTATCTCCCCACAGCCTCCACAGCGTCATCCCGGACTCCATCACTCCTCACATCCAAGAAACCAAGCATTGATACCCTTTTACTCCCACGACCTACGCCTCACGATCTCATTCCACGTCTCCGAGAAATCACATCCACGCATCCACTCACCATCCTCGAACAATCAAAATGGCCGAAGCCTACGAACGCGAACAGTACGCTATCCACACCTCTCCTCTTGATACCTCACCCAAGATAGTGAAATGGAATAGAATGGATAGCTAATAGGAAATGATGGGAGGTAATAGACAGAATAACGCCCTCCTCAACTCCCTCTCGTCGAAAGTCTCGGCGCTGAAATCCGTCACCATTGATATTTATGATAATGCGCGGGATCAGGAGACGTTGGATCATTCGGTTTGTGACTTACCCCCCCTCCCCCGCCACCTATTTCTTGGTATTTGGTTTGGCTGGTTGCTTGCTTGCTTGGGAATTTGGAGACCTGTTGGAAATGCACAGTACCTTAAACCAAACCAAGACTTAACTTATACCAGTTATGTTTACGACATTTGCTAATGAGTGGCTGTGAATAGAACCAAGTCTTCTCGTCCCTCTCCACGAACCTGAAAGGCAGCGCGAGTCGGTTAACGCGCATGGCGCGACAGGGGGATACGGTGGCGGTGTTGAAGGTCGCGGGGATTGTGGTGACGGTGGGGGTGGTGGTTTGGATTGTTTTGGGGTGGATTTTTTAATTTCCCCCTCCCTCTCCCCACCTCTTCGCTTTTTATATGTTTGTCTTGGTTTGGTTGGGGTGGGCTGGCCTGGAGGGTTAAATGATGGGGTTGGGGAGGTAGATGGGTGGATATATCGGTGGGATGGGGAGTGGTGGTAATTGGTAATTGGTGTTGGTGTTGGCTTGCGGGCGAGTTGATACCTTCCTTTCTTTTGTTGTTGTTTATTGTTTGGTACTTATTGGGTGGTTGGGGATAGGGAAAGGGGGAGGTGGTTGGGGATGGATGGGCTCTGTATAGATATGGGTTGCTTTTCTTTTGTGCAGGTGGGTATACAAGATTCAGTTAGGTGACTTGCTGTCTTGTTGGTGCAGTGTATTACATATAGAGACATATAGTATTCATTCATGTGACATGTTAATTGCTATTTTGGAAATTAGTGTGTTGAAGCGTAGGGTCTATCGCAATCCATATCGATGTTGGTTGATACTCAGTGTTGTGTAATGGTAGCTGCATCTTGCAAGAGTAGTAGTAGTTGGATGTTGAGTGCATAATGTCTGTTGATGATATGCACATTGCTGCTGATACTGTGGTAGTGTGCAGAGTATAAATTGAAGTCAATTTGGTGATGCAGAGATTGTCAAGAAGCACGATGTGCCATGTCCGTTGATGTTTATTTGGGCCCATCCTGGAGATCTTCCGCAAGCTGTATCCTGCTGAATGACACAACTCTGACAATCGAAGGTTTTCGTGAAAATTCACATCAGTATAGTACCTGGTGGATCAGACTGCCTAGGCTCTGAAAATTGACACACCGTCTCTGTTGTTGTTCGTTGATTGATAGCTTGCAATCATGGTTTGCGACATCCCATCGGATGAGTCTACCGAAACACATACGGAAGGTTTATCGGATCGGCCATATTCGGTCTCAAGGTCGCTTCGGGTTCTGGTGAGCTCCACCTGTCGGGAACCAGTGGGGTCCTTGTCACGAAGCACTGCCAGATGCCATCCGGAGTACGCCGTGCGGTGTAGAGGCTCTCGATAGCGCACGCCGATAAGCTCTGTCTTGTTAAACGGTGGAGCGTGGCAGATAAGCTTGGTCAATAAAACAAATAGACTTCTCAGATATGGTATCAGTCGCCACCAATGTCGCGTCACATTCTCAGACTGGTCTCGATACAGGTAATAGGCCCACAGGGTCAGTGTGGTCTTCTGCTTATGGCCTTCTGTGGCGGTCTTGTCTAATTATGGTGTTTCGTGACGACACGACCGGTCCGCCACTCTTAGGACACACTCGGATAGACCCTGCCAGTGATACTGTATCTGTGGTAGACACTAGCAGCTCGACCGGATCTCAAGCACTCCGTATCGGCCTGCGGTATATACTGACCAGTAGTAGCATTTGTTCGCTGGAAGGCATTGACAAGGATAACATATTCGGTGGGCCCAGAACACTGCAGCCTTCCGTGGTAAGACACGAATATTATACGGACGAGGCCCTTGCAGCGATGAGGACTAGGATTAAAGCTTTGAGTTTGCAGATTGATCACAACACGGGCACCATCAACCCTATAGGGGACTGGTGAGTCGGGTCGCTAAATCAGCCGAGCATCTTTGAAATGACCGAGGGTGTGAGTGGGATCGCTATCGGCCACCGGTATTGTCATGTGCAAGGACTGTGTATATTCCGGCAGCAGCACGTCATGCAATCAATGCGTGTGGCTGTGCTATGACTGGTCAGATGTAGGCCGGGCCCCTCCATGTCGGCACCCTCTTGTTTTGTTTTAGTATCTGAAGCAATAACCGTGGAATATACTGAACCCAACTTTCTACTTGGCCGAATAGGATATGACGTCTGCCGGATAAATATCATGTCAAGGCGGATGAAACCTAACACGGTCTCACAGTTCACCATCTGCGACATGAGGATCATGCTTCCGAGACAAGGTCGGAATAAGTGCTCACGGATGAGCAATCATGCTGCGTAAGCCTTGTGGAGACAGGGTCTGCAAAGTACGGGTAGTCTAGATACTCCGTAGTTGCCGTACCGAAGTAACGTGGCTGATAGTCTTATACGGATGAGGAGCTCAGGCCATGAGAGAACCCGGGAGCGATATGGACGATCGCGTTGAGACGTCATGTACAACTGCCACCGACGGCGAGCCCGACGACGGAAGCTCGATGGAGGGTCGAGTGCCGGCCAGGATGCCGTGATCCATCCCGTGTCACAGTCTCCCCTTTGTTCGCAATCGCCATAAGCAGAAACCATTGGTTGGTATCATTCCACCAGGGTTGAACAGGCGTGGCGAGAAAAGATAATGCCCGGGTTATCTAATCGGTAGTCGAGTCGAGACCATCTCACGAGGTGCTAGGCTGCTAGCATGTCGATCTCGACCAGGCCGGCAGGGTAGAGCAACATCCAATTGCAAAAGCCTTTGCCGGAGGATGGGTCATGCCGTGGAACAGGACGAGCTATTTTCCAGCGGACGAAATGCTAGACCCGGCCAGAGTGCCGTAGGGCCCATGTCTAAGATAAGATGACATGAGAGTCGCGTAGCTCGGGTAAATAGCGAAAAGCCATCGTCTCGGTTCGGGCCACGTGCCGTCGAGGAGCGACGCCCGTTGGGTCGCGGCGGCAGAGAATTCTCCGTCCACGCAAGAATCCTTATCCCTCTTCCAGACCCCGGTGTGCTGTGGGCTCTTTCAACTTTCAAGCTTTGGCTGCATTCATATGGAAGTGGGACCGACGGGCGGCAACCTCCGCCTCGGAGATATCAATCATCCACGATGATCATCGTTATTCATTTTTGCCCGTGAATTTCCCTTCTGCCGGGGAGGTAGTATTGCAGATACGTTGCAGGCTCGCAGCCAAGGACCAACAAGGCGCGGGCGGGAAATCCAACTGGCACCGGACAACGCATTGCGTCCGTGCTCCGTCCCTGGTTCAGTTCAGGTCGTCCATTGGTCCATCGGACGAGACCAACGGTCGGAATCAGGGCCTTTGGCTGGCTGGTGGCTTGATCTCCCACCGGCCAATGATCTCCAGAGGCCTCAGGATAAGAGAGGAGGCTTTCCGTGAGGTATTTCTGCGCTACTCGCTGCCTACCGCTTCTTCACGGTGTCGTAGCAACTAATCCCAGCGCCCTCCCACCACAATTGACAACTCAAGGTATCAAGGCTCCGGTCGCGTGTGATTCGCCCGCTTTGTGCGGAATGGAGACACCGGTTCGTATGACGGAGCTAGAGGCCTTAGACCACAGGACTCGGCAAGCCGAAAAGAAAACCAAGGCCCTACGGACCACGGCATTCCGTACCTAATCTTAGCTTCCGTACCTCATACCTACGCATCAGCCTAGAAATGGTGAAACATGGCTGACTGCACGTTGGCGGCGACTCGCAGCATCCATCTTGGAAGCCTGTGACCCCCATGCACGATAACAAATATCATTGGTCTTGTTGCCTGCACCCGCGTGCTCTCGGAGATGAGTCCGTGCTAGGGCTGCGTCATCCCTGGGATGGCGTTTCCGGTATCTAGTAAGTGTTAGATATCACACCTCCTTGAGGGTCTTGGCTGCAACTATGGTCACAATGACCATCCATCGACACCACTCATTAGGTAGGGTAGAAGTGATAGAAATTTTGACAGTCAGAGCCCCAATCTTAGGGTGGGCCTAACACAGTAGTTCCTTATCTTGATCCACATTATTGACTTTGCTGGCTCAAATGATGTGATCACAGGTTAATCCTGCACATCATCCGTCCGAAAATCTGTTCTGGAACCTTGACTCACCGACTCTATCCGACCCAATTGTCCACTCGACCCTGGACTGTTGATGCGATGGAATCGACAAGACTTGGTGACACCGATGAAGTGGGCCTGGCTTGTTTGGCGCCCGTGATTATCCTCAAGTCTGGAGCGTTCTTGTGAAATCATGGTTTGCGTCAAGACCCCCTTGGCGGTGTGGCTACTAGGCTACTGGGGGTTGCGGCCCGAAAGTTCCTCGCCCTCCACGCGTCATCATTACGGCCAAAAAACTGGAATTATCTGGTCCTCTGGTTACCACCGTATGGTTGCGGGTAACAAAGCCCTTGTCATCCAGCCAATTTTCATCTGAACCATGCTCGGGAGTGGCAGCAGTGCGTAATCGTTATGATGCCGCCAAAAATCGGGTCGCCGCCGTGGCCACCACCGGAGTTGGGCGAGTTTCCCCGATCTCAGGTCGGTGGCTCCCGGGAGCGCCCGATGGCGGTGTGTGTACGGACGTACCATCCATTGGTATCGCGGTTACTCGGGTCGACCAATAGTCCAGGGCATTAAGGACTTAAGGTCAGGTACCAGGGAGATCTTATTGCGACTAGTATGGCGGATTCTAGAAGCTCTCCGGACGCAGTTTCACATGAGATAGACCGAGCTGTCGCTCCGCCAAACCCGGTCCGCGCATTCTTACTACCATGTATGGATGTATCATCGTCAGGTCGCAGAGGAGTGACGGTTAGGTCCGAGGGTCATTCTGCATCCGATGCGCTGTACCGCCGCCGTACTCCCGCATGGGGCGCCGACTGAAGACGACGAAGCTTTGTAGATCATCGTCAGCGGCAGCTGCACCGGACTGGGAGTAGAATCAGTCATACCACGGGAACCCCCATGTTCTGCAGAGCAATGCCTACAAGGAGGTTGATCTCCGCATCAAGCTACTATGTATGAGACATCCCTTTGCGTGTCGCAGCCATGTCCAGCGACTCGATGTAACGCTAATAAACGCGCCCAATCTGGCTCCATTTGATTTGGTGGCCGTCGTGCATGAATTACGCGATTGCGATGTCCCTATCAAAGGTTTCATATCTTTCCCCTTTCTTAGTAGTGCCGACCGGGTCAGGGTGTAATTGGTGGTCTCACTCGGTAGCGTGGGCTAACTGGCCTGTCTAAAATACCCGTGGTGGAGTGGTGGTCGGAAGCCAATGGTCATGCCCGAGACTGAGAGATTGGAATGAGGGTGTCTCTCCACTTCAGGCATTGGCTTGCGAAGCTCGGCTTACTTGGGCCGAAGCTGTCTCCAGGATGCATGTGTCTAGTTCGACTTCCTCGAGGTACGGAGTTCTGTGTACTGCTGCCTGGTTGCTAGGGAAGGTGGTACGCGAGATGCTTGTCTCCGTATTATTCGATATCCCCCTCCTACTTTATTCCTTATCAACGTCGGGCCGCACATGGCTTGATTATCGTAATGTCATGCCACCATGCTACCCACCCAGGAAACCTCTGCAGAAATACGGGGGGCGTGTCCACAAAGGGGGGAGCAGAAAAGTCGCAACATATGACACTCCAAACCGACCCGAGGGAGCGTGCAGGGTTCAGAGTAGCATGATAAGCAGATCATCTGGTGGGGCCTCAGGAGTGACGAATGCTAGGGTGAATTGGTCACGATCTCTTGCATGGTCCTGCAGCTGGGATTGAAAGCTGTTGTGCTACAGCCCTGCAGGCTGGACGTGCGCCTCGCTCGTACAGAAGGAGGGGGAGGGGTAACGATGTCTGAGCACCTGCCGATGCGGACGCCTCGTATCAGGGTTCTCCAATCTCCAGGGCTGTGGTGAGGGGAGGAGCAGAAGGATGATATTCAGGATTGGAGGGTTGATACGCCGGTTGTTCCTGCGGAATAACTAACCCGATTTGCCCCAAGGAGGCTAGATCGAGAATCATGCGGGAAGGATGATCCCGAGGCATGCACTTTACTATTGCACCCTACGATGGCAGGCCACCGGAGCAGGGAGCTGCTCCTTTAGGCGGAGGGGGGAAAGGATAATTAATTAATGTTACCTCGAGGATCGTCATTTGCGATTATCATTACTATTCTCTCCGACTCGCCATGTCATTTGCCTTGTGATAACCACCGGGTAACCGGACTACCGCCAAGGCCTAGGGCCGATCTTACGAGCAATGCTTCCGTGAGATAAAACCGGACGATCCCAGGGGATGGGCCTTGCTGGGTCTGATAAAAAGTCTTGGTCTGTCTCTGTCTCTCGGCCAGCAACACCGAATGACCGAAGTACTATCGTTGTATTAAATCCAATCCAACCCAAACGAAGAGAATCGTCTGTCGTGATTGATTACGTGCCTTCCTACGGAGTACTAGTCCAGGGTACCTTCCCTTTGCTCCATACCGTGACAGTTCACCCCTCCGACGGTGTTCCCAGCCCGCCCAGTCAGCCCAGCCTTGTTTCTTACAGGGACCCGGTGGCATCTGGTTCCTGCGGCCGCGGCGATTTCTCCGGTATGTTTGTGATGTAACGTATTATTTTGGCTGAGCTTTTGCCTCCATTGCTCTTACTCGGTTCGCTGTTTCTGCGTTCTCATTCTCACCTCCTCCCGGATCACTTGCTTCTGAATTTTGTGTCCTGTCGCCCTCCCCAGTCCCCACACATTCCATCCCAGGGTGGCCGGAGACAGCTGCCAACCCTTTCGGCCTACCTCCCGTTTCATTTCTTTGGAAGCTCATCTGTCCCCGCTGCCGATTCCGATTCCTCTCTACGGAGTAGTCTCTCAGTCTCAGTCCGAGTCTCCGTCTCACCTTGGATACTGATTACTTCTTCTTTCAAAGCCTCGTCATTCTATCTTTAGATAGTTAACCGGTTATCATCGCCTGGCTTAGTCAACACCGCTGGTAATCTGGTAATCGCCTCATCGCCGGGTCACTTAACCCAAAAACTTCCCTACCCAAGGACCGCCTTGCCACACCCGGCCTAAAAGACTCTCCGAGAGACCCAAAGACGCAAGTGACGGAAACGGCTGCTTGTGAAGCCCCACCACCACCACCTGCTTGCTCATAGTGGGACCCGTCCTCGACCCGGTCTTGCCTGCAAATCTGGACAGTCCGTAGCAGATCACGGGCACGCTTTATTCCCTTTCGCGCCAAAGTCCCGTCGCATTGTCGTGGTTCCTTGGACACCTCTTTTTGAATTTTTTTTTTTCCGTCATCTTTTTTTTCCCTTTTTAACCTTTTTTACTTTTTTTTTACGTTTCTCCTTTTTTAGTTCGATTAAATACATCACACTCCCGCTCATCCACTCTCCCTTTCCCTTCCATCCATATCGCCCATATATTCCCCCTGGCCCCCCAGTCTACTACTAGCAGCTGCACACGAGCAGCTGTTGGTTTGGAACGTCATGGCTCTCAGTTTCTTTGGTGGCGGAGGCAGCTCCAGTCACGCGAAATACTTCGATATCCGGTGAGTCATGGGTCTCGCACTTGCTCCGGTGGACCGGCATCCTTCCCGAGTATGACGACTAACCAACGCCTGTCGCACAACAGTCTCGATGAAGATTACATTGTGTTCCGGGGAGGAGAAGAGGAAGCCGCCAGTGCCCATCTGAGCGGAAAGCTCATTCTTTGTCTATCAGAGCCCTTGTCTATCAAGCACATCAGACTCCACCTCACGGGTATATCTCGGGTTTGGTAAGTGCTGCCTGCGAGCCCCTAGCGTTCCAAGGAGGGGCACTGATCGAGCTCATTAGCTGGCATTTGCCGTCCAGTACTGCCGGCGGAGGCAGGAAGTCGTGGAGAGAGCGTGTGTTCTACGAAAAGACGTGGCGATTCCGAGATGCGGGTAAGAGCAAGACGGAAGTGCTGCCTGCGGGCAACTACGAGTATCCCATCAACCTCGTTCTCGAGGGCTCCATGCCGGAGAGCGTTGAAGGCCTTACCGACACCTACGTCACCTACCGTTTTAAGGCGGAAATCGGACGCAAGTATGCCAAGGACATCATTGTCCGCCGCCCGCTCCGTATCATTCGGACCCTGGAGCCCAGTGCTCTTGAGCTTGCACACGCTATGGTAAGCGTTTACTGGTAGAGACTGTCTGCAGGTGACACTCGCTAACTCTGCATCATAGTCGGTGGAGAATGTCTGGCCAAACAAGATTGAATATTCGATCAGCACACCGACGAAGGCAGTTATCTTCGGAACTAGTATCCGGGTGGATTTCAAGCTGATCCCCCTGCTCAAGGGACTCAGAATTGGGCAAATCGTCTCTCAACTCATCGAAAGCCACGACCTTACACTGAACCCAGAAGATCCCGATTCCATTCGCAATACATATAAGAGCACGAGGACTATCCTCAATGACGAACATGAATTAGATGAGGACAATGGGTTGGAAATCATCGATGAGATGGCCGAAGGATTCCAGTTTTCGCGTCATCTTGAGCTACCCAAAACCTTGACTCGATGCTTGCAGGACACCGACACCCGAGGCATCAAGATTCGCCACAAGCTCAAGTTCCGCGTTCAGCTATTGAATCCCGACGGACACGTCAGCGAGGTACGCAAATTCGCCGTTTCGGAAACTTTGCTTGAAACTAATTCCATCATTTTTGCAGCTTCGCGCCACCCTCCCTGTCTCGATATTCATCTCCCCCAACCTTGCAATTGACGAAAACAATAACCTGGTCGACCAGACCCCCCAGACGGCACAAAGGGCCATAGATGATCTTGCTCAACAGGCCCCTCCCTTGTACGGCGAGCATCAGTTCGATCAACTGTACAGCGAACTCGACCCCTCTGGCTACCGAACTCCAGGCCCTGGCAGTGGCCCAGGCACTCCTTTCGGTACTCTGAGCCGTAACCTGTCGGCTGAGAACCTTGCTTCCATGAATGCCTTGACCAACACGGACATTTCTGCTTCTGCCTTGCACACCCGTCTCTCGATCCTCCGCGCGAACGGACACAACCACCACTCGCCTACGGACCAAGACCACCCCGAAGCTGACAGTCGTCGTCTGGGTGTTCCTCCGGATTACTTTGGACCCTCATCGGCCTCGAATTCGCACAGCCCCACAAGCCCCGAGCTCTCTCGACGCCCCTCTGATGAGGTAGATCACGACTACATCCACTCTGGAATGGCGACCCCATATCATCCTCAATATGCCGAGGTCGAGACCCTGAGTCGCGTGCCCAGTTACTCCACTGCTGTCCGCACTACCGTCCGCCCCTGCGATGCCGAGTTGCCAGACTATCAAGCTGTGATCGCCGAAGACGTTGTCATCTCCGCGCCTCAGTCGCCTCAGCAGGCCTACATTCGCACTGCCGGTCGCGGATCTTCCTACTTCTCCGCTATCGATGCACTTCACAGTCGGTCTGGCCTCCTTCACTCCACTTCCTCTAGTCACGACGACGATGACCGTCGACTGCGTCTTGTCCAAGCTCGAGCCAGGGTCTAATTCCGTTACAGATACCATTAAAAGTGTTGGACATTCAATCTCCTGAGAGGATCCGGCAGAGCTTGAGCCTCTCTGCTCTGTCAGTTCCCCGGCTTTTCGGGCGAAGGCGCGGCTGGCTCCGCCTGACCAACCTCCGATGAGTTTTTTTATTCTTTGTCGCATCCTTGTTCACGGGGCGGGGGTTCATTTACCGGCGTTTGCAACTAATAGACGGGATGGGGTCTTTTTCTTCCACCTGTTCATGACAGGCACGTTACGAGCAAATATTTGATGACCAGGCGTCGGCACGAGTTACGCATATGTTACCCAAAAATCCCCACGGGGGGCATTTCTTCTACTTGTTAATAATACCTTAGCATTAGCGTTACGACCACAATAGACATGCGAATCTTGATGCACGTCCACAATATTGCGCTCGACAGCCGTAGTATCATTGTAGTCGTAGTAGTAGTACTCTGTAGTAATATTTATGACGCTGCTGGGATGCCGCCACACGACCGGCGGCGCGCCCCTGAGAGTGTGGCTGAGCGGGTGCTAGACTCGGGCTAAAGAAAGTGCTTCGATGCCGGCGGATCCGCTTGCGGAGTTGGGATTTCCGAACGGGGCATGGCGTGATCGCTCCAGGGCCTCAGGCAACTCGGCCAGGGGCGTCGACCAGCAACTACTCCGTAATAGTACATCCTACGATCCTACCATCAGTCGGGTCGCGGGATGCACCCGGCCAGGCCATTGCAGTGATGATCACGACCGGAATAGTACTATAAGGTCGGTGGTGGGTGGAAGTTCAATTCCCTGGTCCTGGTCCTGAGCAATGAGGGGTAAATCCACGGGCGGTGACTTCATCGGTCGATCCCTTGCCCTTTTAATGGATTCCCACCCTGGTTCCCGACGACTTCATCGCCAGTTCACCGACCTTATCGTCGCCCTCTCATTATTGCTTTTGGCGCTTAAGGATTAATTGCTCGGGGTCAATCGGCTTCTGCCCTCCCCTGCCTTGCCTGGGTCCTTTTGGCCGATTGCCTTATATATCTATCTCCCAAGCTCCCTACGTAACCCCTCGACGGTGTCGCCCCACTTCCTCCGCTTCGCCGTAGGCTGGCTGCCTCTTAACGATTCCACCGTCTCGACTAGCCTGAGATCGCGCTTCCGGTGTCCTCCACCGCGATCCCCGACGGCAGTTTTTGTCCCTCTTGTCGATTTTCCCCCTCCGTGAGCAGCCCGGTCAAAATCCTTCCCCGCCAGTAACCATGTCGGCTGCAACCAGTCCCGTGGAGCAGAAGCTCCCCCAGCGTTCGGCCACCGTCACCAGTTCCATGACGGGTGTCAGTCGTCGCACTTCCATGAGTGATGACGAGGCCATTCCCGGGTCTGACAGCAATGAGGTATGCAACGGAAAACGGACCCTAGTTCAAGATGTATCGCTGATGTGTTCTGGGTGTTAGACTACGAATCTCCTCCTCGAGCGTCTCCGCGCTTGGAAGCACATGTGTGGATACCTGGAAGAGTACGTCTCCGCGACGGCCAAGGTGTCCAAGTCGCAGGCAAAGGATTTCGAGAAGGTCTTGAAGGTGCGCGGGGCTAGGCCCATTCCTGATGCCATACCCAAGGGTGACGACACTGGTTATACTGATACGATGGGATGGTCGCGGGCAGACTGTGAGCGACCCTCTGCGGGAAGGTCATCATTTCTCTCAGACCGCCGGAGGCGTTGCTGGCTGGTTTGAGAACATTCGGGCCAACACTCAGGTAACATTCCGGAGATTATCCTTCCCCGATGACGACATCGGCTTACGATTTGCGTTAGGGCATGGTGAACCTGTACCTGGACTCCGAGAAGAACCTGAAGGGATCTGTGCTTCCGCCCTTGGAGCGTCTGCACAAGGAGATCAAGGCCAAGTCGAAGGAGCTGCAGAATGGCGCTGCGAAGGGCGCAAAGGCAGTCGACAAGGCTCGGGGTGTTACTCAGAAGCACATCGAGCTTCTCGCCCAGAACACGGCCACGCTTGATGCTGCGTCTCATAACAAGATTGACACAGCTCATGACCCTTACATCCTGCGTCGTGGTGTCACCCATCGCCTGAACAAGCAGATTATCGAGGAGAACAACAACCGTCAGGATCTGATCGCGGTGCAGAACAACTTCCAGCAGTTCGAAGCCCATGTCCTGCAGACTGTTCAGGGTGCCATGGAGCAGTTCGTCACTTACATGGGTGGCCAGCTTGACCGCCACCGTGCTATGTACACGGACATGCTGGCCACGGGTCAAAGGGTTCCCCCGGACTTTGAATGGGTCAACTTCATGACCAGAAACGACCACATCCTTGTCAACCCCGATGCGCCCCCGAGGGCCCTCGCCAACATCACTTTCCCCAACCAGGACCACCGTGCCACCAAGCCAGTGATCGAGGGCACCCTGGAGCGGAAGTCCCGCGCCATGCTCAAGGGCTACAGCAGCGGCTTCTACGTCGTCACTGCCGCTCGTTACCTCCACGAGTTCAAGGACAACGACGATCTCCGCCGCGACCCGGCACCCGAACTGTCCTTGTACCTGCCTGACTGCGTCATCGGCGCCATCGACGGCTCCAAGTTCAGCGTGAAGGGCAAAGACGTGTCGGGCGGCAAGGTCGGAAATGCGTTCCACACGAACACCGAGCTGAGCTTCAAGGCAGCCAACTCCAACGAGGCCGAGAAATGGTGGACTGCCATCAAGGACGCCACCCGCGCTCCGATCCACACGTCCACCACCACATCCCCAACAAGCCCTGTCGCTGCCGAAAGCACTCAGCCTCCCGCCTACGCCGAGAAGGAGGCCGCGGCCGCTCCCGCTCCTGCTCAGGAAGCCCAGACCCCGACGTCTCCTGTTGCCGTCTCTCGCACCAACACCAGTACCTCGGGCACTCTCCCTACCGCGTCCGGTGCGGCAGCAACCACTCCCGCAGCGGAGCAAAAGTCCTAGGCGTCTATCTAGCCTTAAACATCTCGGAAATATCCCTTGCTTGGATCAGAGGCCCGAGTATGCTCGCGTTCCGTTCTTGCATATCGATAGCTTACCACCTTCGATACTTCTCTTGCTTTTCATCGTCTATAGTAATGAATTTATCGTCGAGCTTTATTTCTTCAATGAATATATGTTTCTGTTCATCTAATGATCACTTTGGATCTTAATGTATTTAATTGCTCGCTATGAAGTTTGACATAGGCCGCTCATAGTGACTGTTATTCTGAGGTTCACTTTTTATACCCTGATGCTTCTTGTCTCTCGAGTAACATCATGCATAATGGATAAGTCTTATTATTATATACTTGTAGTTGGTATCCCCATATATCTATGGTGGGTATTCGGCGAATGTCTTCAAAAATACATATTTATTGTAACATAGCTGGGAGAAGGTAAGAGATATATTGGTCAAGTATAAACGCTCAAAGTGATATCAAACGTCGGGGAGAATCATGCGAGCTCGGATTAGGATAAACACAATCGAGAAGAGAATAATAATAGATAGGCAGTTGATACAGCGAATCGGAAAGGGGAATTAGTTGCATGTGCTTTAGAAGTCTTCCGGGCTCTCGAGATCCGAGAGTTTCTGGCTCAGGAATCTCCCTAACGCCGCGGATTTCGACTCCAACGCGAGCAAGATGGATGGTGAGGTGGAGAGATTCAGACTTGCGAGACGAGCCAAATCACTGCTCCGGTCGATCTCGTACTGTGATTCAAGTTGTGCATCGGAGCTAGGGCCATTCCCGCCATGGCCTCGGCCTCCGTTGGCTGCAACGACGCTAGCATACGTGCGCCCATCATTCAGGGCGTCTGGTCCAGGCGCGTGGTCGGCTCCGGGCTGCGTAGAGCCGTTCAGGAGACCTTGTGCGCTGTTGGGGGTCGTCACGCCTTCGGAATCCCCTAGTTTTGATGGCCCAACTGCGGCAAGGAGGACTTTGTCCGCTATCCGGGTAACGACTGCGACCAGGTCATCGAGTTCGAACACGATAGAACCGACATCGCCGAGGGAGACGGAGGGCGTGGTGACGTATGATGATGGATGACTGGCTGGGTTCACGCCGGTCAGGTTACCACATGATGCATTCTTCGCGTAGCATGTGTAAGCTGCTCCGTAGGTTGCGCTCAGGTTCCGCAACTGCCGAGATGGGAGAGACGAGGCGTATGCGAAAATGGCGCCATTGGTAGCGAATACCCTGCAGAAAACAGCATATTAGCAGACTCGCTTCGACGCACAGCAGGAGCGCTCGCACATCATCGAGGTGATTTCCGGAGGCGACAGGTTATCCTCTAAGAGATCGCTGAGCGCCTCCGCATCCAGCATCTTAATGTCCGGAAGACCGGGGATCATGTTGTCTTCGATGTACTGCTCGTGGCAATCTCCGAGCGCGATGTCTTCTTCGAGAGTATCCTTTTTGATAACCCAGCCCTTAGGCGGAGACCAAGAACAGTCCTCCGGAAAGAAGAAGCAGTTGTCCCAGTAATCGCGGTCGTCGTAATCGTACTCGATTGGGTCTTCTGAGTATCCGAGAAGGTCTTGCGCGTACTGGACGGGACTTCGTGCCCAGTAAGGACGGTACGGAGGGTCAAGGTAAGCGCTGTTTTTGTGGCTCGGGATATCCGGTTGCACTGGATGGTCATATTCAGCCATTTTGCCTCAGGATAAAAGTGATGGTTATGATTTTCGAGGAAATGTGAAGGATAAGGGGAGTATAGGGGTTTCAGATGTCCAGACGAGGCGTGGGCGTTGCAGCAGGACAGAAAACAGACATGCGTATTCACGATGAGACAGAACGGCAGTGGTACAAATGATGCACAAGGAGGAATATAAGGCCCCTCTTCTAATTTCCTTTTGCCGGGGGACACGAGGAACACAATCGAGTGGGATCTCCGGCCCAACCCTGAGCCCGAAGTTCGCATCTCATGGTCGAATGAGGCGTGGTATGATCCATGACGTTCCAGAACACAAGGTACAGGCCGTGGGGGTACATCTCACGGAGGAATGCCAAACCTGGGGGCCAATGGTCATGGAGGGGTTGGGGGAAAGTAAAAACACGAGAATAGCATAATGTGGGAGGAACAGGAGAAGCGAGAGAGAAAAAGAAACGAAAGTTGGCAATCAATAGCCAACAAGGCCGATGTCTGCCGCGAATGCGATGATCGGTTGGACACAGGATGGCGATCCCTGGGATTCCTTGCCAAAGGAGCGGAACGAACGCAGTAGAAAAAGAAAGCACAAACCTTATAGGAGCTGAGAGCGGCCTGCGCTAGTGGTTTAAAGGGAACACGATGCTGCAAAGCGAACGACTAGAATGTGCCAAGGCGAGGTCAGTGAGTGAGGGCGTAGATGGTCGGACTGTCGGAGAGTTGGCGGTTTCCGAGGCAGAAAAGAAGTATGGGGTATCGCCTGCCTCACCGCCTTGCTGCAGCGTCATCGTGCCTTGCTTTTCCTCTCGCGAATCGCGATGAATATAATAATAGAAGTCATGGGACTATACCCAGCAGGAATGCTCAAGCAGTACGCTGTATGAATCAACTTGGGCTAGATCATATGCTTGGTGGTGTTAGCATCGTAATTTACCGGCCTGATCATATGTCCACTGCATGACTTGTATATATTGTTCTCCACGCTGGCCTACCCTGGATGAACCATGCACCGGTTGTTTACCTGAAAGAATTGGTCAAGGATAGCAGGATCCAAGCTATCGTTCAACTAAAGTATCATCTACTCCAATCAAGAGCTCCAATGAGCACTGGGATGATTACTATGATTATTATTAATCGCAGCTCCCTCTGGCCTGGATAGCGTCATAGGCGTGGTGGTGCCCCCACCCTTTTTTCGGCTCTCCTCACGCGGCTCACTAAACCCAACAAGCCAACTTGTCTCTCGGTCTTACCCCTCCCCCTCTTTCCTGGATGTTCTCGCTTCCTCCCTTTCGCTCATCTTTCCGCAGGGTCCTCGTCCCACGATTCTCGATCGTTCCTGGTAGGTTTCTCGAACAATACGAACCGATCTATTTCCCCACTCGGCTTGATTCTTGATGCTTACAGCGGGTGTAGGCACCAGCCGATCACTCGCAACCATGGCGACGGATACTTCCAAGTATAAGTTTATGCGTTAGTATCTCTATTGTTGTACACAAAATATGACCTGAAGGTAACAATGTGTTTGTCCGGTAGACACGATGATTCGGGTCAAGGACCCGAAGAAGTCCCGTACGTTCTCCCCCCACCAGCATCTTAAGCGGCTTAGAAGCTTACTATCGATCTTCCCCTAGTGGAATTCTACAAGTTCCTGGGCCTTAACCAGGTCAATCAGATCGATTTCCCTGACAACAAGTTCTCCCTTTACTTCCTTGCCTACGACGGACCCCAGTCTCTCCAGGGTGATCGCCACTTCACTGACCGTAACGGTGTCTTGGAACTCACCCATAACCATGGCACCGAGAACGATCCCAACTACAGCGTGGTCAACGGTAACACGGAGCCTCACCGCGGCTTTGGACACATTGCTGTCTCCGTTGATAACATCGAGGCCGCTTGCAAGAGACTTGAGGATGCCGGTTATCCCTTCCAGAAGAAGCTCACAGAGGGTCGTATGCGCCACATTGCGTTCGTCAAGGATCCCGATGGATACTGGGTCGAGATTATCCGCCGCCACAATGAGGATGTTGGCACCACGACTGATCCGTCCACATACCGGCTGAACCACACCATGCTCCGTGTCAAAGACGCCGAAGCCAGTTTGAAGTATTACCAAGAAGTCTTCGGGATGACGCTACTGCGCACTGTCGAAAACAAGGATGCCGGGTTCAACCTTTACTTCTTGGGTTACCCTGGCGCTAACCCTGGACTCCGGGAGGGTGCCTCCAACCCAATTTCCGAGTGGGAGGGTCTGCTCGAGCTGACCTGGAACTATGGCACCGAGAAGCAGGAGGGCAAGGTTTACCACGACGGTAACTCGGAGCCGCAGGGATTCGGGCACATCTGTAAGTCTTGATCCTTTGTCCCAGGAAGCCGGTTGCAGAGAGAAGACTGTTGTCACTAACACCGTCGGTACCTGTAGGTGTCTCGGTCGACGACCTCCATGCAGCCTGTGATCGGTTCGAGTCGCTGAATGTGAACTGGAAGAAGCGTCTCACTGATGGACGGATGAAGTACGTGGCCTTCATCCTGGATCCTGATGGATACTGGATTGAGGTTGTCCAGAACGAGGCCCTCAAGCACACCGGCAACTTGTGATCCAGGTCGTGGTGTGAATGATGTGCGCGAGGGTGTTGGATATGTGTACCTATCTGTTCTCCATATATACTGAGCAAGGGCCTGGGCCCCGTGGATACATGCCGAGGGTAGTGCTGTTCGTAGCAAATAGTGGGCGAGTAGCGCGGGATTTCTTTCCCTTGGGGGATGCTTGGGTTACCGAGAGGGTGATTGGCCCGTGGGGTGGGGGATCTCCCCCGCTTCGCCAGGGCCTCCCGCCTATCAGAGGATCGCCAACACTTCCCCAGAGCATCGTCGCCGACCGGGCTGAGACCCCCGAGAGCAAAGACAGCAGACATTGACGCGGTGTGTGTGTGTCTGTCCCATGGCCCTCCGTCCTCATGACCTCCCTCCCTGAATCGCATCTCGGACCATGCATGCTGTTCGACTTCCCTCGGTCGATGTTGGTTGACTGGATGTTTTTCTCTTCTCAACCTCGCTGATCTCCCTCCACCCCCCCACGGGGCATTCTCGCGCTGCTGTTGCACCGACCCAACAAATCGTGAAATCGCCATGCAGCCCCAGTCGGAGAAGCCCAAGCGGGCTCCCCGGAAGCACGTCACCACCGCCTGTGTTCCTTGTCGAGAGAGTAAGATCAGAGTATGTGCGCTCGTCTCTTATCGGACCTCTACAATGTCGCTCCGGGCTGACGCAATTTGGGCAGTGTGACGGGGCTACCCCGAATTGCCACAACTGCGAGAAGAAAGGAAAGGATTGCAAATACCAACACGGTGATGATAAGCGGAAGTAGGTCCAGCTCGCTCCATCTCTATCTTGTCCGCTGCTATGTTTGAATTACCTCTCGTGTCCCGTGCGACGACCGTCCTGCGAAGATAAAACCTGGAAGGGGAACCGGTGTTTCGGCGAGCGCAGGATCAAGCTGTTGGCCATGTTATTTGCCCGCGCAGCCAACCAAGTCTGACCGTAACCTTCTCAGAGTGTCTCTCCGCGCTGCCACGGAGCTGTTTTCCGCCAGAATAGACCAACTATGCCAATTCATCTACGACAGTGGCCTAGAGCCGCCCCCAATGAAACCTGAGGATGAGTCGGGCATGAACAGAGTCCTGGATACCTTGCAAATTCCTCGGGGACTAGCAAAAAGGAGAGATTCAGTGGCATCTATTGGACACAATGCGCCGCCTCACCCAGCAGTCACACAATCCCCTGACCAGACTTCCCCCATGCCTCCTCCAGTGAGTCGTCAGACGGGTGTCACCGAGAGTGTGCCTACGGTTTCATCTCCCTCGCACAGTGTACTTTCTAATCAGCGATTCATACCCCTGACCGAGAAAAGCCAAGATCCTATGAACACTCTGGCGATGAACCCAGGGTTGTCAACTAATTATCCTTCGACGCACTGGGGGTTCACTCTGCCAACCGCCGAAAGCCTGGACGCTCTATACGCTAACATAGATGGCGCTTCCAATCGCTCAAACGAGAACAGTTTGAGCCCAGATAGCCTGCAGTTCACACCAGATATATCTCAACAACCGGGTGTGTTATTAGGCCAAGCGTGGAATGACCGAGACAATGATTCCGACAGTGGTGAGGAAGACGAAGCTGAGAAAGATGTTATTGAGCAGATCTCGCATCGTATAGGAACATTGAAGATTGCTGGAGATGGGCACCTCAGGTTTTATGGGGCTACTTCAAATCTCAACCTGGTAGACGTGTCTGCGACACAACAACGACAGCGTCCGGATGCACGGACCGTCCGTCATGATGGACAAGATATTTTGAATCATCTGCGGGTCGGGCAGCCTGTTGACCCAGCACTCGAGGACCACCTTGTCGAACTTTACTTTACTTGGCAAAATCCAAGCACCTACGTGGTCGACAAAGATATGTATATGGATGCGAGGATAAAATGGAGAAACGAACTGATAGACACGCCATTCTACTCGGAAGTCCTTACAAATGCCATGTATGTTGATTGCCTGGTTCCATCCTATTCTCTGATTGATGATTATTAGGTGCGCTATCGGAAGTGCATTCGAAGCACGGTATCATCCTACCTTTATCACATTTCCTAAATCCCTTTCAGAATTCTTTGCAGACAGGGCCAAGGCTCTTCTAGAGATCGAATTGGACTCTCCCTGTGTCGCTACCGTTCAAGCCCTTGTTATTCTGAGCTCTCATGAAGGATCTTCTAATCGCGATGCAAGAGGCTGGCTCTATAGCGGTAGGTTGATAGTCGGAGAAGAACCGGCATGAGATACTGACAGGATCTAGGAATGTCAATGAGACTTGCCTTTGATCTTGGGCTACACCTGGATACGACGCCTTACGTTGAAAAGGGCGACATAAGTGCTCATGAGGCCGACGTGCGTCGAATCGCATTCTGGGGAAGCTACACTGCCGACCAGTGAGTATATATGCCCGGTTCTATTTTCTAGGTGTTGTCTGACCTCGCCGACACAGCTTCTGGGGATTCTACCTCGGACGGCCATTCCGAATGAATGCAGGGGATATTACTATCCCCAAACCCGCTTCCGACTTGGGTGCTGAGAAAGAAGGCATGTGGTACCCGTATGGGTTACCGATGAAACAGGACGCTTTGGAGAACGGATTGAAGAACCCGAATGAATTGATTAGCCGACAATTCGCTGTTCTCTGGGAGATCATATCCCCCGTCGGCCATATTCTGTAGGTCTGCTGCTCCCTCATGCCCCTCTCAAGTGCTAACGCATCCCATAGATATGGATGCTCCGACATTCCACGGCATGACCTGCAGAGGCTATGTCACAGAGTAACAGATGACCTCTTCGCTTGGAAGGCCAACCTGCCATCGAACCTGGATGTTGATCTTGGAAACGATGTTGCTCCGAAACTGCCTCATCTTCTAGTACTCCAGTATGTTGACAACCACGGCACCACGTGCATCTACCATTTCAAGCTAACCCAAGCGTAGCATGCAATACCACCAAATCGTCATATTCACCCACCGACCCTGGGTCTCCAAAAGCTACATCCAACCACGCAGTCCGCGCCAAGGCCCCGGCTATCACCACGCGCGACGAATGTGCGTCGAGTCATCGATCGCAATCGCACGACTCCTCCACATCTACGAAAAACACTATACATTCCGACGCATGAACAACCAAGTCGTCGCCATCATCTTCAGCGCCGCTCTCATGCTCCTCTACGTCACCATCTCCAGCTCCCGACCCGGCGGAGACAGCAGCAGCAGCAACGCCGAGATGGTCGCTTACCTGAATCTCTGCTTCCGAGCACTCGACGAAATCGGCCAATCATTCGAAAACGCCAAGCGCACCCGAGACTTCCTGGTTAGTCTGCAACGGCGCTGGCAAGCGCACATGCGACGCTCTGGGGCGCTCAAGCGCCAAACAAGCCATCAACTCTCCTCGCAACAACCCATCGGGCGCATTCCGGACTCGGAAGCTGCGCGGAAAAAGTCTCGCGTGACTGCACCCAGGAATCATGCCGCTATCCCTATGTCTTTACCCACTGCGCCGTCTCTGACAGGGGCAGGTCTTTCATTCAATCCGCCTCAGTCTCAGCGCGGGCTCGGACCACCGTGTCTTGATCCTTCTCAGCAATTGGGTGCATGTCAGCCTGGGGACCTGGATTGGATCCGCGACTCGGATCTGCAATTGCTCTCGGAAAATCTCGGAGATAGTGGGTTTCCTCCGCCGGGGAACACAACCTCGTATGGGGACGACCCGGGTCTGCCCAGTTTGGCTGATATAGAGCCGTGGTGGGATTCACCCAATGTCAATACGTTTGGGGGGTCGTCGTTATGATACAAGTACGGATATCATTTAGTTCAATATTTGATATTTCTATTTCTTTATCATCTCTCTCTCCCTGCCTTAATCATGCCTTGTTGCCCTTTTAGCGGATACTTCCATGGCTATTCCTGATGTAGGTGCGATTTCACCATAAGAATACTTGCTTCCCATGCGGGTGATCCTTTCTCGAGTCCCAGGTTATATATCCTTATTCCGCTGACCAATTGTCCCGCGTCATATACCTGAAATGGTACCGCGCACAATTTGTGCGGAATACCCAAGTCTATCTATTTTATACCGGGGTCCCAACTTCGACCTCAATCCGCCATCACCCTTCTTATCCATTCTGCTGCTATTATATGTGCAGAGTCAGTCCATTCCTTCTCCAAGAGTCGATCAAGAGTCACTCTCGTCCCAGCATATCCCTTCTCTCGGCCCCAGAAACACGCCCGCCGCATAACGTTGACCATTTCATGGCCTTGTTGGGCTAGAACGCTAGCGTCTTTGAGACCTTTGTGTCTTCCAGTCCCCCTCATAGTCCATGGTGGAATACCATAGTCCTCGATGCGAGTAAATAACTTCACCCAAGGAAGCTGCATCTCGAGCCGTTTTATTCCCTGGCCAGGATGATGCCACGTCGGACCACTGATGCCATAATCGAGGCCGAAAGGCGGCCATCTCGAGAGTGCCTTTCGTCTCCGAGGTGGATCTGGTTTCGTCTGAATTCCCGTAGTATTTGACTCGTGCATACTCTCTAGGTCCTCCTGCGAATACACGTCCCAATAATCGATACACTCCTCACCCTCAGGTACACCCCCGGCTTTCAGAACAGGAATCGGATACTGCGGCCCCATTCTATACTCTGGAAAAGAGCGGGGCACGTCCTTTCCTGGCGAACGAAGAAATAGAATTGGTGATGCAAAGGCATCAAAATACCGCTCCGGGGTGGAGAAGAGTGCTTTCCTTGCCTGAAGAAGGGGGAGGAGGTCCCATTGCGCGAATTTTCTCTTCTTGGAACCCTTTTTGCTGTGCGACATAAGCGAGGCTGTTTCCTCGGCCGTTGGCGGTGACTGAATGCAATGCTCGTCGAGGGAAGTCCAGTCGCAGACGGGCTCGAGGGCTGCGACTGCGTGGATGGACTTGGCTTCCGTGAGGGAGAGCATTAGGGCCAGGGAGCCGCCGATGCTCATGCCTACGACGGCTACACGCTCGGGGCTCAGGGTATCCTGGATCCAATCGAAGCCGGCGAGGGTGTCGTGGACGGGGGTAGGGTATTTGTGTTTGTGAACTGCCAGGTCAGTGGGGCTATCTGGGTTGGCTGGGAGAGTACCCAGACGGTAGTTGATTGTTACTACCGTTGAGAAGGTGATGCGTGCTAGGATTTGTGGGATAATTTCATAGCGCTGTGGTGCATTGTGGTTGCTGTAGGTGGGAATGACCCCTCCGGGGTTGAGAGAGATGATTGGACCCGGCGGAAGATAGACGAGTATATGATTGCGGGTCCTTTCGAGTGTATCCGAGGGGTGGGTTATACTGGAGTGATTGGTGAGACTTGGGGAACTGGGATGTATAGATTGAAGGTAAGATGGATGCTTACTGGAGTGATATAGAGCCGTTGTTTCCTACCGGAATGTTGACGCTGTGGCTGCTTTTCGAGAATAATGCTGCTTGTGTCCATTGATATATGTAAGGATGTCGGGGGCGGCTTAGCTGCAAGCGCCCTTTGCGTGAAAAAATATGGCTGCCTCCTACTGGAGACAGCTGTTTAAGAGAGACAACACGCATTGCACCATGTTCAAGAGAAGAGAGATGGAGGGAAAGAGGAAGAAGGTTGACTGCATGGAGTACGTCTCGCGGCATCCCTTAGTAAGCGCGCAGTTATGGAAGCTGCGACCCGGCCGGCGCTAGCCCGCATGGAAAGCACGGGTTAGAGATGCCTGCACCGAAACCAATGAATGGGGGATCTTGTTACCACCACGCATTCCCAACTTGCAAGTAGTGAAGGGCACCGATTCAATTCCCCCAAATCAACATAGAAAAGTCCCGTTAACCCGAATTATTCCCCGATCGCATCTTCCCTACCTCAAAGGACAATGTATACTCGGGATTCGCTCTAGTCGACATGGTCCAACAGCAATCCGGGGAGAGCCTCAAGAGAGACTGCGGTGCATCCGGAGATAAGGCTTGAATCAATCAATTAACACTATATTAGCTACATGGTTATGTTACCTGTTCGTAACGAGGTATATTGTCATGATGAGTCAACATGGCCAGAAGCAAGATGAGACCCAAGGATTCGGCCGACTATCTACATGTAGACCCTTACGGGTGCTGGAGATATTCTGACCAAAAATACGGGGGCATTGATGAAATTCTGGGCCTCTCTTGATATGGCACTTTACCTCGAGCGTGTTTATACCATCTTCTTAAGAACCTTTAGACATGAGACAGCTTTTGTTTCGTTGTAAGCCCTGATCAAAAGGCAGAAGAACAGACCACACGGCCAAAAAGAGCCCATCCTCAACAAGTTCATGCCTAGAATGTATGATCTGGAATGATATCAAGTCCGGAAGGACACAGTCTCCGTCATCTTTGTGCAGTGGGGGAATCTATCACCGCAGGATGACGCAGTATTAGCTCATGCTTGCCCAGCAATATTATAGAAATCCTTTTGTCTTCTCTTCTACTTCTTCTGCCGACACATATCGCCAAAACCTGCCCGCTTTATCATTTCATTCACCATGGAGCTGACATTAACGCAGAAGCTCAAGCGGTGGATTGCCCTCAAAATCGAGCCATCTCTGATCAGAGTGAAGATGTATCTCGAGCAGACTGGAAGATGGAACAAGGCCCAAAGATTACGCTGCTGTCAAGGCAGATGGCAAGTGGCACACGACAAGAAAACGAAGGAGGCGGTGCCCTCCATGTTGGAGAACGATATGCGCCAGCAAGAGATTATCCAACGGGAAGCGTTTCTGCTCGAAGAATGTCAACGGGTAGACAGAAGAGTTCTACTAACCAAGGACGATCAAAAACAACTCGAAGAGTGGCAGAAGGAACGGTATACGTTGAACCAAGAACTCTGGCGGGCCGAAAGAGAGGGCTATATGCTCTGGCAGAGAATGCCCAAATCTCCGTACCAACGCGGGATGGCGACGAAAAGGAAGCACCCCGAATGGTACATGATGAAGAGTCTTCGCCTGGATTGTGCTGGGAGAGGAGGGTGCTGCGGTCGTGACTGTAGATGTTGCGAGCGGCCGCGGGGGACGATTCGACTGAAAGCATTCGGTCACTGTACGGCCTAATGTGGATGTTGTCATCGTGCTCGAGGATTCGAGCTTTCTCCCGAAGACCAAAAGCTGTCCAAGACTGGGTTTGATCGGGAGAAGTTGGAGGAAGATGGCTATGTGCTTGCGATGGTCAGTACTCTCCTCTGGGGACGTGATAGGCGGTCACTCCCCCCTCCTTTACGAGCGCTATCAGAGAAAGGATTGGACAGCGCCCTCCCTTGTACCAGCGGGAGGACCAGTCCGAGCATCTGCAACCGCAGATCGGAGTATAAAAGCCGCAACTCCGCACCGCCGACCCTAATTCCTATAGTTACTACATATGTGTCACCAATCCTTTGAAAGGTGTGAGATGATTGGGATTATCGAGCAGATTGAAACCCCAAGAACCAACGTCTTTGGGTTGGCATTGAATGAGAATTTACCGCTACTCAATAACGGATTCCAATGTCCAGAGTCAATACCAGATCAGGAAACTACGATTCTGTCTTCGCAGCTTCCATGCTTTTGCAATTCTCCAACTACCCACGTCTTCGTGGCTTCGCAGGCTTTTGCTACCTCTCAACACCATACCGCAGCATCCAGAATCAACCCTCCCCCAGCGAGCAACAAGTTTCTCGTTTCTCGATTGTTTTATGATAAGACACTTGTTATGTTATACCTTCTATCCAGTAACTAGAGGGAAAATGTCCTTCCTAGTCTACTTGGTAATGGCCTTGACATTTCACGATCTTCTCACAGAAACTGAGCTCCATCAACGCCACCATGCCGGTACCAGTTGTCTCCATGCCCTCACCCTCATCGACTGTCTGAAGTTATTCGCGGCCAATAAGCCGGTCCTTGTGGCATTGTTGTCTCTTTTTGCCCTTGCGGGCTCGGCCCCGATTGGCCTGACTCGTTACTGCTGCGTGCGATGTGTGGACCGCAAGTTAGTGCATGGTCTCAGCCCCCGTTTCTGAACAATAGGCGCTTGACTGACCATTTAACAGGTGTCCCGCCCTCCCTCCCCTCGCCCCCTCCCTCCCCAAAGACAAAGGGAAGTACGATGCTTTTGCCAGAAGGCGTGGTTGTCGTGTGGGTTGTAGTTTTGGAGGCGCAATAAAGCGCCTAGGGGCATGTTTTGCCCGTCGTTCGTCGTCAACCTTCCAGCGTCCGAAGATCGGGTCTTTTCCGGTCCTGGGTCTCCTCTTTTGGGCATTTTGGGCCAAAGTTCGTCCGAATTGGGGGCAACTCCTGGTGCAGATGTGGGGGCGCAATGCCCACCCGTTTAGAAGGACGTGGTATGGTACGATGCCTGATGATCGACCGGGAGTGAATTTTGAGCTGCACGATCTCGATTGAGTTGTGGTAGAGATTTGGGTGGGTGGAGAGATGGGGGCGGGATTTTTCGTTTCTTCCTTTTGTCCCGAATCGCATTACACCTTTTGGTGTTGGCTGTACTTTGTATGAATAACCCAGAGTCACTGTATCACGAAACAGCATGTGGATGCCATTAGCCATGACCCGCGGAAAGCAACGGCTGCTATTGATATACTGTTGTTTCTTTTGGCAGTTACTCATTTATGGGTATGTACGCATAAGTCAAAACACTCCTTGTAATATCCAGTATCCTGATCTTGTCCGTTCCAGAGCACTCCGCATGCAACGCCATCATGAAAGGAACAAATACGAAGGAACAGAAGAAAATCATAGGGCATCACGAAAAATAAAGTAGAGATACTGGGGGAAGCCGAGTGCAGGCATGGCCAGTGGATAGTCGGGCGAGGCTTAAAGACCGTGCACCACTCCGTCTGTCGCAGTTATAGCACGCATACATACATCAACATGAACGGATGATACGCAGCATGGATCGGTTAGTGGACTCCATTTCGCCGGGTGCGTCCGGAGTAGAACGCACTGCCGTTTTTGAAGTAGGGATGCATGCAGGCTTGTTTGGCGGAAATACGGCGTGCTGGGTCATACTCGAGCAGAGCATCGAGGAGATCCAGACCATCCTCTTCGAGGTCGGGGACGAGTGCCCGCGTTTCATCACGTTTCCATTTGGGGAAAGTCGGCTTAAAGTCGGGGAAGGAAGTGACGCCGGGCCAGGCAGCCTCATCCGGGGTACCGAGGAGCCTGTTGGCCAGGGGTGTTAGACGTCGGGCGGTTCTCACAGTGAAGGGGAAGCATACCGGAAGATCTTGAAGATCTCGTCAATCTCAGAGTCGCCAGGGAAGAGTGGCTTGCGAGTGCACATCTCTGCAAAGATTGCACCACAGGACCACATATCGACACCGGTAGAGTATTGACGGCCACCCAAAAGGATCTCAGGAGAGCGGTACCAGAGAGTAACAACCTGTGAAAGTCAATAATAAGTCACTATATCAAGACGAGTTCAGCGTGGAAGGATACCTCATGGGTGTAGGTTCTCAGAGGAACACCGAACGCTCTTGCCAATCCGAAATCCGCCAGCTTAAGATTACCATCGCGGTCAATCAAAAGGTTCTGAGGCTTGAGATCACGATGCAAAATGCGGTGGCTGTGGCAGTAACGAATTCCCTCTACTAGCTGAGCCATGAACTTCTTGACCATGGCATCCCCGAGACCCATGTTTTTGCTCAAAGCGGAACCTTCGGGGAGGGCTTTGCCACGCCCACCTTCACTGACAGGAAGAGCCTCCATATATTTCTTGAGGTCGAGGTCGAGGAATTCGAAGACGAGGTAGAGCTTGTGGCCATCTGCATGGACGATGTTCAAGAGCCGGACAATGTTGGGATCGCTCATCTCCTTGAGAAGGGAGATTTCGCGGATGGCTGTGCTGGGGACGCCTTCATCTTCCGCCTCCAGTCGAATCTTCTTCAGAGCGACAATCCGGTTGGGATGAGTGAGCTCGCGAGCCTTGTAGACGACACCATACGTTCCTACAGTCAACGACCCTCAGTTAGCCTCATATTTAAGAAATATTACGGTGACCGAATGGCCCCTGTATCCAAGTATGTACGGATATTGCTGGCCTCGGCGAGGCAAACATACCTTCACCAATCTTCTCGATTTTTTGGTAGTTCTCCATGATGATGTCTCTGCTTTCCTAGCTTCCACACACAAGCACTGCAATCTAAGTCCGGAAGATAAAGCTGAACAAACTCAACGCGTTGCCGAGCCCGCCAGCACGTGGGGTACAGGAAACAAAGGAGGCTGCAAGGCGATGGCTTTGGGTTGCCGGGGAGGAAGAGAAGGCGTCAAGCAGCTGCGAGGAGTCGAGACGATCGAGTTGACAGCGTGGGAGGCAGGAGTCGATTCCCAATTAAGAAGCAGTTTGAAGCATCTGAGGAGCAAAACCAGCCGGGTCCGGAGCGTGACTTACCTTTTACTTACCTGGGTTGTCTGAGAGAGCTGAAGCAGTTGACTTGGAGTCTTTTCATCCCTGGTGGGGAGCCCAAGGCGGTCAGCGGCGGCTGTACACAAACAAACTCGCGCGTCCCAAGGCGGTGAGCGCGTGCCCAGCTGACCATTTTGTGGTTGGTTCCAACCCGACGGACGGCAAACTTTCATCTTCCATCCCCGATCAAATATTGTCGATCCTTCGATCCTTTCATTGTTCCCATCGGGGCAGAGAGCGTGGGCTGGCACGTAGCTATGCAATAGTTCGGAACTTGCCTACGTGGACTAACCCCCAGCTGCAGTCGTTTATTGATCTATGAGTTGTCACAAGCTGCATACCCGATAACTATTGATGCCGCATATCAAAGACCTCAACGCTCATGAGCGTCCGCCAGAGGTCCTCAAGCAGCGTTACAAGAAATTTCAAAAGTCCACGCTTTCGGAAATAGATTCCGATGCCAGTATTATCGACCTTCAAGCTCTGGACCCCCAGAATCTCCCGAATGAGATCTCTTTGACGCAATGGATCTCTAGCGCAGATCTCCGGCCAGTATTCAACCAATTTGTCGGCCCACGCAAGGGTATGCAGGACGCTTTGCCTGCTAAGGATATCCCCGTTTTCAGCCATCGCTCTGTTTCTGGTCAGCATTATCTGCATGCCTGCTTTTGCGGCACCAATTGTAGAAAAACAATGTTGACATGCTGTAGGCTTGCAGGTGGTCCCATCGCTGCTACCACCGGCCGTTCAGGTCGAGTTACTGTCTCGTTTGTTCCACCGGGACTTGTCTAATCCCCGGCATCGAACCAATCTTCACCTGCACTATGATATCACTTATCCTAGGGCGACTAGTGGGGAAGCCCAGCCGGATGTATCGGTCTCGGCCGATCCTATTTCAGTAGGCGATTGTCCTCCGTCCTTTTTTGGAGATGATCCAGCACGTGTCATAGAGCCCATAGATCCCAATGTGCACAGACCACTCACTGTCCAAAGCCTACTGAACAGAAAGCTACGTTGGGTTACTCTAGGTGGTCAGTATGACTGGACCGCCAAAGTATATCCCGCGGAGCGCCCTCCTGAGTTTCCCTCCGATATTGCAAAGCTCCTGAATGCCATGTTTCCGGCAACCGAGGCTCAAGCAGCTATTTTGAATGTCTACTCCCCGGGCGACCACCTCAGTCCTCATCGTGATGTCAGTGAAGAATGCGATGTGGGCTTGATCAGTGTTAGCTTTGGTTGTGATGGTCTTTTCTTGATCAGCCATGATGATGGGGAGCACTGCGAAATTATTCGGCTTCGCTCCGGGGATGCTGTCTACATGGATGGCACCTCACGGTTTGCTTGGCATGCAGTACCGAAGATCGTGCCGGATACCTGCCCTGAGTGGCTTGCTAACTGGCCATCATGCTCACATGATGGTGTAGCTACTTCCGAATTTGAGATCTGGAAAGGATGGATGTCGGGCAAGAGAGTCAATCTAAACGTTCGGCAAATGGAAATGGCCAAGCCCCAGGGCTGATTGTCATGGCAATTAGATATATTGTGAGACCACGATGGGCTCAGTACTCTGATGGTCATAGCTCAGAATATTCTCTGAGAGCCCATGAAGTTGGCTAGATGGTTTCCAGCCGTTGAAAGCGATGACACCGTTCCATACTGCAGAATCCGGGTTCCGCGCAGTTCTGTCCTTGAACTTTATCTGCTATGCCTGGATATGCCAAATGTTCTGTGCACCGGTATACGCTTGTGTACTCAACGAGACCTCGAGCCCACTCCTTAACCCATCGGCTTACTGGTTAAGTTTGGTAGCAAGCCTTATCTTGTGCTGCAAGCGGGTGATATACCTGGTGTTTTGACAAATATTGATCTGGCCGGCCAGCTACCGGCTTGGATATATCCTGTTTGATGGGATTACATAGAAAGGACGTATATACTAGCCATAAATGATATATATTTTATCGTGACAGAGGGTAAGAGGTGCATCGGAAAATAGAACCGCGGAAGCGATTCCGGCTCAGAACCCGGCGGGGCAGCAGCTGATCGTTGGACCGTTCATTGGGGGTCCCCGTCTACTCCTCCATCATCCCAGCCAACACCGAATCTCCCCCGATCTTATCAGCAATCCGTGTTACTGGCCCTATCTATCTAGCCATCTGAACCACGGCCGAGCACAAGCTACTCCTGCACGTTAGACAAAGCGTCCGGAGGAATGGATGATAAGCAGATATTCCGCACCATTGGCCCCGCTTGCTGCAATCCCCACCTGAACATGAGATAGGATCGGTAAGACAGCGGGATGATCATCCCACCAGACGGACATATAAGACCAAGCCTATCAGCATTCCTTCATCTCGAACCCCCATTCTCAAGTTATATCCCACCCCACCACCACAGTTCCAAATGACCATCCCAGCCTGGCAACAAGCCGCCGAATTCAAGCGTCAATCCACGCTCGACGCCATCCCCGAGAAATGGCGGATCAAGGGCCCCATCCCCTCCCCCACAGAGCAGCGCGACGTGACCGGTGCTTATATCCAGCAATTCTTGACCGAGCGCGAGATTGCAATCACCGAGACCGACGCCGTGGGGATCACTGAGCGCACCACAACGGGCCAGTGGACGGCCGTCGAAGTGACAGAGGCGTTCTGCCATCGTGCTGCGCTGGCGCATCAGCTCGTACGCTCAACCCCTCAATACTACCTATTCCAAACCAATTTATACAGCGAGTACTGATAAACGGGCGATGAAGGTCAACTGTCTCCACGAGGTCTTCTTCGACAAAGCTCTCGAAACCGCCCGGGTTCTCGACGCCTACTTCGCTCAGAACGGCAAACCACTAGGTCCTCTACACGGCCTGCCCGTCAGTCTCAAAGACCAGTTCCACATCCCTGGAGTAGAAACCACCATGGGCTACGTCGGCTGGATCAACACCTTCCAAGGGATCTCCCAGGACTCCCGCTACCTGACTCACGAAAGCGAACTCGTCAAAGAGCTCCGCGCCGCCGGGGCCGTTCTCTACTGCAAAACCAGCGTCCCCATGACCCTGATGGCCGGGGAGACGATGAACAACATCATCAATTACACCCAGAATCCCAAGAACCGGTTTCTCAGTTCCGGGGGCAGTTCTGGGGGTGAGGGGGCGCTGATCGCGCTGCGGGGTTCGCCGGGCGGGTTTGGCACGGATATCGGGGGTAGTATCCGTGTGCCGGCCGCGTTTAATGGGCTGTATGGTATCCGGCCGTCCGTGGGGCGGATGCCCTACGAGGGGGCGGCGAATTCAGGCGATGGTCAGAATGTGGTGTTGTCGGTGATCGGGCCATTGGCTACGTCGGCGAGGGGGTTGACGTTGCTCTTCAAGTCGGTGTTGGGGCAGAGTCCATGGTTGGGGGATCCAGGAGTGTTGGAGATCCCGTGGCGGGAAGAGGTAGAGAAGGAGACGAGGGAGTTGATCCAAAGGGGGCCGGAGGGGTTGGCCTTTGGGATTATGTACGATGACGGGGCGATTCAGCCCCATCCACCGATCAAGCGAGCATTGAAGATAGTGGAAGACACAGTCAGGGCACTGGGACATCGGGTGAGCTGTAGTGACACTTATACTAGACGACGAATCATGCTATCATCCCCAGCTCATCCCCTGGCAACCCCCATCTCACCACACGGCCATGGACATAGCCGTACGCTTCCCCCCTCCACCCCAGCACCACCAAGGATACCAACCAACTAACCCCCACCACCCAGGACCGAGCCTACAGCCTAGACGGCGGCGCCGACGTACTCCAAAACTTCGCCCTCTCGGGCGAACCCCCCCACCCCCAAATCGTCATCGACACCACGGGCTCCCCACAAAAGGTAGCCCAAGAAATTGCCGCCCTGAACGTCGAGAAGCGCGAATACCAGAAACGCTACCTCGATTACTGGAACAGCACCACCCAGTTGACAGGGACGGGCCGTCCCGTCGACGCGGTGATTTATCCCTGTGCGGCGCATGCGTCGGTCATCCCGAGGAAGTATGCGACGGTGGGGTATACGTCGTTCATCAATGTGTTGGATTATACGAGTGTTGTGGTGCCGGTGACGAATGCGGATAAGGGGGTGGATGTGGTGACGGAGAGAGAGTATTTGAGTGAGTTGGATCGGAAGACGGATGGGGAGTGTGAGTTATTTTCTTTACTTTTTTTGTCGTGGGGAGTGTGTTTGGGATATACTGACTGGGATGTAGATGATGCGGAGGCGTATGATGGCGCACCAGCTGGGATCCAGCTCTTTGGACGGCGTCTGCAGGAAGAGAAGATCTTGGTGCTGGCGGAGTATCTGGGTGAGAAGATTAAGGAAGCATATGCTTGATTGGAACCAGTTCATCACGTACTACAATGATATTATGGAACATGGATCATGAGATTGGAAGAGTCTCTAGAACAAAGTACAAGAATGTATATGGCAATAGTCATAGTCATGTCATGAAGCCCACTGGCTGTCTATCACCTACCACCTACCACCTGCTACCCATCTACCACCCCTCCAACGGGGTAATTTTCGCACGAACTCCATCCTTAGGACTCACTGTCGCACCTTCACGAAGGAGTAACGGTGCGTTCGGATCTTCAAGTTCAAACTGAAACTTCCCCACAAAGGCAGCGAGAAGACATGCGAGTTCTGCTTTCGCGAAGCCCATCCCGATACAACTGCGGGGGCCATGGATGAAGGTCAAGAAGGCGTAATTGCTGGTCGCGCCCCCGGTGTTCGCCCCGCCGGGACCAAGCCACCGCTCCGGATCGAATTTATCTGCGTCCGGCCCCCAGAGAGTCTTATCGTGATTCGTCATGGCGGGGACGATGTGGACGATTGTTCCTTTGGGGATATGCTGGCCGGCGAGAGACGTATCTTTGGTCGCGATGCGGCTGGTGATGGGAACGGAGGGGTAGAAGCGGAAGACTTCGTTGCAGACGGCGTTGAGGTAGGGGAGGGAGTCGAGGGTGGTGGCGGAGATGGGCTCGGGGTTTTCGACGGAGATGGAGGGGAGGTTGGTCCGGATTTCTTCGCGCAGACGGGTTTGAACCTCCGGATGTTTGCTGAGGGCGTAGACGCACCATTGGAGGGCGGTGGAGGTGGTTTCGTGGCCGGCAGCTAGGAAGGTCATCATTTGGTCGATGAGTTCTTCGTCGGTGAATCCGTCGCTGGAGAGGGCGACGGAGATGATGTCGACGGCGTCGGTGGTTTGGTGTGTTTTGTCGCCTTTGGTGGATGAGCGCGCGTCGCAAATCATTTGGAGTGCGACGCTGCGGATGTAGGCGGAGCTCTCGGCGATGTAGCGGTTGCGTTTGAAAGGGAGTTTGTGGACGAGGTGGGCGGCGTCGAAGATCAGTCCGGTAAGGAAGAGGCCTTTCTCGAGACGCGTAGGCGGCACGCTGTTGATTTTGTGGTACTGGATTGCGAGCTCATTGTTGGGATTACTGAGGGAATTGAAATCTCGGTTCATTCCAGCCAGGCCGATGATGTCGAGGGTTGCTCGGCTGGTCCAGGTTGATACGCGGATGACGTTGTCTGTTGGGGTTCCCCGACGGCGCAGGTCTTCTTCGATGAGTTTCACCATCTCAATGCCCTTGGACCAGAAAATCGGGTAGAGGTTTTTGATATGGCGATAGGAGAAGGCGGGCATGAGAAGCTTCCGTTGGCGCTGGATGACAGGTGAGTTGACGACGAGTAAGAACAGAATAGAATTGGCCGTGTGCGACATACCTTATGCTCCGCACCCTCTACTAAGAGGACACCATGTTCCCCAGTGACGCGACCAAGCGAGCGCCGGACCAGCGGTGGCTTCTCAAACTCATAGGCCTTTTGAACGAGAAGTTCGCCCAAGGCTTTGGGGGTTGTCACCATGGTGCGCTCAATGTTGCCGGCCATGTAGAATCGGATCAGGCCATCATTGGGCAGGTCGTGGTTCCACTGGCGCATCCGCTCGTACTGGTCCTCGGGGACGAACGTGGGATTGTTGCCGGTGAGCCATGATCGTACCTACGTCGGAACAAGATTAGCAACGCTTGTCTGATGAGTGGCTCGGGTGCAGCTTACCGGAGGGGTTGGAATGTGCTTAAGAGGAGTAAAGTAGACAGGATACAAAGCCACGCGGTAGAATATTCTCAGAAGGACCGTGATGGCAGATAGTATGATAAAAGCCGTAAATGTCGACCGGAAGTACGTGTATCCAGCGATGGCCAGATGGATGGTATTCCAGGGGATTCCCGCCATGGTGGAAGTGACGGGTTGTCGCGATGGGATGTACAGGCACAGGAAGATCGACCGGGACTTACCCGAGTATTGAGAGAGATCGAGATCCAAGTTCAGTAAGAAAGAATAAAACTAGAAAATAACGGGTTAGAAACGAGCAAGAACGGTGAGCTACTGAAATACTGCATGATCTCCGGCTTTATATAGAAAGAAAGACACGACGGCCCAACGTCACGAGCCGGAGAAATTCGAGCTGGCCGATTTACGAGTCAGCCAGTCGGGGCCTCGGGGCTTACCTGGATGCCTGGACGGATCCATCCCCTCAACAGCCACCGGGGGGTGCGGTTCCCATGCCCACCCGAACAGGGGTTAGAGCCGACAGGGATGAGGGTTATGCCGCGATCCTTTGGGAGACATGGTACGGAGGACTCCGTATAGAGCGGCATAAGTAGGGAATTAGGAGGAGGAGCCCCAGTCGAGGCTGGTGGGGAGAAACGTCATGAGAAGCAGTGAAGGGAGAACAAAGCCGCTTCAGCTGGCGGCTGATTGGCGGGAGGGCACGTGGGGTCGGTACCGAAACAGTCACCTGCAAGTCAGATGGATAGTACGAGGCAGGTAATCCGGTAAGATAACGACTAACGAAGGACCAACGGGCTGGGCCCGCAAGGTTTACCCGTTTCGGCAACTCGCTCGTCGTTTCAGCCTTTCGATCGGTCGCCATTTATAGCATCCCTCGCGGGCAAGGGATGGCCGGGTTATCAAACCTTAGTTAACACTAAACAAAGCTGTGGCACGCGCCATCTCCATTCCGAAAGATTCTAACTATCTACAGCCGCTCCCGGCAATTTCGAAAATACGTACGAAAAGATCTCCCGGCTTTTGTACAGATTCTCCACCCGCAACCGCTCGTTGTACAGATGCGCGTTGTCACTGGCCTGCCCACACGGTAGATTCGCCGCGGGCGCCGAGAATTCCTTCTCCAGAAATCGGATGGTCGGGATCGATCCACCCTCGCGGATGTAGATCGGCCGCACGCTGGACCCGCCGCGTTCTCCCCCAGTCGCACCGGACGCCTTCTCCCCAGCAGCGTGGGGAGTCGATGTCCCCGCAGGTTCATCCGCGACAGGTGCCCCCGATTTGCTCGCCAGGGTCGAGGACGTGGGCACCGTCGTGTTCAGAGACGACCGCTGGCGGGCCGCCTTCTCTGCCGAGGACGTCGTCGTCGACATGATGATCCGGTCAATGTGCGATGCCAAGCTATCCGCCGAGTCCTTGCGCTGGAGACCGGACCGCTCCTTCGACCGCTTGGCGCCGGTCGTCAGGTCCGAGTGCTCCCGTTGAATAGGCGGGTAGGCATATTTCTGGGGCTTGTTCTTGGGCGACCAGGCCGCCGTGATTGCCTCCGCCAGGGTCTCGAAGATCTCGTTGTCCGGATCGCCCAACCAAGGATCCGATTTGCCCGTGATTTCAATGGTCAGATCATTCTGCGAGTCCAGTCGATCAAACTGCTCCTGTGCATACAGGGTCAGGTTGGTGGCCACCTCGTCCGCTTCCTGGTTCGGCACCAGTCGGATGGACAGGCTGGCCTTGGCTTTGCGGGATATCGTTGTGGTCGCGCTCTTGCTGCTTCCGGGCACCTCGACAGCATGGATGGTCAGGGACGGCTCACGCCAGCGATGCATGAGGGACTTGATGAGGGCTTCACTGTCCGCAATTTCAGGGTGGTGCGGTAGAAGAATCTCCGCAATTGCGGTGTAGCGCTGGCGTTCCGTTTCGGTGAGCGGGAGAACCGGTTGTTGGAAGCCCGGGAGGTTGATGCGGCCCTTGGGTCCGACCAAGGTGCCCAGAAGCATGGTCAGGTCCTTCAATGGCTCGTCGAGCAGGGAACTTCCATCGATACCACTGTGCAGATCAGGATGATCACTCGTAACGACGAGGTTGGCATGGACCACTCCGCGTAGACCGTAGGTCAAGCATGGGTTATTATCATCCAGCCAGTAACTGTTGGCCAGCAGGATCCAATCCACCGGGCCGATTTCTGGCTTGTGTTTGCGAACTGTCTCATGGAAGTTCTGGGACCCCGATTCTTCTTCACCCTCAATAAGGAAGACGACGTTGCAGCGGAGCGCTTTCTGTCGCGCAAGGTCGGCAGCAGCATACAGGGCCGCCAGGATGGGGCCTTTGTTATCTGACACGCCGCGCCCGTACAAGAAACCATCAATGGAGGTTAGTTGATACGGATCCGTGTTCCACTTGGCCCGGTGGGCATCGGCTCCAACGACATCGTAGTGACCATAGAACAGGATCGTTTTATCGACCTTGTCCAAGGCCGTGGCGGCGAATCGCGCATGCACAATTGGATTCGTATCCTCCCCAGTGGTCAATAATTTAGTTTTGGCGCCCAGGTAGATGCAGTGCCGGCGGAGGAATGCAGCACCCTGGTTGCACTCGCCGGCAAACTTCGGGCTCGATGAGATCGTCTTAAATGCCACGAACTTAGATAAGCAGTTGACCATTTCATCTGAACCGGTCAATAAGTACAACCCTTCCTAGGCATTCTGGGGCCATACCGTTGTTAATTGGAGGCTGCTCGCCCTGAGCGCGAGATACATCCGTTAAATCCCAAATACCAACAGTATTATCGTTACCACCGCTAGCGTAGATGTAACGATCCTTGAAGCGACCGGATGACGACGCCAACATGGTGCCTCCGTGAGCCACCCAGCTACCGATCTCCTCAAACCGCGAGTTAAACTTCTAGAGGCCGGTTAGTGTTGCACTCCAAATTCCGGGTGAGACCACTTGCCTTGATGACACCATTGGAGTCTCCGCACACTGCGACGCCGTTAATGATATCGACTGCCCACAGGTCACCCGTATGCATGGAGATTCGCTTCACCAGCTGGTGAGAGTCCAGATTCCAGATATTCAAGGAACCCCCTGCAAGACCACAGTAGAGGAACGAGCCCTCAACAGCGATAGAAAGGACCGGGTCTCCGTTTTGGAGCTTCGCAATCGGCGACGGCACTGCATTGTCCTTGTCTTCGTTTAGGCGCCACATCTTGACCACACCATCACCTGCGCCAGTCAGGAGCACCTCTTCAGTGGGGGCTGACTCAATCAGCCCTCTCACTAGACGCATAGTGTAGATGTAGCCATGGTGCGAAAATAGGCGGTGGTGGTCCCGTTTGAAGGTGAGAACCTGACCACCTCGATGAACGCCATCGGAGCCAGGGTCCGATCTGGGAGCCCGACTACCGTCCGGACCACGTGAGTCAAAGAATCGATGGGTCCGTCTGGACAGCTGAGCGGCCGAATGCCTGGTCAAAGCCGCATCCGGCTGCGATATATCACACCACTGACCTTGTCAGCACGGAGCACACTCTTCTAGACAGGATCCTTAGGTACCTGGATGCTGGTGTTTTGACCACCACAGTATATCGTCTTTAAGCTGGACGAGTAGGCCACAGCGAAGATGTCACCCACATCGTGATGGGAGTGGATGGAATAAAGCCGGTCAAAGGTCCTCGTGGACCAAACCTGTGGCTTGTCAACATGGCAGGGGCATATGTCGGACGAAAGCAGTTACATTGACGACGGAATCTCCTCCACTAGAGAAGAGAAGCTCTCCGTCTTCAGAGAGGAATAGATCAAGCACGCTCTCTTGATGAGCATGCACTGAGAGAACGAGATCGTAAGTTTCCAAGGACCATGCCTATGATGAGTCAGTGGGCGATCGCACTGATGAGAGGAGCCACGTACGACAATGTCTCCTCCCTGAAGCCCAGCGAAGACACACTCCTGATCTAAAACCAGGGCTAGGACCGACCGACTAGCTTGGACGCGGTGGCCGATGCCACACTCCGTCGGGAGAGTCGCGTGAGCTGAGTCATGAGCGAGATGAGCCGTCACGGAGCGAGGATCGGACTCCCACACTTTGGTTTGGTCATCGGTCTCCGAGATGCTATCGGATTCTACATGTACTGCGTGGTCCATTGCTCCCGCAATGGAGCCGGAATATCTCAGCTATGCTTCTTTCAATTGCGTGGGCAGATCAGTGGTCAGTTTCACGTGATGTGATACAGGAAGTGAGGCGTGCGCTGATGGGGCGGTGGATAAGGAAGATAGAGATAGAGAAAGAAAAGGTGCGTCGGCACTATCAGGCAAGACAGGCTAGCATCAATCAGGATGGGAGCAGAAGGAGTGATGCTGAGGGAATGCAACAACGTGTTGATTGAGGTGGAACAGCTTGATTTGCTTCACCTCCAGGGATGTCGTGATCGACCCGGTGAAGGTTGTCAAGGTGGACGAATCACCGTCGAGGATAATAATACTAGTGGCCCCAGCGAGCGAAACTCGGCTGTGGCGGTGCGACGGAGGATACCGGACGGAACGGAATATCCATTACTCACTGGGCTTCTGGTCGGGGACTTTCCAGCAACTCCTGTCCCTGCAGTCCATGAGCCTTCCATTTCCTTTCGATTTGACCTTTGGGCTCCTTTGAGCTCCACTAGCAATCCGGGGCGAGACATAAGAGCACATCACTAACCTCGGTTCCCAAAACAGACGTGCGATCAAGGTGTCAGTCACGCACAGCGACATGGTTCATAGATGCCCATTTGACAAGCCAACGTTGCTCTCTGCAGCCCCCATGGAGGAAGTAGTCTTTATAGGAGAATGTCTGAAATCAGGGGCAAAGGCTGACACCTGATTGCGACATATGGAGCACGGAGACTGGGACAGATAACGCATCTTGACGCACTTCGATCGACCGAGCTGACTACTGGGGACGGGCTGCAGAGGATGATAAAGAGCCAGCTGTCGGAATCCGTCCCATGGCCGGCGTTGGTTGGGTCGACATATTTCAAAAGTGTGTAGGGGTTACGGGGTATCTTGGCTACAGGTTGGATCGGGTGGAGGAGACGGAAAAGGGGGCGAGCTGGAGAAAAAGGAAGCAAGTCGATCACAATTCTCAGCCCGTGGGAGGCATCCTTTTTTCCGGGCAGCCATCTCTGCTGATGGGGGCATGCCCCGTATAGCATTATGGGAATTGCATGAGCTGGAAGGAGGATACTTAAGGTATCGAAACCACATCCATACCGGAAAACCCGCGGACCTCCCGTGGGGCGACACCAGCCACAGTGGCGGTGACAGCCCTCACCAATCACGAGGGGCGGCATCACCGCCATTCCTGCCAATGCCTGTGGTCCTCAGGCACCCGCCGGGGTTGGGCCACTGCCAATTGCCATGAACCCCTCCACCGTCCGTCAAACTTAGTGGCCCTCCATCGGGGGTCGTTGGAGATGGAGGGAGGTGCCTGGTGTCCAGTGGTACCACCCCGGTTCTCAATCCATGGTCCTCTGTATATAAGGCTGAGAGGGCCTTGAGGTCGCCCAGCTGCTCTGGGATGAAGTCTGTCTGCATCGGCGTCAGGTACGAGACCAAGACCCCCTCCCATAGACCTCCCACGTCAGTACCCAAGCGCCTTCCCCGCTAATGGAGCATTTGCTCCGTTGGATCGCGCCGTGACAGCAACGCAGTCTCCACGGATCCGTGCAGCCATTCAGATCTTGGGACTCGATCGCTTCGGCGCATTTGTTGCCTTGTTCCCAGCTTCATCGACACCCAACCGGTTTGGATTGGCAAGGCGGATACTTCTCCTATTCATCGCTTTATGCCCATTTTAGGCGCCGCAGCCGGGCCTGCGTCCTTTTAGAACCCCCCAGCCCCCTCAAATTCAGCCCCTGTCGCTGCTCTGCACTCTACTTGACTGCCCTTACCTTGTCTTCTGTGCCGTGCAAATCTCTTCCGTGGCGTGGTCACCCGCCTGCATGCTAGTTGGTTGCATCGTACCGGACCTTTCCGCCGCTTATCCTCCATCGTCTAATCACTTCGTCTTAAATCATTCCGACCACCACCACCACAGCTGAGCTGCAAACTCTTGACAGCAGGCATCAGCTTTTCAAATTTGCCATCGGCGCAGTTATATCTCAGACCCCGGAACTGCGATTTCCGTCAGTACCTCGACGCCAAGGCCTGGACCACCATTCCGTCATTCCAGACTTTGGGATCGGGGCCAAATCTCCACCGGGCCCTACTAGTGTCGATATTATTCCATTTTTATATCCGCTCGCCAGGTTTTGCTACACCGCTCGTCTTACTCTCGGTTCTTGGTGGAACTCTTGCTTGTCACTTCATCGATGCTTCTTCCTATTTGAATGTCCGCTGGGCGACATCTCAATTAAGGAAAGGAGTCAATTGACATCAACGCCGGGTGAAAACAAACCAGATACTCAGCTACCATGGCTCCCCTGGGCGAAACGATCGCCGTGATTGATAAGTCCGGCAAAGTCGTGAGTACGGTACATACATCCAATCTCCCCGCTAACTCCATGGCACACGGTACTAATTCCAGTGGTTGACAGAGCAAACATCTGTTTGGCGTTTTCAGTCAAGCCAAGAATGCCTATCGCGAACGCAAGGCCCAATTTCAGTCGGAGCGAAACGCTAAGATTGCCGAGAGAGAAGCACTAAGGGCCATCGAGAACTTTCACATTGACGATGCGCCCTCAGTCGCATCTTCGCGGAGGAGCCGTTCTCGATACCACTCAGGTCGCAGTCATCACCCTCGCGAGCCTTCAGTCTATGAAGAGGACGTGCAATGGCAAGATCCGTATGCAGATCCATACGACGGTCGGCCAGTTGAGATGGTACGCCGTCACACCCACGATGTCGTCATGCGCGGGCCGGAGCGACCAACAACCAGTCGCTCTAAATCCGATGCTCAAGTCGACATGGACCTAGCGTACGGTGACTTCCACCCGTCGGCCCTGGAGAAGGTGCCATCTCCGGAACAGGGCCAACTTCAGCGAATCGAAGATCCTGAATTAAATGGCCTCGTGAACAAGGCTCAGTGGCTCCTGGAGGAGGCCGACTGTATGCAACATAGCGCGACCGCCACTATCGCGCATCTGCAGAAGCATCCAGACGCTATGGCTGCTGTGGCGCTCACCTTGGCCGAGATCAGCAATCTTGTGACAAAGATGGCGCCATCCGCGCTGTCGGCCCTCAAGACCGCGGCTCCTACCATCTTCGGTTTGCTTGCGAGCCCACAGTTCTTGATCGCGGCAGGTGTTGGTATTGGAGTCACGATTGTGATGTTTGGTGGCTATAAGATCGTCAAGCAGATCCAGGCTGCCACCACCACCACCACCACGACTAACCCTATGAGGGCGCCGGCTGCCGAGGAAGACCCTGGCATGGATGACATGATGGAGTTCAATACTGAATGCCTGAGTACCGTCGAGATGTGGCGGCGCGGCGTAGCGGACGCCGAGGCCTATAGCGTTGGTACTTCCGTCGACGGGGAATTTATCACCCCTACCGCAGCGGCTATGTCGGGCATTGATGTGACTACGGCACGAATGTCTCGGGACCCGCGGTTCAAGTTCGACGATGACGGTCGCTCGACAGCATCTTCCCGGCGCTCTCGTCGGTCGCGGACGCATCACGAAAGTTCCCGCGCCGATCACCGACCGGAGTCACACGCCGGCTCGAAGGCCCCCTCACGGATGTTCTCTAAAGCGCCGTCCAAGGCGCCGTCGAGGGCACCCTCGCATGCGCCCTCCCGAGCGGAATCCCGTTACTCCGACATGGAACCGAAACCAAAGGAGAAAAAGAAGCGATCCAGCCGTCTTCGTCTGATGTTCACTGCGTGAACTTGACACTTTTACTTAACGACAGATTGATTACGAATGAAAATGTATATAATATTGTATATAGGGGGTTGGGCTTTACGATTGGTCTTTGATTCGGATTAACGATGGGTTGGATATTTGTTGGCGCAATAGACTTGGCGAATTTGTTTCCTTTAACAATATACCAGTTCTATAAAAGATACAGTATGAGAATGCTGGCACGATGTGCCTCAACACCTATATGGGTTCTACAAACAAATCAAAAGACACATTCATGAGACAACAACAAGAAAAAAACCACCCTTACCACCAATAATTGGTCCAATACACCCAAGAGCAGCCCGTAAGAACCACGATTCCCAAACCGCTACGAGATTTACCCATCTGATCATAATGACGGAAGACTCGAAAAGTGTGGGAGGGAGACGTAGTGACATGGTTGGGAAGTCAGAATGGAAGATCTACGATATGCTACAACGGTGGAACATTCCAGCGATCACAATCGTATAGTAGATACGAACGCAGTATATCTAATACATTCCTAATCTGGAGTCTAGTTCGAATACGTAGTCCCCTCTATTGTCGACCAGTCATCTCAACCCAGGCTCGTTGGTCCTTAGTGTTGCAGAATAGGCCATGAGCGATGTTCTCGCAATCTTCAACGACTGGTTCATAGATAGTGATTATCAAAACCAAAGATCATACACAAACCGCACTGGAATTGATATAATTTTAGCATTGATGCCCGTTATGATGTTCGTGAGATCGAGATATAGAATGACCGAGGCACTTAGAGGGGCGGTACAATCTACAACCGAGTAGCGTAGCGCTGCATTGTGGCGGCTGATTTGCGGGTCCAATTTATTTATTCTCTTGAGTCTTGAGACTGTGACAGCCCCACTGTCCCATCCTTAGATGAAAGCACAGGCCATTGAGATTCGAAAGCACGTAGCCATCTTCTCTTCCCCCAACTTGTTGATCGAATGTGAGTGGGATAAATACTGGAATAGCCGCCTCTCGCTGTGCATGTTGTTCTTCATCATGGATAGCGCCGCGTCGTTTATTTGGTAGTGTGCAGCTTGTCGTTTGCTTTCACAAGAGCGCAACACTTGGGTTTTGTCCCATCTTTGGCTAGCTTGAGATAATTCTGTATCCTGATCAGAAAGGTTCCATTTTTCAAGGCGAGTCATGTCTTGAGCTTGTGTGTTAATGCTGGATCCATGGTGGATACGTGAAAGGGCCGAGTTGGGTGGTATGTGTAGACAGAAGGAACAGACGGAATAGAAGAGACAGACGAAACAGAAGGATCAGAAGAGACAGAAACGGAAGCACACGAGTAAGATGATGAAGAGAATAGCTTTTCTATTGTTCGGTAGGTATGTTCTTGGCACAAGTGTACTAAGGACAGGACCATGGAGGTGTCTTTAGGACATAGTATATGAAGCCTTCCTTTTTAGTGGACATAAAAAGAGACTGCATTCGGGTACAAGGCCTTGAGCAAGTAATCCACAGCATATTGTGATTTCTACTGTCTAAACGGTGTCTTGAGAGGGAGAGGTTGTAGAGAATGGAATCCGGCGCTGGTTGCTACAGAAGAAGTTAAGGTATACAGCACCGATCTATGATCATTGGAAGATATTCAATTGGTAGGTATCCTTCACTCCTTGCCAGTTGGGCATGAATGACAAACGAATTGTCTCATTCATTATTTACTATGAGGTACTATCCTTCACTGTTCCACTGTCCACTGTCGAGAAGCCCAGATAGTGAGGAGCAACGGCTAGTAGTGCTTACAAGATAGTGGTCTGAATATTGATGTTGATATTAGATGGATACACTAGCTCCTCCTAGCACAAGTAGGAGGTGGGATGTAGACACGGTACGGAGTATGTTTCAGAGGCAACAGAGGCAACAGAGACGGCCAAGGCGGATGGGAGACAAAAGCATATTGGGTGGGCCGGCCATAGACTTCCATTACAACGGTCACGCACGTTCAAGCGTAACGGGGGTCTGCAGCTTCCGCCAATCGAAGGCGTGGCCCACTGGAACTGTCTCTCTATCAACAGATCACTGACTCAATCTGGACTTTCCGGGTGCAGCTACTGCAAGGCTGTACCTGCGACGACACGAGGCATCGGTGTTATCATCATTGAAATTAGTCAAGGGCAATTCTTCGTGATCAACGGTCCGACATCGGCAAGAAGAGATTTCCTCAAGAACATCTGCTGCAGACGCAAATCGCGCCCTGGAGGTTGCACAATCCTCGTATATGTAGGAGCGACAGTCGTCACAATCCGGATGGAGTAAGGTTCGAGAACAATAGTGGGAGAACTAAAGGGGCCGGTCATGCGGTCGGCTTATGGCATGCAGCTTATCACCCGGGCTCTTGTGACACTGCAGCCCCAGAATCCTTTGTACTAGGTAGGTCCGAGAGACCTGTTCCCAAGTTCCTCGTCATATCGTCGGTATCTACTCCGTAGCTGGCTCAACAACTAGTATTTGGGCTATAGATCAGAATTATGGCGTCGATCAACATCGGCAATGGGGAGAAGAGTACCTGCCGGGCACCAAGCAAAGGACCGTGGCCGCTGGGCGGGGAAGCGAGGCGTGAACAGGGGCAGGAAACGCACTGGGGAGCCCGGCAGATGGAGTCCGGCAGAACAGCCGGGGAAGTCGGTTAGTCATCGCCGGCGGCTGGCCAGCAAGGCCCCTGATTCGCTCCCGGAGACCGTTCGGCCTCTTGGCCCGTTTTCTGCCTTCTTCTGCCTCCTGTGTGCATCCAGTCTGCATCCCATGCATCTAAGCCTGGAGGTGGGGGGCTTGTTCTCCTCCCTGATCAACCTGACCCTCGCGGAAGTCTGAACGGCCAGCCTGCCAGCCTGCCAACCTGCCAGCCTACCTGTCCCAGCTAAGCCATCCAGACGCGAGACCCAATAATGGTCCAATGGATTCGCAACGGGTCTATACGACTCACCCGGGTGGCCGGCCGGCCTCCTCCTCAGTGGAGAAGCCATCCGGGGGTCGTGCTTGCCGATTTCCGGCTGTAGGGATTTCGAAGATTTGTGTCTAGTCCTAGAAACCTTTATCAGGGCTTGTTCCCCGTCTGGATTGTGATTGCCTTGGGTGGTAGATTGGATCATTGGATGAACTCCTGTACCTGAGTGGCGAACCCTCCACCCGCGGATTTTGTACGGCCTAGATTCGCCTGCTCTGGTAGCTTCGCGCCTCCGAATTTTATTCTATTTTTGACTGTTTTCTTCCCGCCTTTGCCTCATTCTTTGCTGTCTTTCGTGATACCCTTTTCCGTGGTATATCGAATATCTCCGTCAACATGGAGCAGGCAAAGACACCCCTGCAGGTGATTGTGGTTGGGTAAGTCAAATCTTTTCTCTTCCACACTTGAATGGTGGCTGACGTGATTCCCAGTGCGGGTATGAAATGCTACTCCTGAGCTGTAGCGAAGAATGCGTCACTAACTCCACCAGGCATTGGGGGTATGGCTGCGGCGTTGACCCTGGGTTTACGAGGACATCAGGTCACCGTCCTGGAATCGGCACCCAAGCTCATGGAAGTCGGGGCTGGCATTCAGGTCTCTCCGAATATGCTGACGCTCTTTGATCGTAAGCTCTGCTCCCTCCCCTGGTGATCGAACCCATCTAATGACTCAGGGTGGGGTGTCTCGCCGTTGATCCACGCCAAGGATGTGGCTTTGGAGCATATCCATGTGCGACGATGGGAAGATGGCAGCATTCTTGCCACTTTGCCAGTCAACAAGTCCTACGGCCAACAGACGGTCATCCACCGGGCTGACCTCCACAACGCTCTGATTGAGCGGACACTGACGCTATCCAATGTGGAACTGCGCGTCAACTCCCCCGTCGCCGAGGTCCAGTTTGACCCGGCAGCGGTGGTCTTGGCCAATGGCAATGTGGTCGAGGGAGACATTGTCATCGCTGCTGACGGTATCAAGTCTGCTCTACGGGACCAACTGCTGGACGAATCCTCGGTCAAGGCCATCCCCACGGGTGATGCAGCTTACCGAATTATGCTGCCCCGCAGCGCTCTCGAAAGCGATCCGGAGTTGAAAACCTTGGTTGATGAGCCGCAAGCTACTCGGTGGCTCGGACCCGGCCGTCATATCATTGCGTATCCAGTGCGCAATCACGACATGTACAACGTCGTCCTGCTTCACCCTGACCGCCACGGCGTCGAGGAGTCGTGGACGACCAAAGGCTCCAAGCAAGCCATGGCTGAAAACTACAAGGGATGGGACCGACGGGTCACGAAGCTGATCGACCTGGTCCCAGACGATGACGTCCTGGAATGGAAGCTGTGTCTGCACGCCCCATTGAGAACCTGGGTCCGGGGCTCCGTGGCTCTCATTGGTGACGCCTGCCACCCCATGCTGTCAGTCTCCTTTATGCTACTGTCAGCAGTCTACTAATGTTCTGTAGACCGTACGTTGCGCAGGGTGCTGCTCAAGCCGTGGAGGATGCGGCTGCGCTTGGCGTCCTGCTCTCCACTATCACCTCGCGGGCCGAAATTCCCACGGCGCTGGAAGCCTACGAGAAATCTCGGAAGCCCCGCGCGGAGACCGTCCAGCAATCCGGCTCGGAAAACCGCATCACGCTGCACCTGCCCGATGGTCCGGAGCAGCGCGCGCGCGACGAACAATTCCGCGCCTCACTGACGAGCGGTTCGAATCCCGACCGATGGTCCGATCTGGAGACGCAAAAGTTCCTTTGGGGATGGGATGCCGAGAAGGCAGCTCTGGATGCATGGACTGGTAAGTCGACTGGTCCTACGGTCTGCCAATATCTACTAACAACGCTAGAACTCCAAGGCAACCACGTGTCCGAACTGCGGCACCATCTGTGAGATTATCTCGCAACTACACGTTCCTTCTTCAACATGACTGGGATTAGATTTTAGCTTTGGCGTTTTCCTCAACGTTACGATTAGCGACGGATACTTACGACTGTACATACATACACCGCATAGAATGCACATACGAACTTCTACATACCTTTTCTGTGAGACCTCTCTGTAAACTACGCACATAGGAACCAAATCATGAATCGGTATATGAACTTCGTAGCAGAGACAATGATAGGGTCAGACCGGCACAGTCCCTTCCTAGAAGCATCCCACAACGCTAATCAAAATTCAAGTAAATAAAACCCACGACTTCCATACCCACCATCCTATCCTAACCACTCAAGACCCAACATTCTCAGACGCCGCACTCGCCGCCGGATCATCCATATCCAGCGCCGCCTCGACATCATCCTCCGGCACAGGCCGAAGAACCTCCAACGACAACCGAGAATCCTTAGAATAGACACGCAATCCAACCACGCACACCGCATTCCACGGATCACTATTCGCGTTCACGTCCGCATCCCCACTGCACGAGGTTCGAGTCGTCGGTGTGCCCAGCATCTCATTTGGCTCATCCGGCGGCATATCGATATCGGAGTCGAATTCGAATCCCTCTAGGTAGTCGGAGTGGTGGTGGTGGTGGTCTCGAGAGGGTTTGCTGTGGACGTGGTGGTTCAGAGCATGGGTACCGTTTTGCTGGATTCCAGGGATGGGTGCGGTGTCGGTGAGTGTGAGCTCACGGATGGGTAAATCGTCGGGTGACTGTACAGGCCCGTCAGGGACGAATTTCTTGCCCTCGTGCGATCTAGCAGCCAATCTCTCCTCCAGCCTTCGTTGACGAGCTTCCAATTTCCTAATCCGGATCCACTCCCTCTCCAGTCTCCTTTTCGTTTCCGCGCGCTGTCTCCGTCTCTCCGCGACCTTCCGTCGTTCTTCGCGCTCCTCGCGCGCGCGCTTCTCCTGGGCCGTTTCCTGGACGATGCCCTTCGCGTGGGCAAGATCGTAGGAGAGACCGATCTGGAGGAGTTTTCCGCGTCGGAGGGGTGCCAGTCGACGGACGACTTCTTCGGTGGGGAGTTTGTCGCGGTTGCGGTAGGCTGTGACTTTCATGAGGATGTGGTAGCGGCCTGCTTCGAGGTCGACTTCTACGTTGACGGAGCGACACATGAGTTCGTTGCTGTGGCTGCGGACGAAGTAGTCGTCTTCGGATTCTTTTTGGAGTCGGAATTTGAGCACGAATTCGTATTCGCCGGAGAGGCCTTTGTAGTAGCGGTCGTCGAGCTGGTGGGTGGTTAGTGAGGTTTGAGGGGGGTGTGATTGAGGGGGGCACTCACCTGGGAGAACACGATAATGGCAGGGCCGGCTTTCTTTACGTCGAGCACGAATTTCGTGCTGTGGTAGTCTGCGGACCAGGGGACGTTTAGGGTTGTCCATTGCTGAGTGACAGTCCATTCGTCGTTGAATAGACGGATCCGATCGAAATGCTGGTATTTCTTGAGTAGGTCGTCGTAGGAGATCCAGAAGAACTGTGTTTTGTGAGTGAAGCTTCTGGTAGGGTAAATTGTGAGGGCTTACGCCGTCATTCCCAAACTTATGTCCCAACTTGGCCATCCATTCTGGAGTCCATTGCTCGGATCCGTCGCTCCATGCGCCAGTCCATTCTTTCTTGCCCCAGGGGTTTCTGGACGGAGTCAGATAGCTCGATAAGGAAGAGGGGGTGGTTGGTCGAACCTCAGCCGGAGTAAGCGCTGTCCATCAATTTCTCTCGCCTCCATAATCGAATAGGAATGGTTCTCAGAGATACCCTTTCTGTCTCTTGGAGGACCACGATATTCAGGGTCGAGCCAGTTGGAGAACAGACCGGTGCCACAGCCAAAGAGAAATTCCTTGTTGACTTGCATGAGCTCCTCTTTCCAGAACCGGTCTTTGTCGAGGATATTGCTCGTGAGAATGTCAGACGTCACACCGCCAGTGAGGTCCTCGAGAGCCTCCCTGTGATATATTAGCCCTCGAACTGAGAAGAACCTGTGGAGATATATCGTACCCGACAAAACCGCCCTCGATGGCAGAGTAATCGCCATGTGCCTTGGCATAAGCTTTTTCAAGCAAAGGCAACCAGGTCTCATTCTCATCCACACATTGAGCGAAGTAGAGAGCCCGTGACCCCGTCTGCCAGACTTTACGGTACTCTTCTTCCGTGTCAATGCGATTGATATCATCCCAGATCGGCCGTTCCTCCACGGACTCATCGTAATCTGCGGCTCGAAGGTATAGTTTATCGTCCACGATGCATTGCTGCCAGTCACCATCTAAGAGAATTAGACTTCACCCGCGGTTTCGTTCTTCTACAGTATGGTTATGGCTCACCTCGGTAGAACACAAAACCATACACTCCAACCTTTTCATTGCGAGCGACACAAACCTTCTCAATCAACCCTTCTTTGTTCCCCATGGTACACAGCGCAGCCATGAACCAACAATCGCCGTCTCGACCCTGACGCACATCCGAGGCAGTGGGCCCGTTGATATAGAATTCCGGTTTGTCGAAGATCTCCTGCGACACCAGACTGTTAGTCTGCCTTTTTCCCTCAGAGCGCTTCTTTGAGAAGCAGAACTCACAGTTACTCTCTTGACCCCCCTCGGAAGCATCTCCAGATTTTGTTGTTCCAGCCCTTCCAGATAGTTCCTCCTCCCGCATTTCAAATCGACTTCAATGTCAAAGTGCGGGTCCGTATACTTCTGATTCAATCGTTCACATTCCCGCGCAATGCGTTCGACAGCGCGCTGACACTCCGTGCGAGCCTGGTCGTAAGACCGGCTGGCGTGCTGCCCCTGGATCACGCCGTTTGGTGTCCTCGCAGCTTTTGTGCGCGCGTATGGATTGTCCGGCAACACTGTATTCACCAGGCCAGGGAACTTGGAATTAAAGTTATCCCAGAATTGCTTCATGGTTTCTTGGGGTGGCTGGGCTGCCTTTTTCCGCATGCGACATTCGGACTGTGATGAGGGGGGAGGGGTATAGACCAAGTCTGCATTGTCTTCGCAATCCATGGTGGTGACCGTCAATGTAGTAATGAAGTATAAATAGAGCAGAGGATATCCTGTACCAAGGAAAGAAAGGGAAGCGGAAAAATGCACACGTGAAAGAAGGTTCACGATCAATGCTCATCCGTAGAAAAGTGCTGCAAAGGGCGCATGTCCAGCCTTAAAAGACGGGCTCCTCAAGTACCCCTCGTATCGCTATCCGAGGCCGAACAAATCAGCACGAACCTCCTTGACGCTGATAATCCTCCAAGCGCCTCTAGGGCACGATGGCCAATAGGCATACTGAGGTCCCACACGCTGCATCACTGCTTCCACTAGGGCGTATTGCGCGCAAGAATAATGAGTGATCAGGTGCTACCAGCCTCGTGGATCAGCGGTACGGTATGCACGTTCATGCACGCTATAACATGGTGAAACAGACAGCCGTTCGTGTCTGTGAGCTGGGGAGCGGAGAGGGGTATCAGAGCTGAAACTCAGCCTTGTAAGCAATCTACTACACAAACCCACGTTGTTATGGGAGTACTAGTCAAGAAGGTGTCATTTTTCAGGCTTGCGCCACAATATAGATAGCACTCTCGTGGACTGAATCCCAGCGAAGATGCTGACTATCAGTGGTCATTATTAATAGAAAACCAAAGCGCTTGCATTTGCATGCGGGATACGAGTTCCCTCGGCGGCAAGGTAAGCGCTCAGGCTCGGGATCGGCGATTCGACTGATTATGCTTGCTCATTGGGAAGAAGAGATTCTTTTTGTTTTTCCACCCTGAAGCTGTGTGAATGAAGGCGAGCCCGAAAATTGTTCTCGCAGAAATCATACCTCAAGATGTATGCATGTAGTCTGGAACGCGGAACTGGATGGGGAGGACCTACAAGCAGATTGGCCCTGCTAATTCCAACCCAGCATCTATCGATCCTATACTTCCTTCTCTGTCTACCCTTCTAGAGATGGACTGTTTGGAAACTCCGTAGAAATGATCGTTCTCTTGACTTGGGATTCTGGCGGTTCCATTGACCAAAGTCCCATTCCCGTCATCGCTTGATGCATGCCAGTCATCAGATGGCTCATCGCATCCTTCATCATGCCATCAGCCAGTGGGATCTGTCAGCCCGGTGGGATGTCAATGATGGTGAAAGATGAACCCTCCACCGCGACCCGACTCCTCGGACAACTCGGCACGCAAACTCCCCAACTCCTTACGCAACGACTCCGGGCTAGCATTCTCCTGATGACATTCAAAGTCGAGAAGCTTTACCCCCCCCTTCCGTAATAAGGAAATTGTATCTCTTCACATCCCCATGCAAAACCCCCAGTTGATGTAGCTTCCCCAAAGCGGTCTCACAGATCTCCAGATCCTGGGTACAAGCACGACGTCCTCCTAACTTCTCCAATAAAAGCCCCATAACGCGTCCACTCTCATGCACATGGCCGAGGAACCGCGGGGTCAACCCCGATCCCTCCAGCAATTGATATGCTCTTGTTTCGCGTTCGATCCGAGGAACCTCCCATTCAAATTGAGCAATTTTGGCGACGATTGTGGCTGATGACTGGAACAAGGGTGGAAGGAGATTAGAATGTGACACGGCTTCGAAAGCCATTGCTGTGAGAAGTTCAGTTCTCTGCCGGAGCCGCCAGTCTCGAACACTTTTAAGCGCTTCCTGACCCAAAAGGACTAGAGGCAACGTTTGGCCCGACATACATAAAATGCTCGTTAGGGGAACTTCCACGACAGTAAAAGGTTCACTATAATGAATCTCTTTGTTCATTGCATCAGCAATCAAACGTTAGGAATAATACCACACCGCAACACCACCGCAACTAAAGTTTCTCAATAGTGCAAGTGAACCCTGCACGTGCTGATATCATCGATTACCGGCGACCATACGAGTGGTTGCACTACAGAACCGTAAGGACACGAATATTCCCCATATCAGTGCTCGTTTAACTTGTACCTCCTTACTAGGGCGATATGTGCGTGTCAAAGTACATCCAAAAATATACTTGTGACTGCAAAAAGAAGATGGAGTTCGAACAATGCGAGGAGCGCCAGAGAACAAATGTCAAGTGCCACCTTGTCAGGAAGAAAAATTCGAACAATTATTGTTCAAGACACCGCAGCATGCTAGCAAGTGGGTTCTAAACGATTATCATTTCCTTCCCTTCTTCAAAAGTAGCCTCCTGTCCGAGCGGACACAGGTAGTTCGTGAGGCCGCTATTTACCTTCGCCACTCGATTTCCAAAGAAGCTGTGCCTGCTTGCACCATCGAAAGTGGTCTAAAAAGCCGTCCCGGGCATACACTTTGTCTCGAGCGTCGTATCCCTGTCTCGTGCCCCTGGTGCCGAAGAGCTCTCTTTCAATAGCGCGTTGACATCCGACACACGAGATTCCGCGTTCAACTTCGCCGGTCTCTTTGTCATAATAAGGAAGTGCGCATGACCCCGTAGCGTTGTGCATTTGGATTAGGCCAAATCTCGTCAGCTGGGCCTGCGCAAGTGCGTTCGGTTGCATTGGGTAAGCCGAAGAGATCGAACGAGCAGGAACGCTTGTAATGTGGGACTTGGGTGCCGTTTCTAACATAGTGCGTAGTCCAGACAAGCTCTCGAATGATCTCATTTGGGTGAGCTCGAGTTTAGTCAACGGGACTCGCTTTTGGACTGAGACCCGAGACCGGAGTTGGGTATTCAGAGACCTCTGGAGGCATTCGATACAGCATCGCTTCCAAGTTGGGAGCAACATAAATCCGCCGAACTCGCCGCAGTATAAGCATGTTTTGGTACACAATGCGTTGTCAAAGTCGAACAGAGAAACATTGACGGCAAGTCGTGTTCGTAGCAAGGCGCCTAAAATGTTTAGTGCATGCGTGATGACCCTCTGATACTGTTTGAGAGAGTCTACCGCCTGTCTTAATCTGAGGTTTACTTGTCGAAGTTTGAACAAGGAATACATATCGAGACGGGGCAAAATTTCACATAATAGCTCGAGGGGTAGCCGGTCAAGGTGGCCGGGTCCGACCTTTGCAGTCCGCTGGAAAGATGTTCCTATTGACCAACAAAAATCGATGCGCTCGCGCCCCGAGAACCAGATCGCGCAGTGATTGAAGTCTCTGCGGTGGTAGGCGGTGGTTCGAATAATAGCGTCGGTTTGTTCTTCATCGAAACGGTATTCGGTGGCGGAGCGATATGCGCGGGGCATGATGGTAGCCATTCTCGAAAATTGTGACACGCTTTGATGAAAAGATTTGAAGCTTTGTCGACCCATGTTTGTTTGGCCAGGTCACGAACGAAGGGTCTTGGAGATGCCAGGTCCACCTGCGATAAATCAATCCATCAGTATCCGAGATACCTCGATCAACTTGCAAGTCAAGATACTCAACAGCACTGCCGAAGGAACTGATGAGAGGAATTGTACAGACTTTTCGTCCACTTCTATCCATGAGCCAGGGCTTGACAACACTTGAGATAAGGTGTCACGGTTGCGTTCGCCTGACTGTCCCCTGGCCATGCGTCACCTGACCAGACATTCTATCTGTCATTACCAGCCGCTGACTGTCCTCACAAATCCATGACGTCCCGGGCAGCTCATGGACAGCCTTTATTTGCAAGAGTTATGGCAAGATGTTTTTTCCCTATACGAACCGGTTGGGCGTGGCACAATACATTGCACGCAGCATCACCAACCAGCACAGAACCGTCCAGTGTGTGCAGTCGGGCATTTACAATCTAATATTAGAATATACATACATCTACCAAATCCGCTTCGCCACCATTTCGTATCGCTGTACATGGTCCATGTTCAGGTCCTCCTTGGTATTCTTGTCCTTTTCTTCCTTCGTCTTTAGCCGACAGAGTCCATCCGGGTCGTCCGCGTAGATCCATCGCCGGTGGTCGTCGTTGACCTCCACCACGCCCCAGCCCCCCACCCGTCGGCTGCCTTCAACTGCAAATGCCCGTCCGCGAGGTGCCACTCCATTAGGGTCACCAGTAGGCGCTGTCGGTGGGGGACGGGCCTGCTCGGCCTCACGCAGCTTCATCGCCTTGTACCGGGACCGCGCGTACGCCAAAAGAACCATGCCCAATAGCAGCTTCAGGATCAGCAGCACGACAAAGCCGGTCAGAATTAGCACTATGGTGAAGATATACACCGACTGGGCAGGCGACGGCATGGCGTTGGCGAGCACCTGTCGGAAAAACGCACCTGCGTAGGCGGTGGATGTCGGGATAAACGTGCGAAGCGTCAACGGGGGCGGCGAGGGCATCGGAGCCGGCACGTACTGGCGGTGGATGGCTGACAACGACGTAGCCTCTATTGCTGTGGATGACGGGTGTTGTGGGAGCAGAGCTGTTATGAACATCTGATATGTCTGGACTGAAACGCGGAAGAAGAGGCAAGACAGCGGAATCACTGGCAGTCCTAAGCGGCGGGTCAAGTTTTGGTCTGCGAATGCGTTGGTGTAGTAGTCCTTCGTCAGGATGTCCAGGAACCGTCCGTAGATGGCTGGCCGCGTGTTGTTGAATTTGCCAATGTAGGCATGCTTCAGCCAGTCCACTAGCATCTCCGACCCCAGAACAACCAGGAACGGTCCAAGCACCTGCGCCAGGGTCGGCAAATACGTGTTGACTTGGCTAAATGATGCAATGATCGATGACGGAACGATGGTAAAGGCCTGTGGCAGGATGGATGAGGAGGTTCGAGGCGGAGTTGATAGAGGCGTGCTGTTCGTTCCCGTGGATGCGTACGCTCCGAGACTCGAGCTCAAGCTACCAAGGATGTTGAATGCGCCGGTCTCCACCAGGTTCCGCGACGCGATGATGGTGAGCATCAACCAGAGTTGGAACCGCTCAACGACATCCGCGCAGGTGAGCTGGAACAAATTCTCTTTCTCAAATTTCTTGAAGACTGTGGACTTGATCTCAACGAACTGGTTCGAGAGCAGCAGGGTGATCAGCGCGTTCGAGTACGAGTTCACCGCCACATTCAGCGTCATCACCTGATAGAATAGCGCTGTAGAATGGATCACTGTGTATGCCAATGCTAGCAAAAACAGCCCGAACGGCCGGAAGACTTTGCTGCGTCCATCAGGGCGACGCTCGAGAGCCTCCCGCGAGAACAGACACTCGAGCACATCTTGTCCAATGGCCGCGAACAAACGGTCGCTGACCTCCAGCACATTGTAGATAACGTAGAGCTTGATCGCGGCCTGCCCTCGGATCCAGTGGTACATTCGACTCGCATCGAATCGCATCAACACGCAACATGTAGCTATCATGAGCAGTCCCTTAAGGATGTCGGCCTTGTCATCTGGCATCAAGGCCGACGGGATGCTCTTCTGCCGCCGATGTTTGTGGTGCCGCTTGCGTGGCTCTGGGGCCCGAGTCCGTGCCTCTCGTTCCACCGATCCGATTTCCTGCTTTTCAGAGGCAGACCGTCCCGATTCAGTGCCCTTCATAGACTCGTCCACCGAAGACGCTCGGTGCCGTCTCCGCCACACTCGTCCGACGCCTTTGAAAATGAACCCCGTCACAAAACGAAACTCCACGCCGAGGTTGACAAGCCATGATTCCAACAGAATATACAATGCTTTGGTAAAACGCAGAGGTAGTATAGTGAACGAATGGAGCCAGGAATCGAGACAAGCTAGTATACCGAACCAAAGCACCCGCTCCAACGCCGGAGGCAGCATTAAAAAATTCATTAGTCGCTCAAGCTTGACTCGAGACGATTCGTAGGGAAAGTCGCTCATTGAAGAGCGATGGATGTACAATGGAGAAGGCCGACCCGACGCCAGTTCGAGTTGCAGATACGTGGGTACCGATAACGGAGGAAGAGGGATGGCTGTAGGCATAGGAGACGGTAGGGCCGGCTCGACGATCTGTGGAGATGGTGTAAGGTATTTGGTATCTGACTCTCGGCTAATCGATGCACGCTCTTGCTTTGCTCGAGATGCCCATGTTTGCGTCAATCGTTCATTCGTCGCCGGCATGGTCTGCCGGCGCGAGCTGGGAGTAGACACGGCTCGAGAGGCCGGTGGCCGACTTCGCAATGACGGCATGGATGGCTTGCTGGTGATAACAGGCACATCAATAGAGAGGTCTTTATGGGGTCGGGGTTTGGGGATGCCGTCGCCGGTAGGCTTCGTCTCGGTCAAGGAAGGTGTTGCAGATAGATCGAGTTCCGACTGGAGGGCTGCATGCGTGCCATCTGACACCGCGCGTCGACCACGCTCAGGCTCCGAGGGAGCTGCACGATAGGGAATAGACTGAGGGGATGATGTGAGTTCCTGCATCTTGCTCGGAGATAACCTTTGTACCCGCTCCTGGTCTTTATCTGGGTTCTTCGCAGGTGATGTGTCCCGCGACCACCGATGGAGAGCTGAAACAACCTCGGAGCCTTCAAAAACATCCACCAAGGAGGTTCTAGGTGTCATACGATGATCTGCACCGGCCGTACCCTCCACGGAGTGTTCAAAGATCATCCCTAGGGCCTGGTCTGACGAGAGCGAAAGCTGACCGCCTTTCTGTTCGCCGTTCATCGTGGGGTGGCTGGGAAACCCCTTCGGGCCATGATCGCTGGCGACGGCGCTACAATGGACAGCCCCCTCCTTATCGCTCCGATCTTGACCATCCGTAATGACCGACGTTGTATATCCTCCACGTCGCACAAGATGGCCGGTGCCATTGGCACGATCCTCCGCTTCGTCCGTGTGACGTGATGATGCGGCCGTCCCTCGTCGCTGCTTGTCGGCTTCCAAGTCCTGACTGCTATTGTTCACACCCCCCTCTCGCTCGATCTTTCGGGGGGATACTGGTATGTGCTGTCCGGTTGGTGCTGCCACGTCGACAGTCTCCGGTCCTCGCTGGTGGGAACGGTCGGGTAATTCGTCCATGATGGTATTTAGTGGCCGTGGACCATTCTATGACAAGGCAATGGGGATCGACCTCAGGACCATCATCCGCACGGTCATCGAGGGGTTCGAGGGATTCGAGCGGTGGGGTTGGGGAGGGACGGGGGACACGGTTGTAGGGCGGAGGATAGCGCCGGAGCGAGGCTAACTGCACAACGCGACGAGCGGACCGACGACTAGGGGGGGTTCGATATCATGCTGAATAAACACCGCAAGCTTCCAAATCCGCCGAGCGCGAGACGAGGGCCTTATGTACGAGAGGAATCGGCATGATTGCGTTGCAGCGAGGGAGTTGCTGGTTGAGGACTGAAACCAGGGACCACCGTCCCCGGAGCCCCAAGGCGGTCAGCAGCCTGTCATCCCCAACCTTCTTTTTCTCTCCGGTTTCATCTTCCGACAACACCAATGCAAGATCATGCAACATTCAATTTTTTTGTTTAACGCTATTTACATCGAACCCTTCAAAGGCTCGCCTCCCTTGGGATTATCTCATCCAGGAAAGGGGAAGTTTTGGGTCTCACGGGAATAGCGAGCCTCTTCAAGGACACCGCGGCGGCAAACATCCCCTCCCATCTTGACCACGTCGCGCCCGGATTCAGTTTCGGATATTCATTGAGCAGGAAGGCTTTTAGCTCTGGCGTTTCCATTGCGTCCATTTGCTGTCGCAGATGTGTTCCCTCTACAATCTTTGCCGTGCGCGGGACGCGAAGGTTCTGGACTTGATCAAACATCGACTTGATCTCCAACTCCGATAACGGCCCTGACGGACCCTGCGATAAAACTGTCATCAGACCGTTCACTAGCGCGGCTGCACTTTCAATCGCTTGGTTTCCCCCTTGAGCAGTAATTGGGAGGACCTGCCCAACTCACGGTTAGTCACATCCGATATGGAGCAGGATCGGCCTTCTTACCTTGTGGCAAGCATCTCCGATGGTAACCATCCTGCCCAGATGCCAATTCTTGTAGACAAACTCGGCGATCGGCGCGTAGGTCGTGGTCAATACGCGGCTGTAGAGATCCGCCACGCGAACATCTGGCGTGATCTGGTCATTCATGTGTTCTTGAAGTATCTTCTCCTTGTCTTCCTCGGTGAATCGCGGGATGTCAGCGCCATAGTATTTCTGGCTCATCTTGTTCAATAAAAACCAGAACACGCGATTCTTGGGGCCAGTGCCTAATACATATGAGAACCCCTCGTTGGCGATAAAGTCAAGGCTGCGACTAGGGACGCCCGGGACGGCATCAGACATCCCAAAGAGACAGCTGTAGGTTGCAGCAACCTCTGTGGTATTGGTTAGGATGATCACATTCGATTCCGACCCAAGGGGAGCAAAACTTACTGTTTTCTTCAGCATAATCTTCGCCCAGGTTCAGCTCCTCTGCGCGTTTGGCGATCTCCTTCCGTACAGCGGAATGGGTCCCGTCGGCCCCTACAATAATATCTCCCGTGTACGTTGACCCATCCGCCGTGACCACAACATCCCCGGTCTCGGTGTGTGTCACAGAGACCAGGCGCTTCTCCGTCAACAGCTTAGACTTGTCCGCGATGTTGTCATACAGAACTCCAAGCAGCGACTTTCGGTCCAGCCAGACCCAAGGATACCCGTGCCTAGCGGCATGGTCAGCAACCGCCTCGATAGATCAGGATTAGACAAAACATGCCTTGTGATAGTCTCCTTCTCCAAACCTACATCCATCCCCCAGTTTACCGTTCCATCTGGCTTTCGGAAGTGGATCTGATCAATAGTCGCCGAGCGACTGAGCACATCCTCGAAACAACCAAGCTGGTCAAGGACCCGGAGACCGTTTGGTGCTAGAGCGATGCCCGCACCCACTGTGGCCACAATATCCGAGTATGCTTCTAGCAGGAGATAATCGACACCATGCTTCTCCAGCATAAGAGCGAGGGTAAGACCGGCGACACCACTACCCACGACAATGACTTTACACGGTCTGAGAGCCATTGTGATGTTCCAGATTCTGACAGAAATAAAAAAAACTAGCAATTGCACGAGAATGCTGGATTGTAATCCTAGCCGGGCGAACTGAAGAGCGACATGGTTGACTTTATATTCTGCCGTGGACCTCATGTTCCCTGTAGGACCGCTGGCTCTAGATCTTAGCTGCGACTCGTAATTGGTAGATTCGTGTAGAGTTAATCTGTGGCGCTGATGCTTTCAGCCTCGCAGTCTGTGCCTGAGTGCTTAGTGCTTACTGCTACCGTTGTATGCATTACCGGACACGCAACGCCAAGCGGGCTGTGCCTACGTGAAGTGATACCTGTGTTTGTTAAAGACCGTTCTATTTACTCCGTACAGATGCCTGTCTGTGTACCTGGTTTGTTCAACCCTTCAACCTACATGGTGCATACACATATCACACCCCTGCTGCATATGGTTCAAACACACATCCGCATCCCCACTGCGGGGATATCCTCATGCCAAGCATGTCTTCCACCAATTCAAAACTTAACCGGGGATGGATATCTACATAGTATCTACACCATTCCAATTCATAGGTAGGTAGTGTCAGACATAATCATTACTTAGCTAGACTCCATTTCTTTCATGAATGATAATACCCCCCACTCCCCATCTCCTGATGATCCTCCAGCCCATACCCACCACCTGCACCCACATCAGAACCCGCGGCGGCGGCGGCAGCAGCAGCAGCAATTACCATCCTTCTCCCCCGCCCCCACAATGCCCAACCCGCCGGCGAAACAGCCAACACCCCCAACGGCATACCTGTACATGTACCTGTACATGCTACCGTATGCAAAACGGCGGTTTGAATGATTTGCATACAACTGTACGTTTTTGAAGAAGCGGTCAACGGCAGAGATGGCGCGGCATTACAGACGTGAATCAATATATCACCCTGGAGCCTGACAAAATAGTGATGAAGCCGGAAGGGTCAGCCAAGTATCTGAGTTGACGGAATAGCCAATGAGATCAGTTGGTGATGGCCCTTTCTGCTGCTAGTGCGTCGCCTACTGTCTACTAGCGTCTATTTACTAAGTTAGACCCTGCTTCGCTGGTCTTTTTACTTTTATGTGCCCCTGCCTCATGAGTAGAAATCTACAGATTCATAGGTGAAAAATAACAGTAGAATAGCAATCATGAATCACTCAAATAGCATATTTACTTATATACCTTAAGGGTATAGGAGTCGTATATTCATATGAAGTTTTCAAGGAGGTTATTTTGATAGTTCGAAGTAAGTTCTTTACCATATGAGACAGGTGGAGTATGATACTAGGGTGCTGTGTGTGTCGCAGCGTGATCTACCTTAGAAGGGGTGTAGCCGAGTAAGTAGACGTGTATACTACGGAGTAAACACTGGGAGCTGGAGTGGGGCCAGTGGGGGCCAGTATCGATGCTGGTCCGCTTCAAGCCGCTCGCCCACCGTCTTCGCATTGCAAAAGTCACCCGAGATTTCATAGATCACGCTGGTTGGGTTGTGGTTTACCACAATCCGTAATGCCATGATGATGTGATCATTTGCGAGGGACTATAGCAATATACTGTCTTTAGTATGACGGTTGAGCTCATTATCTTGACGAGGAGAAGGCTATTAATGTCGCTTACCGAAGCTTAGGCAGCGGATCCTGCTATCATGGTCACATGCCTGCCAGGGATCGTATTTTGTAATCATGACGATTTCCTTGAAAGTGCGCTGCCAAAGGAGTATGATTCGAGGATGTAGGCCGGGTCATTTCTTTGATACCGGCAACCTCCGATCACAAGACTATATAGCCATGGAGCATTTCCTTGTTCCTGACTCCGGCTCCGACGGTAGAAGGGCCTCCTGCAGAGTTGCTTAAGAATGACTGAGTCACTGGTAGATGAGGTGATGCGCTGCAGGACTCGGGTTGTCGGAAGGAACCGTTCGAATAAATATTGTGGTATCTACGTCGCAAATTCTGATCGTTCGAATGGAAACTCAGTAGAAAGGCCTTTTGGTGTCAGCATAACGAACTGTGAAGGTAAGTCTTGACAGGGAAAATCTACTTGAATTTATTCATAGGAAGAAAACGCGCGGCTGATCGAACCGACAGCTGACAGGTCATTATGCATGCCGAAGGAGACAAACAATGGGTGATCAGGCTGCTGCTCCTTTTGCCACCCCAGTGGATCGCGTTGGCAGATAACGGCTGCGAGAATCGAAGGGCTGTTGAATGGACCTGAGTCAGTTCTGATGTGTGAACAAAAGCTCAAGAGGACGGGGACGTGACGGCGAAGGTAATGGTCACGGGACTGAGCATAAGTTTGTCCTGGAGGCAAAACTTCCAAGACGCGGTCGGCGAAGCGACATTCAAGCTGGTCCAGATGGTACTCCTACTCGAGCGATAAAAGGAGAACACAGAGCAGTCATCCAAAGAGTCATCATCGTGTTCGCCAGGCAAAAGGGATAGACATGTCGTCTACCCGGCGAACAGGGCCACATTGCCAAATTATCACTTGAAGGATTCAACTATGCCATTCTTAAGCGAGAAAACCAAAAAGTGAGGTCTGCAACTGCAGGCAAGTGGGGGTTCGGCAAGAGGGCGATGCATCGCATCTGGGAGTTGATACATCCGATCCGCGCGGTGCCTGCCAAACCTTATCATCGTCAGCCACGCGAGATAGACCGGTGTCACGGCTTCAATTGACTTTCAACTTGCCGACACTGGCCCGGTTTTTCGGCAACCTGGGAAGCAAGGGCTGCAGTGCACAGACAAGGCTGGAACTATGCTCCTCGTTAGCCTGCCAGTCTATCACTTGACAGGGGGTCCAACGGTGTCTCAAGTGCCTGATACATGTCGAATCCGAGCGGAGAGGGCTCTCCTCCGGGTTGCCCCCAGCAGCCCTGCCTGCCTCACTGGTGGTGAAATCATGTACGGAGCTGGCGCCCCTTTCATGATCTCCAGTATGCCCTTGCGCTCGGTGCCCTGATTGTGGGCTTCTAGGGCTACTTAGTCCCTCCCCGTTTTCGTGGCGCGCCGTTCATTGGCTGTGCCTTGGAACACAATGTGATGTATGGATGCTGAATCTGCAGCTTCATATTGATAACCATGCAGATCAGGATACATCCAAGGTCCCTAATCTACCAGCCCTTCTCCCTACCCAAAAATAGGCCTGTCAGGAATTATTTATGAGCACCGTGGTCTGCAATTTGTGAGGCCGATTCCAAATACCTGCAGCCACGAACCATCCATCACCTGCAGTCTTCACCTGCAGTCATTCTACCCGACCATAGTCTATCCTTACTACTGCCCGTTATGTCGTTGGATCAAGTATCCGCTAGTGGCACCTCTGGTGACTTTGAGCATCCCAATCAGAATCTCCGCCGGTCGGTTATCATTGCACTGTATTTCGCTTTCATTTTGTCCACCGTTGCAGTAGCCCTGCGCCTTATCGCCAGAAAGATCACAGGTAGCAAATTGTACCTGGATGACTACCTCATCATAATAGCTCTGGTATGCGTCTTGCATTGTTCACAGGAACCGAACTGATGAAGGTGCTAGCTTTTCAAATATGGCTGCTCGATTGGTGTTACCATTCGTGAGTTATCCATCCAATTCATACTTTCGTCTCTAACCGATATAGTTCTATTCAACGGCCTGGGATCTCACATCACCATGATACCGCAGAAGAACCTGACAGTTTACTTTAAGGTTTGCACCCCTGTCCTAGCCAAGAATGCAACTAATGCAACCAGATCGGATGGTCCAACTCCTTCGTCTACACCTGCTGCGTCGCATTCATCAAATTATCCATCCTGGCGGTCTACAAGCGGCTATTCGCGGCGAAGAGCATGACAATTGCCGTGAACATTGTAGGATCAATTGTCATTCTCTGGGCCCTGAGTGTCAGCATTGCTGGTGTTCTAAATTGTGTCCCAGTCCACAAGTTCTGGGACCGTGCAGTTCCAGGACACTGCGTCGACACGGTCAGCTTCTACTACGGGCAGCAGATTCCCAACATCCTCACCGATGTGGTTCTGCTCATCATGCCGCTGAAAAGCGTCTGGGCTTTGCCGATCTCCAAAGCACAACGGCTCTTACTTTCGGGCGTTTTCCTCGTGGGAATCCTGTATGACTCCTTTCCCCAGCACTGCCCAGCATCATCCTAACAAAACTAGTACCCTCTGCTTCGACATCGTCCGTCTCGTCGCCATGATCCAGCTCACGCAAGCCGGCCCAGATATCACCTGTACGTCTCTATTCCTTCCCACCCTCTCTCCAACATACAATATGATCGCTAACACTCAACAGACAACCAAGTCCCCGTCGTGGTATGGACCTGCATGGAAGCAGCAGTCGGAATCACAGCAGCCTGCCTATCGCATATCCGACCACTTTTCAATGTCAAACTCTGGACCCGACTCCGATCCCCGTCGCAAGAACCCGAGAAGAGAGAACTCAACTATGCAACCTCGGAGGCGTTCTCAACCGATCGGACACTTTTTGATCCTTGCGGTACTCAGACTACGATTTATAGTGGGCATGAGGTGTGTGTTGAGGCTGGGAAGGCTTAGTTAATTCCTTATTCATTCCAGATGTCGTCAGACAGTTTTTATCGTTGCTTGGATGGCATGTGTTTTGGCTGGGTACCGTATTGGACTCTAGCGACATTTTTCTGCTCTCTACACCCGTGACAGCTTTTTTGAGATGTATATAATTACTTAGATTTGATTCGTCAATGCGATACCCTTACTCAAAACTTGAAAACATGATATCATCATAAATGACCCAGCCCCTTGGCTAGGTAGTCATCAATCCTCGTATGTCAAATGAGGGTGTCTCAGACCACTGCAGGATCTTCTGGTTACCGGCTTGAAGAAGTCACCCGGAACCAACCCCCTCGGTCACAAGACCTCCCTTACTTAGTTGCCCTCCCCAACCCCAGGTTACACGACCCCCCTCCCCGCATAATCATCCTCGCATGATCCCTCGCATCATCAATCATACTCCTGGAAACATCCCAGTCAAACAATATCATCAAACCAAGCATGTCTCAACGCCTCCGCAGCACTAATCCTCCTTTCCGGTTGCAATCTCAACATCCTCTTCATGAGGTCCAGACCCGTCGCATCTATCCTCGGCACCAGCCCCTTCAGATCCTGCGCGGCATACAACGGAAAGTCCGCCCGGTACTCCGGTAACCTGGACACCCCCGGCCAGGACCCCTCACACGGCGTGCCCATTATCTTGAAGATTTTCTGCAACTGGTCTTCATTATTTGAACCCGGAAATAATGATCGCCCCATGTACATCTCCGCCACGATGCAGCCGATCGACCAGATATCGATACTGGTGCTGTAGCTTCGACTGCCGAGTAAAACGTCGGGTGCGCGGTACCAGAGGGTGACGACTTCGTTGGAGAAGGTGTTTACGGGGATGCCGAAGGCGCGGGCGAGACCGAAGTCAGCGAGTTTGAGTTGGCCTTTGGTGTTGACGAGGAGGTTTTGGGGTTTGAGGTCGCGGTGGAGGATGCGGTTGTCGTGGCAGTAGGCGACGCCGCGGAGGAGTTGGTAAACGAAGGATTTGATGACGTGGGGTTCGAGTTGGCCGTGGGTGTCCATGTAGCGTTTCAGGTCTTTGTCCATGTATTCGAAGACCAGCATGAGTTTGTTCTCGGCGTGGATGACATCGTGGAGGCTGAGGATGTTCTCGTGGTGGAGTTCTTTCATGAGGGAGATTTCGCGGATCGCGGTCGAGGGGGTGCCTTCTTCGGTGTCGAGGGCGATTTCTTTCAGCGCGACGAGCTCGCCAGTTTGGCTGTTGCGGCCTTTGAAGACCTATGCTTGGTTTAGTGGGGTGGTTTGGTGGTGTGGTGGTGGGTTGGAGGTACCGTGGCGTAGGTGCCTTCGCCAAGCTGGGGGTGTTAGTGGATGGTCGCATAAGGGGTATCGTTAGGTGGTGGTGTCGCTTACCTTTTCCAGCTGCTGGAAGGAGTTGGGTGGCGTTCGTGTCATCGTGGTGGTGTATCTGCTGGGAGGGGATGATGGGGGATGGAGAGGGGGGGGGGTTCTCGGGGAGGCGCTGTAATTGAAGGATCGACTGCGGCAACCTGACTGTCAGGCACAAACCCCGCTAACTGCCTCCGGCCTGGCATCCTGGGGTCGTGAATATCCCAGGTCGATAGGGTAATTCCGTTAGGGCTGCGGGCGCGGAACAGGATGGCCGCGGAATGCTGGTCATTGGTGGAGGGAGCCTGGTTGGAGGCCTAAGCTCAGGCTGGGCCATGGCGTGAGTACGTATATCGTCTGACACAATCCGCAGAAGGTCTGGATACAGAGAGTGCGATGATAGCCCCAGCAGAATGAGGCGGTGGGTTGTAGCTATACAAAGAGCAGATGTTCCACGCCGAATGGTGGACCTCGGTACTTCCCTTTCGGGTATCGCTGGACCCGAGGACTGTTTCTGGGCCATCCCATTCCTTATTTTTGGGCGACATGAAGCCAGTTGCATCATTCGGTGTCCCGCGGCGAATGAAGATGGCTATCCCGCTCCGATCACTGCGAGATGAGTGGGGAGTGACGGTTGAAGGAGGATGAAGATCGCAGCGAGGCTCATGCTGGCCGGGGTCGGTCTTCTGTCCGAACGGGATCCCCGCATTTGCTTCTCCAGCTTCTCCTCCTCGGCTGCCTCTCCTCTCCTCTCCTTTCCTCGCACTGCGACCTTTCGTTTTCCTTGAACTTATTTCCATTCACCGATCTCTTCCTTCAGTTCCTCCTGTTCTCCCCAGATTTCTCCTCTCCACTCTCTTCATTTTTCTTAGACGACCCCGCATTATGGTCACCGCCGTCCGGGTCGCCCCCTCGGCGGCCAGCAGAGCTCGCAATCTGCTGCGCACCGTCCAATACACTCATCCTCCTTCATGTCCCTGCCATTCCAATCCCAGCCACCATCATCACCATCGCTCTCCCACACTGGCCGACCATGTCCGCCGCCATATGGCCACTCCGGTGGACCCCTCTCGTCAGAAAGAATACGCCTTCGAAATGGCCGCCTCCAGCATCCGTTTCGGTCCGGGAGCGACAAAGGAGGTCGGCATGGACTTTGCCAACATGAAGGCGAAGCGTGTTTGCATTGTGACGGATCAGACCGTCTCCAAGCTAGATGCCATGAAACAAGCGGTGGAAGGCCTGACGCGGGAGGGGATCGAGTTCACCGTCTATGACAAGGTTCGCGTGGAACCAAAGGACAGCTCGTTGGTCACCCAGTGGCACCATTCAGCTCAACTGCTGACAGTCGTAGTGTCAAAGAAGCAATCGCTTTTGCTAAGCCTTACAATCCCGACGCTTTCCTCGCCGTAGGTGAGTATCGGCCCTGTGTCATCCCTTGATCCGGCTAACGGCCCAGGCGGTGGATCGGTTATTGACACCGCCAAACTCATGAATCTCTACACCGTCTTTCCGGACGCCGATTTCCTCGACTTTGTCAATGCTCCGCTGGGTAAGGGTCTGCCGGTTGACCGGCCATTGAAGCCCCTGGTGGCTGTGCCGACCACTGCCGGTACCGGTTCGGAAACTACAGGCACTGCCATCTTTGATCTGGTATCCAAGAAGGCCAAGACCGGAATTGCCCACCGCAACCTTAAGCCAACCCTGGGAATCTGCGACCCTATCAACACGCGCACCATGCCTTCCGCTGTCCATGCTTCCTCCGGTCTAGACGTGCTCTGCCATTCGCTAGAGTCGTGGACGGCGATCCCCTACAACGAACGGACGCCTCGTCCGACTAATCCAATCAACCGCCCCGCGTACCAGGGTGCGAACCCTATTTCAGATATCTTCTCCCTGCAGGCGCTGAGGAGCACCGTCAAGTACCTCCCCCGGGCTGTCAGAGACCCTGATGACTTTGAGGCACAGTCGCAAATGCTTCTGGCCGCCACCCTGGCCGGCGTTGGGTTCGGTAATGCAGGTGTTCATCTCTGTCACGGCATGAGCTATCCGATTTCCAGCCAGAACCCGGGATACAAGCATTCAGGCTATGCAGTGGACCACCCGATCATTCCTCACGGTGTGTCGGTAGCAGTGACCGCGCCGGCCGTCTTCCGATTCACCGCTGCCTCCAACCCGGACCGACATTTGGCGGCCGCGGAGGCGTTCGGAGTGGACATTTCGAACGTAAAGCGGGAGAGCGCGGGCGAGGTCTTGGGAGAGGCACTGGCCAACTTCCTGGTACAGCTTGGCGATCAGCCTAGGGGCCTGAAGGACCTAGGATTCAAGGCAGGGGATATCGACTCCCTGGTGGAGGGTACGATCCCGCAGCAGCGGGTGTTGGCGCTCGCGCCGACGCTGAGCGGGGAGCTGGAGGCCGAGAAGGCCGAGCTGCGGGGTTTGCTGGAGGAATCGATGGATTATTAGCGTGTACATAACGAGAATCTCGAAATTGAGGACATTTGAGTTGACAAGCGCCGTGCCAAGTGATTAGTCTGCACCTTCCCTGACAGGAGCCCCGAAATTGCAATCAGGCGACCCTATCATGCAACTGTTCGCACCCCGCATTCTCACCCGCATTCTTGCAGATCGCCCCTGGTTATATACCCAACCACTTCCTCCGCTGCCTTCTCTGCACACTCCTCACCACCACCACTTGACCATGGCTTTCCTCCACATGGCACCCCTTTACCTCGCTATGCTCCCCCTTCTCCTCCCTTTCACCACCGCACACCCGCAACAGCCTCTTCCCCAGAATCTCCTCGTCTCCAGCCTCTCTTCGGACCAAAAAGCCGGCAATCCTGTTTTCCAAGGCTGGTATGCCGACCCGGAAGCCCGCCTCTTCGACGGCCAATACTGGATCTACCCGACCTACTCGGCCGACTACAGCGAGCAAACCTTCTTTGACGCCTTCAGCTCGCCCGACCTCCTCACCTGGACCAAGCATCCCACCATCCTGAACATAACCAACATCCCCTGGTCGACGAACCGTGCGGCCTGGGCACCCTCCGTGGGCCGGAAGCTTCACTCCTCCACTAAGACCAGCCTCCACAAGCGCGATGACAGCGAAGAAGACTACGACTACTTCATGTACTTCTCCGTAGGGGATGGTACCGGCATCGGCGTCGCCAAATCCACCACTGGTCGTCCGGAAGGTCCCTATGAGGATGCCCTCGGGGAGCCCTTAGTTAACCGCACGATATACGGGGCTGAGGCGATCGATGCGCAGATCTTCCAGGATGACGATGGGCGCAACTGGTTGTATTTTGGAGGATGGAGTCATGCGGTTGTGGTGGAGGTGGGCGAGGATATGGTGAGTTTGAAAGGGGATTATCTAGAGATTACCCCTGAGGGGTATGTGGAGGGGCCGTGGATGTTGAAGCGGAATGGGGTGTATTATTATATGTTCTCTGTAGGAGGGTGAGTATGTCCTTTTGTCTCACCGGTTATGCGGATGCTGATGCTGGAGTGCAACCAGATGGGGCGATAATTCCTACGGGGTCAGTTATGTCACGGCGGAGTCCCCTACCGGGCCATTCTCGACTACACCGAAGAAGATCTTGCAAGGAAATGACGACGTTGGAACCAGCACGGGTCATAATAGTGTGTTTACTCCAGATGGGCAGGACTATTATATCGTGTATCATCGCCGGTATCCGAATGATACGGCGCGGGATCACCGGGTGACGTGTATAGACCGGATGTATTTTGATGACAACGGAGAGATCCTCCCGGTCAATATCACTGTGGAGGGAGTAGAGGGGCGGTCATTATCCTAGACGAGATAGACATTTACATGAGACGCAGAGGAGCATTGTTAATACGAAGCAGGGTTGCATTTTTATCAGCGCTATATTTCTGTCCTAGACCCGTCTGTCCACTTGTCTGTCTGTCTACGAACACTAATTCAACCATACAATCTTTCATCTCCGAATTAGGCAACATGAGCAATGAAGAACTCTATTAATACACATCAGCATCATGCAATATGGCTAATAACTCCAAAGATAAGCCAGGCGTAGAAATTTCTCAACAGTCGGAAGATAGCAACGGGAAGAGTATGATAAGCTTCCGGATCACTTTGTTCTTTTTAGGGTTTCTACTACTCTTCAGTAGGAAGGTATGTACTTGGATACTACAAATGGGGTACCTACAAGGGACGATCAATGAAAGAAGATAGGGTATCATACAAAGGAATAATGGATGAACCCGCGAAATAATAAATACAAAGACATGTGGACGTCGGAATCACAAGCGCAGATCAAGTTGAAAGCTTAATTGTTTGTACGTAGAGAAGGAAGAATGACTAGAAAAATATTGTGGCTTATTAGCCACTGGAGCCCTACCGAGCCCACCTGTACCAGCTCCACGAACACGAGAGAGTTATCATGCCCCAGGCTTAAAATACTGATATTTCGGCTGCTATACGGGCCATCTATGCATATTTCCTTCATCTCCCACATCGTGCACAGCGATGACGTCCATGCAGCATGGTATGAAGGGTATATATGGGATGCTCGATCCTTCACAGGAAGTATGCTCTACACAACCGTCCTGTTCCTGACAACACGACCAAATGAAGCGTGGTGATACCCCTCTGCAAGAGGTCTCGCAGATCGAGTCCAAAGTGACTCGGGTTCTAGATGACGCCAGTATCCACAACTGCATCTGGGGCGAGGGAGTCCTCCTGATGCTGGGTGTATTGCTTCGTATAGAGGTATGTATGACTTTCTCCAGATCCAGGACCATAGCAGCTAACGTATATGCAGAGGTTAAGCTGGGTGATACCCGATGCCGAGATCGACAAGGCGGCCGAGGTGCTGCAAAAGGTCGGATTTCAGAGGCCAGAGGAGAGTATCCAGCGCGCGAAGCCATACCGGGAGTGTCTGGGAGATTATTTCTTCCTCTGCCTGTGGAATGAAGAGAAAGAGGTGCATCTATTCCGGCAGTCGCGGTTGTGTGGAACCTTTCCGATGCCGCCTATCGGACCTCCTAAGCCGGGTGATGAGTTCTTCATGCTCACCAGTGAGATGGAGCGGATCGATGACCAGCTAATGTGGCGCGATTACCCAGCAGAGGATAGTCATCCAGTGAAAATGCCAAAGCCTGCAAGATTCCTGGAAGCGTTGGTGCTGTTGCGCGTTCGTGACCTCGTTCTTCCGGAGTCTCGTGGCCCCTGGAAGGAACCGATCAATATGATTGCCGGTCAGGTTCTGAAACCGCGTCTATTCAAGACATTTAGGTGCAGTGACTTGCTCTCGCCCTTTGACGAGTATATGAAACTGTACTTGGAGAAGATCGATGTCCGCGAGAAGGTGACTAGGCCTTGCCAGAATGGAAGCTATTATCTTCTGCACCTTATGTATGCGCGCCTGACGGCAATGCGACTACTTCCGCTCCCGGAGGCAGAGCTCATCGGGAGGGATTGGGGCGAGCCCCGTTGCGACGAGGAACGAGACGTTGAATGGAGGTGTAAGCAGTTGGGTGTGGTTCCTGGTCCGGAGCCTTATAATGGGCCCGCGCGAGGGCGTTTGATGTCCCACTATGCGTTCGCAAGCGCTCTTTCGACTGAGGTTCACGTTTCCTTGTGAGGTTGTTGGTGTTTCCACTGGATTAATGCCTTTCCCTCGAGAAAGGTGATCCATCGTTCGACGCACTTCTTTTGATGATCATGCGCTTTCGAGACGTTGCTTCGATGGAATGCCATCTAGTCTGATTATCTCATTAGTCTTCTACACTCGGAATCAATATATGCTCAATCATTAGCTTAGTCGTAAAAAAGCCAGGAATCGTAGGAAACAACCCTTGTTGTAGAGATAAGCATCCCTCATTTCTGCATTGTGTGAGACTTCACCGGGATGCTGTTGTAAATCCCACTTCTTTACTGACAATCAGAACGAACATAAAGCATAGATGTTGCAAAGAAGTCTCAAGATATCATGTCCGATAGCGACCGTGCTGTCTGCAGTACAGTGCAAATTGGCTCAGGTACAGTAAATGATAACATACAAGCAAAAAAGGAAAGCCCTCTTATACCAATGCGACGAAGTATGCAAAGTTACGGTTGTTCTGTTATTTCACCGAAGTCCGAATCCGACCAACATGCCCGATGGCCGCTGTAGCCCCTACTGGACCTCTCCTAATTGCAGGGCGGAATAAGCAAGCCATAACAATACTGACTGTGATATATCGATGAACTTCCCTGTCCTCCGCGAACCCTGCGATGGTGATACCTAAATACAGCTGCCCATTGAAGCAACTTTATCTCCTTTCCGTGACTGTCGGAGAGAAATCGCAAACAAAAATTAGCTTCCATGCACGTGGTAGATAGTGGTAAGGATCGCTATACATGGATGGATGTTACCCAGCATAGAAAAAGGCACTATCGAGGAACTTGCATAAGACGACATGATTATTACTATCCTGGTTACTATATATAAGTACAGCAATGGGCCCTTGGCTAAGACGTTCCTTCCTTAAAGCTCGCTCCGGTTACCAACATGTCCTTGTGAGTACCAACAACCTTTATTAGCCCTTTCAGAAGCATGTACACATTGCCAATTGAGATCCAGGACACTGCAGAGAATCGCTCACGATCTCACCTCATTTTTGGTAAATGAGATGAACATCACAGTCCTACTTCTTCGGTCTAATTTCTCCAGCAATGTGGGGCCTTTCTTTGCCGGATTATACGGACGATACGCAACTTTTACATGGGATTGTTGTCCAGTATATTCCAGGCGCGGATATGGCTTGGACCTTGGATATCCTGATGTGCGTGTGGGTGCTTCTGACTATGCATATCCAGGAGTTCCATGATGTGGATGGGGACCGGCACATTGGCCGCAGAACGGTTGCCACTATATTGGATCCTAGGGAGATTGTCTGGTTACGCCGGGCCATTGCGTTGTTCCTTTGCATGAGCAGTGTCGTATTCCTGGGCTGGGAAACAAGCTTGAATAAGATTGAGTCACGATCCTTGGGAGTGTCGATCTTTGGACCGTCGCAGTTAGTCGGTACCTTAGCAACTGGCTATCGATTCACAACCTTGGTCTCAAAGCAGGATAGTGAAAGAACGTACAAGGTGTACTACCTACCCACTGGGATAACCTTGGTGTTTTATCTATCGTGTCTTTCTTCATGGTGATCTAAAATGCTGTGTGGGTGGCGTGAGCACCATAGAACGTCTGGCTGCGCATTTGCACGATCGTTCTGGTTCCTGGTCTCCCTTCATCGGCTATTCTAGGATAGCTGTGACTGTATATAAGTGATGACTGTATATATCAGCTATGGACACAAATTTTGATATCATTACCTCCTTTTCTTTTACCTTCTCTCTTCATACTTGCTCTCTTTGGGCAGCCTGTAGAGAATGAAGCCCGCCAGTTGGGTGTCTAGCCCGCCTAGCTGAAGGTATAGCGCTGTCCTGGGCATGGCGAGAAGCTTTCTGTCCTAAGAAAGCACCTAACGATCATCTTCACTGACAACATCAAAAACCATATGGCCGGAGGGTGTACAAACGGAACATCAATCTTCCAGGCCGACACCACGTGGTGACCCCCTATCATCAATCAATTCACTGTTTCATCAACAACCCATCCAATACACCTTTATATCACCATGAGGCTGCTTTCTCACAGACCAAAGACTGGGCTCTCTTCCTAACTTACTGCTCTCAGTGTACATGCCCTCAATGTTGTCCAATCAACAAGGCTCTTCTTCACCCATGAGCGCCTCCCCACCAGTCAATGACACCCCATTCAATCGATACTCCACCCTTCTTGCCATCAAAGTCCTCAAGCGCACTCGACCTTCCATTGGGGGTGTCCTCATGCTGACAGACAAACTCTGTGTAAAATACGGACGTCGTATCCATCTATCTGAAGCATCCACCATGCGTTTCATAGCCGAACATACATCAATCCCAGTCCCGAAAGTCTACTGTGCCTTTACACATTCTGAGCGAACTTATATTGTCATGGAGAGGATCAAGGGGCATATGATTGGCCGTGGTTGGCCGAAACGCCCCGACCAGTCCAAAGCCGAGCTGCTCTCCCAATTGGCCAAATATATCACTGAGATGCGGCAACTCCAGCCCCCGGAAGGCATGGGAGTGGCTTCTGTTGATGGTGGATCTGTCTTTGACATCCGTCTACCAGGGCCAAGGGATTCCTTTCGTCTTGGTCCTTTTGATACCGTGCAGGATTTCCATCGGCGTCTACGCCTGGGCGTGGGACCCGAAATTGAGCACGATCCCGAAATCCAGACCCTTATTGAGCAACACAGCAAGAGTTGGCCGTTGGTGTTTACGCATGGTGATCTGAGCAGTCTGAACATACTGGCTCGCGATGATGAAATTATTAGTATCGTTGATTGGGAAACAGCCGGTTGGTATCCATCATATTGGGAATACACTACCGCCCAACAAGTCAACCCACGGAATCCTTTTTGGGCCAACGAGATTTACAAATTCTTACAACCGATGCCTGAGGAGCTGGCTATGGAGCGGATTCGTCAAAGATACTTTGGAGATGTTTAAGTGACGATGCTAACGTAGTGAATATATACGATGATTAAATGGCAATCTATCAACGTCCCTCGCTGGTGCTTCTAGCTACTGGGAAAGGCTCAGTGGATCTTTAGGAATCACGCAGACCGCTGATTTGCCACATTATCTTATCCAACACTTTGCTCATTGAGTGAGCTGACCGAGAGTTTGTGATAACGTGCTAATTGCCTCAACCGCTTGTGGAAGATTTGTTTGTTTCGTTGATCCATTTAATTGGTCTTGGAAATACGGGAACTTTGTCCCTACTTCAGGGTGGCTCCTATCACGATACGCATGCTAGTGATAAATGCATAGCCAATATCTAGGAATCGAAGAGGAAGCTCGGTAGGTTTGCCTGCATTCAAATGCAGTAGCAGGACACATCGAAGGCTTTTCTAAACATTTATTGACTGTCCTCTTGTCAACGTCGCCGGGACCCATTGGAGGAACTGGACTTTACCTTCCCCCACTTCCTTACTCGCGCCCTTTCAATCGAATGAGAAGCTCGAACGGGGACCACAGGTCTGATGCACGCGAACCGACGGTAGAGCATTGGCTACGGCAATCATGCCCTGGCCTCATACAGCCAATTTCATATCTTAGGCGACATGTCAGATCCGCTCAGCAAAGCGGAGGGATGTATCAAACACTAGCATACATATGAGAATACGCTTGGCGGTGATGCGAGACATCTCAGACAGAATTGGAAGGCCTGGAAAAGAAGCATGAAAGCGAGAGACGAGTACCGGAGTTTGTTCTTGGGAGACCCAAGAGAGGTCTTTTAAAGAGTATGTGATGGACCACCAAAATGCCTCCATTGTCCAAGGTTTATCCAAATGCATCCGTTCTTTCCAACTTCCACAGATTGTCTGCATCTTCCAGTCGACACACGTGCTCAAGATGACCATCCATCGTGACCGAAATCAAAGGTATCCCTCGTGAGATTTCTCTTGTCGAGTTTCCAACATCAGAAGGTCTGGAACCCTTTGCAACAAGACCTTTCAAAGCAATGCAGAAGAGCAAACTCTACAGACTAGGTATGAGAGGATATCATACCCTTAATGATAATTCCTAGTATATAAATGTCGGGTCCGAACTGAACCGATATAAGCGGGGGTGATGATGACCTGGCCGGAAATCTTCACACTTATCGCTGAGAGTCCTTCTCCTGATATCCCTCAAAGATATCCTCACTCTCATCGATGTTGATGTCGATGATGACTTGACTAAGCTGACCCCTATCAGTTGCCCAGAGACTGTACCATTGTGATAGAGTTCGTCCAACTTAGCAAGGCCCTAGCAAAATCATCGACATCGTCTTCGTTATGGTTTAATACATCAAAGATCAAAATAGCCTCCATCTTCTAGACTGACCTTGCTTCCTCAAACTTCCCATCATCTTGCACTGTAATAGACCTAAAATCCGGAGGTTTATATCGATGTTTAAGAACAGATACCACTTGACCAGATTGGTTCCATAATACCAGAGCTGAGAAAGAAAGTTAACATCACAGCTACGCGTCTCTTATATACGCGCAGACGCGCACACGATTCATCATCGGTACCGGCCTGGAAAGCCTCCTTCATACGACGGCAAGGACCCAGGATCCTGAGGCGACTCCCATCCAGCACCGGAAATCATCCACGCTTATTGTACTGATAGCAGCAGCAGCAGCAGCAGGCGGAAATAGTCAGAAATAAGGAAATGAAATACTCAACGGGCAATGAGAAGACTAATATAATCTTCTCATCTGTACACTCATGCCCTTGAATTTGAAGCCTTTGAGCCAGATGATATAAGAGCCATCACAAACACGAAAGGAAATGGAAGAAGAGCTAAGAGAAAAAGAACTAGTCCAGTCCCTCTATATATCTATCACATGAAAATGACCCCGCACATCCTTCAAGCTACAGTCGGAAGATCGATCTAGTTGCATCCGGAGCTTAATATACCCTACCCTCGACATTTTCCCATGTGCCATGCTTATTTGTGTATACTATTCCCTTTTCCTTCCGCTGAGATTATGAGGATCCCATTTATATCCTAGAAGGGGTTCTTCAGTTGGGAGGAATTTTGGTCAAGAACCTTCAACAGGCATAGGAATGTATTCAGTGACAAGATACTAAGGCTACCTTCTGTTATTCCAGTAAGGTGGTTTAGTCGGATGGTAAGATAAATTTACTTCAGGGTGTCATATTCATCCTTATCACCAACCGAGACTAGGTCCATCATAAACAAGCGCCAAGTCTGAGCATTCAACCAAACGACAGCACGACTTCATCGATGAAGTTCAAAAATCTATGTACACGAACGCAAGCTGGGTATCAAACAACAAACAACAAACAGAAATAAATAATCATAACCCATCAAAACATCGAACTCCGTTTTTTGCTCAACTTGGCCTCATCTGTTGAAGACCGTCGTAGACGGAAGAAACTGCTTTTCTTCGGCTGCAGAGCCGGTGTCGATGCCGCCGGTCCGGGTGGCTCCTGCGGCAGGGCGAATCGCACGGCTGATTGGCGGCGTGGATCGAGGCCCGGTGACATATACGGGCCCGCTGGTGGGCGGCGACCATCTTGGTACGGGTAGGAGTAGTGGGGTTGGTTGGCGGGTCGTAAGGGGAGGGTTGTTGCGGGGTGCTGGCGGGGAGGTAGCGAGGGCGTCTGCATACGCACTTGCTCCTCCTCTTGTCCGTAGAGCATTTGGAGACGGCGCGTCTCGCGATCGATTTCGGCTTGGCGCTCGGCTCGGCGTCTGCGACGCGCTTGCTCTTCTTCTTGGAGGAGCTGTTGGGTGCGTCGTTCTTCTTCGAGTTGTTGTTGGGTCTTTCGGGTTGTGGTGGGGGGTGGTTGGGGTGGTTGTTGCGGTTGGGGTTCAGGTCTGGGTTGGACGGCATTTAATGCCCCGGATGCGGCTGGGAGGGTGGGCAGGGGCTTGCCGTCGGCCTTGGTGGGGGAGGGTGTGCTTGACATGTGGGCCGGCTTGGTGACGTGGAATGCGTCTTTCATAGATGCAAAGTATACGTCGCGGATGGTGATGGCGCCGAGGAGAAGCACGACTTCGAGGCCTTTAAAGTCTTCCATCTCCACGCGGTAGAGATTGGGCTCGTAGAGCGTGAGCTCACGGAGGCTCTTGAAGATGGAGACCGTAATGTCGGGCTCTTTGCTCTTCGTCTTGGATTCGGGCAGAGTGGTGGTCTTCCCCGACAGGTAACAGGTGAGGTCTTTGGACAGTTTGCTGTCCTTGCGCCAGGTAAAGCGCAGCTTCGGGGTGGTGTCAGCCATGGCCGGGTCGGTCTGGGTACGGTCAAGGGTGGACGCAGACGGCTGCCGGAAGCTGTGCTGGGGCATCTCGAAGTTCCATGTCGCCGGGCTGTTCCAGGTCTTCGGCTTAAAGTGCACCGTCACTTGCTGATCCGGGTTGTAGAGGTTGATGGTGAAGCGGGACGGAAGGATGGGTTCAGGAGGGGGCGCGACGCCGCCATTCTGGCGGATGGATTCCGCGGAGAGACTGGGCTGAGTCCATTCAGGGATAATCAGAACCTCGCCGAAGAGGATGTCGGAGACATAGGGATCGTAGAGAGCGGAGGCGTAGCGGTTATGGGAGGAAGGGGAAGAGGGATCAGGATAGCGAAGGGTGTAGGCGGGTTCCGGCTCGTTTCCGTGCTGGCAGAGATAGACGGACCAGAGCCGGGATTGCTTGTTGTGTTTGAGGTAGAAAGCTGCGGGGGTTAGCGGAGGTGCATCCAGAGAGAGGGGAGAGAGAGAGCAGAGACATGACGTACTGGGGAGGTTCTCGTCGAGCATTTTCAATTCTGGTGCGGAACGGGATGATTCGACGGGACTCTCTGCACGACCCGTGGTCCGAATGCCATTGGGTTCGTCTTATAACGTGGATTGCGAGGCGAGACCGAGGAGCGAGTGCGAGATGAAAGAACGAAAAGAAAGGCCGACGTCCAGGAATCGCTGCCTCAGGCGGTCTGGGGCAATGCCCCACCGCTAAAAATAACCAGGTACTGCCCGGTATTGCCGTGTGCCTTGGCAGGCATTTTGGGTGGGCGCGGCCCATCGCGGTACGGGAAAGTACGGGGACCGCGTATCATAGGCAGCCATAAAAGCGATGGTTTGCAGTTTCAAATGGTATGCAGAACCCCTCTCAGGGTCCCAATCATCGCAGGCACCGGGATTCCACCCGATGACGACGCCGTCGATCTCCGGAGTATCGTATAGTCGGTCTGTCGCACCGCCTCTTAATCACGCCTATAACTTAATACTGCTGAAACTGAAAGCAATGAGTATTGTGGGGTAAGTATCGACCTCCTGGCAAAAGTAAGCCTTGCAGGCAGATATGTTTTGGCCTTGATAAGCAAGGAGGAAATCCAGCATGACCTCACGCCAAAACCTCTTGATTGATCCGGGCGTGTCATCAACAAAAGGCCGGTGCAAGGCACAGCAATCCACTCTAGACAGCAGCATTCGGCAACAATTGGACTCGTCTTCGCTTCGTCTGTCCAAGACAGTCTACTAGACCCCAGCACCACGATAAGGTGCGAGTCCTGGCTGGGGAGCCTAGAGTCCGTTAGCCAAGCAAACATGCTGACGTACCTCGATGCCGATTGACGCGGAGATAATTGATTTGTTTGGTGATCCGATCTTTGAGTAAATGTAGGTTTGCTTGTCGGTCTGGTGACGTGGATCTCCCATTGAGAGGCTTTGGTGGTGAACCTAATGGTCAGCGGTGGCGGATGACCTACTGAGAGTCTGCTGGTCGATCCTCATGCATGGAGGTCTCGTACGTGAAGGTAAATTGGCTGGCGTTGACGGACTCGATGATAGTGGCTTGCGGATGGGATGTGGTACAGAAAGCAGTGCCAACGGAAAGGTCAAGCAATATGAGACCATTAGCGCTATTTTCTTCCTCAAGATCTATTCTCACCTGGTCTCTCGATTGAGCCATATGTGCCAGGCTCTCAGCGATGCTCATTGAGTTAGTTACAAGTCAACCACGGCACATGGGAGGCGCCACATTCATATAGTTAAGTCAACAATGGGAATCCATTGACCATTGCCTTGTTGCGGACAACTACAGACAACTATCATTGTCCTGTCGGACATAATAAAACACTGGAGAAGACAAAGAACTAGGAGTTGTGCATCGGCTGCATCTCTGCATCAAGGTATCAGATCTTTGATCTAAGTCACCCTTTATATCGACCGTCTCATTCTATACTCTACAAAGAACCACAACAATGGATCTATACCCGGACGCCGTTCACTTCTTTACCCTCTGGAACCTTGGCCGCCTCACGCTCCGCGATACTCAGCTGCAAGCCCTGGTCGTCCCAGCCCTGCGTGCCAAGCTTGTACAACGTCTTCTGCTGCTCGCGGTCCGACGTGGGCCCAGACTTTCCACGTCGCTGGCGCGACTCAAGCGTCTCCACCAGGCTGGCATTGTCTCCGTCCAACTCGTACCCCTCAAGGTCATCCGTGTGAACTTCCTTTGTGAACTCATACGTCCGGTACTCGGTGTTCACCCAACCGGTTCCTGTGCCGTCAGCCTCGTCCGAAACATCTGGAACGTCTAGCCACCTACCTTGGTACTGACTGCTATCCTCCCAATCTTCCGTAAAGTAATGCAGGAAACCCCCGTGGGTCACCACCACAATCTCCTTCTCCGGTCTAGCCTTCAGCCAGCGGCGAGCTGCCCGCGCCCGCTCTTTGATAGCCTTGTGGGTAGGTGCGTATTTGTCTTGCTACCGGTACCACGCAACGTCAGCTTATCCACTGCACTATGACTGGATCGCGAGCACACCCACCTTGTTGTTCCACCCCTCATGCACCAGTCCCAAATCAATCGGGGCGTTCTTCTCCTCCATCTCCTTGCGCAGCACATCCGGGTCGCTTCCCGTGTCGCACGCCACATCACTCGTCTCCTGAACATCCGGAAGGGCGATCAACTTCATATCAGGGTGCGCCTGGAACACCGGCTCGAAGCTCTGCAGGGCTGTGTAGATGGTGCGACGGAGAGGGGAGGCCGTCACCAGGTCGACCTGGGCGTGGCGAGGGAAATTGTCACGGAGGGTACGACATTGTTCGTTGCCGAGATCGGTGAGGAGGGGGTCGTGGATGACATGGTTGGCGACGTTGAGGTTGTGGACGCCCTGGACGAGGTTAGTGATCACATCGAACCACGAAATGCACCGTTAGAGAGGGCGTACCTGTGCGTGGCGAACGCAGTGGATGATGGGAGGCATTTTCGCGGCGTCTGTGGATGGTAGAGGTTAGCCAGAAGGATGGAGGGAAGAGAGGGCGAAGGCAGATGGAGCAGAACGTGGGGTAGCGGGGCTGGCGATTAGTAGCAGGGCAGGGTGCAAGCTGCAGACCTTTAGCGTCGTCAAGCGGGACTCCGTGCACGATTGTCTGAAGGGAATGGTGTCTGGCAGTCAAGGAGAGACCGGCTGGTTTATATGGGGCGCGCGACGAAGGGCCGTGGATGGCCTCTGCCAATCCAAGCGGACCACAGCGCACCGTGTCGCCCAACCGGACCATCCCTCCTCGCCCATGACTCAACGCGCGCGAGACCATCCGGCGCAGTGATGTCCGGATTTTCTGCCCATCCCGGGTTGCCGGGTCAGCGGGCTGATCACATGGAGAGCAGAGATTTCCGACAGGGGATAGAGACGATGTGAGATGGAGAATGGGCGATACGAGGACAGGAACGAAGTTGCAGACCGGGACGAGCGGCGCTGCTTCACAACGGCTTCCCGGCAAGTAGCCCGACCGGGGCCCGCGGCAGGCAACTCGGGCGAGCCATCACCGCATACGGAGTACCAGAACAGCGAACCGTCGACCAAAAATTCGTCCGATGACTATATCAAGTGGCGGTCGCCACACTAAGACTAACGCTATCTATGGATAATAATGGGGTATGATGCACGACATATACACCAGGGGTATGTTCACTCAAAAAAACAACATCCAACCCACTCCAATCCCGAAATCAAGCAACGCCAAATCCCCGCGCGTTCTCCAACGCCTTGCTCAGCTTTTCTTCCATCACACTGCGAGACGAGTATTCCGGCAGCAGCAGCCGGCCAAAACAGGTGAGACTTGTGGGAAGGCGCTACGACAGTCAGTACCAATCCATTCCATCAAGAACAATCGATCACTTACAGCATCCCCGACTCCGTTCTTCTGGATTACAAACATGATGCTCGCGATTCCATTGACTGGGACCCGATCGCTGGCGGTCACAAACTCCAACAGCTGCGCCTTCTTCTCCGCCGGGTAGCGCCGGACGATGCTCCAGAAGTCCCGGATTACTGGGTGACTCGGTCCAAACCCGCCCTCGTACCGGGCGTGACGCTCTAGCTCGCGGATATCGATCGTCTGGATGCCCTCCACCACCGTCTTCAACGCCTCGGGAGTGAATATCGACAGTGCTGTTCGGTCCAGGCACGTGTAGAAACCCTGCGCAAACGCCTCGAACTGCGGGCGAACGGACTTGTCCGTCAGCCAAAAGATGTAATCCTTGACAAAATCAGTCCGGTTGCTGTTGGTCACGAGACAGGCCTCATCGGCTGGGGGAGTTGGCGACTGGACCGGTACCAGCGTATCGGTGGCCTTTGTGGTATCCCCGTACGAACCCGCGGTCTCGGCCGCCATCGAAGACGGGGGACTGAGGTCAACATGGTCGGTATAACGGCGGACCTCCGACCATGGCGGCGAGAACCCGAGGGACCGCGATCCGCTGAGACCACGCCCGGGCGTGGATGTAGCGGGCCATGGGGCATCTCGATCGACTTTTTGCATGTCAACCGTCTCAACAAGTCCAAAGGCCTCGAAGCTGAACTCGTACGTCCGCATGAAGATGTCACCCACGTCTCCGTCCTCCCAAGTGAGGAGGTCTCCCAAACCCTTGGTAAGCTCGGGCCAGCCGTCCCGGATGTGCTCCAGATGTTTCACCTTGAGCCCGAGGAGCTTGCGGTAGAACGCCGTAGGGAAGTTCACTGGGAGGGTGAGACCGTTGTACACCGCCAAGGACATCAACAACCCGAGCAGCTCGAACTTGTACAACGGTTCCCAGGAACAGGGCTGGAACCAGGACATCCGCGTCCGTGCATCCGTCGTGAACATGCCAAAGGATGCATCCAGTGCGTCTGCCATTAGGACTCGGAAGAACTCTTGTTGCACACCACCGTGATCCAGACCCTCCTCTCCCTCGTCCATCCCCATTTGCACTTTCAACGGACGCATGAGCTCGCGTCTCTCGCGCCGCCAGAGCTGATTGAGTGCATCCGTGAGGAGACTGTCGCGGCGGACTACAAGAACCAGGTAGGTAGACATGGACGTCTGCAACTGGGCAAGTAGGCCAGCGTTGTTTTGGACTCGAATGGGCCCAAACGCAGTTTGCGTTACGTGTCTGGTCGTGGTCATGGCGGCTTCGTAGTACTTTGACATGGCGGCGTAGTTGAGGGCTCGGAAGTAGATCACGAGGGCTGACGGAGGGAACAAAAATGGATAGGAGAGTAGATGAAGTGTCTTGTTACTGGGGCCGCTTTCGATCCACTCCACAGGCATTTCTAGGGGCTCGAGCCGATCCGAGAGAAATGGCGTGTGAAAGTCCTCGGGAGCGAGCCCTAGACGGTCGCGCTCCTTGTACAGTGTCGACAGAATCCGTACCGCGGCTCCGGCTGAGCTACATCTCGATAACTCCGCGTTACCATCCCACTCTTTGAGGAGAAGCGTCCGGAGCCATTCGGTAATAAACGCGGGCGCGCCAGGAGCGGGCGTCGTATCCGGGTCGCTGATGGCAGCTGTCATTGCACCGTGATGCTCGCAGAGGTTGTTCACGATGATGTCCAACACGTTGTCCTTGCGTTGGGGCAGATCTCGGGAGTATACCTGCCTCGCCTTGGAGATTTCGTGGTACGCCAATCGTGCTCCGATACCGCGCACCAGACGACCAAGAAGTCGTAGCGCCAACTCATGCTCAAGCATATCCGTGGTTTCGACTATCAGACGGGCCCTGGCCACCGAGAGCTTTTGCATATCCGAGCTTGAGGCTACACCTCCCGCCGCACGCATCTGGAGAATTGCTCGCCACGTAGGTGCATCTATCTCGGGGAGAGAGCCAGCCAAGGCAAAGATAGCGACGGTCGCGACATCGGCTGCACTTGAATCACTGAGCTGTCCATTGCTCCCGGAGTCCGATCGACGGATGATAGGCGTGGTGGATGCGGCGCTCGAGGTGTGGGATGAGCGGCGAGCAGGTTTTCCCGGCGTCGAGAGCTCTTTGGGCGGGACGAACAACGTTTCCGTTGCACTCCAGAGACTGTGAAAAACAATGTCCCGGGGACAGATACGAAGCAGTTTCCGTAGCGATGGTTGTAGCTGCCCAAGGTCAAGCTTGGGCCTGTCATGACCTTCGTTCACTCCGGACGGTCCAGCCGTATTCTGTCGGAACGAAAGAAGAAGTTGCTTGGTACTGCCCAAAGCATAAAAAGTGCTCTGCGCAACAAATGCATACACATGACGCTGGCGGGGAGTTGCAAAGCGCCACTCCCACTCTTCAAAGCTCCCAGTGGATTCCATGTATGTCAGCTCATCCCTCCACCGTTCAGCCTCGTCCTCGGAAATAACCATCATTTGCATCATGCCATCGACTATCTCGCCCGTTAGATGGGTCAAAGACTGGATGGCCGACATGGTTGGTTTTCGACTCGAACTTCGACGCTTGGGTTTGCTGTCGCTAGGGGACGACTGGGCCTCTAGAGGAAGTTGATCATCGCTAGGGACCTCAGACTTCTTAGGGCCGTCAAGTAGAACGTTATTCAGATACTTCGCGCCATCCCATGATACACGCCGTCCCTTCTTCAGCTGCTCTTGCGGAGGGACATAACTTCCGTCTCCAGTTCTACCCCGATGCTTTTGCGGACGATGCCGTAATGCGGGAGGAGAAGGCACATTGTGTAATTCATCACCAGCGACGTGCGTATTGACGGTAAGCTTGCGGGCGGGTTTCAAGTCCTGATACAATTTCTCCTCTGAGCTCGAGCGCGGATTCTGGCGCCACTGCTCCACCTCCGTGAGCGATAGTCGTTTGACCTGCTGGTTCGGAAGCCTTAACTCCAGCGCAGTAGTCTGGCTATTCACATGGCGCGACGAAGGGGTATGTGGCGCACCACCTGCCGATACTGGATGCTGGGGTGTGCGTTGTCGAGTTAGCTGTGGCCTGACTTTATCCGGGTAGGGCTGTGTCCCCTCGCGCTCAGATTTGGGTGATCGAGTTCCAGGACGGATGTCTAAACGCTCTGGCTCCGGACCAAGAGTGCTTGGAGAGCGCCGAAGAGGCAGCCATTCGATCATCCGAAGAGACAGAGTATCAAACAGGTTCTGAGTGAACGACTTCGGGTCTTTCAGTCGCTGCGTTGCAGGTGCAGCCTCCTCCCGCATGACCGCCTCCTGATCCTGCAATCTCATAACAGGGGACGAGCTCCCCCCATTTCGGTCGCTTGAGCTGGGTGACCTGGTATTCCGGGTCGATGAAGACCGTGACGCCCCATTCGCACCAGTATGATCCACTCCTCTCAACTCTGTTTGTTCTCGCGCAGACTCGTTCGAAGGCAAGGCACGATTCCGTCGTTTCGATCGGCGTTGGTTATCTTGGGCTGAAAGCTCGCTGGGAACTCGGGAAAGATTGCGACAAAGACCGTCCTCCGCATTATCCAAACTAGCCAAGTAGCAAGCCAGCGTGCGGGCGCTCAGCTCCGTATATCGACGAAAGGGACCGTCTGTCACGCGTTTCCGATAGCTGGCACATGTCGGCGTTTGGCATCCGGGATCCTGACAGCCGTAGAGAAGTTGATTCTTGTACCTGGATATATCCCCGTCAGCGGCTCAACGCTGGTATGGCGTCATGGAGACTTACCTGCGGACCAGGAGGTTGAACTGCCGACGTCGTTCATCTCTATACCATAATAATACCTGGGTAGGGTCGGAGACATCTATCGTATTTTGGGCGATCACGTCGGGCGCATTAGGGGGTAATTTCGAACGATGGATTTCGGGCCTGTCGATGCCACCACGCGAAACCTCATACGAGCTCACGGAAGCTCCGCGGAGCCTGGTCATCTTGACAGACTGCGGAGCATGCCGCAGCTACCGGGCCAGAGTACCGATTTCAAAAGCTCGCTCCCTGTGTAGGACTGCGCCGTGGGATCAGGGGACAAACTCAGGGCGGTGATAACAATGTGACTTGTTCTTTTCTGGGGTCGGGTCTGGGGAGGGACAGGCGAGGCTGATATCACGCCCGTCGGAGGGGGGCCTCAGGCGCCAAGCCCGGGTGGGTGCTGAGTCAGTCGGCAGGAACAACTCTTTTGCCGGATAAGGATAATGAGGGGCTAGTCCAAATTTGGGAGTATATTGATCTAGAATTCTAACATGCAACATTCCCGAACAGGATCCCCCCTATATCTGACTCGGTACGCTGGCCATTGCCAATGAATGCTTACTTTCCCCGTCCTTCTCAGCAGATTTGCCGGAACATAGTAGCCGTGAGCATCCGTCCTTTGAAACACCGTGCTATGCACGGCACTACCGGCAGGTATAGTATGCTGGTAAAGCAAGGGACTCAGCACCTCCACCGCAAAAGCCTTCCAATCGATTTCGAGAATGGGGACCCAATGCGTCGCTAGCTCTTTCATAAAGGAGAAGAAGCCCTGGGTTTCATGACTCCCGTTGGGTAATGTGGCGATGCGAAACCATTCCTCTTTCAGCTGATTATGTGGAACCACGCTATAGATGATATGGTCATCCTCTTCATCCAAAGGCCCCTTGATGACCATCCGGTGATATCCCACAAAGTGCCGTTCTAGGGCGGACTGGTTGAGTACCAGACCCGCTCGAGCAGCCTCGCAGATCATCCAAACCAAAGGGATCTGACCGAGATCCCCATCTTTGTCCGCTGTTGGTGGGGATGAATTGTCCGCGACTGCAATTCCCCCCATATCCTGAGGAACATTATTAGCAGAGTCAAATGGACAGAGGTATCATAAGCGATGTAGTTCTTACAGCATGACTGCCTAGGAACCATACTTGCTCGACATCCTGTATGCCTTCAAACATCGGGTCTCCCACTAGGACCGGGTCTAGGGCAATTTCCCGTTCGTCCACTGATACTGCATGACGAACAGTATAGGCAGGATAAGAAATTTCCGAGGGAAGGTTACTACTCTGTCCCTGGTCAGTGCGGAAGCCCAGCTTGGCTTTTAGGTCTGATGTAGGCATGGCCATGTCGAACAGGCCCAAGAAGGTAACCCTGTCTGTTAGCTCAGAGTCCCTGTCGCGCAAGCTCTTTACGCGCCTGAATGAGGATATAGTATCCTCATAGTCCCATTCTTCGTCATTCTCACCGCTCACGGTTGCACGATACCAGTCCTTGTATATCTCCCAAACTTCCAGTTTGCTCGGTTCGGGAAGAATTCCAACGTTATCAACTATTTGAGTGAGTATTTGTGTTGCAAAGGCTCCACTGGCGAAGCCGAAGATAAAGATATTGAACCTTCCGCTGTACTCGTTTGCCAACCACTTGACGGAGATGCATTAGACACCACGATATCATCGGCTAGTATGGACAAGAATCAGTTTCGACCTACTTCATATGCACTCATGACACATGCCTTGACATGCATGGTGTCGTTTCCACTGACGCTCCCATAATCGCAAGACTGCAAATGGCCCATTCTGCTAGCCAAGCCGTAGATGGTTTGAATGTTAGACCTCTTTCCGATTTTGGGACCTTGGCTGTCATCACCGTCCAAGCACAGAATCAGATTCTTATTATTTGGCCTCCTAATCCTCGGCGATTCGATATAATCTCTGTTTGTCATTGTCTTCTCGGCATAGATTGTAGTGGACTTGGTGAAGTACAACTGGCTTAGATGTATGTTCCTTTCTAGCCCGGGATCCACCCTTATGAACTGGCTATGTCCATCGGGCTTCTGTCGCAGCTTTACGCCGACTGGCTTCGGAAAGAAGGAGTCCGATGCATCCCGGCATTCTATAGCCAGAATATCGGCCCTGAGCGTCGATGTACGCGCATCCGGGGTTCTCAGTAAAGGCAGATCGAGTCTTATACCTCGATTGGTTACCGTAAAGGGCGTGGTTGTCTTGGTAAATTTGAAAGGAATTATATTCCCCGAGTTTCTAAAGTCCATCGGGGATTGAGCAAGTAGGCCACTGGGATGGTCCAAGGAAATGGCAGGATTTTCCCATGCAAATAAAGTTTGATCATCCGAGTTTTTCATGATCTCTTCTTGCAGTCTAATAAAGGCCTTTTCGCCTTCTCCGTATAGTAATGGCATGTTCACGTCAAAAATACCCATGAGGCAATATGAAATGTCTTCCCGTCTCGTGGTCACTCGCCCAGAGGCCCATGACATCCTTTTCGCAATACTGAACTTCTCCAGGTGCGTATCACCCTGCCGTACAGACTCATCGATGAGCGTGATGTTGGAAATCAATGAGCTGAGGCTTTTTCTGCAGCCGATTTCGGTCCAATCCATGGCAAGAAACGTGAGGTTAGAGGGCGCGATAAGCTCATGAAGTGTCCAGCCTCGTCTGAACCACTGACTATCCCTCATGTTGAGAAATAGCCTGCTCTGATCAACTCTTGGGGAAACGTCATCGAGGTAAGCATAGCAGATGTCGGCCCTCTTGTATCATCGGTACATCGAGTTGATGGCTTCTGACAGTTCGGTACTGCTGTCTTTGTTAACACAACAGGTGTCTATCCAGGCATACTCGAAGTGATCCGCCGCTTTCTCGCAGAAGCGCTTGATCTTCTAGTAACCTTGGGTCTTTTTCTTTTCATCACTATCCCCCAGGTGTGGAATATCCTGGAATGTGATTTCATCATCGCCCCATCTGTGCGAGAGAATCGCGTAGCGTATCTCTCGACTTTCGATCCTTTCCTCCGCGATCTCAACGAGCTCCAGCGATAGAGCTCTTGTGCGAAGTAGACGCATATCCTTTAGACACTGATGGGAATGAAGAAAGGAATTACATTCACGGCGACCAGCTCAGGATCAGACGCTGCGGTGATGGAGCCCTGTGGTAAATGGACGCGTTCAGCTCGCGGGGTTCTGCTATGTTGACGTGTCTGGCAGCCTTTCTGCCAACACTAAAAGCAAACCACATCGTGCCGGGAAACAATCTTCCTTCCCCCCCACCTCCACTTCTCCGTCCTATAGCTTGAACAATTATAAGCAATCAGCTAATTAATGGGAAACCTCCATTGGTGCCCACGGTGAAAAGTCCGCTCGTGCGGATGAGGAAGGTGCGACGATTAGATTTGATGGATGTTGGCGCTAAGGTTGAGAACTTGATAAACTTCATTGGTTCTCATCCTGTTCAAAAAAGAAAGAGGAATGAGCTGCCGACGAAGAGGAAAGCAAATGTTTAGGCGACAGCCTGCCTCGAGTGAAGCACGAGAGCGATAGCATGACATTTCCGTTTACGACATCCTCAATCCTTGGGTCCCTCAATCAACGTCTTGATCCCCTCTCCTCTTCTAGCTGCTTCCCACGCCTCCGTCGCCCTCTCAAAGGGAAAGATATTCGAGATCAATCCCGACAAATCCAACCTCCCCCGGCCCACCAGCGAAATCCCCAAATCAAAGTCCCCCGGGCCATATCGATAGCACCCCTTAGCGGCAATCTCCTTCTCACACATCTCCGAGATGGGGAACTCAATCTTGCGCTTCCCCATACCAGCCTGGACATACGTTCCTCCCTTCCTCAATGCAAAAATGGCTGTCTGAACCGACATCTCAGCCCCTGATGCATCAATCACAACATCTGCGCCTTCTCCAAGGGCATGATCGCGTGCCAGCCGCGCAGCATTCTCCTCTACCGTCAACGACACATCCGGCATGGCCGTCCTCCCAGCCTCCCTCCCCACAAACTCCTTCGCGAACTTCAACTTACTCTCCAGAATATCCACCGACACGACAATACTTGCCCCAAACTCCCTCGCCACAGCCGCACAGAATAACCCCACAGTACCGGCACCAAACACCACGACACTCTGTCCGGGCTTAACATCAGCCAACCTCACAGCATGAATACCCACAGCCAACGGCACCAGCAAGACCGCTTCATCCAATCCGATATTCTCTGATATTTTGTAACAGAAATCCGCAGGCAACATAAAATACTTGGTCAGGGTCCCATGAACCACCGGGGGGTCGGCAGCAAACTTCATCGCGGGACAGAGATTATAGCGACCGGCTTTGCACTGGTCACAGCGTCAACAGGGATATCCGGGTTCGATTGCCACTCTGTCGCCGGGAACCAGAGACGTGACTGCAGACCCGACGGCGTGGATCGTCCCAGAGGCTTCATGGCCCATGGTAAGGGGCTGAGTCTGGGAGACGTAGGTGCGGATGCCTCCGTGGAGCCAGAAATGGACCTAACTATGTGCATCAGTATCGACTACTTTGTGTAGATAATTCGAGAGAAACGAACATCGCTCCCGCAAACCCCAGTGTAGGCTATGCGAACAATAACATCGTGGGGGTCGGTAAGTGCGGGGATCGGCCGGTCTTCGAAGCGGGCATCGAGGGGGCCGTAGAGGAGGCATGAGGGGTTTATGGCATTTGAGTCCATGATACTAATGCCACGGACGATGAAGCTGGAGAGCAGATGCTACCATGGTACCAAGGTCTTTACCTGTACTCGATTTGGTGGTATTTCAAAAGTAGTCCTTGAAGGAGCGCTCAATAACTCCCCCCAAGTAGACAAATCACTTGACATTCGAGGGACCGGTTAACAGTGAACCGGAATCTACATACAACTACTCCGTAAAAGCTAGGCACTGACGTGAGTCCGAGCACATGTCGGGTCCGTCATCCGGCCCGGTCAACGGTCGACCGTGCTCCGATATTCTAGCCTTTGAATCAGTAGCGATAAGAGTGCATCTACAAAAGCCCCCCACAATGTCTGTGCAATGAATATGGAATATTCCTTCCAATTGTAGCCTTCTATTTCTCTGATTGACTTCAATTTACTCAGATATACTGAAACAGACCTACCACAGCCACCCACCGACACAGACAGGCGCATCCAGAAAACTCGTCTCCACATCAATCAAACCCCAGCGAAATCAACTCGGCCCCAGCCCCGGATCACCAGATATAACCCAATCCCCCGCGATATCCGCTGCCAGCGCCGTGCCCGAGACATAATCAAACGATTCGACTTCATCCGTGATGGGAAACCCCTGGAGGCCTTCGAAAATATCCTTGTTCCACGACGTAGCATCGAAGAACATCTGCAGGGACGGGTCAACGGGGAGCGTTCCCATTCCTTGACGTATCCCCGGGTTATCATGGATGGGTGGTAACTGCGCAGCGTCGGGGTCAGGGTTATAATTAGCAGACGCGGATGTCCCGGGTGTGGGTGTAGATTGCGATTGATCTCTAATGCGATCGAGGACTTCCAGACATCGCGCAGCGGCTTGGTTCGCCTCACTGATATTCGCGAGGCAGTCGCGGGCTCGGGAGATAGAAAAGAGCCAGAGATCTTGGTTCGCGGCGGCTAGGGTCGAATCGAGGAGTTGATGGGGTCGAAGGTAATAGATGCTGAGGACGATGGAGGCCTGGAAGAGAAAGTAGGTCGCGTACCAGCTTAGACCGATGTGGAGGACGTCCGGGTAGTCGGTGCAGAAGGTGGTGATGTCTTGGATGCATTCGATTGCGGCGTAGTGGCACATGTTTTGAGCTTCTTCGGTGTCGGAAAGAGTGGTACATAGGCGCTGGGTTCCCCACCATAGCAACATTCGGAGGTTCTGTTCCTTCCAGCCTACTATTGCTCGAGGGCTGCGGAACCAGGTTGGGACGTCGTGGGCGGTGAAGTAGATTGGGAGGGATAGGCGCCATGCTTTGAGCTGGTGGTCGAGAGAGCGTGAGGCCTTCAGGTTGAGGTCTTTCTTTGGAGCTGCAAGTACGTTCCGGTAGACCATGTTTCCGGTGCGTGCTAGGCGGGCGTGTGCGATGATGGCGGAGTAGGTGGTTGGTTTGTCGACGGGGTCGGGGAGTGGGGAATCTAATGTGCAGTCCTGGGATTGGAGTTAGTAGGGTGTTACTATACCGGGGAATGGTGTTACCGAAGCTTCGATGTTTCGTGGAAGTCGGGTTTCAATGAAGCAATCCGATGACATGACAGGTCTCCCTGTGGTCAAGCCAAATCCACTATCGAATGAATACACAATCCACCATACAGCTCTTCTCATTTCGATCGCTAGAGTGTCTCCTATTACATCTGTGGGTGGTTCACGGTGAAGTCCAAGTCCAATGGCCATTCGATATGCTATCCCGATGAAGTTATATCCTGTGTTCGGCCGGTCTCGCTTCTGGAGGAAATTTCCCTGTAGCACTCAGTACCAGGTAGTAGCTTAATGAATGCATAATTAGTGGGCTAACCATCAAAAGAAAAGCTTGAATGGTGAGAAGAGAGCCCGATTCAAGCAGATGTATTGACATGCGTGACCGTGCAGCCATGTAATATTTGGACTGTTCGACTTTTGAGCCACCAGGTAGTATCCAGTCCCCAATTGCCAGAACCAGGTAGAATATCAGGTGCCAAGTGGAGCCGGGCTGGAATTGATGCCGCTTTCTGTACTTCTGCCTGAACGTCCTCTCGTGCAGAATAGGATATGACGAGTTGTACCACATGAAGTAGGCATCAACAAGGCCATCCAGGAGGACGGTATCATCTAGCTCCGCAAACAAAGCTGGACTTTCTACATGGAGTGAAACTGCAGGACGTCGTTCTTTCCGCGCAGCCTGAGGAGTAGTGTCATCGGGGAGCAAATCTGAGATGGATCTTAGAATACAGGACCCTGAGCTGTTTCCTGGAGATAGAACGTTAGACAAGATTATGCAGTCTAGAGCTCTGCAGCCTACCTAGATAACCAGATCCCGACCCCCCTGTTGGCAGTGATGCCATTCCGTCGAGAGACTTGTCTGGATGATGGGTTGAGGGCAACGGAGCTTCGTCCCATTCAAAATTTCCTGAAGGGGTAGGGCTCCGCCTTTCTAAGTCCAGGCTCGGTAGCGCAGGGGTCGGTCTATTGTCACCACGTTGTTCGTCAGACGCCGACAATGCCTTCAATGCGTCTTCGATATCGACTTCCGGATTTGATTTGTGGATGAGAGCAATCAAGTTCGCGCAAAGATGTTCCTTTTCGTCAAGGTTTCTACCCACGTTGAGAAAGGCTTCATGGCATAGAAGAATCTGCACTTACTTCCGAGTCAAAGGGGTGCGAGATGGTACACGGTCGAAGCGACAGTGTTTCTTGGTGCGAGAGCAGTATGAGCATGGGGCAGCACCCGAGCACTAATCAACCGTTAATACGGAAACAGCGTAGGGGGTGGGTTAAGAATTTGCCTTGCTCTTCCGTTTCTGAGACTCGCATGGACCTGGTTAGCAACAGTCGTCCGACATCCGGATCACTCTTACCCGGCATTCTGCACACTGCCCGCCATTAGTTGCCTGCCAGATGGCTGTGCCAATGCGGATGACTTACTGCCCGAAGCTCTGATGGGCCTGGCTTTCTGCTCGATTGTTTTCCCATGACGACTATCAGTCTATGGCAGGAAAAGAGGGTCAAGATAAGGTTATTTTCAGGTGATCATGGCTGTCGGCCCACTGTCACCCGGAGCCCCGCTGGATCGATGACACATTAGCCATGACATCTGGAACCGTTCAATGCCACTTGGGATACGGAGTGGTGAACAATAGATCTAGTAGGATTCGATGCGATCAGCAGTGGTCACCTAATTCAAAGAAATCCAGAATAAAACGCACAACCGTTCTATTGTGATCGGATTGATCTTGGTGACTGATAGCGAGTCTGAGTGATCGCCATAATCACTTGCCATCACTATACAGTGCTCTATGTCGTCTAGCTGGACCACATAATATTCTGGACTGGGCCAACCTGGGGTAATCATCGCGATCGCGCTGTCGAGGGGCCCCAAATCCGATGGGTGCTGTTGGATGGCGCTCGGGTGGCATGATTGGCTGGAACGGCGCATTGGAGGAGATAGTGACCTGACCTCGCATGTCAGCACTAGCAGGGGTGGGGTGGACAGACATTCTCCCATCACAGACTGGAATTGAATTTCAGGAGGTCAGCAAAATTTCGTTACTATGTAAATCAATTATTCGTGGGAGTATACTCCAGAAAAAAGCTGGTGTGGTTGTTGGAGTTGTGCCCTGCATTGCCAGAACCGCGACTCCTCCCGAATCCGGGATCCTATGAGAGCAAACAATGAAAGACTTTGCGACGGGCAGCCACGAAGGATTCACTAATCAGGGGTGCTTCCGACCCGTTCAGTCCCAGGAAATAAAAGGCTCGACCCCCCGGCCTGGCGCTTGTCCCCATAACACTTCGAGCATACCTGTCCTCCGCCATCGAATTTTTGTCTTTGGCACGGTGCGGTGTCCTGCTCGGTCGCTCGGCGCCAGCTCTCCAGTAATTGCACCTCTGTGCTTTACAGTTCAGTCGGAATCACCGGAAACCTAGCTCACAGTGCCCGCATCATGGAAGTCAACGCCCCCAGCTTCGCGTCGCCGCTCGCCAGCGTTCGGGACGGCCATTTGTCGATTCCCTCTCGACTCGAGTATGTCGTCGATGCCGTCAATAATGCAAGCCCGTGGACGATTGCCTTCACCGTCCTAGCGATCCTTGTCGCATACGACCAGAGTATGTAAATCGCGTGCCAAGTCAATAGACCATTGCTTGAATTCTGACGTCGCGTGCCTCGCAGTCATGTACATCCGAAACAAGGGCAGTATCGTGGGCCCGGCCTTCAAGATGCCTTTCATCGGCCCATTCCTGCAATCCGTCAATCCCAAATTCGAGGAATATTACGCGAAATGGACAAGCGGCCCTCTGAGTTGTGTCTCCGTCTTTCACAAGTGCGTCCGACCCCGCTGGCAGGTCCGATGGAATGGGTACTGACAAGTCCACTCTAGGTTCGTGGTAATTGCCTCCACCCGGGACATGGCCCGGAAGGTTTTCAACTCCCCGACGTACGTAAAGCCATGCGTCGTCGATGTCGCTCATAAGCTCCTGGGTGCCGACAATTTTGTCTTCCTGGACGGCAAGCCCCATGTCGATTATCGCAAGGGCCTGAACGGTCTGTTCACGAGAAAGGCGCTCCAGTCCTACCTTCCCGGTCAAGAGGCCGTCTATAACGACTATTTTGAGCGTTTTGTTCGGATCACTAAAAGCGCCGGTGGCAAGCCGGTGCCCTGGATGTCTGGTTTCCGTGAGTTGATGTGCGCTGTATCGCTCCGGACCTTCTGTGGCTACTATATTTCGGACGAGGCAGTCAAGAGAATTGCCGATGACTATTATCTAATCACCGAAGCAATGGAGCTGGTCAACTTCCCTATTATTCTGCCCTTTACCAAGGCATGGTATGGAAAGAAAGCAAGTGAGATGGTACTAGCCGAGTTCTGCCAGGCTTGTGCCAAGAGCAAGGCGTGCATGGCTGCCGGTAAAGAGCCGACCTGCATTATGGACGCCTGGGTCAAGAACATTTTGGCCTCCAAGGAATGGGTCGAAGCCGAGGCCAAGGGGCTTCCGACGGAGAATCTCGAGAAACCGTCCCCTCTGCTGCGCGACTTCGCCGACTATGAGATCGCTCAGACTGTATTCGCATTCCTGTTTGCCTCTCAGGATGCTACTAGCAGCGCGGCCACTTGGCTCTTCCAAACGATGGCTCAGCGTCCCGAAATTCTCGATCGCGTGCGTGAAGAGAACCTGAAAGCCCGCAATGGTGATGCCCACGCTGCAGTCGATCTAGACCAGCTCGAATCGATGACCTACACACGCGCGGTCGTCAAGGAGCTTCTGCGGTACCGACCCCCGGTGACGATGGTGCCGTACATGGCGAAGAGGCCCTTCCCCATTACCGATTCGTACACTGTTCCCAAGGGTGAGATCTGTGACGTGAATCTGTGGTTGCAATGGATGCTGACTTCCGACAGGTGCGATGATTATCCCCACCACGTGGCTGGCTCTTCGCGACCCCGACGTTTATGAGAACCCTGACGAATTCGATCCCGAGCGTTATTATACCGGCGATGCTGAGGAGAAGGGAGCCAAGAACTTCCTGGTGTTTGGAACGGGGCCGCACGTGTGCATCGGACAGCAGTACGCCCAGCTCAATTTGGTGCTGTTGATCGGCAAGGCCTCGTTGATGCTGGACTGGGCCCACCACGCGACCCCGCGGTCGGAGGAAATCAAAGTCTTTGCAACTATTTTCCCCATGGTAAGTGATATATTGAGGAATAGAGTGCTAGATGTTGACTGTCTCCAGGATGACTGCCCGTTGACGTTTACGGAGAGGAAGTGGTGAGGGAGGAAATATTCGTCATGTTTGTATATCAGTTTGTACGCATACCAGGTTTAATACACGGGGCGACGGTTTTCTCTTGCGGGATGCCTCGCCCTCTCATTCTCTTTGCAGCTCTGTATCCTGTGTCATAACATGACAATGGCCACCGGAGTAGTCGATCTGCTTTCCATCTCATCCGCTAGGAGAGATTAAGGTTGGAAAAAACAAGCTCGACCGATCCCTCGAGTGGGACTAGCTTCGACTTGCAGTTAACTACCCCGCCTGGTAACTACTTCTCTCTGGGTCTCTGCCGCTGAATTTCCTCTGGCAACTCTTGCTTTCATGGAGTTCGGAGATCACTTCTACTCCGGCCTCTGCTGGAATGTGTTCAGCCAACTGACTCCCACACCGCCAGGCACACCATCTCTCCAGCAGGTTACCAGTCATCGATCGTCATCTTTATCTCGCCGATCTCCGTTCCCTTCTCGCAACTCTACATGAGGTCATGTTACACTGCCTGCTTGCCACATAGGAAAAAGGAAATCCAGAGGATGACATACCGTGTGATCAGAGCCCCACCAATGCCAACTCGTATACCACTGCTTACTGCTGGTGTAATGTGAGCTAATGTGATATGAGCCAACCCTGCTGCTGGGTTCAGCTGCCGTGATGGACAGCCACCGATACGAGGTATAAAAGCAGCATGGGCAGATGACTTTCACCTCATATCCCTCGTTCCTATCCACTTGAACCAACCATTCTCACACCTACTGGTCAACTTTGCAGTCCTACTATATCAACATGCCCGACATCGACCTCCCCTCCAAAATCCGCAGTGTGATCAAGTAAGTGAACCTCAGATTTAACTCTAATATATCACCTCAACTCATCCAATCCACCCTTCAGAGAACCCCACGGCGTAGTCAACCGTCTCAATACCTCCCGTATCCCTCTTTGTCTCCCACCCAACGCCACCTCTCCCATCCTCTATGCTTTAGGCTTCTCCCGCTATGCCGAGATCTACCTCGGTTTCGAAGAAGCCTGGCAGACCCAGCTCGCGACACCCCCCATAACTCCCAGCCAGAGCTCCATGCCACCGAACGAGAGAATCCGCGACATTCTCCACAAGATCTACATTCCGGAGCTTCAACGCTCCAGTCGCGTGAAGGCCGATCTCGCCTCTTTACCCAAGCTGCCTGATACCACCCAACACCGTAACTCTGGCCAAGCGTTCCGAAGGTATATCAACACACGCATCCAAGAAAAGCCCCATCTCATAGTCGCATATGCCTGGATCATGTACTCTGCGGTATTCAACGGCGGACGGTGGATTCGGGGGCTACTGTGTGACGCGGGCCCGGAGTTTTGGGGCCTGCAAGAGGGTAAGTTACATGTCTGGGAGGAGGGGCGGTTTCCGCCGCCGTTATCTTTCTGGCAGATTGAGGGAGAGAGGTAGGGAGATGATGGGGGTGTGAAGGACGAGTTTCGCAGGAGGGTGGTGCAGGCGGATGCGATGTTAACGGAGGAAGAACGGCAGGAGATTCTCGATGAGACGCTAGTGATCATTAGGCGGAGTGCGGAGATCACTCTAGAATTAGATCGAGATGTGGCTGAGATGTATATCTCGACTGCTAGTGATGCTTTGGGTAAGGAGTGGGGATGGGGGGATTGGATTGACATGGGGAGGGGGGTGCTGACTTATTTGATGGGTTGGAAGTAGGGGCCTCCGTGCTTGATGGGATCATTTGGCGTAATGTAGCGGTTGTATTTTGATACTCGAGCTTGTGTGCTTTGGCAGGGTAATTTTTGGAGTCAAACCATCTTTCCCAGGTTAACATAGCGGAAACTACACCCTGAGTTGTATTCAAAGCAGCCACGTCCCCAATAGCACCCAATTGCCTCTACTTTCCTATCCCTCGATCATCGACTCCACTCAGTACCTACCACCCACCACCTCCCCCTCTCATCCCATCCCAAGTCTCTCCCAGCTCAAAACACCAACCCCCCACCTAAACGCCAAACCATTAGCAACCCCTTATCCAACACCCCACCCCCAAAAACCAAAAAAAAAAAAAGATAAGAAGAACATACCATCAACAACAACATCCACTCCATTTAAATAACTCCCCCCAAAATCACTACAAAGCAAGACCACCGGTCCCGTCAACTCACACGGCTGCCCCATCCTCCTCATCGGGTTCCGATCCGCCCATACGCCCCGATGTCCAGCTAGTCCCTCCCCCTCATTCAACACCGTATCCATATACCCGGGCGAGATGGAATTCACGTGGATTCCATACGGGGCCCATTCCGCGGCGAGACAGCTCTTCATGTTTAGGAGAGCCGCTTTGGAGATGTTGTAGGCTAGTTGGGGTTGGGGGTAGTTTACCCTGTGGCCGCTGATCGAGGAGACGAGGAGGATTTTGCCGGGGGTGTGGGTGCGGATCATTTGTCTGGATGATGTTTCGTTATTGAGAACGGGTTGACTGTTGAGGTATAGGGTATGGGAAGGGGGCTACCTAGCGACAGTCTGCGCGGCGATCCAAGCACCTGTTGTATTGACATCTTGCATCCGTTTATAGTCCTCGAGGGACATCTCGATGGAAGGGACGCAGTTGACGATGCCAGCGAAGCAGCAGAGGATTTTGAGGTTGCCGAGGTGGGTGGTTGCGGTTTGGATTGCGGATTGGACTTCGGATTCGATGGTTACGTCGCATGGGATGGAAATAAATTTGGAGTTGGGAAAGTCGTGTTCTAGGGAGGCTATGTAGTCTTTGCTTTTTGTGAGGCTGGCTGGCAGGTCGAGGAGGGCGAGGCCTTCGAGGCCGTGCTCGAGGAGTGCGCGCGCGGAGGTGAGTGCGAGGGTGCCGGCACCGCCGGTGACTGTGCTGTGTTACTATTGTAGGCCAGTATTGTTGATAGATGAGAGGTAGATATACAGACGGCGTTCCCACTCACGGCGAACCGTTGTCTTGCGTTCTCGGCTGGACTGTTACTTGCTGGGAAGGGTGCGGGAGGTGGTGTGAGAGATGACTCTGGGTTGAGCTCTCCGAGACGCATCCATGGGATTGTAGGGGCTTTTGGATCTGATCCCATCTTGATGATGTCTGGTTATCTCAAAGGATGCTGTTGGGTGTTCGCTGTGTCTGTGTCTGTGAGTATCTAGAAGATCTTGGCGGTTGTCAGTGTTCTATGGACAGCTCCACTCTCCGGATAAATTCTAGTAATAGATGAAAGAGAAATGCATGGATTGAAATAAGCAGTGGAACCTAAACTGTGCATTTCATGATTTGATGCAGCGATTTGTTATGAATTTCAAGAGTGGGGTTGGCAATGGGAGCCAAGCTCGGCCTACCTGCAGTCTCTCAAATGTCTTTTGATCCAGGATTATCAATAAGTCCGCTTTTCTTTTCTAATTAGTTGACTTCAGAGAGCAATGGTATACCAGCGGACCTCCGAGTGGGATGAATGCGGGGACTCCGGCGGGGTGCGGAGATCGGCCTCGGTGCTCTGTCTTCCGCTTTCTCTTTTCTCTTTCAGGTCTGAGCGGGTGCACTCACAACAAATCATTTGAAAGTCGGTCGCAGAAGAGAGGCAGATGATCAAGACCAAGTCATGGCGATGCCAATGAAGCGATGGTTCAACTCTGGTGGCCCGAAACCCAGATCAACTGCTGGTTCAGGACAGGTCGGACTACAGTCTACCGACTGAACATCACATCATATCGGACCATCCTCCGGGTCCTTGACAAGCGGGGCAGGTTATCCTTCGTCCAAATGTCATTCGTGGTTAGTGTAACCCCGCTATCAAGTAATTGAAGTTAAAGCGAGGAATACAAAGCAGGCACCTTCCCGAGAACACTCTTCAAAAGAAAGGCGTTTCCCTAAAAGAAAGACGATCACCGATTCTCGTCTTTGAATTATATCTGTCCTCGATCGACCTTCAGTCCCTTCACAGCCTGATTTCATAAACTATCAAGATGTCTATGAGCACAGCTGACAGCGCGACGGTTCGAGAGGGATTCCCTCGCCCGTTCCCAAACACGCCAACAAATGTGATGGCGCAACTTCGTCTGAGCGGAAAGGTTGTCGTTATCACAGGAGCTGCAGATGGCATTGGCTATGCAGTAGCTGAAGCGATGGCTGAAGCCAATGCAAATATCGCCATGTGGTACAACTCGTAAGTACAGATTCTCCTACCTAGAATATAGCTTGTTAATGATCATTCCAGCAATGACGCTGCTATCGAGAAAGCACAAAGTCTGGCCAGCGCTCATGGAGTCCAGGCTACTGCTTACAAGGTTGACGGTGAGCAAGCCTTGAAGTTGTGAAGACGTGCAATACTAATCTCTCCAGTCTCGGATCCGGACGTTGTCCAGAAAGCCATCGCAGAGGTTGTCAAAGACTTTGGAAAGATCGATGTGTTCGTTGCAAATGCTGGTAGGAGTGCTCTACCTTCAGAAAAGCGGGTATCTCGCTAACACCGAACAGGAATGGCTATTTCCAAGCCCATCCTGGAGCAAACGCTGGAAGAATATCGGAAGCAGATGTCGGTGAATGGTAAGCAGCCTATTCCTTAGCGGTTTAACGCTCACTGACTTCTGCAGTTGACGGCGTCCTCTACTGCGCCAAATACGTCGGAGAGGTATTCCAGCGACAGGGCTTTGGCAATCTGATCATCACCTCCAGTATGAGTGGTCACATTGTCAATGTTCCCGTCGATCAGCCCGTCTACAACGCCAGTAAGGCATTCGTGACTCATTTCGGAAAGTCGCTCGCCCGGGAGTGGAGAGATTTTGCTCGTGTCAACATTGTCTCGCCGGGCTTTTTCGAGACCAAAATGGGAGCCAGTCCCCAGGCGATCAACGAAGCCTACCGGATGTCGGCGTTAGGAAGGCAAGGCCATGTGAAAGAGATCAAGGGTTTGTATCTGTACCTCGCCAGCGACGCCTCCACATTCATGACTGGTAGTGATGTCCTCATTGATGGTGGCTATGTGCTGCCCTGATTGCAATGGTGCTGTTACCCATTCATTTTCCCAACTACTATGTACGAGATCACGTTCCCGTTCCAACTGTCTATATATTGTTACTGGTTAGAACATGATCTAGATGGTAGTTGATGACTGGGGAGCTTTACTCTTGACATGTGATCTGTACTAAAATAGGAACCAAACTTGCTAGTATTATTGTATGATACGATAGTAAAGATGTGCGCTTCTTCAATGTAGTAAATAGAACAAAAGGGGATCTGTCGCTATCACTCACTGTGCATTGCTGTGCATTAGTGACTAAGCAACCGGGAGTAATGCCAAATGGCACGTGCCCAACGTCATTGGCCCAAAGCGGCAAGGCGGCGCAAATCTGATTATCAATTCTGCGTCGAGGGGCAACAGACTCATTTCGACTCATCGCATCCTGATCCTTCCCCCACTTCTCTGACTCAGTTGTGGGATTTATTTCGTCAGTCACATCGAGATCGAGCGACGACTTGGAGTATCGGTTGTCCATTTATACCCAGCGGTCGCAGTCGGCTGGAATCATACCCCGCTTCATCGATCACACAATCATTAACGACTTTCCTTTTCGCGATACCCCTTCGTTGTTTCTTCAAGTCGATTCAAAATGGACGGCCCTGCTTCTTCCCTCCCTTACACCTGCAACACCTGCCTCGTTGCCTTTCGTGGCAGCGATGCGCAGCGGGACCACATGCGCACAGATTGGCAGTAAGTTTTATATTTCCTACTTGGCGGCAGAAACTGATCTATCCTACAGCTTGTATAACATGAAGCGTCGAATTGCGTCTCTCCCCCCAGTGTCCCAGGAGACCTTCAACGAAAAGGTCCTTGCCGCCAAGGCCACCACCACTGCCGCGGCCGCCAAGGCCTCGTTCGAAACCACCTGCGTCGCCTGCCAGAAGACCTTTTACAGCGAGAACTCCTACCAGAACCATATCAAGAGCTCCAAGCACAAGGCCCGCGAGGCCCGCATGAACCGGGACAATGCCGACGACTCATCCTCCGTCATGAGCTCGACCTTCTCCCTCGGAGAGCCGATCAACAAGCATCGCGTCGGCGAGTCCGAGGTCGCCAAGGTTACCGAAACCCTCAAGGACACCACCATCAAGGAGGAAAATGAAGACGAGGAGATGTCGGACGACTCGTTCTCCGCATCCAACTGCCTCTTCTGTCTTCAGAAGGCCGCCGATGTGCAAGAAAACACCGAACACATGTTCAAGGCCCACGGCATGTTCATCCCCGAGAAGGACTATCTCACCGACCTGGAAGGTCTCCTCCGCTACCTACACCGCAAGATCAACGAAAACAGCGAATGTCTCTACTGCCATATGATCCGGAACACCCCTGAAGGTATCCGTACCCACATGCGCGACAAGGGCCACTGCATGATTGCGTTCGAGTCGGAGGATGAGCAGATCGAAATCGGCCAATACTACGACTTCCGCAGCACTTACTCGGATGATGAGTGGGAGTCCACCGGTAGCGAGGCGCACGAGGAAGGTGGTGTCAAGGTTGACGGCGAGGATGAGGGATGGGAGACGGATGCTTCATCGATGGATGAGGACGAGGATGAGCTTGACAACCGCAAGAGTCAGCCCGTTGTCTACGCCACGGAGTATGAGCTGCATCTCCCCTCTGGCCGGAGTGTCGGTCACCGCTCTCTGGCCAAGTACTACCGCCAGAACCTGCACAACTACCCCACGGCTGAGGAGCGTGCGGAGCGTCAACTTGCCATCGAGAACGGCGAGATCGAGGAGGAGGAGGCGAAGCCTCGCGGCCGCAACCTCAACCGCGCCCTTGTCACCCGTGCCAATGGCGGTACGGGCATGATCGGCACGACGGACTCCCAGAAGAGAGACGTGATGATCAGCGAACGTAAGGAGCGCCAGAGAGCCATCCGACAAGAGAACCGCTACACGGCACGGATCAACCGGGCTGCCAACCACCAGAAACATTTCAGAGTATGTTTCTCTCTTCCCGCGTTCTGGATAAAGCTAATCGAATGTCTAGGATCCTCTCCTGCAATGATCTCATACATTTCGTCTTGCATGGTATGTTGATGAGTCTATGAATATTCAGGTATCTCTTTTTGTGTCTGCATTGCCGTGTCTGTTGGCATCTGTTTTGGAGTTGTGGTTGGGTACATACTTGTTATGACAAAAGTGTTTTCAGAATAGAGTAGATCATACGCTCTATCAATCTGATAGAATTGAATATCTTAGTAGAGTGGATAGAGCCAGACCAGCCTCGAGACGCACCAGCACTCAATGCATCTCATTGGCAATAGCGTCAAATGGTATAAACCACACTCGCTAACAGATATCGCCATAAACATATCGCCAACTCGAAGAGATGGACATACAGTCGACCCATATTTAATAACTGTCACGGACCTCTTCTACAGCTAGTATTCAGGCCAAAGAGGAGAGAGAAAGCGTACAAGAAAAAAGAAAAGCAAACATCCAAAGCGGGCGGACGAAGAAAAACAAAAAGAAGTGCATCATCCGTGAATCGAACACGGGCCTCATCGATGGCAACGATGAATTCTACCACTAGACCAATGATGCTGTTCATATCAATACTGCCAAATTTGTGTTATATATACCATTATATAATGAAAGTAAAGCCTATTACACACTGCAATACCTGCAGCATCAGAACACATCCGCATATATGCGGAGTCTCTGAATGTCATGCTTAATTTTTTTGCGGATGGGAAGGCTCCCATGAGCCTACTTGGCCATCTGCTCGCTAACAATTTCCCAGGATCCAGGAAATGCGTCGCAAACTCAATCACTCGTATCATCTAGATGCCAGAGATTAGATCCGATCAGATTAACTACCACCATTAACCCTCGAGTCGGAATGCAGCGCATACTGCCGTTGTGTAACTTGATTCTATCTATACTTGATAGACCATGTAGCACATACCTACCGTGGGGTGCACTATACCTTGACAACTACCGTACCCGCACGGTCTCAATTGCAGAAAATAGCACTAGTAGTATAGCCAAAGCCAAGCAGAAAGTGACATAACCTGCATAAACACCCACAGACCAGTTATGAACGCCTTCCCACTACACTATGTACAGGGTAGGGTACTAGTAGCATTCCGCCAAGGATCACCACAAAGGATGCGATCCGCAGGGTCTAGTCTAGTTACCAACTAGCAAGACCCTGGTCCGGTCGATCCTGGTTGCCCTGTCACACTGATCCTATGGCCGCGACGGCCAGGCGCCCCGCAAACCAACCCATTCCCAATCCCAATCCCATCCCTGTCGGTGTCACTTCCCCCGATAATGTTACTCCGGCGGATTATGGGAATTGGCTCTTCTGTCTTTCACCCCTGAGATTTCACGTCGCTCTTCAGTTTACTTGAGGAATCATCTCATGATGTCCTATCAGGTTAGTTCTTCCTTCAAATTATGCTAGCTAGTGATCGTGATAACCACTCACCAACCCAGTCCCCACCCCTCACCCGCGGCGCCGAATCCATCCGGCGAAGAATCAAATCCCTAAGACCGTCGCCCTCGCGAAAGGGCCTCATCTGTCTGTGCAATGACGGCGTGCTGCGCAGTTTCAGTTCGACGGGAACGGTAGTGGACTATGCGCGGCTGAGTCCGGAGGAGATTCAGGATGCGAGTGAATTGTTTGGCACCGATCCGCATCTGCAGCAGGAGATGAGGAAGGTGTTTCGCGGGGTGGATGGGTATGATGTGCCCAGTGAGAAATTGGAGTTTCCGGATAGGGAGTTGGTTCCGAGGCGGTTGAGGGGGGTTCGGAGGGGGGCGGGGGTGAGGTGATGGGTGGGGATGTAGTGTTGGGTGATTGTGGGTGCGTTCGACTGTGTTAATGGGAGAGTGATTGGCTGTAGTGGAGGGTTCGATGGAGCTGCTTCAAGATCTGGTCGATGTATCTTGAGGTCGGATCAAGTATTCACTTATTCCAGTGTCTTGTTAGGTGGATGGACCTTGAGATGATTCGTGTGGAATGGTGCAGTAAGTTGTTCAATTCTATAGAGGATAGGTTCAAGCGGTTGATAAAGCAGGATTGTGTGACTACAGTCTTCGCAACAAAGAGAAAATTATCTCTAAGACTGATCAAAATCCATACCAACGGGAGCATTCGTTTAAATGTAAAGGGATCCCCTAACAACAGGGTATACACTCATTCTGAGGAACGGAGGCTGCACGGCTCGAATGGATATGGAACAAGCCAAATGGGAAGGGTCTTGCCTTTACAATTCCGGAGATGCTCGGAGCGGCAGATATCTCAAGATGCAACCGAGCATACGATATAAAGAAGCATTGTTCCTACTGTCATTCAGGATCTTCGTTATCACCACTCCAGAGCGACCCTTGCTATCCAGTCCACTACATCGAGCACATATCACTCAAAAACCATCATACTACAAGAAGCACTACCAATCATCAACATGCGCACAAGCACCATCACAACCGTCCTCATGGCCATCACCACCACAGCCACCACCACAAACACCACCCTCAAAGTCTGTCCCTCCTCCTCACCCCCAACCCCATCCCATACATCCCTAACCCACCCCATCCCCAGAACCAAACCCTCAACACAACCCATACCCCCCACCACAACCAAACCGCCTTCATGCTCATCGCCGACGACGCCATCCTCTCCAACGTCCCCAACACCTCCATCACCAACCGTCTCGTCTTCAACAAAACCCAACTGCTAAGCATCATTACCAATTCAAATGCTACTAATAGTACCGTTCATGCATATCTCATAGATACTTGATTATGCCGGGACGAGAATACATTAACTACGCAACCTCACAAAGAAGATCCGTAGATCTCAAGTTACCAAACCAAGAGTTATCCATAATATCTAGACCCTTCAAGTTCCATTCTCTCCTACTCTATTCAGACATGTAGAAGTGAATAAATAATGCAATGAGCCCATCATCATAGTATATTTGTATATCTGTCTCATTTGCATCAGATGTAAGCGTAGTTGAGTTCCAGTGAACCATTCTGGATGTGTACAGACTACTAGTAGCCTACCTACCTATATACTACCACCAGCCGTAGACGCGACGCAGAAAGAAGGGATAACTACCCCGTAGTCAATAAATAATTGATACCACATGACTCATACTAAGACAAGGACATATGACTCGTCCAGATTCCTGATCGATGGATAAGACTAGTATAGAGCGGTAAATACCAAGTAGTGGGTACGTAGGTACGTGCATAGGAGCTCGAGGTATGCGCCCGACCCAGGTCACTGGGTTGAGATGTCTCAGATCAGAGACACGCGTGGGAATCACGAGGGGTCGATGTGGAGAGATACAGTCGGGGGAGAGGGTTAACCTGGGGTAGTGGGTTCGTTGGGAGGTCCAGAAGTCCGTCCAGAAACCGGTCCAGAAGTCTAGGGTATCTACAACGTGGTACAAAATGCAAGGATGATGAACAGAATGCCATTCATAAAAATAACTGCAAGATTCATCTACACCGCCAGAACCCTCCATGCACGACATTTGTCAGCGACCATTATGGGCAGGCAGGGTGGCTATGCATGGGTACGAATATACGATTGAAAATCCGTCGCTCCCCTGGTGAGCATGTGCATCACACACGACCAGCTGGCCGGTCGTACCGGTGTAAACAACTATCCACGGGCCGCCCTGTCGCTCTGGCCAGCAGAACACTCCGAGCGTCCGATTTACATTCGTCATTGCGACAGCAGAGGCGTATTCTCGCCCGTCTCTGTGTTCTTCGCTTGTCCGCGTTTTCTGCGACGACGACGGCGCTTGCTCCCGCCCGTCTGGTTCTCTCCGAGGTCCACGATCTCGCCGTCCTGGCGGACGGGAAACTCCGGATGCTCACTGGTCCCGGGTCGTTCGGATTCCGACGAGCTCGTGCTGGTGGTGTGGAGAACGACCTTGCGAATGCCGTTGACATCGACCACCTGCTCCGTGATGCTGCCACTGCGGGCAGGACCCCGGTGGCAATAACTGCCGGGCTTGAGATGGTCAAATTGCGAGTCGAGGGACCCAGCACTACCCACTCGGCTGCCGGCCGATCGGGGGTTATCATCCTGTTCTTCATGCACTAGCTCGGGAATGGAGATCGGAGGTCCGTCCCTCGTTTGAGTGCTGGCGTCGGCAGGAGGTTTGGCGTGGTTCATGGTTCCATAGCCCGCACGCAAGGCAAGCACCCCATCTCGGGCATCCATACCACTTTGCACCAGCCCGGCGCCGATACCTCCCTGCAAACCGATAGAGTTATGCCTGGTCTGCGAATCGGACATACTCTGGGTGGACTCAAGATCGGTATGCCCCGATCGGGATGGTGAGACGCTCCGCTTGATCTTGACGTTCTGGTACCGAGTTTGGCGCGGTCGGCTGGCCAAGTTGGAAGGCCCGAGATGCTTCAGGTGTTGGCGAATCTCGTCCGTCGTGCCTCTTTGTGTGAACAGACCGTCGGTTGAATCTGAGTTCTTGTCAGACTGAGGCCGGCGGAGCTGGAACCGGGGCAGGGGCGCTTCGATAGAAAGGCGACGGTGGTCCTTCGCCGCGCCATTTGGTGCGGCTGGAGGCTCGTTCTCGTTCTCAACGTCAACCAGAGTGGTCTCCGGCGGGAGCATTGGAGGGTCTTCCACAATCCGACCCTTGGGGACACGGGACTTGGGCGCGGGAGCCATGCGGCGGATGGCCTTGTGTACATCCACAAAGACATCGGATTCGTCGATGATTTCCCTGCGAGCGGTTAGCGCTGTCATGATCATCACGGAAGTATGGCTGTTACATACTCGCCGATCAGTTCCTCGATCACATCTTCCAAAGTGACAACACCCAAAGCACCACGGTCTTCACCCGGATATCCCGAGACCAAGACCATGTGAGACTTGCCCTCCTGGAAGAAGTTGACGATATCCAGGCAACTGGTCTCAGGACGGGTCTCGGGAAGAGTGGCCAGAGCAAAATCACGCACGCGTTTGCAATCTTCAGGGTCATAGGTGATCAGCATCTTCACCAAGAGCATGCCGACAAAGTTCATCGGGTTATCCGGCGCATGGATGGGAATGCGGGAATATCCTTGCGAAAGGATAAGATCCATTGTGTCTTCGTCCAGGATGGTGTCGGCCGACATGGTAAAGACATCCTCCATGGGGGTCATGATGCCGCCGACCGCCTTGTCCTTGAGGTCCAACACGGCGCTGATGATGGTGACTTCATCCGAGTTCAGTTGTTCCCCGGCTTCACCCAGGGTCTTGTGCAACGTGACCAGTGTCTTGAGACCGGCCTTCTTGTAGATGGTTCCGTGATCTTCGCCCAACAGCTTATCGAGCAGCTTGGCGACCGGGTAAGCGACGGGGGACATGAGGTACATGAGCGCTAGGACACAGGGGGCCATCCAGGCGCCGATGGGGAGACCATAACGGACACAGATCGACTGAGGGACAATTTCGCCGAAGATGACTGGACCAAAATGGGGAGATGATAAGCAAGGATGCCACGGGCCGAAAAGAGGGATTTTCGCATACCAATCAAGACGGTACTGCCGAGCACCGCAGGCCAGCCACCGCCAAGTGAGCGGTCGAGCACAATTGGAAGAGTCTCGTTGGTGATAACGTTACTGAGCAGGAGGGTCACGAGTACCCAGTGCTTTCCTCGCTGCAACAACTTCAACACACTTGCGGCATTTTTGCGTTCTGAGCCTTCCCCGGAGGTTTGGATAACTTGTAGGTAGACTTCATCCTATTTTCCAACAGCCAGACAATCAGCGGGTGCACAGGGGGGCAACAGAGAGGGATGAGGTGGAATACCTGGCCCATCAGGGCAATGGTCAAGCCGGCGAACGCACCGCCACTCAGGACGAGGGCGGCGGCGACACCTAGGTATAGCCAGAGGCTGGGATCGCTGGGGGGTTTGGGGTCGACATCGGAGTTGAGGAGGTAAGTTGGGGCGGCGGAGATGACGGGCAGGTTGGGAAGGGCGAGGACGAAGAGTTTCGCTAACCCAAGGACGAGAGGCCGGGCGGCCAGAATGCGCGTGGCCGAAGATATAGCCATCACCGATGGGCACGAAGAAAAAGAAAGACTGAGAGGCCCGAAGGCTACAGGAGGGACATATTTGAAGACGAGGAGCAGGCTAAGCTGAATGGGGGGATGTGAAGGGAGAGCGAAGGCCCGGCCGGCACTAACGATCTTCGACGGAACGGGCGCGGCGTTCTCGGAAAAATGATCAGTGCGTCGCCCAGTGACGTCGCCCTCTTGGTCTGGTCTAGTGCTCTAGTCGGTCGGGCTAAACGGTTAGTTTGTTCGTCGAACTTTGCTGGACACAATGAGACCGGATTCAACAAGAGCTTTGGAAGTAGGAATGGTGGCCAATCGATGTCACCAAATGGACGAGGCTGACGCGTGAACGGGGTAGGCAGTCACTACAATCTTTACTGGTAGGAGATACACCTGAGAAACCGCGCAACGGGGGAGGCCTGTCCGTCGCCCAATGAAAGGCCGTGGCGGCAGCTGTGTGCTGAGGTAAGCGCTGAGTCATTCAGTTCTGTTGCACCAACATCACTCATACCATCACCTCGATCATCTGGACAGCCTCATCGTAGGAGAATCCCTTTATTGCCATGTAATTCGTATCGGGGATTAAGCCAGTTATGCATGGAGATTAGCTGTAATAACATTTTCACATATGCTCATGAGAAAGCCACACTGCCTATATAGAACTGTTCTTGCTCCTTCCCTACCCTTAGCCCTGGTCATCTCGACCCATCAAGATTACATTCTCTTGCCCATTTATATCCTCAGATGACTTCATGTTAAGTGACTCTACCCCTCAGGACACTTGAATGTTTCTGTTCTACGATCTGGATCTACTTGGATGTAGAATTGTCAACAGGTATCTGTTGTCTACTTCTCCCCGAGCATCCACGTGCTTCAGCTCTTGACCCCAGGGGTCTCTCTCCTGGACCTTGTTCCAAATATTGATTGTGAAAGAGACACAGACTCTAGCACACTTCAACCAAGCTGCTCATATCCAAGGAATAATCTTCAAGACCTCATCACATATATATAACTGAGCAAGGATCTTATATATAATACCGAGGGAAGAAGACAATTTACTGCTCAAGGTCTCACCCAGCAGAAATTACTACACGCATGTCAGGACTCGACCTGGGATGGCTTGGAGGGTGAATGCATGCGCCAGCATACGAGAAAAGTGATACAAATACAAACCTGGCCACTGGCGAAAGACAGGTATCTTGAGTTGCTGGGCTTCTACTTGGGCGCGATCTTAGATACTGACTGGTATTACTCAATCATACCGTACTATGATTCAGTAGATTCACATCTGGAAGATCTGTCTCGTACGCATTGGTTACCGAGTAGGATTTCTCCAGCTGGGATCGCTTCCAGAGTTGCAGACCCTAGTCTGGTCCCTGGTGGTAGTCTAGATAGATTCACACATAGCCTCCTGTGAACATGAGCAGTGAGAGCACCAGTCCAGTCCTCAGCCATGCACGGGCCAGAATGTGAATCCGCGGGGACGAATCGCTGACCTACAGTGGCGAAAAGACGGGAGGATGTTTCCGCCATTTTGTGAGTAGATTACAGGAAGTGCCCTATCTGTACCACCTCAGAATGTAGGAGCTTTCCGATATTCCCACGTAGTCTTTTGCCTTCTCCTCGCCCATAAATACTGCCCCTCTTCTGGGCTCTGATCTTAGCTAGTACCATAGACATTCTCCAAATTTTATCGATCCTGTCAATCTAGTGTACCATCCATCCAAATTTCTCCAAGTAGGTTATTCATTCACTCGCTCCTAATGCGAGTGGTCCATAACATTGTAACTCTCTCTGTCCATGGCTTCATTCACTGAACAGGCAGATTCTGACGCAGTTAGGTCCTTAGTGGCCTTTCCCACTTTTCCCCCTCGTCTCCTCTCTCCGTTTTGCTTCGCCATTCTCCTCATCCCGTTACCTACCTTCCTTGCTTCTCCAACGATCCATCTTCGAGATCTCCCGAACTTAGCACTTTAATCAAGACTTTCGTCTCAACTATCCGAAATGTCCACTCCGTTCGAACAGATCTTCCTGTACGGGCAGACTCTCGATCCTGACGAGTCGGGACTCAGTATCCTGGAGTACCTCGACCTGACGGCCGGAGCCTCCCTCGTTTTCGGAGCAACTGTTCTCTTTGCCATAGTTTGCGTGTTCTGGGAGAGCTTCACCTGCTGCCTCGTTGGCGGAGTCAACCTACTCGCGACCATCAACTGTCCTCTAGATTTTTGTGCTCTCTGCTTCGGCGGAATCAAGAAGCTGATTGTTAGCTGTGTGCCTGTTTCTTTCTTTCATAACGTGTATCATTGGTACTTCCCCTTTAAAAGTCCCCTTTCCTCCATTTTTCGGATTTGGGCAACATTTGTTCTTGCAACTTCGGCGTATCGCTCGGTTTTGCTACTCGCGTTTAATTACCTGTATGGGATCTTCATCGGACTCGGGCCTAGCGCGTGGGAGCGGTTGCAGAATTGCCTCGATGTCGAAGAAAGTACTGTTTCGGCTCAGTGGTTTTGGCATCGGTCGCTAGAGGCCTTTCGCTGCCAGGGGTTGGGGCATGGAGTCGACTTGCAGTACTTGACTGACGGTTACCTTCCACCGTTGTATGATGAAGAGGGGGAGATTGCAGATGTTTGTATTTTTCTTTTCGCCGCTGGTCTTGTCTTGTTCATCGGTGTGACGGTATTGTTGGTTCTCTCTGTCCGCGGGATTCCTTCTTCCAAGTGGTGGAACAAGTTGCGAGGAAGCAGCGCCGCCGAGCGAGAGGCACATCTCCGAGCCATCCAAGAACTTGCGATGTTGTCAGCAAAGGTCGAAACCTGCGAGGCTCGCCTGGAGCAGCAGGGCCGGCTCTTGACTGCCAAGTCTGAGGTACTTAGGGCAGCCGAGCTACGCATGGAAGAGGGCTGGGCGCTCGCTAAGAAGCTAAATGCCCAGCTCAATGCTCAGCCGGTCCGTGTTAAAGCCAGTGTCAGTAAGAAGGATGATGAGGTTGTCATCCGACGTCTTCGTGAAATGCTGTCCAAGACGGACGGGGAGATCATGACGGCCAAAAGAGACTTGAAAGAGATGGAGGCCAATACCGCTTCAAGAGAGCGAACTTTCTCCATCCGGATCTATCAACTGGAAGAGCAGTTGTCCCATGAGAGGCAACAGACCAAGACCGATTCCTCAAAGAAGGTTCGGTCGCTTACGGCCGAACTCCAGGAACGGACCGACCAGCTCGCCGCCGTCAAGCACCGCCTGGCTGCCGCAGAGACCCGTATGAAGCAGTCCCGCCAACAAGACGACACCAGTAGAATCGTGGCTGAAAACCAATCGCTCGCAACTCAAAATCGGGAGCACGTTGCTCATACCGAAAAGCTCGCCGCGAAGTTAAAAGATCTCGAAGCAGGTCACCAAGAGCTCACCTTGCAATACCAAGGTCTTATGGCCCAGAATCAAGAACTCGGTGCCTACAACCAAAAGCTCACAGCTCAATACGAAGAGATTGTCACTAAGAACCAAGAGCACGTTGCTGACAAGGAGAAGCTTACTGCTCAGTTTCAAGAGGTTGTGGCTCAGAATGAGGAGCACGTCGCTGACATCGAAAAGCTCACGGCGCAGCACAAAGAGCTGGTTGCGGATAGGGAAAAGCTCGCGACTCCAAAAGAGGATGACCTTGCTACCCAGTATCTCGCAGCTCAATACGAAGAGCTTGTTGCGGAGAATAAAAAGCTCGCCGCTAAAAACCAGAAGCTAGCAGGCCAACACAAGGAACTCGTGGCCCAGAACAAGGACTACGAAGCTAATAACGGAAAGCTTGTGGCGCAGTACCAAGATATGCTGGATCAAAATCACAAATTGACTGCCCAGTGTCAAGAATACATTGCGCAGCACCAAGACCCTATCGCTCAGAACCAAGAGTTGGCAGCCCAATATCAGGAACTGCTGGCCCAACATGAAGCGACCATTGCCCAAAACCAAGAGCTCCAGGCTCAGAGCCAGGAGCTCGCAGCTCAATACCAAGAGCTTGCTGCGCAGCACCAAGAGCTCGTAGCCCAGAAAGAGGGACTCGACATGAATTACGAGGTCCTTCACCAAATGTATCTTGAGTGCGAGGGACCTTCGGCAGCAATGCAGCAGGAGCGCGATAGTGCCATGGAGCAGGTTTTCCTGCTGCGGCTTGAGCTTTCATCAAGTCAAGCGGTTGCAGAAGAAATGACGAAGGAAGCACAGGAGTCTGTGGCCCGTGCCCAACAAACCGAAGAGGTTCTTCGTCAGTCAATGCGCGACCTCAAGGATGCTTGCGACTCAACTCTGAAGCAGGAACGTGCAGATTCAGAAGGCACTAGGGAACAAGTCGAAACCCTTGAAGGAAAGATCGTACTTCTTAAGAGTAAGCTTCGCATGGCCACGAAAGATATCCAGCGAGCCGACGGGAGGGCGGTCGCCGCCGAGAAGGCCAAGGCCGCTCTGGAAAAGCTTCTGGCCAGCAAGCAGGTCGACCGGGTCCAGGAGACGCCCAAGGCGCGACCCGGCGAACTCAAGTCGATCACCACTGTCTTACAACAGAGTCAGGTGAAGATCTCCGAGCAGCAGACCGAAATCGACCATCTCCGGAACCAGCTCAGTCAAGTCTCCCAAGGGCTACTTGGACCCTCTGATCAGGTCCTCCATGAAAAAGCTCGGGAGCTACGGGAGCTCCTGGACAAGGAGAAACGACAGCGAAACGAGGACCAGATCCGGTGGGACAAGAAGACCCGCGAACTCGAGGAGGAGACTCGGAAGTTACGGATCTCCAACTCTAACAACGATGCCGCGCTCGTTCATCGCGGCAGACGCAAGGCTACCCCCTTCTGATCTACGACAGGGACTGCTCGATCGACTGGGCTCTCGAGCAGTCTCTAGATAGGTCTGAGGGTCCTATCTTCCTATCCCCTGGCTTCGCGATTTATCGCACGGTATACCTGTTTGAAAGGTGTCCTTACAATGGCGTTTCTTGATATTCACCAGCCACGAGCATCGCCCTAGTTGCCTTTGGGACCGTCTTTGCGAACCGGAGGGGTGTGGAGTTGTGCGGGCTCTTTGGGTTCCCATAAGGACAGTCTGGGTTTCTTGAGCAGCGGCACGATTCTTATCGAGGAATGTCAAGAGGCAGGATTGGAAATTGCTCGTCGGTATATACAGGCAGAGTTGGAGGGAGGCGCGAAGCATTGGGGGAGGGGACCGGGCAGAGAAAAAGATTCAGGTGGACTGCTGAGTGTTGACGGGCAGGAATGGGGATCACGGGGACAGCCGGGGGTCCGTGACGGGCAGAGCGGCAGCGGGCGACCGGCAATAACGTCCGCCGGTGTCTCCATCTCTTCTTCATCTCCATCGCTCCATTTCCCAATCCCCAACGGCGGCTGGCAAATTGAGCTCCGGCAAGAATCCACTCTGGTCAGGAACCAGGAACGGCGGGCGGGCGCCCTGACTGGCTCGCGGACTGGCGGTCGCGCGCAGACCCTCGTTATCAGGCCCACGAGTAAGAGCTTCCCCCTCTCCTGGGCTGACATGGCGGTTTGATTCGGAAATTGATCCGACTAACACTCAATAGTGGCCAGTAGTTTCATTCCCGCCATACCGTCCGTGTTTCACCTTGGGCCGACAAACCATGGATAACCCCATTCTTCATTCCCACGTTCCGATCCACATTCTTCCATGCAGCTCCCCCTCATCAAGTCATCATACAATCTCCTCGCTCTCGTTTTCGCGCCGACTGCTTCTGCCCGTTCGTCAAGTGTCACCGCTCCGTTGGGCCACACTTTCATTTGAGACTTTGACATCCGTCTTCTGTCCTTCCTTGCGATCATTCTGGTGCCCGTCGTCACTCTCTGCCCCTGCTGCCCGCCATTGCGACCGGAACTGCCGCAGCAGCACGCGCCAGGGCCCCTGCCCCTATCTTGGCACGTTCACCCTACCCACTGAGGCTAACCGCCGACGTCCCAGTTCGAGCGTCTTCAAAACCTGTCAGACCTTTTCAATGGCCATTCGCGATGGGTCCGCGCTGATTGACAGCTCGTTCTGTTGACCTCGGACCTCGACAACTCTCAGCGGTTATGCGCGATTGTCGTCGGTAGGCGCTGGTGCTACTGCTTACGCTTTTCTTGTCACTCTTTACTTGGCGCCGTACTGTACAAAAAGATCCCATACCTCTTGCGTGCCTTCGCTCTTTGCTATCTCGCCCACGTTGCGATCGTGACTTCGCCCGGCTGGACCGACGGAGTACCCCTCTTTCCTCCCTCATCCGACTTTCCTTGACCCAAGTTGTACCATTGGCCCTGGCGGGACCAGATCTTGATCCGATATGTTTTGCTCTGGTGACCGGGAGAAAGGGCCAGTGGCCTTGGAGGAGCAGTGGGACTACATTGTGGGTTCCATCGGTCGCATGGACATAATTACGAATATCGCTGATGTTGTTTGTACATAGAACCTTGATGACTTCAAGTCCGAGTCCTGCCTCTCTCCGTTTTCATACTTTTTCCTCTACGTCTTCCTTCTGGTCTCCATTGCCGTGTATGGCGTGGACACCTTTACCGCCGTCAATCTGTTGGCGTTCTCCCGATGGGCTGGTTCAATCGAGCCTGCGATCCCGTTCAAGATTTCGCGCTGGATATTCGCCGTGTGCATTATCATCTCATTCGCGCTGTTGGCTTACCGATGGATGCGTGTCATCCGGGCGATGCGCTCCGGAAGTATCGCTCAAAGCTACCTCGACTCTCTCGCCGTGCGCATTCAGAGTATCCGCATGGGACGCAATGGCCGCGGATGGAGGAGATTCCTGGTCTTCGCAGAGCTAACCAAAAGTAAGAAGGGTGCCGAATATGTCGCCCTCTTTGCTTACTTTGCCTTTGAATGTGAGTCTCCACTGTGGTTAGGTGATAATGGCTGACATAGTCCAGCCTGGATGAGCACCATTTTCGCCGACGGGCCACGGCAAGTGGTCAACGCCATTACTCTCTACTCAGTGATGCAGATGGACTTGCTCCCCGGCGGAAAGAACACTACCGATGAAGGCGGGTCTACAGCCTCCCAACTCTTCTATAACATCAAGATGCTGGCTGAAGACAACACCGAACGCGCCGTGGTCTTGATCGGTATGCTATTCACCTTGGTCATTTGGGTGTTGTCCATGCTCAAGTTGTTCTTGGCTGTCGTTCTCTACCTTATCTTCCTGTTCCACCATATTCCTTCGGAAGATGGCTCTTTGAAGGCTTATTGCCGGCGAAAAATCAACAGCCGACTCACCCGTATCGTCCGAAAGAAGGTCAACAAAGCCCTGGCCAAAGGCGTCGTTTTGCAAGACCGGAAGCCCACCAATCCGAACCTTGGCTTGGACAAGCGGCCTACTTTGCCCTCGGTTGGTGTGGCTGATGATGACAAGACACCCATCGTCACGACGATCTCACGCACTACGACGCAGACCACGCTGCCAGCCTATTCCTCACGCCCTGGGACAGCTGCTCTAGAGCGCAAACCTACTCTTCCGGATGTCGGGGCTTTCAGTGATAAGCCATTGACAAGAACCATGACCGAATCGTCGGCATACTCTGATGCAGTCTCGTTGTCGGGCAGCACCGCGGTTTCAACGTACAGCCCGCTCGACCGACATGGCACCGCGCCGCCAGTGCCGCCCCTCCCCAATCAAGGCCCTGCCCCGATGCCACGCGCTCAGACGCCAAGGATTCGACAGAACTTGAACCAAGCTCCAGGTCCGGGATACAATAGCCCGATGGAGCGGTCATCACCGGCGCCGTCAATGCCACATACCCAAACCCCGGTCTCACGTTCGGAGTTGACCCCAGCACCTCGTCTGCCTGGCCAGATGCCGGGGCCGGTCCCGCGGTTGCAGACTCCAGTGTCGCGGCAAGGGTTCACCCCGGCGTCTCAAGGACCTGGATACAGTGCGGCCGATCGAGCATCGCCAGCGCCACAGTTGCCACGCACGCAAACTCCTGCGTCCAACTTTACCCCAGTGCCAGGATACGGTCCGGCTGATCGTGCGTCTCCGGCACCACAAATGTTGCGCAATCAGACTCCTGTGTCAAATGTCACTCCAGTCCCAGGATACGGTCCGGTCGATCGGGCGTCGCCAGCGCCACAGATGCCGCGCATGCAAACTCCCGTGTCCAACTTTGCTTCTGCACCTGGTTACGGCCCGGTCGATCGTGCTTCCCCGGCACCAGACATGTGGCGCAACCAGACTCCCGTGTCGCGGTCTAACTTCACCCCAGCCCCTCCTGCGCACACGCCAGGCCGTATACCATCGCCCGGATCAGGAGGCCCTACCGAAGGGTATAACCCGTTCGGTTCTCACGGTCCTTCGGCAGGCACTCCCTTCCGGCCCTACAGCCCGGCGGTTGATCCAAACACTCGATCTCTGACCCCCGGATCTGTCTATCCGACTGAGGGGGTACCTGATCGAACGTTCTCACCCCTCGGCCAGTCTCACGGGCTCCCGTATCCTCCGCATGAGAATGAATATCCTCTGCGATCGCTGAATTCGTCGAGTCCCGGTGATCTTCGCTCTCCAGCTGTTCCCGACGGTGTGGTGGAAAGGACGATGTCACCGGGCGGCTATGTAGCATTCAATCCAGCTGCCAGGAGCCCACCAATGCCATTTAATGAGGAGGCAGTTCCGGAGCCAGATGAATATGCCTATGGACATGCTGAATCCTCATTCAACCCACATGAAGCGTCCCATGGTGACTACGTTGCGTTCAACCCTTCAGCCGGATCACCTGTATCTTCGAACTTTAACCATGCTTCCTCGTTCAATGAGCGTTATGGTGAGGGGTATATTGATAACTTCCAGGATACCGGCATGAGGTCTGTCTCTTCTGAATCAGGCGAACCGGCCTCAGCTTCACATAACTACCTTGCTTTCAACCCTTCGAGCAGCGTATCGCATATGGAGCCCACGGAGCCTCACGTACTGTCTGCAGATCACGACGACAATCCCGCTGCCGATTCTTCAGAGAGCTTGGCTCCAAGGCCTGTTTCGGATATTCCGCATGACGAACCAGAGTTTCACGAATATGTTGCTTTCAACCCTTCGGCTAGGAGACCCACCGAATCCGACGTCTCTATGCCCTCGGATGGACATCTTGAGAGTGCGGTACAAGTACATGGATCGGACGCTAGACCTGTCTCCCCGCTGAACTCGGGCGAGTCGCCAGAAAGAATGCGATCGCCAGAAGCAAACCACCTGCCACAGGAGAACCAATACGCACAGGCTAACCATGCCTACGTTGCTTTCAATCCTGCAGTCAACTCGCCGGTGCAGACCGAGCCTGAGCATGAACTGTCAAACGCACACACCGAACCAGCGGCCACCACCGAGAACCCCTTCGCCAGCTCTGCCGATGTGGAGGAGACAAGACCGTCAAATGGCTATGTGGCTTTCAGTCCGTCCGTGAGGTCTCCCATGACACCCACAGCTCCGAATGCAGCGTTCCATGAGCACAACATGGCATCACCGCCGCGGACAATGTCCCCTCGCGACAACATCCCGCCTGTGCAACCGTACCGTCCGGACCACCAATTTTAGTCTTTCCTTCTACCTGCCTAACCCTTTATGACTCGGAAGAACTGCTTGCATCTTCTGTTTATGATTTCTTCAATGATGAGCCCATGCTCAGATGTTAATACCCTTTTGTGTCTTTCTACATTTCATTTCTGTTCGCTGTGTTTCTCCAGGTCCATGAGCCTACCGGATACTCAATAAAGATCCTGGAGGCTTTTGCTTAGAGCAGTAAATACATCATGTACATTACCGAATACATCTAACTTAGATACCTTCAACGATTATCAGAGTGTTTCATTCCCAGTAGATCCCTACACCCTCCACCCCTTCCTTCCTTCCAACTCAAACCCATAAACCCCAAACCACCCCCTTCCCCCCCTCCAAAACACCCAAAACCAATCATCTACCTCCAACTATCATCCACCGTAACCCCACTACACCCCTCGGGAACCGTATACTCGCGATTTGGATCACTCTCCCAAGTAACACTCCCATCACTCTCGACCTTAATGAATTTATACTCGAAGCTGGTCCCCGTCGGCAGCGTCACCTCGACATACCATTCGGGATTACTCGAGGTATATTTATCCGCGGAGAGAAGGATCGCGTCACTGGTATCCCAGTCTCCGAGCTGGGAGATCGAGCCGGTGAGGTAGATTTCTTCGCCGTAGGTGGTGGTTACGGTTTCGATGAAGGTTATGGAGATGGATGTGCAGGTTGATGTTGATGTTGCTGTGGATGATGTGGAGGAGGTGGTGGTGGTGGTGGCAGTGGCTGTGGATGTGGAGGTTGAGGAGCCGCCACCGCAAAGAGAGGAAGAGGATGAGTCCATGGAGGATGCGGGGAGGAAGACGCGCGGGAGGCCAGAGGCCATTGGGACGGGGATATCGCCGTTGGAATCGACGGTTACCGAGGTGCAGGTGTAGGCTTCGATGAGTTCCGTGCCGGAGGTGTAGCCGCTGTCGCTGAGGGTGAGGGTGTAGCTGCTTCCCGAGGAGCCTTTGTTGGAGAGCACGGTGATGACTTGTTTGCCGGAGGTGCCTTTGCGCATGGCGATGGTGTTGCTGTCTGTGTAGAAGGGGTCGTTCTGTGGATGTAAGGAAGGGGTTATGAGGTTGAGGGGAAGGGGGTGGGGGACGCACTGCGTAGGTGATGTAGTCCGAGTCTACTGCGATGGCTAGTTTGCGGATGGCGTTGGTGGTGGCGATCCAGGTGTAGAGTTCTGCTGAGGTGTCGTAGCCCGATAGCCAGGTGGCTTCGCGGTTGTAGGGCACGCTGCCGCCGCTGTAGTGTTGCTCTTCACCGGCGTAGACGATGGGGATGCCGTCAGAGAGGAAGATGTAGCTGAGGACGTTCTTGGCTTCGGAGTAGTCGGATGTGTAGCTGGTTTGTTAGCGGGGATGAAGGATGGAGGGAGAAAGGGTGAGGGTGGGGGACGTACTAGGCGAAGCGAGGGTTGTCGTGGTTTTCGATAAAGTTGCCCAGCAAGGTTGGGTCGGAACAGTCACTGGCAACGGATTTGATCATGTTGTAGAGATCGCTGATGCTGCCGCTGGAGGATTCGAAGGCGTAGAGGAGTTGCCAGTAACTGTTTGGAGTTAGCGATGCGTTATAGACGGTTTGAGCAGTACGTGATGTACATTGGATAGTTGAGCACGCCATCCAAATACTCCTGGTATGGGCAGTCGAGGGCAGGGTCACCGTTGTCGACTTCGCCGACGCAGTATACACCGGCTGCTTCTTGGTAGCCGGGGAAGAAGTCGGGCTCGACTTCAAGAACGCTGTCGATGCGGAGACCGTCGACTGAGGGTGTCAGCATGGGACTATCTCTCAGGGACAAGGGGATTGGTCATACTAGAGTAATTGGATACCAGGTCTGCAACCCAGTCGTACCATATTGTTCGAACAACTGTCTCGGTGGTGTTCAAATCTGGGAGAGAGACAATGGTGTCGCCCTCCCAGCAGTCGCGAACCATTGTCAAGTTACTCCAGTCGGTAATGAGGCAGTATGGGTGAAAGTAAGAAGACGAGTCAAATGGGTCAAAGACGCTGTAGTCCACGTCATCACCGTCACCCGCGTAGCCCTGGTGAAGTTAGTATGTACGCTTATGGTTATCGACACCGGAGAAGTAGGCTTACCATGTGGTTCGGTACGACGTCAACCATCAGGTACATTCCGCGAGCATGGAGAGCATCTGAGAGGGCCTTGAGATCATCTGCAGTGCCAAAGTTGGAGTTTACAGTATATCTGCCACGATTAGTCTCCATGAAAGGGGAAAATATGAGGAGAGCGACAGGAAAATAGGCAATGCGTACATCTTCTGCTGCCAGTAGCCATGGTAGGCTTCCCCATCTGTAGTGTCCTGCGGTAGCTGCTCGGTGACCGGCGAAATCCAGATGGCAGTAAAGCCCATGCCCTGGATGTAATCCAACTAGAGCAATGGTCAGGAGTTGGGCTGCTAAGCAGACGGAGCGAACTTACATGATTGATAACGCCTTGCCAGCTTCCACCGCAATATATCTACAAAGGTTAATTGGTGGGCTAGAATGATGGGATCAACGTACCTGCTCGCCGGTATCGCACGTCGCCGTGGTCGAATTGTCCGCCCTACCGAACCGATCCGTAAGAAGGAAGTAGATGGACTGGGAGCGCCATTCTGCAGCTGACAACCCAAGAGCCAGCTTCCCAAAGAGGAACCCAGAAAGCAGAAGACTTGATGCTGATAATCTCATTGCTGCGAGCTAAGGCTGTCTGCCAGAAGAACTCCCCGAACGCTGCTTGGAAATACAGCAAAAGATGCCAAAATGCCAATTTTTATACCCTCCTGACACGCTCCGTTTCACAGGCATATTCCAAGGCAGATCAACCCACAGTGCCGTCCAACTCCATCTGATGCTGGATGCGGCCGGCAATCAATTTAGCTGCCAGGAACGGGATTATACGAGGCCGTTCATTGGCCGGGGCTCCGATCATCTCGGGGCCAGGATTTAGCCCCGGGCCCCTTCATTGTTTTAGAGCAACAAATCTCCGACCAGCCCTGGCTACCGTTAGCTGACTGCGTATCTTCATCACTGGCAGGGATGTTCGGAGAATAGATTACCGGAGTTGGCAGGCCAGCTGCGGGTGGCCCGTTAGGGCCGTCGCTTGGCGAAGCGAGATGAATTACTGCAGACAACCTCGGTTGGCGCCCAAGTCCCTGCAGGTGCAGCGTAAATAGATTAATCTTATAAATTACTAAAGTTGATCCTTCCCCCGCAGGGTACAGCTGAGCTGCAGGATGATGAAGCCTCCGGCGGGGTAATGGTGTTCTGCTGCAGGTCCGGTTAATTGCCGGGGCTAATCGAGCAACACGGTATAGGTTGAGAGAATTATGAAAGCTGGTATACCTCTGAGCTGACCCCTCTTCACATGCCTCGGCATAGAATCCAGTTTGCTGGTGGGGTCAATCATTTCTTAAGGATGTACGAGTTGGGTAAGGACGAGCATCCTTGACATAGTACTACAGTCTGTTGCAGTAGCTGGTCTACCGATCTATTCATCGAAGGCCGGCCTGGAGAGATCATTTTTGACCTTCATTATAGGTTTTCTTTATGGGTATTCACAATTGGTGCTTTCGCACCGTCCAGCCAATGACCGATCCAAGGAGTGAAAGGATGAGGGAGAACACTAGACAAAGGTTAGTGATGAATTTCAGATGCATATCTGGGCATCTTACGGTATGTATAGCGCAGGCCAGCAACATATCCCTTAACCACAATCTCTCGCACGTGTCCTTCAAGACCGTTGATGTAGCTCGTGTCGGAAAGAGCTCGTTCAATGATCTAGAAGCTCATTAGCAATCGTGCGAGAAAGGCTGGGAAATGGCACAAACCTTCTTGGCTCCAGGGCCCGTCAAATGCTGCTCCATCTGGCGCTTGAACACCATCCCCAGTACGCTGTTTGTCACTGTCACACCTGCGGTCATGGCAAAGCTAAATAAAAGAAAGTAACCTCCCGTAGCCATGGCCACCTCCTGCGGCAACAGGAACGCTGTCATGCTGACAAAAGCCGAAGCAGAGGCGAAACCAGTGCCCAGACCGCCGGGGATGATGTACAAGGATTCCCAAAAGCCAGTGTGACCGTTCCAACGGAGGAACAGCAGCAAGTATGCGATTGACGCAACAAGACCGGCCACAATCAAGAGCACCTTGAAATGCCCAGTGCGACGGATGAAGGCGCCCGCAATCAGACCACCCAGAGTGTTACCGATCACCGCTGGGACGAGATGCCCTCCAGCCACGGTGGCTGAGGCTTGCGACGTGACCTGGAAATACAAAGGTACAGAGAACATCATTCCAACTTGAGCGGTTATCTGCAGCGCCCCAATGAGATAGCTGGGTGTCACATTTGGCTTACGCAAAATGCGAAGTTCGAAGATCGGTTCGGGAGCTACATAGAGCTCGACGAGGATAAAGGCGACGAATGCCGACGCACTGATAGTGGCCAAGATCGCTGTGGACAGAGATGCCCATGCGAAGGACTGTCCAGCTTGATCGAGAATGACAGTGGTTGTGACGATGCCGATGGCGAGGAGGAACGTCCCTAGAAAGTCGACACGACGGATACTTTTCTCGGTGGCTGGACTGCTGAGCTTGAGTTTCCATATAACCAGCAAGGCAGCGACGGCGGACAGTGGTCCCTGGAGAAGAAACGACCTAAAATGAGTTAGATGACACAGGCAACCCTTATGTTGAGCAGCATACCATCTCCACCCAATGGTGTCCGTCAGCCATCCACCGATCGGACCTCCTGCGCTACGACCCAGAGTCATTGCGATGTTAATGTACGCACGCCAGTGGGCGACGTCTCGTCGCGGAACAATATCTGCACATGTTCAGCAACAATACGCCAGGCGGCGTCTGCTGACTTACCCGTGATAATGATCGAACCCATTGCCATTGTCCCAGCACCGCCAATACCACTGATCGCTCGCCCCAAGATGACTGTTCCCATTCCCCGACCGATACCACTAAGAAACATTGTGATCAGCATGCTTCATGGGGTGAGAACTATGGAGAGTCTACCTGATCACGCATCCAATGCCGAAGAAAACATACGCCCAGAGAAGCAGTGGCTTGCGACCGTAGATGTCACTCAGCTTGCCGTACTAGATCATTGTCAGTATAGCCCGACATCGAACGTCTTGTAAAGAATAGCTGACCATTGGCTGAGCGGCGCATAAGCCCAAAGTATACGCTGTTGCTAGCCAACTCGCATCGCGCAGTCGATCGAATTCGGAGGAGATTTTGCCCGTTGTTGCCATCACCAATGTCGTGTCCGCGTTTGAAATGAACTCGCCTGATATTCTGTCAGTCTAGTCGCACGCGCAAGGCAGAGAACGGCTTACCTAGCAACAACACGCCGATGACGGTACTGATGCTAGTTAATGCTTTCACGTCATTGCCATGCGGCTCAGCTGGGCTGACCAGCGGTCGCTCCTCATCACTACCATGGCCACTGTGCACATCACTGACAGGGCCCTTTGCAATACTGCTGTAGTCAGGTGTGGTTGTGTTATGATTCTCGTCCAGGGCCGAGGTATTCAAAGGAGTTCTCTCATCAACACCTGCGTCCAGTGGATCTGGACCAAAAGCCGTTACAGCCATTATACTCAGTTTCCTGGCTTTTTGGAGTCTGATATCGCGTCACTGATCTGATAGCTGAGTGATTTCAGTCTCGCATCATTTCAGAAAAAGAATATTGTGGGAGCAAGACCTGATATGGTTTCTTTTTCGGAGCCTCCTCGGTTCCGGCAAAAGAAATTATTTGCCCACGCAAACAGCCATTCCGGAAATTCCGCTTATCTGGAAGGACTGGCCCCTCCTGTCGATGTTTGGAAGCATCGGTATTGGCTGTTGAATGTGTCATTCAGGGATAAGCGATGACACCATCGGGGAGAGATATAGGTTTATATGGGTCCTAAACCTCATGGGGCAAGGTGAGTGCACGGATGGATCAGAAAACCGCGTGCAGTGGTAGGGACAGGCACCGAAGCGCAAATGACATGGAGGAAGACCCCGAGTTGAGGTCATCAAAGTGGAGCAGCACGCCATGGCTGGTTCCGATGGCGAACCCTTCCATGGTGGTGGTCTTAGCGCGCCTCGACTCAGGCACAGCCGACACCCGACAGTATGGCCAGCTGGAAATCAATTCAACCTTTGTGTTTTTGTGTATGAAAACAGAGCCATGTATGGGCTTGGACGAAATCCAAGACCAAGCAAAGTCGAGGGAAAAGATAGATAGACCAACCCCGACCGCCTTCGTGGCTCGATTAGTAATCACGATGATCTTGGTGTGTCTCGCCATCAAAGTTCCAACTTCTTCCTCATCGGGCACCTAGAAAGGGCTTGCATGGTATTTCTATAAAGGCGGTGATCAAACACCTAGGTCCCTCTGGTTCTCTACTAACACCCCTGTTTCTGTCTTTAGGCTCTTGCTGACCCGTGGTTGCGCCAAAAGTAGGGACGCATCTGTGGACCCAAACTTTCTCAGCTTCACCCCGGATTTAAACATCACATCAATCTCCTCTAGTGTCTTGCCCCGACATTCAGGAACAAAGAGATACGTGGTGACAAAGGCACAAACGCTTATAGATCCGAATATAAAACCGACCTTGGATTCCAAGTCGGCATATTCCTCATCCACAAGATAGGGAATAGTGAAGTTGACCACGAAGCTGAATCCGTTAGTATCAACAAAAGGATGGGGAATAGGAAGCATACTTCGAAACCACATTGACTGTGAATCCCAGCTGCAGGGTCTTGTCTCTCAATCGAAGAGCAGGGAGCTCAGTGGCTACGACATATGCCTGGGGACCCCATCCAAGAGAGAACCCAACCGCCAAGACGACGTACATAGCCACGATTCCTCTCTTCATAGGAATAGTTAGTGGAGTCGGGGTCCCCAACCCTCCCATGATCAGCAGTCCAATGGCCATCACAGCGGAGCTAGCCAGAAGCATCGGTCTGGTTCATTGTTAGTATTGATCTCACCAATAGCGACGACTAAACCCACCGGCGACCAACTTTATCACTCCACATCAGCGTAACCGTTATAGCGGCAAGATTGATCACTGCAATAATGACAGTCATAGTAAACGTGTTAACAGTCCCGAGCTGCTTGATATAGACTGCTCCGTACTGCGATGCAAAAGCCTGGCCCGTCGCCTGCTGAAAGAAATTCACCATGACCACAAGCGCAGTTCGCTTGAGATCGACCCCTTTTACCAGATCCGTCCAAGCGCCAGAGTCTGCTTCCCGTTCTAGCGCTGCCTGTAGCTCGTGGAATTCGGCCTCGATTTCCTCTTCATTGAAGCATCCCTCCCGCAAGCGGTAAATGTTCCGCTTCGCCTCATCCATACGCCCACGCTGTAAGAGCCACCGCGGGCTCTCCGGGATGAACCAAATCGAGCAGAGGATAATGAACGGTACGATGTAGTAGAGGCCAATGGGAATCCTCCACGCACGGTCATCCTGTATTCCGCTTGTGCCTTTGCAGATGGAGTTCACAATAAGACCGCCCAGAATAATACTAAATTGGTAGGTTCCAACAACCAGGCCGCGAACAGGCGCAGGAACTATACGGTGTGAGTGCATGTCGAATAAAGGGTTAAATGGTATGACACACCTATCTCTGACTGGAAGGTTGGCACGACAGCCAATTCCATGCCAACATAGACATAGTTGAGTATGCGAGCTGCTAAAATTTGGTCTCGATTCAGGGACGTCACAGTTATAGTCGCCGTGATGAGGGCATATCCGCTCATACAAAACATGCACCATCGACGGCCGAATCGCGAAGAAATGATACTGCCGATAAGCACGCCTGAAGAGTCAGCCACACGCACTTTCTCGGCCATCAGTGAGATGGAACGCACCAAATGCAAAGCCAATGTAGTTCAGGCTGTTGAACAATGATAGCCAGGATGGAACCAGTGCGTAAGACTGCGTTGCCGCATCAAACTGGCCGAACCGCCGGTCAAACGCGTCCATGGCCTCTGTGGTTGAGAAGCCCTGGTTGTCGAAGCCATAGTTCAAGGATGAAATTGCAATGAGAGAACACGCTAATGCTAGGGTGGTATTGAAGTATTGGAGTCCGGAGGCGAGCTTCATCTTGCGGTCGGGTAATATTGGCCGGTCTCAGTGCTGCAAAGGCTATTCCGAGCATGACCACAACTACTATTTATTTGCATCTCCATATCCTCGACCGTTATTATACCATATTAGTGTGAACTGTCACCATGGGGCGCTATTGAGGTTGTTTGATATTTGGTGAGTTACCTGATGTCGGCTCTACAATGTCGGCTGTCGGTGCCGATGTGTCGGATGCCGAGCCCATGTCAATATTGCTTCCTCGACCACTGTTTAGCCACACTTCGGGCTTGAAATTTCCTCCACTTCATTATATTTGTGAAGGTATATACTGTTAGGCATGCTGGGAGTTGGTGAACGGATGGCCTGACTGTGTCAACAGGTCTCCAGCCTGACACTCATCTGATGTCGGTTTATATATTAAGCCATTCATGATGTGCGGGGAGAGGGCCTTGTGGGGCGCACAGGCGATTAGGTGTCAGAAATGCTCGTCCCCTTCTATTGTGGACTCCGATTAGCTACCGGAACTAGCTAGTGGCCATACAGTGTCTTCAACGGGATCGAATGATCCCAGAAAGGAGGAGATAGGTACACGGTTGTTGATATCCGTCAATGCGACTAAAAGCACGCCATTTGGGTCTCCACCCCCGCAATCCCAGCCATGCATCTACCAATCAATATGAGTTGCCTCTCATTGTCACGGTCATCTTGTAAGTCTACCATCACTCTCTGCCCACCCCTCCCATGCATAGACACAGTCGCCTACTATGGCATCTTCTCTGAGAGCAGCCTACAGAAACAGAACATGCCAGCAATGTCGAACACGAAAGGTAAGCCTTGGCCAGGCCGAAGTGACTAATGCATACTTGGTTGACTCGTGATGAAGGTCCGGTGTGACGGTCGACGGGGTACTTGTGGAAACTGCGATCGCTTGAAGTTTACCTGCTCTTTTCAAGGAAGCAATGTTCCTGTTGGGAAGCCAGAACGACTACGCGCGCGACGAGCTTGTACCAGATGTCACTCGCTGAAGGTTCGCTGTAGTGGACATGTTCCGGCGTGCGTCCGATGCCAGAAGCGTGGGAGGGAGTGCCTCTATTCGTCACCAGTGGATGGTAGCGTGCCCAGGAAGAACAATCCGGCTCAACATCCCCTCGTTCAGGAACCTGACCATCCGAATGAGATTCTTTTTGACCAGGACGTGGAACTGATGTGAGTCGCCTTTGCTGCATACGGCGAATGTATATCGCGATACTAAGCCCGTGAAGTGAAGAGATTGAACAGTTCGATTTCCCCGACCGGCAAAGGTTGGACCTTGCTTTCGATACATTCTTCACTCATATTTATCCCATTCCTGGATATTCATTCCTCCATCGTGCATCTTTGTATGATCGATTGGATCGAGGGAATGTCGATAACTGCCTTCTACTCTCAATCACCGCTATATCAATACTTTTGACGGACACAGATCCAGTAAACAGAGGGTATGCGGTACAATGTCTCACCAAGGCGGAGGAAGAGGTTATGAGTCACTTAGGTCAACCGTCAATTCTTAGAATGCAGGCCCTCCTCTTGGTGATTCGTTGCAAGATGTGCATCGGGGAATACCCCTTGGCGTTTTCTCAGGTCGCCATGCTGTCCCGGATGGCATTCTCCCTCCGTCTCAATTATCAAAGTGCAGGGTCTTCCTTCTTGGCTGTCGAGGCTCGGAGGCGATTGATGTGGGCTATCTATATGCTCGATACGAGCTGGGCAGGTGGACTATTGGAATTCACCACCTGCCCCGTGGATGCAGTTTATATTGGTTTGCCGTGTAGAGAGGATGCATTTGAGCTGGACATTCGTTCGTCGCGGGAAGTGCAACTACATTCGCTATCGGAAATCCCAGGACTGTTAGCTGCTGATATCTGTGTTGCATACTTACGAGATCAAATCCTGAGGTAAGCGTGGATCTTCTCTTTTTTTCGTCGGGTATAATTCACAGTCACCAGAAGCACCAAGCGTTTCGCGGCAGGCTCCTGTACACCCAGCCAGATCTTGCACGGCATCCATGAGCGTGAAAATCAACTTCAAGCATTTTATCGCCGTCTCCCCCTTTCGAACACGTACTCGAAGCGAAACCTTCGGCTCCGGGCCCATTCTCCGTGGCTGTGTCGCTTCATTTTTCTTCATCTTCTATGGCACCAGTGCCATTGTGATCTATACAGGTGTCTTACACCTGGCCTAGTGGAGTCTATTCCAGGTGCCACGCTTGAGCAACTAAATGGCACATTTCTTCTCCAGTGTCGGGATCGTTGCGGTTTTCATGCTGAAAAGGTGGCGGAAATTATCACCTCACTTCTTCAGCTCGGTGTAAAACTACCCGTCTTGCCGATGGAAATCGCTGTCTGGGCTTATCAGTGTATCCGGCTGTTGATACACACAGGCTATGAACCCTCCCGGGAGAAGCTTGTCGCATATGCGAACTCGTGCTTCGAGATAGTTAGGATTGTTTCACAGACGTCGATTGCGGTGCAGCAAATAGCAAGTTGAGCAAACCATGTGGCATTTCTCAGCGCTAACTGTGTCAGGGATCCGATCTTAAATCTTTACTCGAAGAATCTGAGACTTCAAAACCAGCATCAAAGCAAACGGAGCTAGATGGAGGAATGGGATCTGTGACCGCGCCAAGACAGATTCTGTCCATCCATAGTCTCATCACCCGGTCTGGATTTGGTGAGGAGTCCGAAGAGGCTCTATTAGATTGCCACCCTGCTGCCAATCCTGAGCACTACGAAGAGAATGGTGACCCCCAGGCCCTTCAATCTACCCTCCCCAGTTACGGTGTCGATCCATTCGATGGGGTGTGGCTGCCAGACGGCAGCGTGGTTGACGGGTGGGAAGGACAGGCTGGATTCGACCTCATTCGGCAGATGCAGTGGGACGGAATGGGTTACTTGGCATAACAGTGACCAGTATAAGCATAAAGGAGTCATAATCACTACTGCTAATGGTTTTATCGTCGGTCCCGGTTGCGTACTTCGCAATTCACTAGTGGTAACCCACCGGCCACCGACAGCCGACTTCTCGGGACCGACAACCGACATCGCAACCCATATACTATCTTCCATCCCTTTACAATACCAGCGCACCCAACATTATAATCCCACCCCCAAAATGATTCCGTCCGACCACGCAAAAATGGCCACCAAGCCAAACCTCCTGATATTCATGCCCGATCAACTCCGCTACGACAGCCTCAGCTGCACAAACCCAGCCCACCCAGCCAAAACCCCCAACATCGATGCCTTCGCCGCCCGAGGCACTCTCTTCACCAACTGTTTCGTCCAAGCCTCCGTCTGCTCCCAGTCCCGATGCAGCATGTTCACCGGCACCTATCCGCACGTGAGCGGCCACCGCAGTCTAGATAACCTGATCAAACCCTGGGAGCGGAATCTCTTCCGCACATTGAAGGAAGATGGATACCATGTTGCGTGTCTCGCACCACGCGGAGACACATTCGCGCCAACCGTGACGGAGATGAGCGTGGATGAGTACGGGTTTCTCGAGACGCCGGAATACGTACCGAAATTTGGCGGGGCGGGTCGAACCAAAGATGAGAGTATCTGGGGGCGGTTATTCTATAAAGGACTACGGAATGCGGATGAAGCGAGGGACTATGATGATGCTGTAGTGCGGTCTGCGCTGCGATGGTTGGATTGTCCGCCCGATAAGCCGTGGGTGTTGTTCATGCCGTTGATCTTCCCACATTGTCCGTTTCAGGTCGAGGACCCGTATTTCTCGATGCATGACAGAGAGAAGATGGCTGGGCCGGGGGCGCATCCGGCGGAGAAGACGGGGTATGAGCCTCGGTATATGAAGGCCATTAGGGAGGAGTATGGGACACATCGTGCGACGGGGGAGATATGGCGTGAGATTCAAGCGACGTATTATGGGATGATCTCGAGGTTAGATGAGCAGTTTGGGCAGATAATAGCAAAGGTGGATGCGCAGGGGCTGTGGGAGAGCACGGTGTCCATGTTCTTCACGGACCATGGCGAGTATCTTGGGGATCATGGGTTGATTGAGAAGTGGCCTTCGGGGTTGTCGGATAGCCTAGTCCATGAGCCATTGATTGTCGCGGGTGGTGGACTTCCTTCTCAGCAGCGATATGATGGGATGACGGAGATGGTGGATCTTGTGCCCACTGTGCTGGAGCTGTGTGGGATTCCGGAGCAGTTTCCGCATAACGGGCAGTCGATGGTGCCTGTCCTGCGGGACCCGAGTCAGAAGCACAAAGACTACGCCTTTTCCGAGGGCGGGTTTCTCCTTTCCGAGGAGCCGTTATTGGAGCAGGCGCCGTATCCGTATGACCTGAAAGCGACGCTGCAGCATCGGGATACGGCGCTCGTCGGGAAAGCCATTAGTGTGCGGAGTCCGGAGTGGACGTTCATCTATCGACTGTACGAGCCGGCGGAGCTCTATGATCGACGAAACGATCCGGAGGAGATGCACAATCTGGCCATGGATCCAAGCAGGGTGCCTATTGCACGCATGCTGGAGACTGAGGTGATGCGGTGGCTTGTTGGGTCAACGGACTTTCTGCCTTGGAAGAAAGATCCCAGGTTTCCCGAGGTTGATTTGAAGTCTCCGGCAGAACAGCTGGAGGAACGGTTGCGGCAGCGCGAGGAGAAACCGTAGGAATTTGATTATCACTGTGGATAACTTATCTTTGACTGGTTAACATGTACTCCGTATGGAGTAACAAGTTATTAGTTCTCCGTACTCCGTACGCCGTAGCTGATTCGGATCGGACGGTCCATGGGATGCCCCAGGCAGGGCCTCAGCGGGCCCACAGCCGAGATCCCCACGTTGGATGGGCCTGCAGCTGACAGTCTCACCGTCTCACCTCACATTGCAATTAGGGCGCGCTAACGAATGATGACCGGATGATGACTTGCCTCTTCTCTGAGCTCTGCAGTCTCAGACAAAGGTGCTAATCATGCTGATCGGAGTTGTTGACACCATCCTACGTATGGACTGGCACACAAGATTTTCGTGATATGAACTGGACGCCTCAGGCCCAGGCTTGGCGGCGTCCGTGCTCGCGTCGATCTCTTTCACACCGACCGAGGTCGGGTCCATGTCCTGACCATCGTCAACCCTTTGCGACGTCTCGGACTTTTATCAAATATCAGTCTCCGTTTGCCCTTCAAATCTCCACACTGTCATTCCATTCCAACATGGCCGACATCACGATAACCGAAGGCGAGCTTAAACTCGCGGACGGGACGGTCCTCTACCAAAAGACGTGGTCGGTAAGTTCAGGTCCCGTCCGTCACATGCCAGCATGCGTAATAGGTCGGCCGGCCACAATCTGACCTCTTCCGCAGCCTGCCGCACCCAAGGCCAAGTTAGCCCATTTCCATGGCTTTAGCGACCACATCAACAACTACAACGATTTCTTCCCGTTGCTGGCTCGCCATGGAATTCACATTTCCGGTATCGACGAGCGTGGCTGGGGTCGATCGGTTCAGAAGAAGTCCGACCGAGGAAATACGGGACCGACCTCTCTGATCCTGGCCGATATGGCTGCGTTTATCGAGTCCCAGAAGAATGATGTCTTCCCTGAACTTCCGTTGTTTGTCAGTGGACACTCCATGGGCGGTGGGCTAGTGGCTACCTTCGCCTCGACTCCCAAGTATCAGCCCCTTGTGTCCTCCCTGCGCGGTATCCTCGTCTTGGCACCGTTGATGGGTCTCACCCCGGAACAGACTCCGAGCTCTATAACGGTGTTCCTGGGCCGACTGGCAGGGAAGCTCCTCCCGCATTTCCAGCTCGTGGAGAAGATGCGGGTGGAAACGCTCGTGCGTGACCCAGAGGTGCAGCAGAAGTTGAAAAACGACCCGATGAACCATGCCACGGGCACGCTGGAGATGTTTGCTAACATGCTGGACCGTATGATGGACCTGGATGAGGGGAAGCTGGTTCTGGTGGATGGTGTGCAGTCCGTGTTTTTGGCTCACGGCACTGGGGATAACTGTACCAGTTATGATGCCAGTAAGAGGTGGTTTGAGAAGCAGACGACCCGTCTGCCGGAGTCGGAGAAGCTGCACAAGTCCTATGATGGGTGGAGCCACCTTTTGCATGCGGATTTGCCGGAGAATAGCCCGGTGTTTGCTGATGACCTTGCCGCGTGGATCCTTGGGAGGTCTAGTGCTTAGACTTGTTGTATTCAGATAGAGTGCTTTTTGTGTTGTTTCGGTGTTCAGTTTGTTTTGATATATACGGCCAGCTGTCGGCATGCTGCCTAGCAGTCATCAGTTGTCGTTTTAGTTCTTGCGCATACGGATGGTTCAACCCGTCACAATATATATTCAGCTCCATGACATGAACAATGAATTTGGAATCTCACAAAAATTCGCAAGCAATCCGGCGGATGAGCAAGTTGAACCTGAATGGGAAGAGGATGCAAAATTCCAGGCCAGCGGAAAGATTCCGGCTAGTATACTTTCTGTATTATTATCTGAATTCTTACCTA